GATCCACCGTAACCACATTCGGCGTTAAAGGTCGTTTCGGTGTCGTGTGAAGAGGAGTTTGAAAAGCATCATCAGGTACTTGGAATTGGAATGGGTCGATTGGGCCCTTTTGAGATGCATGTGATGGGCCGTCCAGACGCTTATAACTTTCTGGTTGCGATTCGGGACGTTTAGAAAGATCCTCATCACGTCGTTCCTTTTTTGGCCCATCCTCACGTTTAGGTTTCCAGTCGTCCACCCAGTCTTTCCCACCCTGGTCACGTAATCGATTATATTCGTCAACAACATCTTGGAATTTATCGCGAGCACGTTTCTCCTCGGATTCTCGTTTCGCTTCCGCCGCTATCCTTTCCTGGCGAATTTTCTCTCGTTCAGACTCCCGTTCCTGCTCAATATGCTTTTCTCGGCGTTTTTCCGGTCGCTCATTACGAATGTCACGGACCTCCCGAACTTCACGGGTTTCACGAAGAGTCTCACGACTCTTGCGTTTATCACCTCGTCCATCCTGGGTGCCAGCCTCCGATCGCTTTGATCGGCGCTTACCTTCATGCTCTCGATCCCGATCATAGTCGCGGCCAAGGTCACGACCAAGATCTCGGTCGCGATCGCGATCGCGATCACGTCTGTTTTCGTTTTTGTCGCGGTTATCCCCGCGGCTAGAACCCAATAGAGCACTCACCGCCGCCCCAGCAATCCCACCAACAGCAGCCTCACCAAGTGCACTTTTAGACGCTGCGCGGTCTGAATATCTTGAATCTGTATCCACAGAATCAAGAACTTTCCTAGACACGGGTGCTATCGGCCTCGGCTGTTGTAAAGGTGGAGGTTGTATGGGTACCGGAGCGGGCCGAGGCCGAATAGGTAAATCCTGTTGACTAGACACAACGGATCCCCGTGCATCAAACCGGCTCGGGTCCGATGTTGGGACAGGATATACCCGTTGTAATGGACGGGATTCAGACACGGCTTCACTAGGCGGTATTGAAGGTTCGTATGGTTGACGCGGTTCGGTAATTGTGGACCGATCAACCTTCTCGAAGCCGCAAGGAGCCTCGACATAACCGCGAAGAGAGTTCACGGGTCCAAAGAGACTTGGATCAACTACGGAAGGTTTTCGATGGAGGGGTTGGTCTTGGCGCGGTGAGAGAAGAGGTACAGGTGATCGAGGGGATTGCGGTGAACGAGGTGAGAAAAAAGGTCGAGGGGTGTTGAGAGGACTTGGAGATTTGGGTGCAGGGCCTGCTAGATGATGGCTGGATCCATATGCGAGGCCAGAGTCGAATTCGCCACTAGACTCATCGTTGTCGTCGGAGGCGGACTCCCACTCAGAATCGTCCGGTGAAGAATCACGGCGGATTTTGGAGCTTCCACTCCCCCTATTCGAGTTTCCACTATTCGTTCGGCGAAAATGACTCAGGGCGGAAGCGGCACCAACCAGCGCCGAAGGCCGCGTCCTCCCAGCCGCCCTAAGGTCCTCGGCATTTTGTTGTCTCGCGATTTCAGCAAATTTTCTTCCTAACTCAAGTATCTCCTCGTCCGTTTGTGCGCGTTTCGACATCTGAGGCCTCCCATGGCTACTACTTGGGGGACTGAACTCCCCGCGACTCCTGCGACGCTCGATGTAACCCCTTCCATACGCGAGATCCGAATTCACAGAGGATGAGGAAGAATTTCCAAATTTTAAGATACGGCTTCGCTTCTTTTTAACACGATGTTGCTTCCGATTGCCTGTGAAGAATCTGCCAAGCCCAAACCTTCCAGACGGGCGAGAGATATTTAAGAGGGAGGAGGATGTGGAGGAGGAAGACGAAAGGGGTGACAGCGCACGCGTTCGTTCGTCTGTTGGATCGGCGCGTTCATCGTATCGTACTATGGGCGCCGGAATTGGTTGACTCTGCATCAGCTGTTCTCTAGAATCCCTCGCGTCCTTGCGCCTCCGGCGAGAGGATTCTGGAGTCCAACGATGAGAGGATTCCGGGCTCCGTCGGCGATGATGCTCACGGATCATCTTGCAGATAATGGACTAATTACATATATTCGGGTCCATTCAGATTAACTCTCTTTAATTGATACTAAGTGAGAGTTCGTTCGTTCATTAGGGTTGAGGTATATAGGTATACCGTCGCGACGGTTTCGAAGGTCGAGTATAACGATGTTTTGTTTAGATCCCGTCTACAGCTGTGGGGACCTTCATAATAATAAAAACCGCCCAAAATCAGAGAGCCCAGCTGCTGAGCGGTCGCTGAACCTGTCCGCCTGTCAAGGTTGTGCCCCACATAATGCGCTACGCTCTAATAAAATGATACAGTAGAATGGGGTGGCTGGGCTTTTTTCGCCGCTTCCCACTTCCTTGTCGCAAATAATTAAATTGAAAAATTGGATTGGAAAGAGAAGTCCTTCCTTCAGCTGGCTGCTAACCAAGTACCTTCCTGCCGTAGACCAAGCGGGGAGTCGGCGATAAAAAATTATCACGTGGGTTTCATAGAAGCCTACCTGCGTATCTCTTTACTGGTTGGCTGGGATCCAGTTGTCATCCCTCATCGTCAAATCGATCTCAAGATTAATATGGATTGCCACGTCAATATGCTGTGCACTAGCCACTCAAGATTCAGTATCCCTCCCACACTCTATGCAGACTTGCAGATGCACAAGGACTTAACCATCTTCTGCTCATACCTGGAGGGAACTAGGGTTTAAGCAGCCCGCTAGCCGAAGAAAATCAACTCTTCAATCAAAAGAGATGAAGATATTTCGACCCGGCTACACGGGAAGTTTTGTAGTACCTGTAGTACCCGTAGCACCCGAACAGCGGCCGTGTGTCTTGAGGGAATTCGTCTATTCATGCTAGCGCTATCATATGGAACCAGAGCGGTGGTACGAAGGCGCCGGTCATGACGCTAGATTAATATCAGCTCTTTGTCGGCATGTTTCAGTCGGGCTGTAAACTAGAAATTCTAGTTACAGTACACCTGTCTCGGAGGCCTGAGTGGCGTTGTCGCTGATATTAAAACCTGTCTTGGCAAATGTTCGATCTTTTCTTGGATTGATACATCCGCATGATTATTCGATATTTTTCACGCAATTGTCGACGCGCATCCATCCGTGAGAGAAAGGCTTGAGGCTTGTGGATCAAACCATCAACTCCCAATTCCTATTCCTAACGGACGCTAATAAGCGAATGAGTCTCTTAACATATAAGAACACGATCATTCTCGAACGATTGCTATGAATAAGCACCAATTTGCCGCGATGAGGCGGATGGCGTTATGTTCTTCCTTTCCAGATAGGAAGGATGAGAGGTACAATACCTATGCGGATTAGTTAATATGTAGGCAGTAGGCAGCCAACTCCTACACTCCACGAAGCCCAGTTTGAAAAAACCGCGGAATACCTACTGACATAGATATCAATGCATCTGACAAAGTCTTAGTTCATACGATGTCAGCAGCTAGCTAACTAACAACATTTCTAGTTACGTGGCTTTAGTGCGAAGGTTTTAGATTGAAATCTTAGTCTAAGCAATATTCTCGTGTACGATGTACATGTAGAGTAGTAGAACGGTAGAATGAAGGTATCGCAGGGTCATTTCCAATATGCAGCTGAGTGGACATAAACGAAAGGCACTAAGGCAAGAGTCAGCTAATCAAGCCTAGAGATGTAGTCGTGATAGCCGTTTCTATCCACCTTAGCAGCTTGCCTAGCAAATCTAGAATCAGCGATGATACCTTTTTAGGCTAGATCACCTCAGCGTTTCTAGTATATGATGGAGCATGGGTAAATTGGCTTTAACTTGTCACGCTTTAATTTTTTTAAAGTTGGGACTTACAAACGGGAAACAAATCTACTGTAGGTACCACGTTAATCTTGTCACCTCCTTAACCTTAGATCTGTATAGACCCTGAAATTTCAAACGATAGAGTTTCGATTGAATCCCACGGACAACTGCATGTACATAACAGCACTTAAGAAACTTCAGTTGACAAGTCTGACTGTTTTAAATTAGATTCGATGCAAGTTACCATTTCATTACACATTTCATTACAACAGCCACAATTAATTACAGTAAAGTTCTGGAAATCCTCATTAGAAGCAATAAGATCCTTAGAGCGCATCCTTAACGATATCTATCGGCGGTGTATTACCTAAGATATAGTCTAGATATAATCCTTCCACCATATTATGGTACCTAGGTAAGGATACGAGAAAATACAGGGTTCCATTGGATGGCTCGTGCGAGCTGTATAGCACGCCTTGTAGCGAACCAGATCTATCCCATTGTTATTAAAGTACCTATATCCAATTGAAGCCCTGAGATAAGGTATCACCCTTCATATATGTACCTACCCGTATGCAGATACTATATGTATATGCTAAGGTTAATTTTCAAGTGCATTTGACCAATTGTCTATAAGATCTTTACATCTCATTTTTTTGACATTGTCTAGTAAGTTCTAGAGTGAGATATAGAATAATGGCAACTGACTCTTCTACATTAATGAATGTATACTACATCGCAACGGCGGCTCGTGGGGGGTCCACCGTCCCACTCATGAAATTTAATGTACCTCTTGGCTTCCGAGCCAATGTCGCGCAGGAGGGAGAGTTTAAAGATGAAAGGGAAAAAAAAAATTAATTTTGGGTTCGAGACTTCCAAAAATGGTTACTTTACCTGTCAGGTATCCCTGTACAATAACGAGAAAGAACTATGGGAAGACAACATTATGTTTGAACACAGTTGTTTTTGAAATAATTCAGTCGTATAATTGGATGGATCTACCTTTTACCATATAGACACTTTATTTTATTTTTTTGTTTTATCTTTTTTTATTTCTTCTTACGGCGAGAAACACGATCACGAGTAACTTGAACAACTTAATCGAGGACCAATAAATTGTTCGTACCTACCGTCACGGCGTTATCGTACCCCCTGAGACCAATCAATCGCTTTTATTGATCACTACAACCCTTGAATTGTGGCTTGCAGCCACCTTGGCCTTCCGCATTCCTTTCGAGTCTTTATCTGTCGACGACTCCTCCCTTTGAGGACGGCGACAGAATAGACAACAAATCTGGCGCCCCTCGACTCCGATAACGAAGTTGCATCCTCCTCCAGCGACCGTCCCGCGATCGCACACCGTCGAAGGCGATCTTCTGTAAGCGACTCTGGTAATCGCGTTTCTCCCCTGCGTCTGGGCCATCAGGCCCAGTACCTGCAGCCGACTTTAAGTCCAATACCTGGTATGTCAATTGTTCATTCTTGCGCATCCGGCCAGATCGCAGAATCCCAATTAACACAAATAATGCTCCAGGTACACCCAATTTCCCGATGTCCTTGAGTAGGAGCCCCTCTCCTGTTCCCGGGGGAGGATGGTCTTCTCCCGGCCTAAACATAAACACGAGCGGTCGATCGAGTCCAGCGAAATCGTCCTTTGCCGGCCCTAGTAATGGTGGTAGTGTAACATGGGAGTCTGCGAGACTCAAGAGTCAAGGTGTCACTGGTTACCCAGCATTTTCAACACAAAATCAGGGATTCTTCACCCGACATATGCGCCGTATTTCGAGTAGTTTACCGACGTTCAACATGGCGACCGATGAAAGATACGCGGAAAAGGAGAAACTCGGACGGGGTCGGTGGAAGATCCCCCTCATTGGAAGAATTAGAGGCATAGTTGCGCGAACGAGTAGGATGTGGAAGATACGTGCGCTTATAGTGTTACTACTATTCACTTTCTACTTGCTATTCTACATAACTCGTGAGTTTTGACACCTACTGGTGTCGCTTATGTTACTAACCGTCTATCAGCTCTTTGGTATTATTGGAGGAGAACTAGCTGGCTAGGAGGCGGGGAAAAGTTTGTTATTATACTAGCTGCAAATATCGGCGGTGGTGTAATGGAGTGGAAGGGTGCACGAGAATGGGCTATCGAAAGAGATAGTGTCAGGAATAAGCGAAAATACGTCGGTAGATGGGGCTACGACCTTGAAATTGTCGACATGAGTACCAAGAAACGATATGCGCACGAGTGGCGAGAAAGTTGGGAGAAGGTAGACAGTATCAGGAACAGTTTCAGGAAATATCCAAAGGCCGAATGGTAAGTTAGCGATGATTCTATGTGGCTTTATCAATCTAATGCATCGCAGGATCTGGTGGTTGGACCTTAACACATTCGTTATGGAACCCTCGTATTCTCTTCAACACCACCTATTCAACAATCTCGAAAAACACATATACCGCGACATAAACGAATACAACCCTCTCAACATCAGCCATCCTCTACAGGCCAATTATCTGGATCCCGAAGCGCTAAGTGCGGTCGGGGACGGAAATATCGATTCTGTGAACCTAATTCTCTCCCAGGACTGTTCAGGGTTCAACCTAGGTTCTTTTTTTATCAAACGAAGTGAATGGACCGATCGCCTACTGGATATATGGTGGGACCCGGTAGCCTATGAGCAAAAACACATGCAATGGGAGCACAAGGAACAAGATGCGCTGGAGCAATTGTATACGACTCAACCATGGATTCGGAGCCATACGGCTTTCCTTCCTCAACGACTAATCAACAGCTTTCCAACTGGCGCATGCTCAGACAATGGAAATGACACTCGTATTCATTATAACCAAGATGATCGGGATTTTGTTGTCAACATGGCAGGTTGCGAATGGGGTCGCGATTGTTGGGGAGAAATGTATAACTTCCGCGAACTCAGCTATTATCTAAACCGAAACCCTTGGGAGCGTTTCAAGGAAGATTTAATCGCCGTCATCTGGTTTAAGTTGACGGGCCAGAAGGTCAAGTGTAAGTTCTTTCTTTCATCCTCGAAATTCTCGCTCCATTATCCGCGATATCGGTCTTATCCAAGCGGAGTTCATGCATGCTCTTTGTCTTCACACCAATCTACTCCAACTTTTTCTGTGGACAGCTGTCGCTAACTCAATACTACAGTATAGGATGACTACCCTCTAGCCCCGTCAAGGCCATGACCGCGACGAGCATTTTGGTTTGGATTGCTGGATCGCATTATCTTCATATTTCCCCCCCTTTTGAATCCTTATTATTTGTCTCCAGCCTCGGTCTGTCGGCACATGTTCCCCTTCTATTCCTTGTGGCGCAATCAACGATATTGTTTGTCACTCAATATACCCCTTTCGCATTACAATCAGAAAGGACATATTTAAGTCCTTCAGGCTTGTCTGATTAGCAATCTTCTCCGTCATCGGCTCTTCGTCGCTGACGTAAATCATCATTCAGAGAAGTGATCTAATCTGTTTATTCGAGATTATGAGGTGACCTGGCCTGGAGTAAGAAAGACGTTGATGGTTAATGTGCATCTGTATTGTTATGTAAAGTACGTCATCCAATTGACACTATGAGAAGATACAATGATATTGGAGATTTTTCCATTGGATATATAATGTTTTCAAGAGTGAAACATACTGAGTACGTGGAGTGATAGGTGTAAATCCAAAATGATGCCACGAAGGCGGTTGGTATAGATCCTGAAACATGCTTATCCCAATACCAGACAGTATCTCAGGTATCTGGAAGCGGAGGGGTACTTGAGAGCGGTCCAAAAACCTACACATAATATGGATTCATTTCTATATACACATCGGAGAGACATTTCAGGTCTAAGTAATATAATGTCAACTTGGCCATGCATATTCAGACAGATACAATTTTGAATCAACTGTGTAAGCTGTCAACCGGGGTTTCAGTTTGGCGTTTTAGCAGTTTCCATTAGAAAGTTTGAATATTCGGTTTTCTTATTGGACGGCAGTTAGGAGGAAACAAAACAGACACGCCCCTTCCCTAACATTTATCAATGCAACTTTACTACTAGAAGCTACCTAGGTACGCTACTTCCCATTCTATTCCTCTACTTGTTTTTTTGCCGAGGTTTGTTAAACTCATCTTCATCTATCGTATCTACACTCCTAACGATCTTCACTACTCCATCACCGACGCCTATTTGTCAAACGACACCCATTGAATATCCAATATCCCATACAAGGTCTCATAGAAACATATCTACTCACCTTCAAGATGGCGACCTGGGGTCCCGGCCTCCTCCAATCTGACGACGACTACGAAATCGCAGAGCACCTATCCCGTCTTGCTGGAGTCAATCTTCTCTGTCCTCATGACCATGAAGACTACCCCAAGATTGTCAAGAAGCTAAACGATGGCGGAATCTCCGATCTTTTTCAAAGAATTATGTCATCCGACTTCAAGCCTGATCGAAGCTATCATAAACGAGAACGCGTACCTATCATTCTCGGAATGCTTGCCATGTGTTTAGGTGTCATTATTGAGAACAGCCATTTGGCCCAGCTTGGAGTGCTACGACCCTGGCTTCCCATCGTCGAACAGCAGGTGCAACTCGTTACTGCGCTTGATGAGTACAAGAACAACGGCACACCTTGGCAGTCGGGATCCAAGAACCGTGAGGAAACAATGCGCGCGAAGGAGGTTGGACCTTCGAAATATGATCTCGGGGATGAATTTTGGGGCAATGGTCTAGGGTGAGTTTAGAGTTTCTCCCTGCTAATATTTATTCACACAAAGTTACCTCACGAACTCACATCTCGTTACTTGATATACGATCACTCAATCTGTAATCTTGAATTTTACTGATTTTGTGGTTTGTAGACGCTCTCTCGATGAGGACTGGACTTCGAAGATGCTCAGTAAAGTCTGTTTCAACTGCGGCGAGAAGGGAAACCTCGAGCATTGCGGGAAATGCAGGATTGTTCAGTACTGCAGCAGACAATGTCAACGAATGGACTGGCCAATCCACAAGAGAGTCTGCACCCCACGTCCTTCTGTCCGCACTTGCGTTAGTCATATCATTATTATACTTATTTTGCCAGAAGCTAACAGTATTTATAGCCTGTCCCCAAGCCTAAGAAGCAGGTTGAACCAGAAGTCAATCGCGGTGAAGACGATGGCGACGATATGGAAGATACCGGAGGTCACAAGGACGAGGTCAATGAGGCTAGCGAGGGTAACGACACTAGTGATAGCAGCGTAAACGAGGAGATTGAGGACGATGCCGAAGAAGAGTACGACGAAAGCTTTGAAATTAACGAGGACGATGCTAGTCAGTACTACGAATATGATGAGGACGACGAGGACGACTACGATGGAAGGGGATACGACGAAGAAGGGTACAACCAAGACAATTACGACGAGGAAGATTATGATGAAGAGGAGTATGAAGGTGAAGACGGTCCTCAGGATCAGGACGAAGCCGAAGTTGGGTGTCCAACCTGCAAGTATGGATATGATGAGGCCGAGGACGGTCCGAACCAGGGTCAGTACGATGAAGACGAAGACGAAGATGAAGGGGAGGGCGAGGGCGAGGGGGAGGAGGAGGAGGAGGAGGAGGAGGAGGGCAGCAACGACGGGGACGGTGGTGACGAGGTGGATGATGAGGAAGGTGACTACGAAAACGAAGATGAGGACGAGGACGAGGACGAGGACGTCGACCATTACGCTGATGAAGACGATGAAGCCATTTTCGAGGGTAACTACAATGGTTTCTATGAGTATGTCAACAGCAGCTCTAACCCAGACGAAGGCGAGGGCTATGATTTGGATAACGACAATGGCCACGAAGCATCAGGCTCCGAGAACGAGGATCGACCCGAACCCTCCACAGGGTAAATCCACTGATCCTCCAACGGAGAAAAAAGGCCTTGACTAGTTGGATCCGAGGGCGTTTTCGGGGGTCCTCGCATGCTGCACTTCCTCCCAATGAGAGGTCGGAGGGCCGAAATGAAGCATGAAAAGATTTTATTAATTACCTAGGTAGTTAAGTGCCTTGCAGATTTGGCGATGCTTTTTAATGGACTTTAAATGTCCTGTCTCAAATAGAGAGAACTAAATAAATCCGAACTCTGAAAAAATGATATTCCTAAGTCCTGCTGTGTTACCCCTATCTCCGAATAGCTAGACAGACTCTCGTAGGATCATGAAGCCGTTTCATGCGTCCAAAGAGATGCTGCCAGAGTAATAACTGTAATAAATGTAGGTGAGGCTCAGCCTAGTCTAAACGATGCCATGATCTACATTCCAAGATAGCCCTATATCTAAGCCAGGCAACTCGGATTAATTAGCATGTGTCATCGGGCTTACTCTTTGCCCTACGAGGCAGGTATCAAGCAAGACCAAGTAGAATGTGGTGATATATGGGAAGCCCGAGAAAAATGCGATCGGATGAACGGCTATCCTACGTTAAAATCGTCGGATACGGCGCACCGATTAATTGAGGCTCGTCAGGAATATAGAGATGTTTTCAGCTAGAAAAAGCAATCCAGCTCACATATATTGAAGGCTTTTTTTTAGATCTGATCTGTTGAAGTTCTTAATGGATGGTAGGGATTGAAATGACAGCTCACGTTACGATCTAAATCCCTCAACCCTGCCGCGGGGAATCTGCAGATGATTGGAGAGGCCATACGGCGTTCATCCTCATGATACTATCAAGATAATCTACTCCGTACTCCGGAAAGAGCGGAATTCGGTGGAATCCCAAGTCCATGGTTGTTGATATAACGTGTGCTTCGGACCGCTTCCTATTGTCGGCTTTAATATGCGAGTACCTTAAATAGCATCCGTCCCATCAATGGGTGGTATTGTTAGCCTCAGTCGTACAACGATCTGCGGTAGCATCTATTGATCCTAGCACGTTTTCTAAGATCTAACAGGGTGTGGACTCCGAGCGGACGCCCCATCGTAACATTAGCCTCCCAAAGGGAAATTCGGTGTTGGATGATAGCCAACGAAATATCCAAAGGAAGCAGGACGTTTTTGAGCGAGCTTGTTTCGACGTTTCGCTTTTTTGTTTCAGATCAACAATTCTCACCAATCAGATGTTGTGGCGCGTAGACCTTGTCACTGTACTTAACTCCGAGGTAACGTTCCGCGATAGTGGTTAGGAATGCTACTTGTCATGGAGAGGGTGGTACTTTTTGGTGGATTTAGATGCGGGACAATAGGGGCTGGGTACCGCCAAGAATGTGGCGGCCTGTGTTCCCAGTTTCGATCAAGTCCATACCATTGATTGGCTGAGAAGCATCTAAACTTGTCCATCATGGCAACCCATCACCTAGAAGAACTTCAACTTTGCATTCTTCATTCTTCATAGTGGACAACTTTCAATGTCTCACCCCAGCCCGATCCTCTGGCCTTCGAGTAGATTGCGCTCTGATACTGCAAAGTCGGCGTCATATCCTCCAACCATCACTCGTCTAGTTTCTCCTGCTGAGGACGTAAGCTCCAGATCCCATGCTAGCTTCATGTAATTCGCATTTTCCGAGAGGGTGGTCTCTCACCATGACTGGTGCAATCCATGCATATGGGTCCTATCGCTCCGATTCTCTTTACTGACTACCTAAAATGGTCGTGACCAAGGGTTCCAAGGTTGTTTGGGATTATTTTGTATCTGTATCTTATAGATTTATTTTAATGTTACAATATCTCACTACGACGCCTTCCAGGGTATACCTAGGTAGATGTTCCCCCCCCCCCCCCCCTGGTTCCTTGGTTCCTTGGTGGTGAATGTGTGATTCCCGGATCACGCCTTCCGAATCTATTTGCAATCCCCGGGGAAGTCACTAGGTCTAGTAGTTGTTTCTCTAATTATCTCCAACCTTCTCGGGGAACTCACGAATTATAATAAATTCGGTGGTTCCTGCTGTTGTTGTTCTGGTTAACACACACACAGTCCGATTAGGTATTTTCCATTCCTCACAAGACCCAGCCGTCTTTTCATCTCAACTTTGGAACTTTTTCCATCCGTCATCACCAGCCGTCCCTCCTTATGCGGCTGTGAACACCACACTGTGAATATCTGAATAACAGAAAATCTTCACTGTCTCTCCTTAGCCACCCCTTCATTTACGACATTTACGCACGGTTCTGAGTAACCCATACAGCTCTTTGTTTGCGGCCCCCGATTGTTCAATCTCAAAGTAAAACAAACGGAATTTCCAGCCCTACGATTGTTCACTAACAACAGCAATCTATTCGAGTCTTGAACCATTCCCTTTCAGACTTGAACGATTCGACTGTTTGTATTTAAATTTCAAAGACGGCCGCCGCCACATCTTGAGTTATTGGGTTCCCTACACAACTCACTTTCATTATTGAACCACACCACTTTCACTACCACCACCGCAACAACAAACTTGCCCGGCGCAAGTTGGTATTTTGGTATTTGACCAAGGCTCAATTCATTAATTCATTCCATCATTTTTTCGTCTTCAACGACCTTCATTTAACTTTCGATCTTACTGCTGGACATACCACAAATCGACAAGATGTCGTTCACGAGAAACCTCACACGCCTAGGAGGCATTCTGGCTCTGGGAGTCACCGCAGCGCAAGCTGCTTACTCCATCCAAGACACTTACGACCCAACCAATTTCTTCGACGGTTTCGAGTTCTTCAGCCAGCCCGACCCAACTAACGGCTTCGTCAAGTACCTAACCGCCGAGGAGGCCAATGCGCTGTCGCTGGCTGGACTTGCCAACGAAGCCGTCTACATGGGCGTCGACTACACCACCCTGAACCCCACAGGTGGCCGTAACTCTGTCCGGGTCAACTCCAAGAAGACCTACAACCAGGGCCTTATCATCGCCGATATTGCCCACCAACCTGCTGCCCAATGTGGAACTGTAAGTAATTTTCCAGATCAAACTCATACTTTCTCCTTCCTTCCCTTCCTTATATCCGATCCCTCAAGCAAACAAACACAAACAATGAATAAAGGCCACACCCCTTCACACGACACTGAAATTTCAAATAAAGCATAATCTAACACATCATTATAGTGGCCTGCATTTTGGACTGTCGGTCCCAACTGGCCATATGACGGAGAAATCGACGTCATTGAGGGTGTCAACCTGGACACTAACACCACGTACACCCTCCACACCGGACCTAGCTGTACATTCACGCAAGGGGATTGCAACGCCCCCGGAACCGGTAACATCGGCTGCGGTACCTCAAGCCAAGACACACAGACCCTAGCCGACGGCTTCAACGCCATCGGCGGCGGTGTCTTCGCCCTCGAATGGACCGCATCAGCGATCAACATTTTCTTCTTCCCACGCAGCAGCATCCCGCAAGACATCACCAGCGGCCAACCCAACCCCAGCACCTGGGGGCAGCCGCAAACCTCGTTCTCGGGCGACGGATGCGACATCCCATCGCACTTCCGCGACCACTCCATCGTCTTTGACACCACTATGTGTGGTGACTGGGCCGGAAAGGTCTTCGGTTCCGACCCGACCTGCAGCTCCAAAGCCGCAACCTGCGAGGAGTACGTCGCGGCCAACCCCGACGCTTTTAAGGATTCGTACTGGCTTGTCAACTCCGTCAAGGTGTACTCTGACAACTCCACCATGAAGCGAGACGCACCTTTCGCGCGACGATTTATCGCGTAAGCATTTGGAGAGGTTCATTTTTAATCTTCTTAGTACCATATTTCCCTTTTTTTGCTTTTCCTGGAGACCTGGGTTTGTGGCGTTGCGGGATGACGATGGAGGTGAGGAAATAGTCCATTACCCAAAAGGTCCTTTTTATACCAGGCGAGGCGTTGTTATATGTTGCCATTTGCTTTTCCAGAAGGAGGTTGGGGGGTTATTTTGCGCGGGAGGCGGTTTTGATCGACGAGGGCTGCTTTACTACTTAACCTGGTTTTGTATTGGTGGAGAAGCAGAGCAGTGAAGTCGGGATTTTTTCACTTCTTACACCTGTACATATTTTTGATGTGGCTTCCTTCTGACACCCTGGGGTACTTTGGGTGTGCAATGAGCACGACTATGAATAAAATAGCAGATGCATTTACGACTATACAAATATTTGCCTCATTAAGTGAGATTAGTATCATCTAGACCTCTGCGGTGCTGCTTGTTCGTCTTTGGGTTCGATGGATTCGGGAGGACACCGTATATAACACTGCTAGAATCGAGTATATGGATACCTAGGTACTTAGGTAGGTAAATGGGTTACACTATCCCGAACCTGCGTGATCATTGCTTAGATAATGGATCCTAAAGTTGGAGAAACCTACCTAGAGTGTCAAGCTTCTGCCTACGGACTTATCGGCAGGATTCTTTATTCGAGTTTTTCCAGCAAGGCCTCTGTTCGTCGATAGAGCTAGTAAAATAAAATAGACAAGACAGCGGTGGAGATTCTTTTTGAAATGCGTAGTTTACTGGGCTAATGTAATCATGTCTCAAGCGTAGCTTGTAGTACGACGCCGAATTTCGTGACGATATCTATGGTGAGCTCAAAAAGCCTAGTGGTTGCGACGAATAGCTTCGGAGCTTGTAATGTTCCAATACAAATTTTCGTGTTGGAATAATCAGTCAGCTAGCGAGCTTCAGGAGTGGTGGAGGTAGCTGGAGGCGGTCAAAATGTGTTTCGGCTCCGATCACTTACGGACTTTATCGGTTCGATACCGTGGTGGAATAAAGGCAATGTGGTCCGAAGTTTCATTCAGCTCATAGCGGAAAGAGAATATTGTTGTTTTGCGGTGTTTTCGGTGACCCTTGTCTCGGGTGATATGGGAGAAAATGAGTAAATGACAGACACGATGCTCATTTGTGTCAAATCCCTAATTCTGTAGGGCGAAGACAACTCTTTGCCCTAGACTTCGGTAGATCCGATGCGCGAGACTTGCATGAATGAATACTTTGGAAGCGTGCGCGAATAGATACTTTGATATCTTGTATCCGACAATGGGTATCGTGTAACTGGCGGTGGCGGATGTCTGGGATGGAACTTTCTCTTCCGACCGAGAATAGAATCAGCCAGAATATAGTTACCCTGTGAAAAGTGATCGAACAGCCCAATAATATATACTAGAAGCCTGTTTGGTTGCCTGCGATATATAAAAACGGTTATAGTATTGTTGTAGGAGACTTCCCTTCATGCAACACATCCCATTGTCCGCCAGCGATGTGCTTTTTGCCTTACCCGGTGCCCAAGCCTAGGAATAAAGCAAAGAAACCAACGATCGTGAAGAAGACCACAGGTGGCGGCACTTTTCAAGGAGGATATAAAACAGCGGACGAAGCGATCAACCAAACACCGACAATGTCCTACAACCCAAGAGCAACACCCCCCCCACATTGGTATTACACTCCGTATAGCATGGAGCAACGCCTCGAAATGGATGAACCCAATTATGTTACAAGATCCCAGTGGGCTTCTCACTGCGAAGCACTAAAGGGGACTCACGATATAGCGAGAGAGAATGGGAATAGGATGAACGATATGAAACTACTAGTTTCTGGTGGAATTGCAGAAGCCCGAGATGCAGTTATTAGCACCCAAAACACTGTTAAAGGTGCCCACGAAAGTGTAAAGAATACCCATACGGCAGTTCAGGGCGTCCAGGATACATTGAAACAAGCTTGTGATACGATCAACAAGAACCATGTCGAACAGATTAGCAAACAAGATAGCTGTACCGCCGAGATTACTAAACTCCGGGCATTGATGGAAGATGATGCAAAAAGACGGGATGAAGCACACCAGAGACAACAGGCAAGGCAGGAAGCGTATAACCATGCTTATAATTACTTCCAGCATATCAATCGAGATGCAGAATTAAGGTCACCAGGAGTGGATGCCCGGACCCAGCCAAGCACTACAGAAAGTGGTAGAACCAACGCGTCACAGCGAGCTCGGGGATACCGCCGGGTTCCGGATGAGACTGAAAGGCGACAGCATCGAGACGATGATGACGACGACAATATCAAGCGAGTTGTTGAAGGGTTGTTCGGCGAAGGATACCAGGAAGATACTTATCCGCATCACGGGAACCATTTCCATTTTCACGGTTGTCTCCCGCTTCACATCGATGACTACACCGGTTGGCCTACTTGGACAGGAGGTCCCCCAGGTTGGGACTACTATGGCGAGACTGATGGGTTTAGAGGACGCGTCCTTCCGAGAACCCCGCCCCGACCGGTTAGACGAGGACGAGGGTGGCCGCGGCCTTAGGCATTGATGTAGACGTCGAATCAAATTGATTACAAGGCCGCGCACACCATCGGAATTCTCACATAGTACGGCATAGAGGAGCCCGAGCACGAGTTCACCACGGTCGCACAGGTCGTCACCCGAGATCTTCAGCCGTGAAAGGCCTAGAAACTTCCAGCTTCCTACATGTACGAATAAGGTGAGGCTGGATTTCGACATGTGCCTCACGCGATTCTCGCCTTGTTAACTAAGCAACCAGTGCTCTCCTTTTCATCTCAGAGTAGTGGAGAAAGCTTATTTTAGTCCTGATAACGGGTGATCTAGCCCTAGGCGTTTGATTTGGGTGGAGATGCGCGAACGAAGTTGAGATCCATTTCTTTGGTCCAAAATCGGAAATACTGGTCTGCCCGTCTGCCTTGTGGGAAATGGCAAACCAGATTAGCAGAACCTTGGAAAGGAGATAGATAGAGCGGACCGTGTAAAAACAATCATAGAATAGAACATCTCGGTTAGATCCAGCCTAATATGCAAATCTCCATTATGTACGAAATACTCTATGTTGAAGCATGTCGCACGGTCGGATCAATACGTAAATCGTAACAGCCATGGATGTTGTCTTGCAATTTCGGGAAATGAAGGAAAGCTACATTAATGCAGCCTCCAATAGTTATAGACGGAGATATTAAATCGCTGATCCTGGGCGACATGCTAGGAACTTTCCGTGTTTGTAGTTTATTATAATTGTTATGAATGTTTAAAACGTCGAAGATGGTCAGATGTAAAGAAGTTATGCGCTTCGACGTCGCATGGCTGTTGAATAGCAAACATACTCAAATTGGTGTAGTATAAAAAAAGGAATCATTTCAATGGCTGGAAGACAGCATGGAGAATTGAAACCAATAATAGGTACGTAGCTTGTATGTATGTACGTACTTCTAATACGCTATTTCCCTATTCCTAATGCAACCACCGATAGCGGATACGTGTGATTGGCTAAGTGGAGCTAAATAGATAACCTTGGCAGCCTTATTGGGTTAGTATTGTTGATCTAATCCTATAAGAGGAATCTCAGACAGGTACGCTAAAATCGTCGAACCCTGCACGGTCTTCCCACGGGGTTCCAATTACGAAGTGTCAGCTCTGATTTCTTCCCACTTCTTTCACTTCTTCCCACTTTTCTCCTGCAGGAACAACAATGATGATGGACATGTATGTAGGAACAACACTTCTGCTGCTTGCTCACTTGTCACAATGGATCCGCATTCTTATTCTTGTTGAGTGATTTTTTATTTCTTTCTTCAAAGTCGGCTGACCTTTGGTACCTAATAATACAATGACTGGCTTCGTTGACAGATAATTACTCGATTGAATGCGAAAGTGACTGGCAGAGAAGAGGGCCACGCAAGTCAGAATGGGTATTCGCAGGGGTTAAAATCACCTTTTTGGATGGGTTGTCCGCGCGGTGAAAAGCGTGAAATAGCTACGATAGCAGGGGTTCATCCCGAACAACCCTTGCCTCTTCCCGGTAGACGTTTGTCGATCCACATTAATCTGCAGCACTATTCGAGGCGTTTGCCTGTCAGGTCCAGTGTGTTTTCTATGGGTGTGCCTTGATTTAGTTGAATTACCTAGGTAGTTGAATTGGGGGGGGACCCAGTCGACCAGTCCTGAGGTATTATTGGATTATTTAGGAGCCAAAGGAAAAATTTCCCCCATGTCCCAATAAAAAAGGGCGCGTTGCCAAATCGTCCCCCTTCGACCCCCACCGCCCGTTTTCTCTCTTCTCACTCCCTCTCCCCTTTTAAGGACTTGGTCAAGCTTCACCCACCACATTCATTCGTTTCTCTTTTGTAACTGCGAATATCTGCATTTTTGCAACCCACGTTCATTACCTACCACATCCACAATCACTATCAATCATTACGCAGTTACACGTCGCTCTCTTTACGAAGCAATCAAACATATTCAGTTCTCGCAATAGAATACAACTGAAAAGGAAAAACAAAGAGAAATCAAGATCCACAATATCTTCATTGATATTACACTCTCCTTAAACGAGGCACATTTAGCGGCTATCAATTAGCTTGGACAATCAGGATAATCGCTTTCGACGATCTTGAGGAGGAAATCCATATTCTAAAAACGTGATACCCATTTTTCGATCAACAGCAACAGCAACAATATTATTCAAGATGCAATTCTCATCCTTGATCATGTTGGTTGCCGGCGCCGCTTCCGCCGTCGCGCAAACCACCACCGCCACATCCTACTTGACGGCGACTGTCACCATCACCAAGTGCAACCCGACCAACACCGCCTGCCCTCTGTACACGCCTTCCACCAGCTCAACTTTGTCTACCCCGACGCCCGTTGTGTACCCCACCAGTTCCGTTGCGCTTAACACTACATCCAGCGCTTCCTCCACCTTCTACCCGATCTCCAAGAACTCGACTGTTTCTGCTGGACCTACTGCTTACCCCAACGTCTCTTCCACCTACGTGGTTCCGTCCACATATGTTACTCTCACCTCAGCTGTACCCACAACTCCCGCCCCGGCTGCCTCATCATCTTCAACGCCGGCCCCTACAGTGCCTGCCAGCGGTGCCGGTCTAGTGTCTGTTCAATCAGGCCTTCTATTGGGTATCCTCGGTATGGGAGCCGCTCTCCTAGCATAAGTCAACGAACTGGGGAGTGAAGTTGGAGGTTGAAGGACGACGCACGCCATCCTTTGTAATGAGCTTCAGATCTAATCGGCACGAGACTTTCTGCCAAGGAGACAACGACGATCTGGGCGGCTTAAGATATTTTCATGTTCACTTCGATTCTAATACCAAACTTGATTCTCAGGAGATGGGCGCTTGGTGTTTTTTTTTGTAGGGCGATATCCCGGTTTAAGGAGTCTGGTTGGGCTTATACCCACTTTGATCCTGGGCGTGGCAGCTCTTTCTCTATGTCTAAATTAAGGCGATGCGTTCCGTCGACGGTTTATTTAGAGCATGCGGAGGAGTTGGAAGGTTCGTGTCGCGTACTTCGATAGCAGAGGAGGTTGTGCCAATGAATTCAGGTCTAGCACGGCCAGTGACATATTTTCCACCACACCCTGTTTCTCCTATTTTCCTTGTGTGCTTCATCACGTGAACTTGATGTGATGCTGTGAGCTGCTTGTAAAATGAAACGGTATTGTATCTGAGTATTGTGTAGGGTAGTATTGTAACTAGGATTCGAGTCGGAATTGATGTCTTCGGTAAGTCTTCACGGCCGGCTTAGGTAAAAAAAACAAAAAAAAAAAAAAAAAAAAAAACACGTTCCGTTCCAATGCTTCTAAGAATAATTCGAATTAAGAGGCGAAGATAAGGGTTTTTCTGTTTCAAATTATTTCAGCTAATTATGGCACGCACGTACACCAAGCGAGTGGAATGAGGGTGGGCCGACCAAAGAGCTGGAGTCGTTATGATCTACATATATAGGCATATATACGGGGTAGAGAGTTGGTTTGGATGGTCGGAATGGTATAGTCTGAAGGCGCCAGGGGAACAAGCGATAGCAACCTTTATCCACACCGGTCAAGACCTGGGAGCTTCTTATTTATTCTATGGGAATATCATATCCTATATAATCCATTAGTATTGGTCTTAGTATTGATATTATTGCCTGGGCCGTAAGCAAACAAGCATCATGTATGATTGCTTGCTTGCAACCTTGGTACACTATATGAGCTTTTCTTCATGGGAATTGCGGCTCGCGTGCCCGATCCCGCAACCCCGGTATCAACTAGTTCGCCTCGGAAAGGCTCCGGGAAGCGCGGACTACATAGTGATCTCCACCATAATGAAACCCGGAATCCCTGTCTAGCCACGAGGTTTGCAGAGTAGGACGAACGACGCATGGACCGTTATATCTCAATAACATCAGATTTTAAGTGAAGGGGTCCCCCTCTATAAAGTCATCATTGTACGGTTTTGATATATGCCAATATAGGCAATAGAAGTCTGGACCAGAACCAAAAGCAAAGACGCACACACTTATATTATATTCCTGACCATTATTACCCCCTTACATGTTACCGTACAAGTACATCAAGATACACAACCCGTATTACTTCCCGGTACGAACATTCCAGAGCTCTGAGATCAGATCTCTCCATCATTAAGCATCCCCCAACTCTGGATTTTTACGTTTCTGTCTCTCCCTTTCCCTCTCCACTTCTCTCTCCAGGGTATAAGCGGAACGTGGCTTAATGGTGGACCTCATGACATTTACCCTCCGCACACGCATTACACAATACTTGATCGGACTCGCAGGTGCCCGAACATCCTCTGTCCTTGTGCCCGCAATACTGATCTGCGAGTGTGATAATCCCCTCGAGTCTTTCGTATCCTATCAAAGACGATGACCTGGTTCGACAAGCATGTAATTGTCTACATTCGTCATCACACCCAAATCCTGACGTCCGGAGCGTGTAACGCTCGCCACCTTTGCTGAGTATTTCATCCATCTTGGCGACTAAGGGATCATTCCGTAGAAATGCAGAGAAATTTCAAAATCGTCTGACCGTTGGGTCCCTTTTTTAATTTGTTATGTTCTTTTTTCTCTCGTGTAATGTAAGCAAGCAAGCAAAGCCACCTGGAGGAACTACCTAATGATTAGTTTATATGAGCTGTCATATTGGGAATCTAGGAGGAAGACACTAACAAAATCTGATCCTTGCAAGTTCTACAGCCTTTCAGAGGCGGGAAAGCGTATGCACCATGTGAGCATGTACGTCTTACGCACATACGTAAGTCGAGAAGTAGAAAAATAAGAGAGCAATCAAGTTGTGTACGTATGTGTGTTCAAAGCGGACGAAACTTATGTCTACGGACTTTGGTAGGGTCAGAATCAGAAGAAGAGGATGCGATTCCTTCAGCCCTTTTATAACCAAAGCAGCCAAGTTTGCCTACCCAACCTATTTGTCTGTTCTAGCCCAAGCTTGGAAACACGAATCTCTCTATTCTGGCGCGCCCTACCACTAAACACTAACGGGGGGTTTATTTCTCGTTTTCCTTGGGAGGTCAGACTGAACTCCCTTATCCGAGGGGTTGTTCTCGACCAGATTTTGCATCTTCCTGGATCGGTGGCATCTCGTCATTTCGTCCCACTGCCAAATGTCGCAATCATGGTTACGATGAACCATACACATACACGTGCGCCTCCCGTCCAAGCGTTGATTCCCTCTTGTCAGCCTCCTCCCAAGTTGTCGTCCAAAGTAACCTTATGTTTCATCATACATTATTTGGTAAATGACCCAAATACTCGAGGGCCTCTCGTCAGAATCAACTGATTTCTCTCCCTTCTCATCATTTTTTCTCCTCATCCTCCTTCACGTCAGTCTCACTCCATCGTTCCGAAGAAGGGTAGCGTACCATACGGGAACGGAAACAACAAGAACAAAAAGGGAATCGGCAGTGAAGGGGAAACACGAACCGCGATATCGGTAAATTTGGAGTGAGTGGTTGTGTTATCATTCGCCTCGGGGTCTTTCTGGACCCAAGGGTTCGGATCTGCAACGCACCACGGGCATCCAAAATTCGGTGCATTGCCGGAACGCAGTACACATTTGGAAAATCAACCCTTGTCCGTCCCAACACTTCGCCCCATGCTAGTCATCAACAGGGGTGCGTTGCCCATGGGGCCCTGTCCGTAGGTCGTTGAAGCCGTCATCATCCAGCAACGATTCCACGGTGAAGGGGGGGGGGACCCTTTCGTGGCCGGCTGCGCGGCTCCTTCGATGCATCCCTCAACCAGGGTTGTTCCCCCACGGTGAACGCTCCTAAAAGACCCGCTCGCTCCGACGAGATTGGTTGGTTCTATACCGGTTACTCCTTTGTGTCCATACTATAAGCTTTGCTGCTTTCTTATATGTATGATCCAGTGACCCAGTTCCCGGACGCCGGGGCTTGCCTCCCCTCCACCCCCTCTCTCAGCTACGAACTAGCAAAAGAAAAAAATCTGTGCCCTAAGCGAAGCCACCTGAAATGGATAATGTACTAGTTAGTAGACATGCACATCATGCACATATTAGCTGTTGCGTGCAGGATTCCGTGCCGCCCCTGTCACTTTTTGTTTTTTTTTCGTACGCGAGCTACGTAGTCAGCACACACAACCCAACAGCGAATAGGCTTCGTAACCATCGTGGCTCGATTCCCGTCACTAAGGCACGCGGCACACCGGGAAATGGCCGTCGGCTTCTTCCCACCCTACCCGAGCACGCGGGACGACCGATCTGCCCTCTCAGCCCTTAGTCCTTGGTACCGGACTTGCTTAGACTGACTGGGCAACCAACCATTACGTGGGTTGGTGAGTAAGTAGGTACCTGGGTGGTAGGTTGGTAATGATAAAGTAAGGACTGAAAGAAGAGAAGGATTTGGTGATTGGTCGTGCAGGAATCGACCGCTAAGCTTCTTTCGGGTAGCTTATGGGAGACCTATGAATAGAAAAGACGCTGCTTATGCTGTCTAAGCGCACAACATTTTAGAGCGGGCGTGGTGTTTGCTAGCGAGTTGCTTTTCAGCACGAGGCTTCGCCAAATATGTCATAGGCAATACAAACAATACACACCGCTAATCCTATGGCTTTTGATAGAGAAAAAAATGAGTTAACTCCTAGTTAGGAGCAGGATATTTCCGGTACACTTGATTCTCCTAGTGGTTTTCGTTCCATTGCCAGAAGTAAATAGGGTGGGAGGTCGATCATTTACACCTTAGTAGCTTACGGATGAACGGAAGAGGAAAAGTTTTCAAGGTAGAGCTTATAGCACATGATAATGTAAGACGACGGAACACCGATTTGTTTCTTTGCAGTATCTACTATTGAAACCGGCGTAGTTAGCACCATGTCCGGTACCATACTTGTGTAGTTTTTGAAAGGGGTCCGAGAGAACTCATACATACATCCTTAGTCTGCCCGGAGCATATAACCCTAAAGATAGATATCCATGGCTTTGGGCTATGCGGGTTCGAGAAAATAGACTCTTAACCGATGTCCTGCTTTCGCTGGAAGAGAAAGTGGTCGGCGAACAACTTGGCAGCCTCAGTTACACGAGAACACGATGGTTAGATGCAGCATTCCTCGCGAGGCAGAAAAAGAGGCTTGAGATATGTGTATAGCTCACTATGATGACCAATAGTATAGACCAATCCTCAGCTTTCACGGTACCCCAAAGCGATGGCTTGTGCTCGGATACTCTGGCTGCAACCCAATGGGAGCAGGAGCAGGGGTTCTATGCCGCAGAAAACCAAAACAAAACCAACATGCTTTCGGGGATGTACCGAACTGCGTGCCCGGGAGTATCTCGCAGTTGCAAGATGTCATATTACCTGTTGCTGTGTCACTTATTATATTTTGTGATAGACCGGTTGGCGTACATCGTACGGTGCGAGACATCAAGCCACTTCTTCCAGGGCGAGTAGGATATGCAAAGGTGTGACTTTTGTGCCAACGTGCCTTATATAAGGTAGGTAGTGGCGTTCCTTTGAGATTTAGGGTGGTGAGCGTAGCCTATAGGATTGCCTCGATCCGATGCTCTTAAAACCGAGCCGTCCCGAGACGACACTTGGTCCCGATTCCAATCCCATTGTAAAATACGATGTTGCCTTGACAACTACTTGAAGTACTTTAATAAAGAAGTAGAGAAAGAATGTCGCATGGTATGTCATAGATTAATTTCGAATATATCGTATCCTATATACATAAGGTGAGGAGTGACAGGTCAAAGGACACAACATTTCAGGTACAGCAACAGATACCTAGGTACTCGTCTATTCATGTAACACAACATGGAGATGACGACAATGGGCATAGAAGTGGCCCGATCATGTAAGACATCGTGTCAGGAGAACCCTCCAGAACTACCCGTGTCTCAGTCTCTTAATTAGTTTCTCCGTGGAAAGGTACCTTAGGTAGGTTTGTAGATATTAACGCAGGCGGTCTGTGCTTTATTTCTCTTGTTTTGGAAGATGCAGCAGGGAATCTGCTGGAGCGCCCACTTCTTCCTCGTCTTTCATCCAATGACAAGAGCCAAAATTCCAATATACACGGGCCAGAATATGTGCTTCCAAGTTACCTACCCAGTTACCTAGCCGCCTAGGGAAAAAAAGGAAAAGGAAAAACACAGCCACAACTCGTAAACTAAAGGCTCATGTCCTTAGGTGTTCCAATTTCAAGATCTAGTTAATCTTCTGCTGCAGCCAGTTTAACCTTCATCAGCATCCCATCGACCGGCTTAGCAGTAATCTGTATAGTCTTTCGATTGTCAGTGTCAGAAGAATGATTGCCACTCTTGAAACTTACAGCATATAACTCCGACTTTGCTTTATAATAACCCTTATCATCCCCATTCAACACGAACTCCCCAAGGCCAACCTTGGTAAACTCATACCGTTGAGCTAGCATAGCGAGGATCACTCGCGTTTCGATGTTTGCGAGCTCCTGCCCGATACAGTTTCTCGGACCGCGCTCAAATGGTCTCCAGGCAGTTGTCGAGATATCTTCAATTTGAGGTTGAAGCCACCGCTCAGGCCTAAAATCGTCGGCCGTTTCGCCGAAGACAGTACGATCGCGGTGGATAATGGTGTGATTAAGATATACCCAATTTCCATCAAGGTTGTATTCTCCATCTGGCGTGGAAACTGTGAAACCCGTCCCAGGCTCCGACTTACGGATGGAGCCAGCCGGTGGGTGTAACCTGAGAACTTCCTTGATAACGGCGGATATGTATGTCATCCCGTGAATAATCCCTTCGCCGTTGGGAGCTAAGAGTTTCTCCCGGACGACGGTTGGATTGCGAGCGCCCCCAGGCCCGAAAAGATTGTCTAACTCAGCGTGAACCGACTTCATAGCGTGTGGTGTACGTGTAAGTTCATAAATACACCAGATGATCGTGGTACTGGTAGTATCGTGGCCCGCGAAGAGAAAAGTCTTGAGCTGGTCGCACGTCTCCTCTATGATCTCAGGGGTAAGTGATGGAATACCCTGTAGACTCAGTGCTAAAATCGATCGAGAGTTGGCGTTGTTTTTTTCGTTGATGTCATTGAAGCTACGACGGACTATAGCTTTCAACTGATGCGAGATACGCCGTCCAAGTTCACGCCGTCTCAGATGAGTTCGAGGTATCAACCACCAAGGCAGTTGAAGCTTGTCATCTGCATAAGCTAAAATTCGAATATTAGTATTTTGGTCTTCAGCACGTATTACTAATTGCATACTTTTTATTAGTTCTTTGAACATCTGAATTAGTATACCCTGATCAGCACCCTGCGCACTCATATCTTCATCCATAGCAACGGCCCCGATGATATTGAACGTAAGATTCGTCATAAACTGGTCTAGCGGGAACGTATGTCCCGTACGAACAAACTCGTCAATATGTTCCATATAAGGCGCTGCTTTGTCTAAGATAACAGGTAGAAGAGTAAGTAAATGCTGAGGGGAAAACCCTGGATTGAACCTCTTGCGCACGGCCTTCCACCTTTCATTCTGCAGATGAATTAGCATTGTAGGTAAAGGGGTAAATGTCTTACCTGTCTTAATAGAATGGAATTGGGTCCAATTAAGTTCACGATGCGTTCTACTGACGGAGATTTTGGTGCACTATATTGAAACGTTGTGAAGGCTTTGACAGCTGCTCGGCGACTTGGTGGCTAGCAACTATGACCATTGGGGGTACAATAGGCCAGTTATCAAGTAACATAACTGGTGGCTGCCCTAAGGCACGGTACATATCGGCGAAGATGGCGTCTATTTTCGAATTAGTTGAAGCAAAATAATTACCAGTACATACTGATTCTTACCTGGGTGGCGGTCTGTGATGCCTCTTTTGGTGAAGTCATCGAATGCCATAAGATGTCCCCAAAGAAGGGATGAAGAGAGTTGAGGGAGATGGGCATTTTGCTTAAATCGTTTATAGTAAAGCTTGCCGTAAAGATACACCACTGTAACGAGTAGCGATGCTATCGCGAGCGCCTTAGTAGGAGCTGTATCCACTGACAACATTTCCATCATCTATTTGAAAACACGGAAACCTTCGATTCAATGAGAAGGGAGATGGGAACGAAGCGGGCATATCGGAGTAGACAGATGGTGAATCGATGCATCCCTTGTTGGTTCCTAGCATTAGAGGCCAACATATTTGGCGCTGTGTAACTACGGGCGTAAATAGATACAAAGACAACCCCGACTTGGGTACGATGTTATGTGACTTTGATTAGTAATGAATGATTTGCTACAGGTTTTGTATATATTGTAGAGTTAATTGGTGATCTAGACAAAGACCTCGATGTCCGACGATGAAAATATTCGCTGCCTCGGCGCTTGGTTATTTTTATGATGTAGGTGGGTGGTTACAATATGTGGTTGTGAATATACCTAGGTACGTAGATAGATAACTTGGTGGTTGGTAGTTGCATCGTCTGAGTAATTGTATAAGTATAATAAATCATGGTATATAATTGTATACATTGACATAAGAACGTCTCCGTTTTACCTAGAGTTGAAAGTTAAAATATGTATGTTCCAAGTCATGTACGATGGAATTGAGTGTCGGCTGCATGTACGTATAATGTTAACCTTAATTCATAAATGCTATGAAGTCATATTCCAGGCACAGGGTCCAATCAGAGCTTAGAGTTTGCGCCAAAAAGCTACTAGTCTCGTGCCAGCCGACGGAGTAGGGGCTGAAACGCACTATCGATTAGGTACCTATCGTGATTATCTACCTAGATAGGGGGCTCGCTCTTGCATTCTTCAACTCGAACTCCAACAAGGAACAGGTTTCCTATTTTGCTATTTTAAAAACAATAATTCGATTCCTTTTTACCTCTTGTTATTCCTCTCTCCTACAGACCTACACCTCTACACTAGACTGCAAATTACCCACTGCGACGCACGATACGATGGCGGACTCCAAGGGAACATCCTACTCGACTGACCCCGCGCTGTACATCTACACTTCCCTTACGGCCGGATCCTCACACATCGTGACCGCTACATCTCGACTAGAGACTATCTTACGAGCTAATAAGGTACCATTCAAAGCTCTAGATATAGCTACGGATGAGAAGGCACGTATGTTATGGGGCCGAAGAGCGGGCAAGGATGAGTCTGGTCGGGTACGCAAGCTGCCGGGGTTGGTGCAGATGGGCATGGTTCTTGGTGTAAGTCTATTAACTCGCAACGACTAAGGGCTTTGCGATTTTAGGGAAACTAACAAGCATGGATATAGGATTTAGTAGAAATCGAAGAGTGGAACGAGTACGGCGAATTGAAACAACACGTGAAAATCTACTACGACGACTTCACCATCCCGAACAAGAGCCAAGCGCCTCCACCCCCCGCACCAAAACCCGTCGCGAAGCCTGCTGTTACATTGGCTTCTACATCTGCTGCTGGCACTTCTGCGCCACCGCCGCCTGTTGCTCCTCCATTACCTACGACCGACAAGTCGAAAGCAGCAACCACTACAACGACGAAGAAACCTACCACAGCTTCTACGGCTGCGAGCGACGATAAGCCCGTGCGCAGCATCGCCGAGGAAGCGGCTGCGAGGGCGAAACAAGTCCACCTAGAAAGCCTGCGAGCTAAGGTCTACGGGAAGAAGGGCAAGGACGAGAAAGATGAGAAAGACAGCAAGGAAAGCAAAGATGATAAGGATAAGGATAAGGATGTCAAGGATGTCAAGGATAGTAAAGACACCAAGGAAGGTAAAGAGAAGGACACCAAAGACGTAAAGGACGTTAAGGATGTTAAGGATGTTAAGGACGCCAAAGATACCAAGGAGACCAAGGAAAGCAAGACTAGCAGGGAGAGCAAGCCAGAGTCTAGCAGTTCTAAGGACAAGAAGGCTACCACCACTAAACCTGCTTCTACTTCCACCAAGACTGCTTCCAAAGCTGCGTCTACTTCCACTCCAAGCAAGTCGAAGTCCACGTCGAAGCCTACCTCTACATCAACATCCACACCCAAAGCCAAAACCAAAGACGTCAAGTCAACGGTTTCCAGCAGCTCCAAGACCAAGAAAGTCGCCGCAACCATAAAGTCCACCGCTTCCGCCGCGACCTCGTCGTCTAAATCGAAGGTGAAGTCTACTACCAAGCCTTCATCTACATCCAAGTCCTCATCCACGACTAAATCTACCTCGACCTCAAAGACCAAATCCAAGGAGACGCCCTCCGCCGACGCAGCTGCGAAGAAGCTAGGCGACCTATCGCTATCGGAATCCGCGAAAACACCTACCAAGAAAGCTACCACGGCTAAAGCGGCCGGCGAAGCCGGTCTCCAATCCCCAACCTCGGGGACATGGCGCGGCAACGTGTCCTCCGAAGAGGCTCTACGCCCCGTACTCCAAAGCCCGACAAGCAGCGCGTGGAAGGCAGGCGATGGAAGTAAGAGCATAGATGAAGTGGCATCGGAGGAGTTCCGTGGCGCGCCCGTCGAGGACGCAACCCCCGAAGAGATCGCTGCGATCGAGAAGGCTGAAGTGATTCCCGAAGCGACTAGTTCCGAGGAGGAGGATAGTGAGGATGAGGAAGATTCTGAGGAAGAAGATGAAGACGAAGACGACGACGATGAGGAAGAAGAGGACGATGATGACGATGACGAGGAAGAGTCCGAAGAGAAGCAGGCTAAGGATAAGAAGAAACGAGCGGTCTAGTTGCTATTTAGTAGGACCTGAGTACATTGGTCTAGACTTGCATTAATTGAGGGGTGCATGGATGCGTTTGCGTATAAGGGGGGTGCGAGATACCAAGTTTGAGAAGAGCAAAGTGTGGAAGAGAGGACAGGTTTAAGGGGAACCATTGGTTTAGGTATTCACAACTCATTAGAAACTAATAGTTCTCTGGCGAGATGATTCCTCTCCATATTAATAGTATATACCATATACCATATCTACTTGCCTCATCATATTTCTCCCCTATACATCAAACTGGTAAGAACGGAACGCTCCCATCCAACTTTTTTTACTCGACCAACATGATTCAATGCGAATTCATATCATTATATCCCGGCTTGGTTTAATATAATCCATCATCATCACTCGCGGTCCCATCCTGGAACCTGGCAACCGCCTTGCCCTTCCCCTTGGACCTCCCATTTACACTTCCCCCGTAGCTTCCGTAGGCAGCCTCTTCATCCTCGTCTGTGCCATCGTCGCTGGCGGTAGCGGCGGCTTTTCCTTTTCCCTTCCCATTACCGAGAGTTACCACGGCTTTACCCTTGCTTTTGCTCCCCGATACTGACCTAGGCGCCGGTCCATCAAACATAAATTTAGGCGTTTCAATATCCTCCGGTTGCTGTTGCTGCTGTTGCTGCTGTTTACTGTCTTGATTCTCAAATGTTGTCCTAACTTTCTCGTAATGAGCGAGTTCACCGGCGCTAACACTAGGAATGAGTTCCCTATTTGCATCGAGGAAATCCTGTTCAGTAACGGTGACAGCGACGTCATCGGGAGAAGCATGGTGATCGAAGAAATTGGCGGTGGATATGAGGGGTTGGCCAGCCTGTTCACGATCCGCATTGATGGCGCGGATCTTGGCGTCCGCTAGAGAAGCCTGTCGTGTAACCGCCTTCAACATGGCATCGCTACACAGCGCATAGAAATCGGCACCGGTATATGTAAAGGGTAGGTGCTCTGCGACAGTAGTCAGGGAGACAGATGGGTGGAGTGTGAATCTATTGCGTCACAGGTTAGTTTATAACACGACATGCAGGGGAATTAGAGGGTAAAAATATGAATAAAACACATACTTTCTTGTTAGAGCTTCCATGATCTTGAGTTGCTTATCGTGCGTGTCGGATACACCCAGGTAGAGCATCTTGTCGAATCTACCAGGACGTAACAATGCTTGATCAAGCAAATCCGGTCGGTTTGTCGCGCCAATGACGAACACACCACCACCTCCATCATCCCCGCCGGACATACCGTCTAATTCTGCGAGAAGTTGTGAGACGATTCGGTCCATTACGCCACCACTATCGCCCTGATTTCCTCGCTTCGGAGCCACTGAATCCAACTCATCAAAGAAGACAACACAAGGCCTCGCATCTCGAGCTCGTTGGAAAACTCTGCGAACATTGGCCTCGGACTCTCCGATATACATGTTGAGCAATTCGGGACCCTTGACACTGAAGAAATTCAGACTGTACTCTGTAGCAATAGCCTTGGCCAGTAGTGTCTTTCCAGTACCAGGAGGTCCATAAAACAAGATGCCGGAGCGCTTCTTCATTCCCTTGGCGAATAACTCCGGCCTCTCTAGGGGCAATTGAATCGTTTCCATAACTGCCTCCTTCACATTGTTGAGACCTCCGACATCGTCCCAGGTAACATTAGGAATCTTGGGTGCTCCGATAGCATCTGCGAAGTTCTTCCGTGCTGCGTCCACGGCGATATCGAAATCAGCCTTGGTCAAACACCTTGCAGATGAGCCTCCCGCCACTTGTATGTCACGGACGGTAACCACTGAATTATCGCTCGAAGCCTTTGTTGATAATACTTCAAGGCGTGAATCACGTGCAACTATCGCGCGCTCAACCACGTCCACCAAATCGCCAGCAACCAAGGCCGCAGTTTTGATAGCCACACCACTTAGTTCAACTTCAGGCGCTAAAGACACCCCTTGGTTCTGTATTATAGACCTTAAAATGCCTTCACGTTCACCCTCATCAGGAGCACTCATTTCAAGTTCGTGAGTGAAAAGGCCCCTAATGCCGTCTGGCACCTTGTCGACTTCAGTTGTTGTCGCGATCAATACTCTAGCGTCGCTGAGTATTTCTTTCATAGCAGATACCATTCTATCTGCCGTGAGCGCTTCAATGTGTCGGACGAGAAGAGCACAACATTCGGAACCACAACTCATGGCACGGTCCGCTCGGGCTTTTAAGAATCCTTCTGTTTTGACGTCACTCCCTCCAGCCCCGCTCTCGTTAACAATGTCATAAGCGTCGATGGTGAACGTGTGAAGGCCAATGTCTGCACAGGCACCGGCAGCAATGGTAGCCTTACCAATGTTACGCTGGGTTGACACTAATAGAACTGCAATCGGGGGCATCTTCAGATGAACAGCCCGTTTACTCGTAGCGGCCGCTATTAATTCCCTTAGTCGTCTTCGCAGAGGCGGTGTAAACCTTGCTTGTTGCTGGACTACTGAAGAGAGGGGATTAGATGTTGGCTGAGGAGCTTCTTCGACGCCCAAGTAGAATGGCCAGTTGCTGTCCTTTGTGCCTGGGACAGTGCTAGTAGTACCGCCAGATTGAGCAATCTGAGTAGAAGAACTATCAACACAAGCCACCCCACCCCAAATATCTTCTTCGTCTTCGTCGGTTGGCTCAGATTTCTGACGTTCTATATGAGCAATCTTGAACCAAGCAACGCCGTCGGGTTTCGACGTAGCGCCAATGCCAGGCCTATTTGAAGTTGCAAGGGCTACTATATCGTCAATTCCAACGCCATCACCAGAACTAGTTGATTCTTGAAGGGTTCGTCCAAGTTGCGTGTCGATGGGTATTCCGACGATGTCGCCAGACTTAACAACACGTATACTGCGTGAGAAGTGGTCCTTCAAGCCACCAAATATGGCGGTCTGGAGAGCTTTCTCGGAAGAGACGGGCGTCCGTATTTGCTGGAGGGTGACATCTCGAGCATATGGAGGACGGGAAGATCCAGTAATCTTTGGCTGACCTGGCCTTGGTGGTTGCGCCATTCTTTTTAGTGGCGATAAACGAACATAAGGCGCGCTGTCTAAGTTTGCGAGGAGAATAGGAGACATGTATGCGCCAGGGCCGGCCTGCTTTTGGATCTGAGATTCAAAAAATGACGGCCGTCGATTGATGTGATCATGTTTCGCACTTGGAATTCTAGTCATGGGTCGGTGGGAATAGCCCTCAGGAAGCCCATAGACCTTGGCTGGCCGCCATACCGGCTCTTCCATCCCGGGTTGGCCGAGGCTACCTAGACCGAAGAGGCCAATGCCGTTCGTTGGGGGTTCTTCCGAGGCCTCAAGTCGGACCCAATCTCCGGAAAAACATCCTATTCTAGTCAAAGAGTTAATGTCCACGTATACCCGTAATTCTGCGTCGTCTTCGGCCGTCGGCTTAGGATGAAGTAGTTCCTTTGGTATTGCGTTCATCAAGCCATGAGCTTTGAAAAGGCGGCCCTTAGGACGATCCGGACGGGCAGTAGTAGCAGTGAAGCTAGAGAAGACTGAAGTAGGAGTATGAATGCCATTTGTTTTCCTTCCCCGCCCAATTGTCATTGTCATTGGTGTTCCCGGTTCCATGGTAGAGATGCCACTAGCATTTGTCGTTGGTAACGTCGGGGCTTGAAGAGAAATGATCTCGTCCATTGAATCATCCGAGAGCTCGTCTTCGTTTTCAGGTTCTGAGGCCTCTGTCTCGGTCTCTGTAGCGAACTCTGACGTATCATTTTGCGTATCTGGTTTGGCACGTTCCTCGGCGGCAGAGTAAAATTGGTCGGTCGCGGTGTCGTCATCTTCTTGTTCAACGTTGTTTAGAGCCTGTGGTGACGTGATAGAGGCTCTGGCCGGCTTCGACTGCCCGTGACCTCTCGTTAATATAATTTTCGTAGTTGGTGCTAGAACACCTTGTGCCACTGGCTCACATAGTGTTACTTTGCCTGGTGTAGGAGGAACATGTGTGATAGGATGAGGTGGTAACGGAAGAGGGAAGAGATCTCCGTTGTGAACAACCTTCAAGGTTCCCAAAGCAATACGTAGCGCAGCGGCTAGCTGATCCGTCGGAGTCTCACGCCCTGCAGAGGCTTTCTTCTTGCCAGATGGATGATCGGTGAAGAAAGTTCCCTCCCCATTTTCAAGTCGTTTCACGAGTTCGCTCTCGAGGTTTACGAAGACGGTATCCAGAGGGAGGGCTGCCACATCCAACACCAGTATTTCAATACCACTTCTACTATGACTAGAAAGCTTAGAGGGTGCAAGCTGCTGCAGCGTCGTCGCAAAACTTTGCAAAGCTAGAGACGAAGGAGAGAACTGGACGGTGGAGTGGGCAAGGGCGGTGGATTTGGCGACGGGAACTATGGTCCAATTCGTTCGGTGAGGACTCGAAGACGGTGTCCACGGGGCAATAGCAACGTGATAGATGTCGGGAATTTGGCTGGTTTCACTATCGCTAGTATCTGCACCACGTTTGATTTTGGATTAGATCGGAACATAGTGGTATGTAGAGAAGAAATTATATGCTCTCAGTCAAGACACTTACCATCTTGTAAGTGAGGAAACAAATCAGCGAATAGATCATCGGATAAAATGCCAATATCTCCTTTCACATGATTGTCCAAGACCAATCTTGCTGAAATAGCAGGCTTGTCTTGTCTTCTCCGCCTTCGTTTTCGGTGTGCAGCAGGGTCGCGAGTTGGGGCAGCCATGATCGCGACGTATGGTTTTCAGATGTCTAGGAGCGGCGCGCCGTGACGGGAATCATTAGGCAGATCAAGGCCCCGCAAATCGCGAGACGCCGCACATAAGGGGGATCAATGTCAGGACAACGGCGTTGAGTAGAGACGAATGAGTGAAACAAAAATTAAAAATTTAGGCAATTGGGCTATCCCGCCTACTTGGCAATTCTCCAGAAAGAATAAGTGAAAACCCAACTCGGTGTAAGTTGTCACGTCGTGGGTTCTTCTTTCCTTCCCGAGTCCACCCCAAAGTTCGGCTCTGCAGCAGCATTTCCAATTTCCAATTATTTTTGGCCTCGGTATTACCAGGATAGTTGTTAGCCTTTTAGAGAAGCATAAGCATGGGCCAATTGGGTTTGGCTCAAAACAAACGTTCTTGGCATTCAAGTTGGCAGTTGACTATTTTTTCCTTATCGATAACACTATTGTATCTTGGCTCGCCCAAGAATGGTCGCTCATGGGGATACCTATCAAAACAAGAGGTACCACCATCCGGATAGTTGGTAACGAATCATTGTGTGTATGATCCTATACTTAGTGGTAAAATACGTGCACACATATAAGAGTAATACAAGACATACATGTGATATTGTACTAACTTATGTCTTCGGGAAGAAGCCGAAGAGGTATAATAAGGTTGAGTTGTCTTAGTTACGCAAATGGAAAAGTAAATCCAATATACTCAACTCTCACTATAAGTGGTCGTAGATTTAAATTTCCACCCCACGTGAATGGGATGAGGCAGGCTGCGTTAGATCAGACGAACCCACTGAGACCTTCCCAAATAGATGAACATCCACGAGTTAATGCAGGTGCGGTCTATGTCGTCCGTTCCTTCTGTCAATGACAAATAAAATAGCTTTATGGAGAACAGCCCATTTTTACGTGCCGGAAGCCGTATACATATGTACCTAACAAATCCCGTCTTTCCTTCAACATCGGCCTATCCGCTACTTCAACCGATTCATGTGGCGGAAGGTCATTTATGTTTAGTGACTGCGGAACACCTCCTGACTAGTATTAGAGTCACCACAGAATCGGTACCCTCTATCATCATTGTATTCACATGTTTCTATTACCAAACTTATACAAATACTATTTAGAAGCGCAATGGCTGTTCCTGACTCTCTTCAATTACTATCTGTTTGTTTGTTTTTTTCTTTCAGTTCGCTATATATCCATGTAAATGGTTAGGCGGTTCAGGGCAAGACTAAGATCTGCACTCTGACGTAGTATTTGGATCTCCGAGATGTACCTTGGCAAGATTCCGACCCCCCCTTTCATCCCTGTAATAGGGGATCGCCTTCCACTTTAATCAATTTATTATCAAGGTCCTTTGATCCTCAAGTCTTTCGCCGATTTACACTAGTCACACACCAACTCTCTACCTTGATACATCCTCATTTCGTCGGCGGCTGAACTGCATTGGAATCCAAACCGGTTCCGGCGCTTGATCTTCCCGTACGGAGGCCATGACGCGGCTTTGCCTTGCTGACATACAGGATTACCAGATTACTAGATGACTAAATCGCTAGAGTCGTTCTGCATCTAGCGGCGTACTTTTCGCCTAACACAATATTATAATATTGTCTTTCTTTTAACTCTCATTATACAAGCCACTATTTTTCCGAGTTGTCTCTTTGTCTAAAGCCAAGAAAAAGACTTCGTACAACTCTTCGAACCCAGATGAACGTAATTCTAATACTGAGTTAATTCGTCGCTATGGGCTTTGAAACTGACCATCGCCAGACTGGATTGCAACCATCCAGCGCCGCTACTGTTCATACTGCTGTTGAATTCGCTCAACAGGCGGAGAAACTATCACTCCAGACAACTGAGAATAATGAACACCCGGAGTCCGTTGCCGTCGAAGCTCAATTCGTAACGCCACAAGATCCTGTCATCGTTACTGCCGACGGAAACCGGTTGCCTACTGTACCACTCGAACAAGCATACAGATTAAACATACTAAAAGAGGAATTGAGTGGGGGTCTGTCTAAAGAGGGCCAAGGTCGAGTCGAGGACAATTTCATTGCATCGCCAAGTGCCATCGCTAGCAATGTCTCAGCTTTTCGTGCTCACGACAATGCGACAACAAAATCTTCCGAGGGGTCGCTGAGGCGGTCGATGCCTCCCACCAATACACATCCACTTTTCCCTCCTCTCCCACTATACGGCCCGCCGTCTATATTTCGAGACATACAATGCTGGACTTTTCGTGTCACTTCGTTTTTTCTGAGCGCCGCCTTTTTGGGCGTAATTGTCCTCGGCGCCTTATTTACAAACATACCTAAGGTGTGTAACAAAGCGTGGCAACTTATTAGACTCCAAAACCCCGACGTTCGAAGACCTTTCTACGAAGAAGAAATCCGAAGGCGAAATATGCGAAAAGAACAAGACAAATCTTGGAAGAGAGAAAAGTCTCAGGGGCGAAGTACTCCAGATCAGGAGAACGCTCAAGGAGATGAAGGCTATATCCCGACCGAGGGTGGACCGGATCCCGTCATTTGCGATGTCGGGTATTATGCGCGGAGGGTTGGCCTAGATATTGAAGAATTTCATGTGCAGACCGAAGACGGATTTATCATTGACCTATGGCATGTTTACGACCCCCGAGATTACACCAGGTTGAATGACGAGGAACGCACCTATCGGGGACCGGAGTTATTCACGGGAGATAATAGGAAAAGGTTAAGAGACTCGAGCCAGAAGCGCAAATTCCCAGTGCTCTTAATGCATGGTTTACTTCAAAGTTCAGGGGCTTATTGTGTCAACGATGACGACTCATTGGCCTTCTACCTGTGTAAATCGGGTTATGATGTATGGCTAGGAAATAATCGGTGTGGTTTCCATCCGAAACACGCCTTGTTAGATTATTCGGATCCTCGCATGTGGTGTTGGAATATCCGGCAAATGGGCGTATTCGATTTATCGGCATTAGTCTCACGAGTTTTATTCGAGACTGGATTCGAGAAAATTGGCTTGATATGCCATTCCCAGGGCACGACACAAACATTTGTGGCTCTCGCCAAGGAGCAACGCCCCGAGTTAGGGGAGAAAATAACCGTGTTCTGCGCACTTGCGCCAGCGGCTTATGCGGGTCCATTGATCGGCAAGATGTATTTCAAATTCATGCGCGTAATATCACCCGGTCTCTTCCGAATCATGTTCGGTATACATGCGTTCATACCCCTAATGATGACCATGCATTCGATATTGCCACCCGGTATCTATGGGTGGCTTGGTTATACTGTGTTTTCATTTCTATTCGACTGGACGGACACTCGTTGGGATCGCGGGCTGAGAGACCGTATGTTCCAATTTGCACCGGTGTATGTGAGTGCCGAGTCAATGCGTTGGTGGCTGGGTCGCGAATGTTTTGCGAAACACAAATGCATTCTCTCGACGAAAGAGGAGTGGCGTAGCGAAGAACAGGAGGATGGAACCGATGGCCCTCTGGCAGAAACAGCTAGCCAGCGCAGAAGTGTTGCTTTGGCAAACCAAAACAGAGACCACCACAAGACACCGAAGGGCGCGACAGCCTGGTATAATGAGCAGGTCTGTCCATTCGCATTGTGGATAGCCGGAAATGATGACCTTGTAGATGGAAGGAAATTGCTGCACCGATTCGAAAGAGGAAGAGAACCGCACGTCAAGGTCGTCCACAGCAAGGTTTTGCCTGATTACGAACACTTAGACGTTATTTGGGCTATGGATGCTGTAGACGAAATATTTCAGGAAGTTCGAGAGGTTCTGTGGAAGACGTGTAACGTCCGAGAGAAGTGCAGAATACCGAAAGGGTGCGAGAACGTTGCACCATGGATACCGGAAGAAATCGGCGCGAACAAGGAGGATGCTGAACAATCGAGCAGCGATTCAGCATAATCCTTCTTAGAACATGATACCCCTTTTTGGTTTTCTACGTTTGCTACGTTTGCTGTATATGAATAAACGACGGGATGAGACTATTCGAAGACATCATAGCCAACGGAATATAATACGCCGTATATACATAAAGCATGATAAATATCTAGTCTATAGTACATAATCTGACAGAACATTTTAGACGAATCCCCCGTGGAATCTTATAGCCCACATACGCCCACAATATAGCATGATCATATTCGTTGTACAACCAGAAGAGCTGAATCTCGGATGTTATCCTACCCGATCGGATCTAGATGATACAAGCTTTGGTGCTTATTTTTGGTCAGATCTACCTAAGCGATAGGTCATACTCATATGATCACAGTAAGAACTAAATCTCAATTGAAGCACACACGTGTCTAGATAGATCTCGACATTTGACATCAAGATCGAGGCTGTATTAACATTAAATTCAGGGTACTTGCCCAAGTAATATAAATTGAGTCGACTTCTCGGGTACCTCCAATTCTCTCCAAGATTTCCCCGCAGTGAGCATATGCGAGGCTTATATTCTCCGGGTTAGGGTTAGTTTCTTAACATCATTCCTCATGTGGGAATATGTTTAGACGCCCGGAGATCCCGTGAGTAAATACCGGACCAACTCCCTTCTTTGTTTAAATTCCTCAAAACAATTGGCTTGATACGATGCTCCACCAAATTCAACCATGGACCCAATTCGGTAAAATGCAATCGAATGTGGGACAAATGACCGAGTCTGCAACTCTGATTAGTGATAAAAATCCTGTATGATAATATAGCAGTCGGAGAAACGAGCGACTTCCAAGTCCTGGAGCCTCACTGAAAATGGACGGGAATGAGCAAGGGGTAATATCACATAAGTGACTCCACTCCGATACCCATGTAACATCTATGGGCCTCACCTCGGGGTACGTGAGTGGAGTCGAAGCTCTATGAAGGAAGGTGGAGGATTCCCCACGGCTTCTTAGTTCCTATGCTGGATGTGAACAACCTCGGAACTTCTTACCGCGGAAAGTACTAGCTTCGTTGTTTCACCTTCGTCTTCATTTTCATTTTCATTTCCTTTAACTTTAACTTTAACTTTAACTTTGGCTTCAACGTGCCTTCTTGTTGTTATACCTACGTGAACTAGACGCCTACTTCCGATATTTAGACTTTAGTTGTTGCTTACTGTGCCAGAAATCTTTGCTTAGCTGACTGCTAGAGTTGATAACTAATCGTCATCATCATGGGTGTACTCAACTCTTTTCATACACCGTTACAAATACCAAATGTCGATCTATGGCAACTAGTATTCGAAAGAAAAGATAGACAATTCCCGGAAGACAAGGGTAAACTTATTCCATCTTCTAAGCTATAATTCGTACGAATATACTAGAAAAGATAAATCTGACAGTCCAATAGAGATATACACCGACCCGGATACAAAGCGTTCATATACGTTGGCCCAAGCTAAAACCACAGCTCTCGAATTCGGCAAAGGTCTCAAATCACAATGGGGGTTTAAAAGAGGCGATGCTCTTGGTTTCTTCTCTCCCAATAGCATTGATTATGCCCCAGTGTTCTTCGGCGTGTTATGGGCTGGCGGCGCTTGCTCAACCGCTAACCCGACCTACACGGCCAAAGAATTAGCGTTCCAAATGAAAGATTCCAAAGTCTCTGGAATCGTGACACAAATTCCTATGCTACCGACAGTTCTTGAAGCTGCGAAATCCATTGGGTTACCTGAGGACCGTATCATTCTGCTCGGTGACGCAAAGGATCCGACGGGTAAGTTCAAGCACTTCACCGAGATTCGAGCTTCGAGTATTTTGGGTATTCCCAAGCTTCGCCCGAGACTTGACCCGAAAAAGGATACTTCTTTCCTCGTTTACAGCTCGGGGACCACAGGGCTCCCAAAGGGTGTCCAGCTCACTCACCACAACATTGTTGCCAATCTTATTCAAATAGCCCATGTTGAGTCCTTGAATGGTCTGTACCATTCAGGTGGACCCGACGGGAATGGTGATAAGCAGATTGCAGTGCTACCATTCTTTCATGTATACGTAAGTAATTCTTGGTTACACACATAACCGTTATATCCGCCCAACAATTTAAGAAATTGACAATATAAAAGGGTCTCACATGCATTGCGCTACAAAGCGCATTTATGGGCATCCAAGCTGTTATGCTTCCCAAGTTCGAACTCGAAAAGTTTTGTAAGGTGATACAGGACTACGGTGTGACGTATGCTTCCATCCCACCACCTGTCGTACTCGCACTGGCCAAGCACCCTGCCGTTGGTAAGTACGACTTGTCGAGTGTTAAGTGGTTGGGTTCGGGTGCGGCACCGCTAGGTCGTGAGCTCGTCGAGCAAGTGTGGGATCGCCTGACCATCCCCGTGGTGCAAGGATACGGACTTTCGGAGACGTCACCTGCTGTAACTAAGACCAACATTGTTGATTGGAAGCGATTTAATGGTTCTTGCGGCAAGCTGCTTCCTAATGTTGAGGCTAAAATTGTTGATGTGGACACTGGTGCTGAGCGCGGCTTAGGCGAAGGTGAGGGTGAACTCTGGTTCCGCGGTCCGAATATTTTCCCCGGGTATCTCAATCGCCCCGAGCTTCAAGACAGCACTTTCAGCAAAGATGGCTTCTTCAAGACCGGTGATATCGGTTATGCTGATGCCAAGGGTAACTTCTACATCACGGATCGATTAAAGGAGTTGATCAAGTATAGTAAGTTCCTCCTCACCATGTACCACTCATTCAACAATTTTGTGTTCCCTTTAGCGAGGGCAAATGAGACCATATGAATGATTGCTAACACCCTACTAAAGAGGGCTTCCAAGTCGCCCCCGCCGAGCTCGAGGCTATTCTCCTAGGCCACAATGAAATAACAGACGCTTGTGTGGTACCAGCACATGACCGTGAGCGTGAAACTGAGGTGCCGCGTGCTTATGTGGTTCTGCGACCCGATGTACCGCGTAATGATGAGAAGGCTGCCGAGATCATCAAGTTCATTGAGGACCGCGTAGCCCAGCACAAGCGTCTTCGAGGTGGCGTCCGTTTCGTCGATGAGGTGCCTAAGAATGCTAGCGGTAAGCTGTTACGAAGAGTCCTGAAGGAGGCCGCCAAGAAGGAAGACCAGCGTGCTGAAGGGCCTAAGTTATAGTAAATGATACTGGGAGATTTATGGAAAGCGTGGATATAAGGTAGAAGAAATTTGTAAAGCTGAGCGTAAGATTTGTCTTTGTATTTGTGGGAATACCTGAGTATTTATACAAATATTTATACATCTAAATGGCCTCATTCTACTCTACCCGTGAGTTGAGATAGCCATTGAATCGGCTTTAAACCCGTGGACATACCATCAAACACCGGTGTATAGGCCGCTGTTGGGCATGCAGTTTTGTAGTAGATCCGGCTTCGAATCCATCCCCTTGAGGCTTGGGGTATCCCGCCGTCTAGATTTTCATGTCTCATGTATCATCCATCCATCATTCTTAACCCAACTTCTCACTCTCCTCCAAGAGTTTCTCGACACTAAACTTCCCGTCGCCCCGTCCAAACTCTTCTAACAACCTCCTCTTACCCGCATCAACATCTGACCCTCCCGCCCCTTCACCACCGTAAAACCGTTGTAACAGCATAACAAGCCATCTAGCATCCTGCACACTAGCCCCGCGCCCTTCAACCACACTCCCGGCCATAAGCACCACGCCGGGCTTCTCCGCCAACCCCCCGTCCCAGTAATGCGTCACACTGGTATGCGGTTGCGCCCACTCACCCCGTGCCTTATACTCAGCTAACTGCGTAAACAGCACAGTAGACGTCTGCGATTCAGCATCGAAGACCCATTGTAAGAAATGAATCTCGGCTCCGCCGTTACCCTCGGAATCGTGGCGGGGCACTGGTAGGACGAAGGAGGGGTGGCAACGCGCGGTTGTTTCTAGGGTTTGGTAGGTTGAGGAGGGAATCACGGCGCAGAGGGATAAGGGGGAGGATGCGTGTCGGAGGCGCCAGATGGCGGAGAGTTCTTTTTCGGGGAGCGCGCGGGCTTTGGGGAGGTCGAGGATTTCGGAGAGGGGTTTTATGGTTGATGTTGTTTTGCCGGGGCCGATGGTTGATGAGGGAGTCTGCGGTTGTGGAGGGGGTGGTGGTGGTTGGGATAGTCCGTCTTGAGTTGTCGGTGTTGAACTTGCTACTGTTGATTGTGGTGGTGGTACAGGCTCGTCAGAAAGCAAGGCGTCTAACCCAGGTGCCGAAGCACTGTCTTTTTTCTTGAGCTCTTGTATGCGGTCCCGGTATGCTTCCTTCAACTCGCCGATATCCCGATGTCCTTCCTCGCGTGCTTTGCGGTCGAGCTTGTCGCGGTAATTCTCGATTACGCTGCGGGAGGCCTGTGTCGTAGCTAGGAATCGCACATCGTGGACCTGAGCCCAGCGACGCTGTTGATTCGGTGGGCGGAAGAGTGAGGGGGTTTGCCGTCGTCCTAGAAGGCTGCGCAAGGCCGGGATACGGGCCGTCGCCATTGCGGGGTAAGATGGGATGAAAGGATGAATAGGCGATGGTGTTCCTATCCTAATTGGAGGTATGGTAAGAAAAGGATTAAAAGGGAAAGTTTCTTTGAGACGTAAGGTTTGGAGTAACTTTTTAGAAGCTGCAGATCGTCATGGCTTAGTTAGTACCGTCCACTGCAGGTGCCGGGCGAAAAAAAACGTGGGGCACTAAAATGGCAAGCGTCGGCCCTACCTGTACGCATGGCAGTGGGGACATTCCATTACGTCTATATGAAGGGGTTGCTAAAGAATGGTAACCTATTAGAAGACGGTGATTCCAAACCGATCATCCCATTTCAAGGAATTTAACATTTATTCCAATGCCTATTCTCACTTCATTCCTTCCATCCAAAACAACTACATAACTGTAACACGATATATCATAGAACAGAATTGAGTCTGATTTGATTTACACAACTATAGTCATCCATCGACACCTTCCGACAACTAGGCTAATGGAAACAATATAATGATAATCTAATTTATCCCGCTTTCTTCGCAGGTATCATGCTATCCCTCAGACCCTCGTTTACTTCTGATAACCAGCGATATGGGTCGCTTCTAGGTCTTTATCTTTCCTCTCTATCGTCATTCTAACGAGTCTTCCTCCTTTATCTAAAATGGTATCACATTCATTACATTACGTTTAAGCATTGACGGGTTTGAAGGTGATCTTCTCGGCGTCCTGCTTGAAAGGAACACCGAGTTCGAACAACTTGGTAACGACGGCGGCGAAGTCCTTGAAGAAGAGGTCGTTGTCCTTGGCGTACTTCTCCACCCAAGACTTAAATGCCTTGTCCTGGATGAGGGCGTAGTCGGCGGGCAGCATCATGAGGGACTTAGTCTTAGCGTCCTCGTACTGCTTAGGGCCGTCCCACTTGCGGAACTGCCACTTCTCATCCAAAAGCAGACGGTAGTAGTCGTTGGTTAGAACAGTGGGAGAGAAAGTCCACGGGCCGTCGAATCCACTTCGGTCTGTGTGGCATCGACCGAGAGCGTGGGCGCCAGCAAGGGCAACGATCTCTTGGTCGTTGAAGCCCATGCGGTAGAAGATGGAACGCAGGTGGTCCTGGGTCTTAGCACCATCGGGAAGACGTCCGTCAGGAGTGCAGGCCGCAGCATCTCGGTCCTCACGACCAGGTCGGAAGGGGACGATAGGACCTTGCATCTCCTGGACGGCGGCGACACCACCAATGATCCAGAGATCGGAGTAGCTGAGCCAGGGAAACTTGGCTATTGGCGGCTGTTAGTCTTTGTGTGCCCCGTTATTACGCAATGGCTAGACCTTGCCACTTTGCCATCTGACTCATGGCAAAAAATTAGACGTACCTTTGACAGGCTCAAGGAAGTCCCGAGCGTGCTTCAAGCCAGCATTCGCACCGTGGTCGCCCTCGGGGGAGAATCGCATGGTGGCACCATTGCTACCGCCGGTACCGGTAGCAGCATCGTAGGTACCACTGGCGTGCCACGCCAAACGGAGGAGGACAGGGCCGTAGCTACCATCGTCATAGTCGTCGTGCTCCTCGAGGCGCTTGGCGATCTCGTTGTACACCTTTTGGTAGTCTTCCTTGGTGGGCTTAAAGGTCTTGACACCAGCCGAACCACCTTGTGTGTAGAAGTAGTAACCAGCACCACCAGCGACGGCAGCACCCGCCAAGTAAAGTAGGGTCGACGAGCTCGAAGCTTTAGTGGGCTCGGAGGAGTAAAAGCGACGACCATTTTGTCGGAATGCTTGTCGGGAAGAGGTCGAGAATGTGCTTCTGGCGGTGGTGCGCAGAGCCGCACGGGCGAATTGGCGTGATACCGTCGAGGCAGACATCTATATCAAGATATAATTAGAGATTGGATTGATATATAGAAATTGTTATTTAGGGTAAAGGAATGTCTTACCTTGACTATCCTAATGCACAGCAAAGGAATGGGATTGGATTCGCCCAAAAAAAGAAAAAAGGGTACAGGGAGACAAATGAGATAGCTGGGATATATTTATTTATATGGGAAAGTGTGAGCAAAGAAGAAGAAAGTGGTGTAATATTCCCAAGAGATCACAGAAAAAGAAATCCGAGGACGGCAAGAACGTCCGTCTCGCTGCGAAGAGCCGACTGGTTACTAAGAAAAAATCTATGCCTTCCTATTGGTCAATACCCCTATTTATTTTCTCTCGGCTTCTACTGCAGTGGGCCCACTACACGCCCTAAACAGGTACTCTTGCTGCTATTGCTACAACTGCTAGCGCTTTTTGCGGAGTAACGATTGATGGCAACATCTGATGCCAACATCAAAATAGCGAATAATCAATTGAATCCAATAACATGCATGTAACCTATCATAAACACCTATATACAATATCTATAGCAACTTTACATAATAGGAAGAAAAGTACCCGAACCTCTTTTTCTGCTGTTATCTAGTGGTAAATGTACTTTGATCGCAGTATAAAATCCAAATTTAGATACATACATACATACATGTATGGAGCTCTAATCATCAAACAAGATCCCGAGGTACCTCCCCTAGCTCTATCTTCTACACGTTTGGTATTTGTCAGAAGTGTTAAGCCTTATTAAAAACTGCGACCCCCACTATTTGAACATTGGTACGTATACCCGCACGAACACCGCACCTCAACTCTCTTTTAAAGGTGTAAGCCGGACTTGCCCTCCCTGGTCTTGTCCTTTATCTCCGATTACCGGCTCGTAGTTTCGGCAGAAACATCTCCTCGTGGAATTTCCCGGACTTGCTACGTAGATGCCAAGTTGCACCAATACTAGTTTTCCAAACGGATATAAAACTTCTCATTTGACGACGATGAGTCAACTGCGAAAGTCTGACTTGCAGAGGAAAGGCTCAGTATGGATGTCAAAGGTCAGAAGACTAATGAAATTCATAAAATGACATAACAAATTACGAATTGTCTACTTGGCAAAATAGACTCAGGTAGCTAGATTGATTTGATTTTTTTTCTCTTCGTGCCTACTCAATCGACTCGTAGAATATGCGCGCATGAGCTGTTACCTCTGTAAAGTACCTAGCCTTAGAAAAGCAACTCAGAAGACTTCCTCGACTGACAATCCCATGTCGTTATACACACCGAGTTTCCCCCCTTTCACATCCCTTCCATGCCGAATCGTCGAAGAGCTCATGTACTCCTATTATAACTCAGGACCCTAGAAAAAAAACGAAATTGAATATGGTACAGACCCTTATTGCCTCATCCTACTCGAGTATTGTGCTCCTTGAGATCAGAACCTTTAGCTTCTAGGGAAGACCAAAACTGGTCGTGTACTCAGTAGCTAGTCTACTGGAAAGATGCGGTGCCTTGTGAGCTAGAGTCTGGTTCTATGTAATACTCGTAGAATGCAGGGTATCTACTCTCGGCCCTTACTCTAGTTGCTTCGTCTAAAGGAGCCTTTGCAATACCATTTTCCTTAGTCGTGGTTTTGTCAAGGATCGTCAAGGAAGCGGGACTATATATAACGTCAGTATTGAAATGGTCAGTCAAAAAGTGTACATACCCATAGATTTCGCGATCGACGGTGAGGAAATGCTTCATCGCATCTGTACCACCTCTTTCTTGAAGATATGTGAGATAGGTCAGGAACAATTCCTTCTTCGCTGCTGATGATATTCGGCTCTTTACAGTCAACTCTTGGAATATTTGTTTGACGCGCTCGCCATGTTGCGATTCAAGCTCTAGGCTTGTCGGCTGCTGTAATTCAAAGTCAAGCCATTTCTCCCAGAAGTGGCGACTATCGGCATACCATTGGACGTTCTTAAGGAACACGGCTCTAGCCTCGTCAACCGACCCCTTAATCTTCCACAGTAGGAAAGCCCACCGAGTGACAAGGACCGCCTTCGTGAATAGATTAACATGGGGGGCATCGATCTGAGTCTTATAAACTTGGATAGCAGCATCGAGTCCGTTTTGTCGCCTCTCGAGGTTCGCCCAGGACACAATGGCCTCCACGCAATCAGGTAATTGCATGAGTACGGCCTCGTGAATATCGCGAGCAACACCAATGCGACCATAGGACTCCTCGAAATAGGCCCACTGTAGCCGGATGCCTGGGCGACTCATAGGTACGAAAAGGGTGGCGGCTCTCATGTAGACATGACGCACTTCTTCTTCCTTGCCGGGTTGAGCTGACATCCACCTAGCATATCGCAGCCAAAACTCGTCGTACAGAGCGCACGTTACGATGCAACGCTCGTAAAGGAAGGCCGTCCTGGCAAAATCATGCTCGCCCTCTTCAAAATCAAGATACTTTCTCCAATTAGCTAGTTGTGAGTTTTCTAATTCCGTGACGTGGAAGTAGGGTCGCTTTATCTCTGCTTCGTACGTCCATCGTTTAGTCGTTTCCTCCTGGGTCTTCTGGAAGACTTCATAGAACATGGTATCAATCTTAGCTCGGATGTCTCGTTCAATCTCTAGTTCAGTTCTGGCGCCACCACCATACGCGGTATTCTCGGCATCTACTTCTGCTTTCAAACGCGCGAGGGTGTCAGACGGGACTAACTCCTTGATGGGGCGGTTGTGGGCAAGTTGGCGGAATCTCTCGAAATAGCGAGCATACTGATGCATCGGGATGTGGATAACCCGCTGTAGGATAGAAAATATCTTCTCCTCAGCTTCCTGCCTCTCTTCGTACTCAATGTACTTGTCCCAGAAAGGATGGGCTAGGAAATCCAATCCGACGCTTAATGCACCTCGCTCGAAAAGTCTATACACATAGGTCAGCAAAGACGGATACTAAAGGGGGGTTCTGGGGAGTGAGGGTGGTAGGAGGGCAAATACAGGAGAGGAGGGATTGTGTAAGTAACTGTTCCGATTCCAAATCAATCAATCCAAACTTAGGCGCGGGGGTTGAATGCGACGAGGATGTTCAAGGTCAAGTAGATGACTTTGTAGGAAACCACGGCCTGGCAGAATCTGTGAGAAAGTATCCAACATAGTATGGATTCTGTTGGCATCTCTCACCGTCGACGACTGGGCAGTCGTGTGTACACGTTTCGATAGTGTTGGGGGGCCGATATGTTCTTTTGCTCTGTCGGTGGTAAATGTTAAGGGGTAGGAAACATCCGGTTCTACTTACTCTCGGACCAAATGAGGGGTGTGGGTGGTCTCCATTTTGAAGGAGCAGTATGAGGTCCATAGGTCAACGCAGTTTGTTATACTCGCACATCCACGCTCATAAATCTACCATAGGTTAGCTCATGAGACAGACCAAGTAGTGGGAATAGGGGTTCCAAAATACCATCTCAGCCGATTCAGGACCAGAAATGGCAAACTCTAGGTCGGCATATTTTTTCCAGTAACCGAAAAGAAGGGGGAATTTGAGAAGAAATCGATCGTAGACATCGCGAAGCGCAGCGAGTGCCTGAGGGCTAGAATTTCGGTTCAGACCGCCTTCTTGACCCTCACAGGCACGAATGAGCTTTTCCCATGACTCGAAGTTGTCGGTATCAGCTTCCTAATTATAGTTAGTATATGCACTTCAAAAGAAAAGGAGGTAACATGAATGCGACAGGGTTCGATTGAGGAACTGGATTACATACTACTTCGAGAGTCAATTTCTTGATCTCAACATTTTCCTCATCTGAGACGCCGAAGTTGTTGAAGTCAGCCATAATGGTGGCGTAATTGCGCGAATTGTACGATGTGGCGACGACGGAAGTTAGAGACGCGGGTTCGGCGCGAGGCAGCGAATTATAAGTAGAGTCGTACACCGAATTAAGGTCGCGCAGATCGTCTAACAATGTTAAACAGTATTCTTTATAGAAGATTGTGTTCGAATTTGCTCATCATCCCTATCACAAAAGAGGTGGAATTGGAAGGGGGGTGTTGAGAAGTTGGATGACAATGAACTCTCGAGATCGACGAACAATGAATGATGGTCGCGAGAAGAAAATGGTTGGCAGAAAAAGGAAAAGCACATGCAACTTACCAAAGCTAAATGAGGCTGGGAACATGGGATTACAATCTTGCATGGAGTGGTCCGTGCAACCTTATCGAAGCAATTGGATTTGATGTCCAGAATGCTTAAATTAGCAGTAACCTAACCTCAATTGGGTAGCAGTGCAATCTGTACCTGCTCCTGCCTTCATCCTTCCTTCATCACTGTAGTTATATGCAATGTAATACAAGAAGGGGCACACCGTATTCAGCTTATCGCAGAAGGATTAAAAGCGAATAAGGCTCGACTAAGTACTAAATCGGATTTAGACCGACTCGATTACTTTCATCCCATTATTTCTCAAAATCCCATTCCAGGAGTTAGGGTCCCTAAATAAAATAAGTACACACTGTACGTATTTGATAGACATGGTCCAAGCGCCATAGTACAAAACTTGAAAAAATTCATCCTGTCAAGCTTTGCCTCCTAACCATTATTACAACGGAAAGTCAACTCCGTCACAACAGTTTTTATAATGACGATGAATTCCACATTGTGAGGATTTACAATGGTAACTTGGTATTCATACGGTAAGATAAGTCATTTTCTGATGTTCGCTAGTGCGAAACGAGACCAACAGTGCAAGTGAAGTTCAAGCTTCAAAGACTTTTACTTCATATACTGTACCTTGTATCAAAGTCACATCTCTTCTCCCTTTTCAAACACACAATCAGGCCGGTGATGATACCCCAATAAAATCAATGATAGGAAGAGGGATATCCATAATGGAAATGATCTCAAATTATTAAATCTGAGGCCTGTTTTTGAGTGGGACTTCTACCCCCCTTCCCTTCCCTCTTGTTTACTACGAGCATCCATATTTGTTGCTTTCTTTGGTTGTTATAGTTCCCGAAGAGATTTTGGTTTCCAAGCTGCATGAGGGAAGTAGTTTTATGGTTACTTTACAGCCTAAACTCGTGGGGTGGAATAACCCGAATGGATGGTGTTGGAGGCGACGTGACATCTACATACGCTCAAGTAGTCGTCGGATAAGACCCTATGGAGATTACCTAGGTATATATCAATGTATCCCTTTTAAGTAGTATTTTCAGGGGAACCTGAACAGAAATTTATTTTATCGCTAGTAATTATATTCCTGTGACATATATAAAGGCAAGTAGACCTCAGCCACCATTCTACCCCTCTAATATACAGTACCTTTCCTTGAACATGCATCCGAATAATACATCACAGCCTGCTTCGCTAACGCCTATGGGTATCCCTTTCATCAAGCCCCGGTGACGCTGTACCTATACTCCAAAATAAATCACGTACGTCATGTACAAAGGAAACATCGCTTCGAATGAAAAAGTGCTCTCCCCCGCAAGATCCTGCAGCCACCCGAATCGTGTAACGAACAATTCGCCGACCCGAATCTCCGACAGCGGTACTCGGCGATTTCTAGTTCGTGCGTGTTCGTTGTACTTGAATCGAATCGAACCAACGCCGCAGGAAAAAGAAAAACCGAGGGGGGGGAATCAGGATTAAGTTGTGGACCTATTCATCCTGTCCAATAACCGCTGGGCTCTACGAAGACGATCTGCCGTTTCATCAACAGTCAGCTTAGGTCTTCCACGAGCACTATCATCATCATCGATGGCACTCAACAGATCATTAGCCGTGTCTCCTAGGGAGGCGTAGTCAGGCCTGTATCTCATGTACATTTCCGTCGCACGAGGCCGGAGTCCGCGGTCGATGAGGACGATGTGCGGCGGCAAAGGATCTTTCTTCCCGAATAATTTCAGGATCGGTCGGACAACACGCATCGCTTGTTTCTTCACTTTTTCTTTCGCCTCTCCCGCGTGTTGAGCGGCTTCTATCTTTAAGCGTCTCAAATGCCTCGACACTTGCCGCTTAAACCGTGCCCTGCGCCCCTTGCGTAGCCGTTGTGTTACCGAATGGACTTCTGCCATGTTCTTAAGGTGGCTAGGTGCAGATCGGGAGCTGATCATATTATTTATGAGCCCCGCCTCGCCTTGCTCTCTAAGCTCCGCAAACTGCAAACCTTCACCGATCGGCAACGAGCAAACGGGACATAATGGTTCGTCATCGAACGGGTCGCGATCCAGAATGGCTGGTGGAAAGTTTGGAAAAGGTGTGGAAGGTTCGTCGGCCTGTTGTAATGATGATTCTGGTCGATTATCCGACTCCACGGCAGTGCTCGACGTAGAAGTGAGCAATACATTTTTGCCCTTGTCACTACTCCCCGGAGGCTTGGGAGGAAGTCCGGTGGGTCTGGAGCATTGACAAAATTTCCGAGCGTGTCTGACCTCGGCTCTCCAGATATAAATTCGCCGCACTTTATTCTCGTTCATCTCCCGTGGGTTTTCGCCCTCTTCTTCAGACCCTCTTGCCATTTTGCTCCGTTATACCGTACAACCTGCTTATGGAAAAAAGGACCTAAACACTTGCAGCGTTTCGTTCCGAACAATAGGTTCGAGGGAGATCGTAAGCTTGATGCCTCCCCCAGTATCCGACATGGATCGCTAACGATCCAGACGGCCTTCGATAGGATATAATAACGATCGTATGTTCATTGTTTAATTGATATAAGTAGTATTTGATTCATATCATAATAATTGTGTTTGAATCATTGGTCGAGTATAGATATAGGACAAATGAGTTGGGTAAGAAGATGGAAAACCCCATAATATTGTAAGTTTAATGATTAAATGTTTTAATTGTCGTCCGAGTGGCGCGAGAATTATCTTCGTCAGTTCTCGCGTGATTCGGGCGCGATATCCCTACAAAAGACAATTTCGAGCTTTATCTTATCGAGGTGTGACGTAAAGTGCAACCAAAGCAATTCGGTCTGCATGCAGTCAGGAGCTACCGAGTTTGGGTCTTTATTTCTCTAATTTCTTGATCCCTCTTATTTAAGTTGTACCTAATTTATACTTTATGTCCTGATATCCTGGGTATATACATGTATTCACATATCATATGTGGTTGACCATTGAAACTTATTACAATGGCTAAAAAAAATGCTCGAGAACTTCCATAGGAAGCATAGATTCTAAAAAAATATATATCTTATTTTAGCCTAGTCTCGTGAGAACGACTTCTTTCGTATATACTCTTATCTAACCATAGGACCCCATAAACGCCATGCCGTATTAGCGCTCAGACGCTTATATAAATGCAATACCGCTAAACCAAGAATTGTGTCTAACTTGGCTTTAATGTTTCCCATCCGTTAATCTCGGACCCATCATCGCCGAGGAGGTCAATATTAGATTGAGGTTGTTGTGTATGCTGCTGTATTGGGCGTGTTGGTAAGGCCGGCTTACGCTCTATGTTCCCAAGACCAGGTAACGAAACTCGCCCTACTTGACCAGTTGGGCCTGATGTCCCAGTCTGATGGTTATTGGAGGCAGTATCTAGGCGGAGTGGAGGTGATGTCGTCTTAAGCATCCCACCTGTTAATGCACCAGATCTGCTAGCTTGAAGTTGGGAGGTTAAATTAGAGACAGTGGTCGATGTTTTACGTGGGATGGGCCGTTTTGGCGTCTGGTGTTCGGGAAACGACCCTAGAATACTAGTTTCAGGGAGGGAAGGACTTGATGTTGGTGAAGTAGAGGTAAGATGTGCCGGTTTCCGAGCTATAGGGGGAGGTGCCTTTGACCCATTAGATACTCGAGGCGATGAGGACACGGGTCCTATTTGTTGGTGTGGCGCGATAGTCTTTGATGGCCTTAGGGTAGGTTGTAAATCTGAAGATGCAGGGGATGGTGAAGACTGTATGAGACTTGTGGATGTTTGCCTTCTGGGTGGAGGAGGTGGTGGAACTTCACTCCTTTGCATAGGTACTTGCTCGTCAAGCAAATTAATCTGGCCGACCTTTGCTGGTAACGTCGCTGGATCAAACGGCGGTGGCAGTTTTCTAGGTGAGGAATTGGAAGCGACGGATGTTGAAAGGATGGTCGAATGGTTGATATGTTCATATGGTGAACTAGAGATGCTCGAAAACGATGAAAGTCTTGAATTAGATCTAGGTACGGCTACCCAATCAGGTTCTTCGGTTGGGGTGAATGGATTCGACGGGCGGTGAGAATTAAGCACCACGGACGACACATCACGGTTTCCGTTACTAGCCTTTGGTGGACCAACCGTGGACTTCGCCATCTTGCCACTCTCAAGCCACCACCTTTGCCGATCTGAACTCGCCGGAGGTAGACCCGGTTCAATTGGATCATACCCAATGAGATCTTCGTCATCTTCGGAGTCCTCACTTATTAAGCTTGCTGCTGTATGACCAACCTCTGCTTTGCGACGGTCATAAAGCTCCCGACTGATACGTTCTCGATGTGCCTCATTCACAATGTTCACTGTGCATTGAAACGTCGCAAATACCGGCCGGTGGTCTGAGAACCGTAAAGGCGCAGAGTTGTATGACAATTGCCTTATGTTCGTGCCTTTCCGCAAAATACGGTCTGTCCACGCAGGAATCCGCAGTTTCTCGCTGTCATTGTCTTAGCAAAAAACAACAATATACCAAGTACCGCACTATAACTTACGAGGTGTCGTATCTATCAGTACCAACATCGAATTTGTAGGTTGGCATGAAGGTAATTCTTGCTTCTGAATAATATGGAAATGAAAGACCTGCAACCATTTGAAGATTTAACTGAAATGCGTTAGTGGCAATATTTCTCCTCTGCGAAGATCTTATAGCGTACCTGATCGTTCTCATATAGCCTTTCTAAGTCGTTCTTCTGTATCAAATCAACGACTCTTTCATGTGATAAGCCGATACGATAATTGAAGTCGCCCATCCATATAACCGTATCTGTAAAGCCGTAAGCAAATGAGTATCTTATAAGGCGTGGTGACTTCCGTACCGTGATCATCAATACCCCTATTCCGTTGGAATCGTAATCCGTGATGAATCGTAGCGTAGTCTTTATTCCGTTCATCATAATTGGAGAACCCAGCAGCAAGATGGGCCGTGACAAAACATATTTGAGTATTTGCATACTCCATCCTAATAGCAACCGCTCCTTTATTTCCTGCTATGCCAGACATCCCCGTTTTCTTGACGCTGCCTTCGACGTTCTTTATTTTTGGAAGTACGGATGCTTTTACGAAAATGCATAAGGCAGCACCAACTAGCTGCCCACTCCGAAGTAGGACATACTTCTCTCCTCCTAGTTGTTTGGTGCGGTTGTTTAGCGTTTTCTTAATAGCTTTCTCCCATAGCTGCTTTCTAGTAGGGTCGCTGTTCATGATTTGTTGTGCACTCAATTCAACAATCTCCTGAAACCCCACAGTCACTATCTCAGGTTGGGTTGAACCGAGCTCTTGAGGACAAATCCAAGGAGATAAATCTTCATCGATACCATTAGTACGTCCGTTTAGATTAAATGTCCCAACCCATCTATATCAAGTTAGTAGTGTATACAATGGTTGCGTAGATTTGGAGAAACTCGAAACTTACATGGTGATATTCTCCGTGGAAGAGTATTCAGAACTACGCTTACTGAGCTCAGCAGATATAAAATCGCTAATTGGGTCGAAGAGATGAACAGGGGTTTGACCAACTAAGCGTCCTAAGAGCATATCGATTGTATTCTGCCTTGCCTTGTCAGCGAAGTTGTTGATGTAAAGCCTTGTTGCACTCTTTCGAGCATCTGCGAAGGCGCCAGCCAGAGACATCTTGCCGTGTCTTGTAAATGAAGACTTGAGAGCGCCTGTTCCGGCATAAATCCTGGATAGAGCGTCACCATTGTCCGCCCAAAGGGTAGAGTGTCGCATCCAGAAATCCGATGCCGCGAATTCCCCGCGGTGGCCTAGAAAGGCCTCGACAGCCAATTGAGAAATAATCGTCTGGATGAGATTAGTCCTGTCTAGGCAGTCTAGACAGTTTGTCCGGAAAACTCCTTCCTGCTGAAGCACGACAACCATTCTTTGGCTACCGGTGGGTTCATTAACATCGATCATATCGTCTGTTAACTCAGCGAGATAGTAGGCAAATCCATCAGCAGAATGCTCAATGTACCGCCGAATTTCCCGAGCAGCATCGTACCCTGCAGTTTTCGTTTCCGCATGAAAATCGTAATCTGTTTCTCGGAGAAGCGCATGGTCAGACGATTGTTTCCCATCAACACGGCCGAGAGAACAATGTTGCAATCCGTAATGGAACAAATGAGTAAGCTCCGCCTCGCCCGGTTTTGTTGCGCTGAGTAGGTTGACGATATGAACAGCACCGTACGACTGTTCCAACTCTTCAAAATGTTTATCAAAAGCGGGTTGTGTACCGTCGGCTGAACGGGTTATGGTAATTTTTTGTTGGCCAGGGATGAGACCCGGAGTTTGCTCCCAGAACACTGGTACCGAACCACGAACTTGCGCATACGAGAAGAGAACGCCGGACGGGCTCCAATAAATCGTTTCCGTCTCGACGAAATTAGCCACATGCCCGTCATCGTCGATACCTCGACTATTGAAGCGAGTTCCAGCTCTTTTACAAGACAAACGTGAAATAACCGTAAGAAAAGAAGGGAGACCAGATCTGCCATCGCGCAAGGGTGCTGTACTCTGAGGAATGGTCATAGTTAAACAGAATCCTCGTATAGCAGACGTCAAAATTCGAGAGGCATCAAGTGCCTCGCGTTCGTGAGCCAAGAGCCGAGACCTGAACTGAACCAAAGGGCTAATCATAAAATAATTCCATAGGAAAGAATCGTCAAAATTGTCAATGTCAAAAGTATCCGAGTCTATTGGCCTGGACAGACGATGTCAGCTCTAACTGCTGAATCTGGCCCATGTTTGCCTGCACATGGAAGATATAAAGGTTGCGCGAAGTTGTATGGCCCAAGTATCGGAGAGTGAGACAAACCTATCTTGCAATCTATTTGTTAGATCAAAATCTGTACTGTAGTAGAAGCTACCGTTGCCGAGCAACTTTTGAAGCTCCTGGTACGGATATTCTATTTCTCCTTCTCTTCGACTTAGATTTTGGCCATATGGAGAGGTAGAGTCGGAGGGGTCGCTATCGTATGTATTCAACGATATGACATTGTCATATTCCGAGCTATTGAGGCAGAAGAAGTCGACACTTGCAATCTTCTCAACTGTCTCTCCGGGTCGCAATGTCGCCACCCGTAGCGCCTGGGTGATTACACATAAGAATACATCCTGACCGATGGATATGAGGCCTAGCGTTCCGTATATTGGACGTGGAGTAAGAGGTCGGAAATCGCTAAGGAGCTGTTTCGAGACTGGAGAGAACTCGACCATGCATTTTGGTACGGGACCATCACCGGCAGCGCGGGGCCGTGCTGACGAGACGGAGGTAAGGGAACCATTGGCAATTGCTTCGCTCGTAGTAGTACTATATCGGAAAATCAAGGCATGGGTTGGTGTCGCAATGGCGATTGCTCGGTGAGGATATTCGCGGAGGAGTAGTTGGCTGGACTTCTCAGCCGAGGGCGCTGTGGTGATGTTTCGAGTCGCAGAAGGGTACTGGTACTGATCCATGCTGAACTAGCAAGGACAGCAGGAAAATGATACGATGTAATTTGAAAAGTAGCACATGCTACCTGAATATTATTCGAGAGCGAAGTATTTGGCGATAGGAGAAGTAGTAGAAATAGTAAAGAAGAAGCAAAATTATTACAAAGGTGGCATCTACGAATGTTTGAAGTACAGGTCAGTGGTTTTTTTTTTTTAGTTGCAGTTACAGCAGGTGCAGGTGCAGGTGCACATATTCTAAGACGTAGTAGGGCCTGTGACGTTGGCCCTTACCTTTTTTCGCCCCGAACCTGCCAATTGATGTATTAAATTGGTTAAATTTCACTGTGGGGGGAAAGAGGGCACTATAAAAAGAGGGTCGGCTAGTGGGGGATCCCGACCACCGATGAGGCTGAGGCTGAGCATCTCATCCCTGACTTCTTCACCCACTACGGTAGTCTCGTATGTTTATGTGTACGGATGAGTGACGTTCGTTAGTTGATACGTTAATATTATATACTAATTGAGTGATTGGGTCTCTCGAGTGAGGTGTATTATATTGAACTAATCGTGAATGGATGATTTAAATGTGACAATTGTGTATGGTAAAAGGAATAACAATACACTTCGTCCGTATCTGATATATCGAGTCCTAGAAAATATTGTTTAGTATTTCACTAAATATGAGTTACTCTGCTATTGGTTGAGAGTATATTTGTGGAAAACATCACGGGCGCACTGCAAATTGACACCTCAAAGACAAATAGGTTTGGTGTTAAGTTTTGTTTATTGATATTGGGGATGCGCATTGCCAAGAATGATGTGGTTCGGTAATTGACAAAGGTACCTGGTGAACACACATTAAAGCAGGAATCCAGCCTTAGGCATTACAGTCTGTTTTGACTTAAACCATCGGACGAGATCCGAATGGTGGCAAGTCAAGGCATGGATTTGCATTATCCGCCGAAAGGCAACCTGTATACTACCTAAATCTTGCGTTATACGTAAGGTCTGGCATACAAGGTTGACTTTTAGCGGATATGCGCAATTCTGGTTGACCAAAGGAAAACGTGAGATATCTTCTCAAAAAGCACACAAGCAGAAAATAATAGGAAAACGTGTATGAAACAAGTCCACATGACCATCAACAAGCCCTTGCCGCCTCTACGAATATAGAGGTACTGAAATACAGCCATAGTTGCGGAAATGTAAATCGTATTGTCAAGTAGAAAGCATACTATAGCGTAGCCTTTACTGACGTACCCTTGAGTGAAAATCAACAAAGCCTGCGGGGGTTTTTCACTCCTGTGTCAAAACACCAGTGCCATTCCTCCCATCCGATGCTATGAACCCTTCGCCAGCTGGGTATCAACAGAACCCCGGCCCTTCAAGCCTTACGGAGTATGCATAATCAGCTGAGGCAACGAGGTATCAATCGAGAGCCATTTAGGACTCAGCAGGAGCAGCCTCCTCCTTGGGCTTTTCGGCCTCCTCGGCAGGCTTGTCCTCTTTAGCGGCCTCCTGGCCAGCAGCACCCTCGCCCTCAGCGCTCTCTGACGAGGTCCATAGGGTTAGGTTATCACGGAGAAGTTGCATGATGAGGGTGCTATCACGGTAAGACTCCTCGGACAAAGAGTCGAGCTCAGCGATGGCATCATCGAAAGCTTGCTTAGCGAGATGACAAGCTCGGTCGGGAGAGTTGAGAATCTCGTAGTAGAAGACCGAGAAGTTGAGGGCAAGGCCGAGACGGATGGGATGCGTAGGGGTAAGCTCGGTTTGGGCTACATCGGTAGCACTCTATAAAGGAGATTCTTATTAATATCCACACAACAGCAATAAGTTAAATATAGACAACTTACCTTGTAGGCTTCATGTGCAGCAGTAGCAGCAACCTTGCGCTTCTCACCAGACGCGAATTCAGCCAAGTAGCGGTGGTAGTCACCCTTCCTGTAAGAAAGGAATAAACTGTTAGCATATAGCCACGGAATATCATATTATACCGATAAAAAATAGCAACTTACATCTTGTGGTAGAAAACCTTGGACTCTCCAGTTGCAGCGTTGGGGATCAGACTCTCGTCTAGAACATCCAGCACATCTTGGCAGACCTTCTCCAACTCAGTCTCTATCTTGTTGCGGTACTCACGAATAGTCGCGACGTGCTTGTCAGAGCCTTTGGACTCCTCCTTTTGCTCGATCGAGGAGATGATTCGCCAAGAGGCACGTCGAGTTCCAACGACGTTCTTGTAGGCGACGGAAAGAAGGTTGCGCTCATCAACAGAAAGCTCGCCGCCAAGCTTAGCGACTTCCTTCATGAAAGTGACCATCTCATCGTAACGTTCGGCCTGCTCGCAAAGGCGAGCTAAGAAAGTCTTGCTGTTGTGGGATACCAATTAGTACAATTTTGTTCCATTTATTTTCTTTCACCTTTCATGCGTCGAAAGAGAGGCGTCATTGACGGATAAGACCCGAGGGGGGGAGTATGCGCAGAACAGACGAACCTTTCACGCTACATCATAGAAAAACAAACGTTAGCAAATTCCTTGTAAATAAAATATGCCAGACCGAAGGTACAACTAAGGTTATGCAGGCTGCGTGCGGGAGCGGCGGAGGCGAATGGCAGCATGGGCCGAGACAAGGCCAGTCCTCGAGGGGCGGAAAAGGGAGTCGGGGAGAGAAAACTTACTTCAGTAGTCATCTTGGGTGATTCTAGCGAACGGAGATGAATGTAAGGAGGATTGAGAAAAGATGAAGTAGAGGGAGAAATAGAAAGATAGGCGATGGGTTGTTTATGTGTGTAGGTTTCGCGTGTGGGAAAAGAAAGGAAGACGGAATTGTTTACAGGTCGGGATCGTCGAGTTGAATGGTGTTGAAAATCAACGAGGTTTAAGGTGCGGGAGGAGAAATCAGTAAAAGTAAAATGCTTGCCAGGGCTGCTGGCTGCTGGCTGCTAAGGTCCCAAAATTACGCCTGAGTCTCCAACTTTTGGCACCTGGCTTGTGCGGAAAGAAAACCTTAGGTTGTTGCTGGGCGCTGGCTTTCTGGGCTTTCTCGACCTTGTTGGGGTGACTAAGGTACCTAAACCTTGTGCTATAATGCGCCTCCTTCCAAGGTACCTAGATAGCGTCTGAACCAGTGAATGGCCAGTAAACAGTTGCAAAGGTTATTGCGGAACTGTACCTTTCCACCTATCCCCACAGGCTTATTGCCCCTCATTACCGTCTTCGGCCTGGAATCTTCTCTCACCACCTTTCTCATAGGTGCATTGACCTTATCAAGTGTGTACTATGTACTTGTAACAACGCGATGGTCTCGATGTTAAAGGTGATTTATAAATTTAACAAAAGACTTTTACACCTATCAAAATAATCGTGTCTATAAGATATGTGACAAGTCAGATGAAGCCTTGATTCCATTCAATATCATATTCTATGTACTTCTTATGGTACATAATCGCTTCTACCTAAATTTCCCCCCACTACTATGTAGGTATCATCCGCATCAGCCTTACTGAACTCCGACATTTCATTAGGATTCTAATCGAAAATACTTGGTAGACCGTCAAATTTCTTTTTAAACAAACCAGCAAACTTGGAAGTGTATATCTCTACACAAATTCAAAATACCTCCAGTATACATACATAAAGCTTTCTTCGTCTGTGGATGCGTGTATCCGTATGTTTAGATTTCCTTAGATGTTCAAGGGGCATATGACACAATTGTTTCATTATGTACCTATCCGCGCAGTCAAATTGAACTTTATGTACTCTTCTCATCTGCATCTAGATAAGGTACTTGGATACCTACATATCTCGAATTATGTAGGTACGTATCAAAAACCCGCTGCTTTAAGCTAGCATTGCACAAAACCTCCTTTATGCCGAAGCCAACAGAAGAAGCTGATCGAAAAATACGCATAAATCTGGGTCAGAATCTATGAAACTCCGAGTTCTGTGCTAAGATCCCTTTTCTTTGCATGCAGAGATACTTATGAAATCTCTTCAAACACAGCTACTCGGGGCACGTGACTAACAGTGGTGTAAACCGAGTGGCAGTAAAAGCAGCAATAATGGCACTTTTGATTTGTTGCGAGCAGTACCGAGTTACATTATTCGATGCTGACTCGCATGGCTATTGCCGCGTTGTTGCGCGAGTCGGCTGTGGTATGAGATGAGGGTGACCCAAGACGCGAGAGTTGATTGAGCCGAAACTCACAAAGATCACATCACATCAGTCTTCTAAATCCTACGTGATGCCGTAGAGGAAGTAGATGTACCGGGCAGTGCCGAATAATGCGGAATATACATACTATACACACTATAGCCCACGTTATCGTGAGATTCCAGAACCCCCTATACTGCAGGGTCTTATCAAACGTGTGGCCCATAGGTCCAATGCGTTGTCATCCTTTTCCCAGTGCTGGCTGAGTTGGCACCCTTTTCTTCCAGTCACGAGTCCCTCCTCTCCGAGAAAATCAATCCCATGCGATTGAACGCGACCGAGGCCGATTGAATACCTTGTCACGAGCCGTTAGCTCTCTGCCCTAAATATTCCACTGACCTACCGCCAAGACACCATGGCCATTGAGCTTACACCATTGGCTTTATTCACTATGCTCCGTAGCGTCATCGCAGTAGATCTTACCTCTCAAGATCTGCATATTCAAAACCCATCTACCTAATATAGGTATGATTTAGATGCGGTCACTACTATACCTAGGTATGTATTAGAGCAATGTTTCTTGCGAAGTTTTTTTACCACGAATTTCTTGAAATGTTCATTATGTTACGAATAGCATCAATATCTATCCGTCGACTACATAATTTAACTTTTCAATAGTGTGTAAATGAATATATTAGGCATTAATTTCAGACTTTTACCTCCTATCTGCGCGTTGGGTTTGGATCTCTTCTGGGGCACAGCCAAACCGACTAGAGCCCATTCTGTACATTCAATAAACAACAAATTATCTGTGACTCATAACTCGTCACTAGTCGTGAAATTAGGATATTTGTCCCTACCCCAGTCGACTGGGTCGCCCCCAGGCACACATAGTCCCAATCTCCAGAAGTAGTCTCGATGGGCAAAGAATAATTGCCACAATTTGAATCGACTTGGAACATCCCAAAGACCCTCAGCCCATACAGCTGTTTCTCGACCTCGCTCTTCGGCAAGTATTTGGCCGGCTGTCTTAAGGGATTCCCCCGTTGAGCCAGCAATACATCGTGGGTCATAATCGCCTATGCACGGCCGGACGTCCGACGGTTCAGGAGCTAGATCGGATTTGGAGATGAAGAATTCGCCGGCGTGAGATCTATATCCCCACTCTGACAGCGGGAGCAATGGGACGGGATCATCCACATGTGTCACGCGCCGGTATTTTTGTTCCTCGAATTGCTTTGTTGCTCCAAGTTCGAAGACAGAATCGAGATATTCTGCAAACCCGGAATTTCCCACCCGGGGTTCACCGAATGTCGTCGCGACAAGATTGTCCCATCCGGAACTGACTTTCAACTCCAATGCCGCGAGAGCAGCCACAGCACCTCCCAAACTATGGCCGACCAGGTAAACAGGATAATCGGGATATTTTTCTCGTAGTGGCTTGAGTGCTGGCAGAACAACATTTCTTGCTATTCTCCACGATGCCAAAAATCCCATATGAACCGTACAATTATGACAAACATGTTCTGGCTCCTCAGGTGGCTCGGATCCTCCCTTATCAGGAGAGGGATACGGGACATATTCTTGGGGAATTGTACTTAGGTCGACAACGGTGTTGGTGATACTATATGTACCACGAAACGCGACAATGATAGCTCCTTGATTCTTATCTTGCTCAGTATTAACACCGCTTCTCGACATGCTCGATTGCGGTCCCGGCGCCGTCCCATGGTCAACTGCAATATACCCACAGCTGTCGCTCATCAAGACTCCAGTATTCCATGTCGTCACGAGGTCTAGCGTCGGGAAGTCATCACATCGTGATGCGCAGGAGAAGGGCGGGGCGATACCAGTAGTACCAACGCAGTAAGTTATATCGACAAGGCGGGAGAGACGTTCGAGAGATGCGAAAAGACCGGTTGATATATGCTCGGGAATGGAACCGCCGTCCTGATTTCGTAGAGGAATCTGACTTCCCAGAATAGATCCCCACGTGAAAACGGCTACTGACAGCAACAGCAGCAAAGGAATGACTGACATAGTGTACATTATAGTACAGGGCGCGGACTCGGTTGTAATTTGGATTTGTAGTGTCAAGATTGTGTATCCAGAGAATCAATCCCAAGAATAGCCATGCCCTACAGAACACAGGCCCGTGGCCCGAATATGATGGAGGAAATTGGATGAGGAAAAAGAGGTGTATTAGGTATTACATAGAAGATGGACGAAGACTGAAAAGCGTTTAGGTGACGTTGCGCTCGCGCATTAAGCGTCACACTACAGCAACTCGGTGAGTGTTTAGTGTACGTGATGTTTTAAGTTGGAAGGGACATCATCTCCGACCCCGTTGATATTATTGAGAGATGGAGCCATGGTTAGCCACGGGTCTCAATATTGCTGGGGGAGCACTGTCCAATTTAACATTTAAGGAAATGACGAAGCGAATGACTGCCGGTGACCAATTACAATTCGCCACTAAGCGTCCCATTTCTGGTAACGCGGGGAAGACGTATGGGGTGTTCTTGGTACATGCTGTAATGGGCATTTTTGGTCTAAATAGCGCCAACCTTGCTATAGCTGCAGTATATGTATGTGAGAATCTCGATTAAAACTTTAATTAATACTACATATCAATATGTATGCGCATATGCTAGATGGGCAACGACTCCCGAGATTTGATGGTGTCTAATGCACGTCCATGTTTTCATAATTATAAATCCGATTCTCATTTCTGCCCATGATTATATCTCAATTTGAGTGCAAATAGGTCATAGTCGATTGATATTAGAAGCCTTCACTGATAGCGACTTTCATTCCATTCCGTTCCATCGCTTGGTACTAGCAATTAACGAGATGATGGAGGGGGGTGAGGTACGGGCTCAAGACTGTCAAAATCTCCCGTAATAGTTGATTGTTTAGCTGCGCAGGTTGAAGCCGTAGTCGAATTTGTGCAGGCCAAGTCTGGTGTTACAAGACCAGATGCTTCGTATTGAGGAACACTATAAGTGCTATTAGCGATTTTGTTGTATGGTGAATTATTATAGGAATGGTATACGCACGTTCCAGGACATGCCAACTCAACCAAAGTCAAACCGGCAACTCCAGTTGTCTGATAGATGAATGTAACGTTCGGATCGTCGCAGGGATATTGATTGGAATTTGCGCCTGTAGCCTTCGACGTTGAGTTTTGCGTACAGAAAGCGTTGATGCCGGTGTCCGCATCAGCAAAAGAGAATGAAGTCGTGTTTTTGCTACTGTCGACCCGGTCTGTGTAGATAGTGAAACTAGAGACTGTGAAATTGGCCGGGTAGATGCAGTTTGACGCAGTAGCTTTCAGGCTCGAAGGGACGGCATATTTCAGGGGGGTTGAGATTCCTGTTGTAACCAACAGGCCCAGTAACGTAATGGCATACATGATAGGCAAACGAAGGTTATCCTTAGGATATAATATGAAGTCTTCGGGGTCGAAAGGTTGAATGGATCGAGAAGCTTAACGAGAGACAAGAAAAACGAGAGAAATTGCTTTTAAGAAAGCTCAGTAAATTAATCCACCTAGGGCTACGGCTGCATAGGTATGTGTTGATGGAACAGTTGCTTGCTTTCGTCAGTGCAGGTGGATCATAATACCTATTTTAAATCGAATTCCCTCGCCTTGGGATGGTCTTTCCCCTGCCAAGGAGTACTTCTATCAGATCGGTATGTTCCTTCTGTGCAAATTAAGATGATAAATGTACAAGGGGACGACTAAGCTGTGTGTTGCAGATCCTCACGCAATGGAGAGAATGATTTGCTAGAGGTGATGTATTCTTTCCACAAAAAGACACCCGGCGGCTTCCTGCGCGTAACCGGTAGGTCGGACCTGCAGGGGTTAGGGGGGACAAACTGCCTCTGTAGCCTCTGTAACTATCCTTAATTATAATCTCGTGGCTTTTTAAAGTGGTTCAAACCATCCTCATAATTCAACAAACTAGCAGATGTTAGAAACTTTATGTAGTACAACTCTTACTCTCATCTCGTATTCTTTGTATATCCATTCACTTGATCTAAACCTCGCCGCAACTCCGCCACCTCTATTCGTAATGTGTTGAAGTACCACATATTTGACGTGTATTCTATGTGGTTTAGAACAGACAAACCTAGAAGGCCGGTACCTGCATAAAACATAAAGAATTTAATTATGACAAACACAAATAATGTTAGGGGGGATGTGTATGTCCCTGGTTTGGATGAAAGAAAGAGGCAGGTCGGTACATCCATATGGATGTAGCTGAAAGGTACATAGGTACCACTTGTACGCTATAGCTGGAGATAGGAGGAGTTGGGTGGATTAAGCGTTGTATCTCCAGGGCTCCCACCCACCATTACCTCATTAGCTAACCCCGCTATCGCATTTGACGCGTCTTTGTGCGGGCCTAACTGAAGGAGCTAAACTTCCCTTCAATCATCGCATTATCTTCTCACCATCATCAAATTATGGTTTGATTTGCTTGCGATCTTTAAAAGAATGGACAATATCCACGCACCTACGGTCCCTGCGGGGCCTTCGTCTCGTCCGCTAACAAACGGGAATGCGAAGCACCTGTCCTTTGCCGAGCTTCAAGCTAAGAAAGAGAATCTTGAAGCCGAACTGAAGGCTTTAGGCGGTGTCCTCGACTCGGTTAGTGGCCACTGCTTCTATTGGATTCGGTTTAGATCCTGATTCAATTCGTAGCATGGGGTCAACATGGAAACACCTTTGACTACAGCCGACGGATTTCCTCGAGCAGATATTGATGTCGCACAAAGTAGGGATAATGTTTGTAAGGACCTGCCTTGACATTGAACTGACCGCTCTCCGCAGTACGCACTACCCGAGCGCGAATCATTCACCTAAAAAACGACTACAAGGACCTCATGAACACCATAGAGAAACACCTCCACGAGCATTTTGCGAGTATCCAAGACATCGAAGACGTTGCGCCCGCGCCGGTGAGCCATGCCGAAATGCTGGGCGACTCGATTCCAGAAACGCTAGCGGAAACCTTCGCCAAGGTTAACAGCGTCGTCGCAGACAGTCCAGCAGATTCAGCCGGCTTAAAACCTGGAGACGAAATTCGAAACTTCGGATACGCGAATAAGAGCAACCACGATGACCTGAAGAAAGTCGCGGAATGCGTTCAGGGAAACGAAGGCGTGAGTTGGAATCTTCTGGGATTTAAAAGTAATAAATCCGAGACGTCGACTAATGGTACTTATTTTCAACACAGCAAAGGATCTTAGTTAAGATTTCCCGTAGAGCCGAGTCGAATCGGAGACAGGAGCTACAACTAAATCTTATTCCTCGACGAAATTGGGGAGGTAGAGGTTTGTTAGGATGTCATATTTTACCGTTATAGGGACACCGGACTCATCGAGCACCACCGTTCACCCGATCCTCAGCGAGTATTCGCCCTTACCGTAAATTCCGACATTGCTCCCTCCCAGTGATAATATAAGGTTAGGTCGGGTTGAGAAATATTTCTGCTGGATTGACGAGAAAGATGATTTGGTGATCACAAAGCACGCATGGCTACTTTTGCGGGGGATTATTTAGGTATTTGACGGTTTCAAAGAAGACTGGTCTGGAAAGCAATTGCGCGAGCAGATACCGTAAGATCCTAGTTTATTGCTCGCCCGATCGATGCCTCATCACAACCGCCTGGTTACTTTGCGATGGTGGTTGGGCCTACCGAGTCACAAGATGGAATCAGTTGCTAAAAATACCCCAGGAGGCCACTGCGTCTTGCTTTCAGTCACTGATACCCAAGTATCAAATTAAAACTCGAGAACGTTGATATATTGGCTGGACGTTGGGTCCAAAATGGTACTAAGAGCAAAAAGGGATAAGGACAAACTTAGTGACTGCTAGATGTAGGGGAAAATAGCAGTGAGTATCAGAGTATAGTTCGACAAGAAGGCGGTAGAATTATCCCGAAATCTATTGTTCAAACGTCAAAGAATGGCAAGCATGTGGGCAATTGTTTTTTTTTTTTTTTTTGGTGTGTATTCGTTGAATAGGGAAGCTATGGCACCTATTGTCCCCCAAATGCGCTTTCCAGGAGTTTCTTTGAAAGGAAAGAGAAAGAAGGGGATTGTACACCGCTTTAGTGAATGGGATGATGGAGATGTCTAGAGCTCGTGAAAGTGATCGTTTCCCAATATACGCAAATTAATCCCATATTAATATAAGGTTCCTTCCAAAGAAAACTAGGAAAAAAAAAAGGTAAGTACTATTTTTTAATCAGCATATTTAGGTCGCGACAGTGTGTTTTGGCACATTTAAAGGGAAACCGCCCACTTCAACTGTGCGTCATCGTTGGTAGCGCATTCCATTTATGCCCAGAGTCACGTGCTGCCCCGCAACCAGTGCGCCCGATTTTTTTTCTCTGAGGGAAAACCCAACCTTATTATTATTACTTAGGTCTCTTGCCAGGTTCCGCCGCCTCTCCAATCTCTCAAAAAACATTAGTTCACCCATTACCAACACCGAGTTTTGCGAAACCAATACTCCTTGTCTACTTCTCCATAATATCAAGGTACGTCCGCTCATTCATTGACATATTTCGTGGCCGTCAGCATCGAGATTACGAAGTGAAATTTTTATCTTTTCATCAAACATTCCTAGCCGTTCCCCACTAACGTCGAGCTTAGTCCCCCATCTTCTGTTTACCTCCCGAAGAATAGAAGACCCTTCACGATGGCCGAGTCACCTACTTTCAAGCTCGTCCTTGTCGGCGATGGCGGTACTGGAAAGGTAAGAGTCCCTTCGAATAATTCTATCTAGTTCGCGACATCTTCCTGCTCGATACCTTTCTATCATGCGATAATCTATTTAATCGGTATCGCCCTGCGCAGAATTTGCCCCGCCTTTTCGCACCGCTTCTGAGGACCATACCACTGACCATGATTATTAGACCACCTTCGTCAAGCGTCACTTGACTGGTGAATTCGAGAAGAAGTATATGGCCACTCTTGGTGTCGAGGTTCACCCTCTTGGCTTCACGACCGTAAGTCGAACAATTTTCCGCCTCGTCCTTCCACCCCGCCACCGCTAGCGCAAACGTCTAATTATAACTAGAACTTCGGTAACATCACCTTCGATGTGTGGGATACCGCCGGTCAGGAGAAGTTTGGTGGTCTCCGTGATGGTTACTACATCAACGGCCAGTGCGGTATCATCATGTTCGACGTAACGTCCCGAATCACCTACAAGAACGTCCCCAACTGGCACCGTAAGTAATACTACTAATCCTTAACCTGGTTTTTATTCCGGCTCACTTTTACCTTCCAGGTGATTTGGTTCGTGTCTGCGAGAACATCCCCATTGTTCTCTGCGGTAACAAGGTCGACGTGAAGGAGCGCAAGGTCAAGGCCAAGACCATCACTTTCCACCGCAAGAAGAACTTGCAATACTACGACATCTCCGCTAAGTCCAACTATAACTTCGAGAAGCCCTTCCTCTGGCTCGCTCGAAAGCTCGTTGGCAACCCTCAACTGGTAAGCTGGATTGCTTGTCCTTGCCATTCGTTTAACTGACCATATTAGGAATTCGTCGCTGCACCCGCTCTTGCGCCCCCCACTGCCCAGGTCGACCAAGAGCTCCTTAAGCAATACCAGAAGGAGATGGACGAGGCTGCTAACATGCCGCTACCGGGTGAGGACGAGGATGATGACTTGTAAACGGGTCACGATTAAGGAGCATGGTTCGTGGACGGGAATGGATTTCCAGTAATGCTTCGGCTTCGGAAAGGATTAGGGGCTATTTGTGTGAGATGAGGCAGCACAGTTGCGGATTCTCAGGTCGCGGGTCGATAACCTCTAATGACCGTTGATTTCAGATGCATAGCTGCATTTGCAGCTTCTAGATAGCAGTCTTCCCCCACTAAATAGACATTTATGAGAAAGGAATTGCAGTCTACTAATTTCACATGCCTACTTGTCGATTTAGGTAGGCATTACAATGATTTAATTTAGTACCTAGACATCTCTTGTGATACGAATACACGTCTTTTGATTCGTATTGGGGGTGTTCCGGTTTGGTGTATCCGGAAGCTATGTGAAAATAAGAGGTGATTATAAACGAGAAATCTAGGCCTAGATAGGTACATTTTGACAGTAACAGTTCGTGCCAGTTTGGGTGTGGATGCATGTATGTATGTATGTACATGTAGGTTCCCTATATGAGAGTACGTACCTAGCTTTGAAATGCAAGTCATGACGCTTGCCCAATCGAAAAGAAGTTCTGGACCCCCCAAGATTGTTTAGTAACAGGGATGTTAGCGATATGCTTAATGGGGCTCTAGGAGGCACCTGCCCAGGTGGTCAAAATAATAGGCAGGTAAGGTACGCTAAAGAAGCAACCCTTAGTAACCTTAGTGAGAGAACACGTTGCTATGTAACTTTTTGCCCCGGCTGTATTCCGTAAAAGTCCCCGGTCCACTTTCTTCGACCTCATGAGTGACGATTCTTTTCCACCAGAATCTACACTTTTTTTTTTTTCTTCTTTAAGCACATTCCTCGTTTGTGTTGACAGTTGCACTATTATTTAGTGGCGATTTGCAAGGGCTTAAGTTTGGAGAAAGACTGAGGTTCACTTGAAGACATGTGGCATCTTTAAACCACCGCAAATCTTCGTATTCTTCGCTTTCTTCACACTTATATCACCAGCCCCTCTATTATTCACTTCTTCTCGGTTAAGCTTGGACCGTTCTTCTTACATGCCCACCGATAGGTCCTTACGGTCTTTCTAACATTTCACTTCCTGTTTTATTCCCGTAAGACGCGAAACGAAAAAGAAATTGACGGCGATATCGTTCCCTTTCCTTCGTCGCTCATCATGGAGAGTGCCTTTGCGAAACCCATACCTGAAGTGCTGGCCAACTTCAAGGTAGATGCCAAAGCTGGCCTTACGGACGGACAAGTCAGTGAATTGCGAACCAAATATGGAAATAATTGTACGTTGCGCTGCAAAAGTGGGTGATCTGTGAAATGTACTAATGAACGTAGCTATCCCAGAAGAACCGCCGACGCCCCTCTGGGAACTTATTCTCGAGCAATTCAAAGACCAACTGGTTATAATTCTTTTGGGATCTGCTGCTGTTTCTTTCGTATTAGCCCTCTTTGAGGATGATGAAGCTGGCTGGAGCGCATTCGTTGATCCTTTGGTTGTACGACACCCCGCTAATCTTAACTTGCGACTCAGAAGCTAATTATACTGGTACTTATAGATTTTAACTATCCTTGTGCTTAATGCTGTCGTTGGTGTGTCCCAAGAAAGCAGCGCCGAGAAAGCGATTGCCGCACTCCAAGAATACTCCGCGAACATCGCCAGCGTGATAAGGAATAATGGACATATCTCGCGAGTCAAGGCTGAAGAGTTGGTTCCTGGTGATATCGTCTCGGTATCTGTTGGCGACAGAATCCCCGCCGACTGTCGCGTTGTTGCGATCGAAAGCAACAGTTTCGCCGTTGACCAGGCCGTCCTGACTGGAGAGAGCGAAAGTGTTGGGAAGGATCATACTGCTGTTGTGAAAGATGAGAAGGCGGTGCTCCAAGATCAGGTCAACATGCTCTTCTCGGGAACCACTGTTGTAACTGGACGTGCGACAGCTATTGTCGTTCTGACTGGGTCAAATACTGCCATTGGTGACATCCACGAGAGTATTACAGCTCAGATTTCTGAACCAACGCCCCTGAAGCAGAAGCTCAACGATTTTGGTGATTCTTTGGCAAAGGTTATTACGGTTATCTGTGTTCTAGTGTGGCTGATCAACATCCCCAACTTCGCGGACCCGAGCCATGGAAACTGGACTAAAGGCGCTATCTACTACCTGAAGATTGCTGTTTCTCTTGGAGTTGCAGCAATTCCTGAAGGTCTTGCCGTTGTCATTACAACTTGTTTGGCTCTGGGAACACGTAAGATGGCTGCGAAGAATGCTGTGGTCCGAAGCCTTCCTTCGGTCGAGACCCTCGGAAGCTGCAGTGTCATCTGCTCAGACAAGACCGGTACTCTCACAACTAACCAAATGAGTGTGAGCAAGATCGTATATATCAACCAAGACGGAACCGATTTAGAAGAATTGGATGTTGAAGGTACCACATTTGCACCTAAGGGTGACGTTACGCGCAATGGCAAGGTTGTGAAAGACCTTTCTCAGAGTTCAAGCACTATTCGTCAGATGAATGAGGTTGCCGCACTCTGTAACGATGCTCGTCTCGTGTATGATGCCCGAACTGGTGCTTTCTCTAAGGTCGGAGAACCCACTGAAGGAGCTTTGAGGGTTCTCGCGGAGAAGATCGGTCCCTGTGCACCCGCAAATTCGAACCCTGAAGGTTGTCTTCATTATGCCAGCTCCTGGTATGAGTCTCAGTTCCCCCGACTCGCTACTTATGAGTTCTCCCGAGACCGAAAGAGTATGTCCGTTCTTGTCCAAGCAGGTCAACAGAAGAAGCTTCTTGTCAAGGGTGCCCCTGAATCTATTTTAGACCGATGCGCATTTACTCTGGTTGGTGCCGAGGGAAAGCGGGTTCGCATTGATAACAAGCTTCGCAATCTGCTCATGAAGGAAGTAGTTGATTATGGTAACCGTGGACTGCGAGTCATTGCACTTGCTAGCCTAGATGATGTTGGATCTAACCCCCTGCTTCAAAACGCTAAGTCGACGGCCCAATATGCTCAACTAGAGCAGAACCTCACTTTGCTAGGCCTCGTCGGTATGTTAGATCCTCCTCGACCGGAAGTATCTGGTGCCATCAAGAAGTGCAAGGACGCTGGAATCAGGGTTATTGTTATCACTGGCGACAACCGCAACACCGCGGAGAGCATCTGCCGTCAAATTGGAGTCTTTGGGGAATATGAGGATCTCAAGGGCAAGAGCTACACTGGTCGCGAATTTGATAACCTAAACCCCAGCGAACAGCTCGAGGCCGCTAGAAATGCATCTCTGTTCTCCCGTGTTGAACCAAGCCATAAGTCTAAGCTCGTCGATCTTCTCCAGTCCCTCGGCGAGGTTGTAGCTATGACCGGTGATGGTGTCAACGATGCTCCTGCTCTCAAGAAAGCAGATATCGGTGTTGCCATGGGTTCCGGTACTGATGTATCCAAGTTGGCTGCGGACATGGTACTTGCTGATGACAACTTCGCTACTATCGAGGTTGCTATCGAGGAAGGCCGATCCATTTACAACAACACCCAACAGTTCATCCGCTACCTCATCTCCTCGAATATCGGAGAGGTCGTCTCAATCTTCCTTACTGCTGCCCTTGGCATGCCGGAGGCTCTTATTCCTGTTCAGCTGTTGTGGGTCAACTTGGTTACTGATGGTCTACCTGCGACTGCGCTATCTTTCAACCCTCCCGACCACGATATCATGAAGAGACAACCGCGAAAGCGTGATGAACGACTCATTGGTGGCTGGTTATTTTTCCGATACTTGGTCATTGGCACTTACGTCGGTATCGCTACTGTTGCCGGGTATGCTTGGTGGTTCATGTACAATCCCGAGGGACCCCAAATCAACTTTTACCAACTCTCGCACTTCCACCGATGCTCTACTGAGTTCTCCGAAATTGGATGTGAGATGTTTAGTAACGACATGTCCAAGGCAGCCTCGACTATCTCTCTCTCCATCCTCGTGGTCATCGAGATGCTTAATGCCATGAACGCTCTATCATCCAGCGAGTCTCTGTTGACTCTGCCGCTCTGGGAAAACATGATGCTCGTTTACGCAGTTGGGCTATCCATGGCGCTCCACTTTGCACTGCTTTACACTCCCGTCCTTCAGACTTTATTTTCAATTTTGCCTCTGAACTGGACTGAGTGGAAAGCAGTGCTCATCATCAGTGCCCCCGTTATGTAAGTCATATTTCACTGATCAGAGTCGAAACACACAAAAGCTGACTTTCAATAGTATCATTGATGAAGTCCTCAAGGCAGTCGAAAGGCAATTCTTCATCCAGAAGACTACAGATGAAGCCGAAAAGGCCAAAAAAGAGGCGTAACCAGGTGCAAACCTGTAATCTAGATAGACTAGACTAGACGTTCATACGCATTCTGAATTATGCGTTATGAACAACCCAAATTAAATAAAATGAATGAGAAATACGTTTGATTGAGGTATTCATCTTGACATTAGCTACCTTGAATAAGGCACTACTTAGATATTGGTACAATGGTGTGCTCTAATTGCCATCGTACGCCTGCTCTTTTCTGTTGTGATTTATTGATCCCATTCAACTCTTGTTCCAGGAGCATATCCTCCCTTTTGAATTGAATTGACGTGGCCATTTTATCACGTGTATCATCAGTCACTTTGGAGGCCGTCTATGGTACGCCCTAGTGAAGCCCAAATAGTATTGATCCAGACTACGAGCATTTTAGTCTTGTCGGCCCTTCAATAATCTCTTAGTGACCTTGTCCTTCTCGATAATGTATACGTGTGCACCCCATCCTGATAGAGCGTCTCGGTCGACGGCACTCAATAGAGCCTGAGAGATCGTCTCGAAGAGGTCATCAGGGCCCTAAATACACGTATTAGTAAGAAATTCAGTAATGGTATTTAAACGAAGTTACTCACTAGATCGGGTTCCCACAAACTCTCGCACATACCGAACAACTGTTCGGAAGCGGTACCACTAACAATGAAGTCCTTGGCGAAGTCGATACAACCGATCGAATCGAAACCGCAGATAAACGGCTTGCTAGACTTGGGATCGAGACCGGCGACGACGGGGCTGACGAAGTAAGGACCGAAGCGGCGTTCGTACAAAGAAGACGAGACGAGGTTGGCGAAGGTGGCTGGTGCGATGTTGCGCTCCTCGCGTAGTCGGTACATGTTCACTTTGTAGCGGAATAGATCCGAGACTGTCGAGACATCGGTGGCTAGCCCCGTGAGCCCGAGGAACACGTCGCCGTATTGGAAGATCTTGGGGAAGTTGTTGGATACGGTGAGTGCTTGGAGACCGAGACGTAGATCGCAGGCGATAGCTACGCAGTCTTTGCCTACCATGGCTACGCAGGCGCCTCCATCTGTTTATTGGGGAGAGGTTTTGGTCAGTTATTTTTGCTTTTATGGCTGTGGAGGAAGTGGTTGTTCGCACTTATAGAGAATGGTGACGACTGTTCGTATGTGTTAGTTAGAGCCTGTTATTCTGATTTGGAGCTTGAAGGGAGCTTACCATGGGGTCGAATGTATTATTGGGAATGGGGAAATACGACGATAGAGTTTGTCAGATCGTAATTTATTTGGCCTTTACTCAAATTTGGGTGGTCGATGGTATGTCGTCGTAAAAGAAGGGATTCGTTGTATGAGGATAGCTTAATAGCCTGGCCTCGCTGAAGGTTGGTAGTAGTAATTGCAATTAGAGAAGCAACTGCTGCTGTTTAGCGTCGGCAAGGCAAACACGACTGGCGCGGCAGCTCAGCTCCAAATCGGGGCAGGTCCCCCAGTACGGTCCGCCCAACTCTTGCTCGGAAAATTAGCGGCTTACGATAATGTAGATAGGTACATCATCATAACGTGCTGTTTCCATTATATTTGTAAGTATATACACTGACAGGGATACTTGTAATGATTGCCCCTCCATTCAATCAGTCAATTAATTCATCAGCCAGAAAGCTGCCTGTATTTAGCGTCCAGTGCGACGGCGGAGAGCTAATGTAATTAGTTGACAGTGCCTTCCTTTGCTTGCTACAAACGTTGATGCGATCTATTACTAGATACATATTCTTTCATATTCCATCAACTGAATAACCTTTATAAGACACGTTTGTGTTCGTTTCTAATAAATAAACGCATAGTTGTTCTTCAAGCCTGAAACTCTACGGATATTTCAAAGAGAATCTAGAAACCCGAAAAAACCCCCCATTATATCAACTCCATTATCTTTATCTTTTACACCCACTTCTTATAGACATCACCTCTAGAGGCCCTGCAACTCATGGCGACCAACGTCAAAGTTGTGGGAACAGACCTCAAACAGGTGACAATCAAGGTCAACCCAGGCACCTATTTAACAGATATTCTAGAACAAGCTTGCGAAAAGCTTAAGGCCGATCCTAGCAAATTCCTATTGAAGCACAAGCAGAAGCAGCTCGATCTATCCAAGACATGGCGAACTTCAGGTCTACCTCCGGGCGCTAAGCTCGAACTTGTCGTCCGATCCAATACACCTACCGCGATCAACGTCGCTTTACAATTCCCGGCTCCCGAGTCAAATCTATTCCCACCGTCCGGCCGAATCACGGAGAAACTACCCAACGATTTCACACTATGGCAACTTCTGCGCCAGTTCGAGAGCGGTACGGCAAGTCAAGGGAAGAACTTGAACATCACAGGGAGGGGTATAGCGCAGACGAGTAATGGTACCGCCGCGGGCAGTGGGCAGTTGTATTACGAGACACCTGTCCTGACGATCGAGAGCCGAACGTTGTCGACCTTCGCCGACTTTCAGAAGACCCTAGCACAATTAGGATACAACTCAGGGAGCGTCTTAATACGTTTATCCTTTCAGAAAACCGATAAGACTCTGGCGGATGCTATGGGGGATATAAGCCAGTTCTTTAGGGCAGAGGAGGAGGATCAGAAGGCAGAAGGAATCGCTGCTGTGCCGGCAGCTAGCGATATTGCGACTCCCTCGGCCGATATCCAACCTTCAAATGATGCGCCGATCAACCCCCCGGTAGATGAACCGGAAACTAGTGTGCCTAACGATACTCCCCAAGACGTTGCGGGACCGTCTTCCGTGGCACAAGCACCCCCGGATGCTATGGACATCGACGAACCGTCCTCCGACAACCGACCCGTCACCATATTCTCAGCACCCTCATCAGGTACCCCAGCCGCAGCTTTACGAACAGACGCTGACGAATCCTTCGCTCCACGAATCGAACACGCCCAAGCCCACCAAAGGCTACTTAAGACCGCAGGCGAAAACAAGCGCCTTCTTTCAGATCAAGAGCTCGAAGCAAAGGCTGCTACTGAAGACGCCAAAGTCGCCGCCGTCAAGTCTATCAGGATAAAAGTCCGCTTCCCTGACAACTTCTCCGCAGAATGGCCCTTTGGTCCAGAGGATACCGGTGCGACGCTCTACTCAGAGATCAGAAAGCTGATGGCAAATGAAACGGCACAATTCAAGTTGGCGCTGCCGCCTGGCAAGATAGTAATTAAAGACGACAGCAGCCCCCCAAGCAAGCTAATCGGTGGATATCGTTTAAGCTCAAATACATTGGTGAATTTCATGTGGGATGACAAGGTGCCCACCCAAGTTCGGCAACAACCTTTCTTAAAGGGCCAAGTCGTTGGTCGGGCACAAAACGTAGTTGTCCCTGAGACGCCAGAAGTTGAAGATGAAGATGTGGCGGGCCCTAGTGTTAACGTGTCCATGATCGCTCCCAAGCCCAAGGCTGAAGGGGATGGGTCTGGATTCAAGAAACCAAAGTGGCTCAAAGGCTTCGGTAAAAAGTAAATAGTGAAATGATAATGAACAGTGGGGTATCCTGAGGCTGCGATGGGCTATGAGTAGTGGCGTTAGCACTTGATATAATCTAGAATCGGTCAAACTAGCATTTGCTCGGAGTTCAGGTGGCATGCGACCCTTGACCAGCGTCGTTCATATAGGTAGTCACTCATCGAAGATTCTCAACACATCAGAAAAGTAAAATTTAATTGCCCGGATTCCCATTTGTGTCGGTTGGTATTGCAATAAAGTGATTAGCACAAGGCTACAGTAGCATGAAGCTATCTCTGTCCGAACCAATCCTCCGTAAAATCATCAATGCCGAAAGACGGACGCCAGACCTCATGCCATGATTGCTTTTTTATCGTACCCTCGACTCCCATTAACCGCCATATCCTCTCGAGATCATGTCGTTTAGTGACCGGCTCTGCGGGACTCGGCGATGACACGCTGGAGCTCGTCGACCTTCTTCTTGGCACGGCCGAAGGTACCGAGCTAGTAGATATTGTCAGTTATGATTATAGTTGATGGAATAGATATCGAGATGACGTACCCGCTTCTTGGCTAGCTTACGGGCTCGCTTGTCCTTGCTGTTTCGTAGCAATTCGATTACTCGGCGCTCATAGGGGGCAAGACTAGAGTCAGATATAAACGTTAGCGATTGTGTTCATATATGTAGGAAAATTTTCTTCCTGTGATATTGATCCTACAGCGATCGATCACCTTTCTAGGTGATCGAGCAGACAATCAGGAATATGAATATAAAGGGAAACTTACCCGGCAACCTCCTTGACGATGTCACGGACGAAAGCAGTTCGCTTGCTAAGGTGACCCTTGGTCCGCGAGACACGGGGCTTGACGACGCGGGGGGTGGTTTTCTATACGTGCCGAAAAGTCCATATTAGCCCATTGTCCATCGTCTGCTATAGTGCAATGTATTGCCACCAAAGGAAGTGATTGCAAGAGCAGAGATCCTCCACGAGGTGAGACGGGCGGAATCGACTCTTGAATTTTGCTTCTTTTCCTCCAGGTAGGCAGGTAGATAAATAGTATTGGTGATCATCTTACATATCCGCGGTTGATACCGATGGTAAGCCCAGTACGGGCGGGTGCTTCCTTGGCCATCTTTGTCGGTTGTTGTGATGAACCGGTTGGTGATGGCTGTGGTGGTTAGTAAATTCGCGATGCGAAAAAAAAAGGAAGAGAAGGGAATATTAAAGTATCACCAAGTTTAAAGTTGGAGATTTTTGTCAATTGGGTGGGCGGGTTTGTGGTGTGGGGCCATGTAAAAATTAAGCGAAAATCATACACGATCTAGCTTGATTGGCCAGCCTTGTCTCTGCCCTCAAGAAACCTTAAGATAAGCTAGGTGGGTCAACCCCAAGAAATCACGATAGCCTACTGGTGGGGGCTACTTAGGTACATGCACTTGCGTATTCTTTGGAACGCGGGCTGGACTGTTACCTTACGTTTCCGACCCGCCGACCTTCACCGGCGGTGTCTTTACGAGAAAAATCCTATCGTATTCTTTGTTCGTGAAGTTGAGAATGGCGAGATAGATGCATAACATTGCGTACACTTTTCCTCAACTTCTCATCGTTTTCAAGCCAACTTTATTAGATATCATTACAGGTATGATATCATCTAATAATAAAATACCTGAGCTATATGGCTTTAGATTGATGACTACATGCCTATTCCGTCTTTACGAAAATGAGAAATGTGGATCGTTATTTTGCACATCGGAATGTCGCTTGTTACCGGGGTTGGCGATATGACGCAGCTTCCATTGGTGTCACGGCGGGCAGGGCAGGCTTGATGAACGCCGCGCGCCTACCTTTCTAGAGTAAAGTTAGGTTGTATCACCTCATAAACATTGGAAGGAACCCGATCAAATATTTACGAAACCTCGTCCGGGACAGACGCAAGGTAGGAGCTTGTCTCTCTTTCAATTTTCAATTTTTCATCATCTTATCGTCTTATTATCCTAACTCTAATTTCTTCCCTCTTCCCTCTTTCTTTCCCTTCGCAGGCTCGAAGCCAGCCCGCAGTCGCTCACTTCTCATTCGTTATCGTCACCTCTCTTTTCTTCCTTCTCTCTATCAGTACCATCACTACCAGGGTTACTACTACTGCATGGCCCAACTTGCAGTATCACCTGCATCAACCATGATCCCAAGGGGAGACTTTTCGTCTTCCATTTAATTTACATTTACAAATACTACTCTTACATTGTTCCCTTGTTCTCGTTCTTGATTGATCATTATGTTTTGAATCGAGTCTTGGCCGGTTGGTTGAATGCCTACTTTTGGTGTCTTGGAGCGACATATTGCATCTTCACCTCTTTCTTGGTCCGCATTTCTTGGCCACCTTTCCTCATCATCATGTCTCTCACCATCTTGAGAGACCCTTCTCCTCAACCATGTTCACATAGCAGTTCTTTACGCATTACCGGTAAAGCCAATTGGCCAATGGCCATCAAACTAAATCGAACCGATACGGATCTAGGCCTTAGCTCCGAAGATACCGATTTATTTCGAACCGACAGCGAAGATGCTTGGAAAACGTTGGATAATATAGCTGTTCTTGGTTTGACTTTGGAAAATAGCGAGGATGAGACGACACGTTCAGGCGAATTACCTAGATTGTCCATTGAAGGTGATGAGGCCGAGGCCGGGTACTTGGAATCCTCCTCTTCACCGCTAGTCGGCCCGTTCCAGAAGTGGATGAGAAACCTACACAAACGAGCACATCGTTCGAGGACCCATCATCACCACGGCCGATTCGATCCTTTCCCGGAATACTCGGAATACACCTTCGGGGATGATTCCCTGGCCCCAGATGGCCACAGGAAGTCATCTTCCGGTTCCTCGTATGGGTTCGTTAACGCTGTCAGGAGCGCAAGCATAAGTCTTGCAAGCGCCAGCGTGGTTACGCGGCCGAGGAGGCATACCGGGCGATCGTCGCTTCAAGGCAGGTCAGAAATCAGTAGCAGGGGATCAACTTCTGGTCCGCGATGTTCTGAGGACAGCACATGTTTTGAACGGACAATGTCAAATGACCCAGGTGTGACGGAACGGTTGCTTCAAAGACGCCGTATTTTGGAAGAAATTATCGATACGGAAGAGAGTTATATTGGTGATGTTAAATTCCTCATGAACGTAAGACCCCGGTCAAGCTGCCCTCCCTATCCGACTACTAGTATTAATTCATCTCTTAGGTTTATGTCACCATTCTGGCTTCTTTGCCATCACCACATATGGGCCTTCGTTCCTCGATCAACCGTAATCTAACAGATATAGTCGAATTGCATGAAGAAATCCTTGGTGAACTGCATCGAATCGTGCCAAATTCTGAGTATACGCAGCCCGAGCGAATCCCAGTAACACCCAATCCGCCAACATCTAAGAAACATCATCGTTGGCGCAGTCTAGATTCTGTCCCGGAAGAAAAAGGGGGTGCATCATGTTGGCTACAGGACATTCCTAGTGTGTTCGCTGAACCATCTGTTGCGGCTGAGGTAGCTCATATATTCGGCAAAAGGGTTAGTATACCCCTTAGCAACGAGCTTATAGGCTCATCCCCTACTATCGTTAATTACTTGAGTGCATTAACACTATGTCAGATGAACCGTTTCTTCATCTACGAAGAATATGGCGCAAAGTACGAAATGATGATCAAAGATGTCGCATCTGCTCATCGGACGATGCCCCAATGGGAGACATACCAAAAAGGGCTAGAAGCATTGGCTGCTTCGTTGGGCGCTATTAACCATCATCTTGACCACTCGAGGAAATCTCTAACTATTGGTGATCTCTTGGTCAAAGTGAGTCTTAATCTAGTAAAGTTCAAGAATTTGGCTAATATCGGGAAGCCAATCCAAAGGATTTGTAGATATCCTCTCCTTTTCGCGGAGCTCTTGAAGTATACACCTGTATGCGATTGCCCAAATTCGCATATGGAGATAGAGAACGTTCTCATCCGATTACGTGAGGCTACATCTGAGATCAATCGTGCGACGGATGATCCACGAATGAAAACGACGATGGAGCAAACATGGTTACTTCAGGACAGGCTTGTGTTCCCTAACCAAGTAGGTATTAACCCGCTTTGTGATTGCTTCTATTTCTAAGTATTTAGCAGAGACTAGATGCAGCTTCGAAGACCGCAATTCGTTCGTTTGGACAAGTTCGGCTCTGCGGTGCCCTGCACGTATGCTGGCAGAGTAAAGACGGCGTGGAAGGCACCTACATGGTTACACTTCTGTACAAAGACTGCTTGTGTCTTGCCACGACTAGCAGGGCAGACCAGACCTATACCATCCAGGCTTGTATAAGTCTTAATGACATAAAGGTCGAGGAAGTTGACAATGGCCGAGGTAAGCTCACTCTGACATATGTGTTTAATTCCGTCCTGCTCATCATGCTCACATAATGAAGGCCTACAATGCCACACCGCACCTTTCTCTTGGAAGCTTGTATTCGAATGTGATCACCAACTTTACGAAATAATCATGACAGCGTGTTCTCCGAAGGAGGAACTAGAATGGCGCACTCGCCTTACACGACAAGATTCAATCGAACCATATGAAATATCAGAACCCATATTTTATAGCTCAATCTTCTTCAACATAAAGAGTCTGGGAACCATTTTTGGAAAACCAGGTACCGTTGCTCGTCGTCTCTCCATCCATAGAGCTACTACAGTTGGACCAAAATCGCCATTATGCCAAGTCATACTCAAGAACACGAGCACGATAAAGGACAATTCACCGGCGAATCCGACCTCGCAAATTAACCGTTCACAATCACTGTTGACAACCAATACACGTATTCCCGTCCTTGCCCCTTCTCGAGGAGATCGAGCTCGTCTGGAGGCGTTGCTGGCGGATGTCTGGAGCCGCAAGTTTCTCCCCTTCCCGGGCATAACAAGCCGTTCGAGAAGTGAGCACCTCGTTCGTAGCTCGGCATCAACCGTTATGCGGAAGCTGAGTGTCGCAAGTATTACTAGTTCTTTCGCGAAGCGTTCGACTAGCACGACCAATGTGGCGAAGTTGAGCGAAAACGGTGACTCACAAATCGACGACGACAAATTAATTGCCGGGTTGATTAGGATTCGTACGGCTGAAGATATTAAGCAAAGACTGCCGATGATCCAGGATGAATCTGAGCACACAAGCAGCCAAAGTTCAAGCGTCTTTTCTACAACTGATATTCAGGAGCAATCAGGAACAGTTAAAAAACTTGACTCTTCAAAACTTGATTTGGAATGGTTAGAGGAACATGGGGTTTCCAAACACTCAAGTGGAATACGTCGAAGTAGACAGACATCAGTGTCAGCAAGGTCATCGCCATCTTGTACTGACGAGGAGAATATATATCAAGGACTCGGAACGAAACATCGCTTACACGAAACATTAACTAGTATTAGGCCCACCGGGAAGTGGCCTAGGGTTGGAGCCATCAACAAGGGGTTGATGGCATCCAGCATTCGCAGCATTTTTAGATGAAGTGAAGGCAACTTCAGCATTACACACCAATGGTTGGGTATAGATACACACGGTTTGGACTGGCTCTGGCTTGGGGTTATACCATTCTTTTGTTTTCTTGTTTTTCTCTCGCGCGATGACACCGGAACGGCACCAGATTCCTTATGAGGTTTTGCTTTTCGTCTACTGCCTTGACGGGGCTTTTAGACTTGGACAACTACGATTATACCCAGGAGCAATGTAGTCAGGTTAGAAAACAGGAAAGTTTTATGTTATTCAGTTTTATGATACTGAAAGCCCTTCAAGGACTGGCTATAACCATGGTGCTTGATTTTCGGATATCAAGTGTACAGTGTGACAATAGTGTGTAGCTTGTCTCGTGATCAATCCTACAAACAGAGCTAGAGCTTCTGCATGCACGTCAGCACCTTGTTACAAACAAATACATAATCGTTTTAGTATAGACGCAGCCTTACAGACATGTAAACATTCCACTTACATACCTCCTCACACCATTTCATCAACTAATCTAGTTTTGTTTCGGTGATGGTCGGCTGCTCCCGTCTGGTATGTCGGTACCTAGGCTAACGTTGATCCTTTGTCTTAGCCACGTAGCAGGTACATTCAAATGACAATATCTGATGCACTTCTCTGTCTTATTCCAGTGCTTTCGAAGTTAAATTATTCGCCAAAATCCTGATGTACCAAGTAAAAAGCACAGGCAATAAGGTGAAAGGGCTTGGTCGTGTCTAAATTCCCTTGTAGATCCTTGTCCCAAGCTCCGCCGGTGACGTCAGTCATATCGCCGGGGGAGTAGATGCAGGTACAAACAGCAGTATTGAGCACAGCTTAGAGGGGCAAGGTACATACAGGCTTGGTTTGTATGTAAATGATGACGTAGTTGCTGCCGTTTGGTAAGAGCATGCCACATGATGATCGAATGGAGCAGCTAACCATGGAAAAGGCAAGAACAGCTTTACTTGTAGCCATATTTGAAGCTTTGTATGCCTACCTAGATAGAGCTTTTTTTCTAGCTTTTCTTTATTTCCCCTCAATTCATTCAACTTACTCAATTCCATCATAATCACGATCTTCAACCAACAATATTCACATTCAATCCTTTTCACCAACTATCCATATCCAATCTAACACCATCTACGTCTCGATTCGAATAATCAGAAAAAGTATTAAGACAATCGTCATCTAAACCTACAATTTACCATTCCATTTCTTCATTCGAATTCAATACAAATCGCCCATCATGACTAAGGGAGAAGCTACTCAAGTCAAGGTCCACTACAAGGGCAAGGACGAGGACTTCATCATCTTCGTCGACGACATTGAGACCTACAAGAAGTGGAAGAACGACAAGTCCGTTCCCATGGCCCACTTCATCTCCGCCTTCAAGATCTTTGTCACACACAAGTAAGTCCTACCTTGGCACGTGCTTTCTTGTTTCCCTCGGGCTCTTCCCCGATCCTCATCCTTCGGAACACGATGGTGTTGTATCGGGATCGGTCAAATCATATCCCCAATTCAGCAGACGAGGCGATAAGGCGCACCTGTAATACGACGTTGTGTTTTCCTGCCCTCTTCCCATCGATTTCAATACTTTGCCGCCCCAGCGCTTGCGAGCTGAATGTGTACCACCAATCCTTCAAATCTGCAACGGTCGGCCCCCAAATCCGGTCCAGCTCGCGGCAAAACGGGTGTCATTGAGCGACTACCTCGCCTTAACCGCCAGGAACCAATTCGAAGCCCTCCCAATTCATGCAACATCCAACATTGATCCACTCAATTGAAGACGGCGGCTAACCTGTTGTGTCAATAGGCAAGGAGCACAAGGCCAGATGGATGGCGCGTCCAAGTCAACACTCGAGAACGAGTTCGGTGTTTCCAACGAAGATGAAGTCATTAAGAAGATACTAGAGAGCGGTAGCATCCAGGAATCCGAGGTAAGACTAACCGTTTTTCTAAATTGATACCGTAAAGGTCTTACACAATTGCTAACCACCATAACTCAAATAGTTCCCTGAGCGCCAAGGACCCAAGAACGATGCCCAGCAAGGCTCCATTGTCGCTGGACAAGTTGCAAGATAGAGTTATGCGCTCCTTCACAGGCAGCGCCAGAGAAAAGCTGTTGCGCTGTCCTTCACAAGACCAACTTGCTGCAAATCGATGAAGCCGCAGTTAGGTCTGTTGGGGCGTCATGATCGATTGGCCCTACAACTCATCAACCAGATGAATTTTGCAAGCGATGATTACAACCCTGTTAGGTAGCTACCAGCTGTGCCAACGAGGAAAGATTTCGCGATGGATTTGCAAAATAGTCGTTGCTAGCGACAAATGAATCCCAATTGATTCAAATCAACTATGACTTCATTTCAATTAATCCGTGAATGATGTAATCGTGCCTTCATTAATTAATTCGAAGCGATCTCTATTACCAAGGCTCTGCGTACAAATTAGTCGTAGTTCAAGTTGCCTTGACCCGAGCCTCACGCAGGGGTGTTTCGCAACCTGGTAGAAATATCCAGCTATGGTATCACCTCGCTAGCATATGAAACCGCCATATTGGTCCACGCCGCCCCCATCGAGATACCCTGACCCTCTCTTTCTTTCATTACAATACTACTGGAAATATTTACTTTTTCACTTTCGTTGGGGACCTCTCGTAAAGTGCTGCAGCCAATAATTAAGAAAAATAAGTGTGGTTTCACTACGTTGGTATTATTAGTTATAGGGTGCGCTACACGAGCATCGTAGGATGTATGCTATGTGCATGTATGTGCTTCACAGCCACCACCATTTCCAATACTACTACTACGACCACCATCAGATATACATACTCCCGCATATAGGGTGAAGCCGGCCGTATCGCAATCATGCTTCATTCGTAAATATCCTCTCCCTCCTCAAATGCAAACACCCGGTGTTGTATCCTCCTCTTTCATGCCAACTGGCAAAAGTACCCCCAAAATGCCTCCAAAAATAAATAGCTATCAACGCCGGTATATTGTGTGTAAATGCCTTGGAAATTCGATGGGAGAGTAGAAACCACAGTAGATGGTAGTTCCTAAATTATTGATAATAACGCTTTGTTTTCTTTTTTCTTCTTTATAAACAGACGATGCCAAGTTTATATATGGTAATGCAGATACATCAGGGGTTTTATATTCATTCCTCAGAAGTAGAAATTTGAGGAGCTGTTTCGTATGTACAGCGGTCTCGTCCCCTTTCTTCACAAAAGGGTTCATAAGAACCCAATCCCACGCTAAAATATGGGAATGTGAAGATAAAAAGAGGCGAAACTAGTTTGACATGTACACGACCCAGGTGCAATCCGCTCGATCGGGCGTGAGGTAGTCGCCGTATCTACCTCTACGCCTTGGAACCGCCGGGGCGGCCTCGTTGCGGCAGAGTCCATGGTTTAGCGCAGATAATTTCGCCTTCGCTGTATGCCCAAAAGTAAACGACCATCGCCACTATGTAGTAGATAGCAGGGTTAGTTCCTTGGTAAAGGAGGATGGAAGCGAGCGATGCTAGCGGGAACGAAGCGAGTCGAGCCTCGAGGCTGCGGTGGATCGAAGAACCGGCGATGAGGCCTAGCGGCCACTCCCATGCGAATATCCATAACCCCAAGAGTAGGTTGATAATTTGTAACGCAGGAACCGGCTTCACGGCCGGATCTAACGTTTTCGTAAGGAAGTCGAAGAATATCTTAGGCCAGAAGAATCCCTCTAGTGCGGAAGCAACTTGATCTAGAAATTTCTGTTAGTAAATGTCAAAATATCCCTGGCATTCGTAACCACGTACAAGCTGCAGCCGTGAGAGCAATGAGTCTGGCCCAGTGGTTCTTGATAAGTCTTCCCATTTTTGCTGTCCTTTTTCAAATATCCTTTCCAAAAATTGGTCTTGTATTCCTGCTCTTCGAGTCTTTCCCAATGGTCTTTCTCGTTCTCTCTTTTCCTTTCTCTTCTTCCTGAAGCTCCAAACGATCCAAGCGCCCGGCTCTCAATGAATTCCAAAATAAAAACACACCCGGGTGCGAAGAAGCGAAGGTAACAGAACGGCGTCGAAGTGAAGGTAAATTGCTAGGTAGCCGGACCTGCGTAACGTAGAATAGAATAGAGAAGGGGAAAAAAGAATCGATATTAAAGAATGCTATCGAAACGGCGAGTGCACAGCGCTGGCAAGAGGAAGAAGAAGAAAAAAAAGAATAAGAGACGAGAGGTCCAATTGGGAAAAGTCCAGGCCCGGACGGGGGTACTGGGAGGCTATATTGGGGCCCGCTTGGCGGGTTCTTATCCCCTGTTGGGAGCGATGCTCCCGTTGAGGGAGGCTCGTGTCAGAACCGACTGATATGAGCCGGGGTGGCGTATCTGACGTTTCTGGGTCGATGAGTGCTAAGCTTCGTCTGAGATCCACGTTCTTGAGATCTTGTCTATAACGACAGCAGGCATCCGAGCGGCATCGGTATCATCCACGAAGTCTTAGTTCCAGCCCCTGCTTGGGAGGTATATTCTATGTACAATCCACCACTTTATTTTCGAGGTGTGACGTTAGCTGAACATGAGACGGCAAGCCGATGTTTGAAGTCGTAACTGTAAGCGTTCGTGAGTGCTCCACAGGGGCATCAATGTCATAGCTCGTCCAAGTCGTTCTAATTAGCACTAGGGCTTATGGGGCTCTAGCTCATCGCATGAAAAGGGTTGAGGATCAGACAGGGCGATGATACTCGAGAGGAGGTGTTCCGAGTTTCTTCATGTATGGAAGGGTAGCTCCGAGAATCTTCAGACATGAAGTGGCATGCAAGAGTTTAAGAAAGCGAACAAGGACAGTGGGTCTTCTGGGAAACGCATAGAGTCTCACTAGCCCACGCCGAGACCGCCGTCTTTGAGAACCAATGCTTGCAGGGCCAAGAGATATGTGTATGTACTTACATACGAGAGAAAAGAAATATGCTGGGTAGATGGGTAGATGTATCTATGTATGTGGCCGGCTCTTCGCAGATGCCATGGGGGTTGCGCCCTGCTTCATGATGTGCAGAATGGACATATAACCCGAAATAGTTTAGAGCCTGATGAGTATCAACCAGAAGAGCTCTCGTCACAGTCTGGGCTACGGTGGATACAGTATGTGAACTTGCTGTCCATTGGGTAAAAACAGCAGTGAACATCTTGGCCTGGCTAAGCGGGTACGTGAATAGGCGGCAATGGTGCATACTGTAGGGACTAGGTATTGGGTATTCTCGAGATTACGGCCGCCCAGATGGTCGTTGAGAATAGCCAGTGTAGTAGAGGACCGAAGTGATTGGCTTTTCCTGGGCGGCTACAAGTCTTTGCGCAGCCAATGAGAGGCTCAATCTGAGTGCTTCTGCTGCATAACAACCCCCCATTACCCCCGGCTCTCAACCCCCGTCTACAGGGGTACGAGCAATAGCATTGTACCTAACATTGCAATGGCAATCCGTAAGCGGTAATTCAGTTGCTCTGCCGTCCTAGCCCCCGAATTGTTACTGAGCGTTTTTTTCGCTGTCGCAATTGACGGATTTAATGAATATAGTAAATAGGGGGTACACTCATCGCCCGCCGGAAAAACAGGTACTGAATATGACTATAAATTGCTGGCGGACTAATTGGCAGGTACATTATTGATGTCCCGACCTAAATTACCGCTAAATTATGCGTTATGTTTGCTTTTTCTATGCTGAGAACAATTCGGTACCTGCTAAGGTACTTCGATGATGCTAGAAGGATTCATTGAGACCTTGGGGCTTTCGGCAAGGCGCGGCTCCGAAGAACAAGTCTCACCTCGCCCAGTAATTCCCTGTCGGAGACTGTGTCGCGTTGTACACCACAGCATATTTTCAATACGCATATACATGACCGGCCTAGCTGAATTGATCGAGCTGTGACATGTCAGCTTCTGAAGGGGTAAAGAAATCGAGGCAGTGGTGTTCGAGAAGTCTCAGGCATTTGAGACGAGCTATTCGAAGTTTTCCGGTTGCCCAGCGCAGTTCCAAACGCTGGAGAGTTTCGCAGGGGAACATATTGCGGCAGATCGGGTTTAGGCAAGGTCCAGATAAGATCGACCGCCTGTTAATAGCCAGGGTTCGTTGCCATCATCCGGGAGACTAGACCTAATGAAGGAATATAAATCCAGGATACGAGCAGGGTATGGCAATGGAGCCGCCCAGGTCCTCCATTCATCGATGGCTCGATAAAGTTGAGGGGGCTACCGACCGGGGTTTAGTTGACTAGGGGTTGGGAATTCGAGAAGAGGTCCGACCACTACATCCTCTCGTCTTTTAAAGCATCGAAGGCTTCAATTGCGAATCGAGTTAGAACTCCTGTCTTTTGGTATTCGAATATCGTAACACCTCAATCGATATCTAAGCCTACTCAGAAGGATCGAAGTCGACCCATTGTCCGTTGGATCGCTGCCTAGTCGTTTGAGTAAGTAAAGCCCCCAAGCGATGGGGGCCCTTCCCTTTCCACATTCTACCTAGTCATAAATGAAGAACCACCGAATAGTAATTCCGAAATGGACAATTATTTGATAACTAAAGTGTTTGCTTTAGCCATCACCACACATTAGCGTCTTGTCGATCTGATAGTGCAGTGTAGATAGAAGCAGTGCATCGTCAGCTGATTTTGATGCGAACCGAACTGGGGAGAGAATAAGGAAAATGAGGGGGCGATGCGGTCAATTCGATCTACCTAAGGTAAGGTTCTGTACGACAGTAGGACAGAGTACATATGTACCATGTAGAGAGTAGCGGAAAGTAGGTGGGTAGGTACATACTTGGTGTGTCGCGTCACATCCCGTATGCAAGTATTGTATGCGGTGTGCCGGGAAGGAAGCTACATAACCTAGTGTGAGCTTATTTTCCATTGGTGAGTTTGTTCTCGTCGGCGGTTGCTGCCGGATCCTGATTGGACTTTGTGCTCGGGAAGCCACATGAATATTGAGAATGGCGTACTTCATTCGCTGTACCTCATCGACCAATCAACGCTTTTCTACAGCAAAATAATCACCTAGATAGCAGGTGACCGGTCAATTTCCGCCCACGTTTTCCAAATCTCCTATCAAGTTTATTCACCCCAATAAGAATCGAGTTACGAGTCCAAAGCTTCATCTATATCATACGAATCCACTGGGGCGGGTCAAGCGTTGAAGAATATGTGTAGCATCGCTTCCCCCCAACACGTTGTCTGTGAACCCTCGTCGTCATACCCTGAATCTATTCAACTTATTCTCGAATACTTCGTATTTATTGAAGAACGGTTCCTTGTCAATTTGGTCTTATCAACTCCGGATAGTAATTCTCAATCAATGATCACCGTCTGCATAAGCAGCAAGAACACAATCCGGGCTATGTTCATGCCCTGCTCGATCATCATTTCTTCGGATGTTGGCAGCTATTCTCGTCACAGTTGCAGTCCCAATTCCTATATCCCCACTCCCCATTTCTACGCCAACTTCGGAGCTTTTCCCTGCTGACGACATCAACATGCCCCGTAGGGTAGTTCACTTCGCAGATGCTTGCCACAGTCATATTTGCTTATCTTCATATTATCCACACGATCCCGTGCCACTCACTGTAACAGCAATTGTAGATTGTAATTAAATAATGAGGGTTAACCAATGGGGGCTCTTGTTGTCATGATTGAGTTTATGCCGCGAATAACAGAAGTATCACCACAAGCGTCTTCTGACAATAGCCATGGCACCGCCACACCGGTATCCGGTTTGTATTGGCTACCTCTCTAAATGTTGTTGTCGAAAGGAATAACTCAAGCTACAGCAGTCCAAGCACTTTCCCCATTGACTGAGGCCTTACAGAAATTACATTTAGCGCCCCTCGTTTCGAATAAGACCTCGCGGAGCAGATTGGTTCGATGCAGAACAGCTAGTTTCGCCAAGCGCGCTGCAATCTGTCCCGTCTCCATGTCGTGAAGATATCCACCATTGGGGCTGAATCTGGTATTACGCAACACCCAGGCTAAACATAACCATGGCGTCGACCACGGGAAATTAAAGATATGTGAAGACCAGTTATTCGACGAGATACTCCTTTGCCCAGAACGACACGATACTCTCTGAGTCGTTTTCCAAGAATGTGGCTATTTCCGTCTGCCCGGCCGGTGTTGACACAGTATCTAATAGGGTCCCCATACTGGATGTAATATCGGTCAAGACATTAACTGCATGTTCTGATAGTGGTGGCCTGTCTGAGCAGTATGGGAGGAGGGATTGGGCTGGATTCGTCGTTCTAGGGGCCCTACTGCCGCTACTGATTTGATGGTAAAATGCCATCAGGTTTGGTTGCACAGCCTGGATCGAGCTTACGGGGATGATGGGCATTTCAAACTCCCCAACAAGACTTTTTTCATATCAGCCTATGTAACCAGGAATCAGGTGTGCTGAGAAGAGACTGTGTCTCACCTCAGTTGAAGCATCATGAACGCTGTCATTGGATTCGCCTGGCCCTTTGCTTGCTTAAGTAAGAAGACAATGGCGATATCCTGCCCTCCACTGAGATGATACAACCGCTGAATCCGGTCTTTACAATCATCAGTGCCGATATCTGACGGCGATAGCAAGATAACACGAAGCACTCTTCGGGGTTGGCCGCCGGGACTTCGTAGAGGTAGGGCCATGTCATGGTGGTCAAGTTTTCTCTCTGCTATCTAGCTTAGTGCTGCTTTGCATCGGGCTATCGGGATCTTGAAACAGTGCAGCGGTTATACCTTTCCACGTGGCGTTTTTATTTTGTATAATGGTAGAGGCAAGAGTGGCCCATTCCGGGCGCTTGCGTAGGGAGTAGCATATCAAAGGATTTGACGAAATTCCCAATTTCATGTTCATGTTGTACGGGTAAGTACCACATCGGTAATTTGTCCACAGGTTAGTTGTAATAGACGTAACGCCACAGGGTATTTTTCATGTGAGGGTATACATGGAATTTAACGTTAAGTTAGATGACTACATACCTAGGTATGTACCACAAAAAGTGAAATAAGGTTATAGCTGAAGGCCTACTCCACCTTGCCAACCTAAATTTGGTGTTGGTTGTTCTTTCCGTTGTGTATACCTGTAGACTTCCTTAGAGCCGCAGGTACACAGACATACATATGTACATGTGTACGTCTGTTGGGCTCTCATGTATAAGGGATATGCACCTATTCCACTTTGATGGTATGAAAATCGTTCTGAATGAAGTGTTAGCTAACCGTAATTAATTGAACGGAGAGCTTCTGATTTCTTTCTATATTGAGATATTATCGGGATACCTCTGTAATATATACAATGTGTAGGAGGTGGGTTTTCATTATATAGTGCTCTATCAGCTTTTAAATGGCGATGTCCAAGTTTCTGACCTTGATTCGCAATGCCGTCTCCACGTGTCTATGGTTTTATACAGTCGTGATAATTTTTGGGATGAATATGCCGACCATAATTATGAGGCCAGCATAAGTCCAACGAGCTTTTCCTATAACTTTCATGTGGATGGTGATGCTATGGACAGTATGGGTTTTTGAGTCTTCGGATCTTTAAACTCCTTCAGTAACGCTTGCTCAAGTATCAACATTCGGTTCTCTTGCCGCTTTTCGGCCTCCTCGAGTTCCTTTTCTCTCTTATCAAGTTCTTCGAAGCGAGCATTGAGCTCTTTGATCTTCTCAAGGTTGGAGTCTGGTTTGCTTGACGATCTCAGGGTTTCGTATAAGATCAGAGCAGATGCTACGAAAAGGATAAAGGTATCCCCGATTACGTCCGCAAATAAATCAACTGCCTTAGCTTCTGGTAGAGGTCTGAATTTTCTCTTCCAAACACTTATTATAGGTATTGTCTTTTTAGCACGCGTCTCTTGGTTCGTCGTGCCATGCTTAGCGCGGATCCCCTCATCCTTTTCTATTTGTTCTTTCGTTTTTACTGTAGGTGCTTCAGCCTTTTCCTTTGCTCTCATCTCTGCCTCGACGTTTCGGAGAAGCGCTACCGAAAGGCGCATGTTCAATTGGTGAATGTGTTGGCCATATTTCGCAGCAAAACGTCGGAATCCCGGATGGTCATGGGCTTGCACTTTGATTCGATTCTGGGCGTTGTTGTTAGCAATTTATTAGATTCTACATAATATATGCGAAGTAATTGATTATCATACAGCGCCATATTTTGAAATATGTCTTAGAAATAAAGAGCCTAGTTTGAACAATGGTAATGCTACCATATCGCCTCGTTTCCTCTAGGTACTATGAGGTACCTGAAGAGTTTTCGGTTTGGTGATATACACAATATCCCCGCCGAAGACTGAATGCACTTTCAGGGAGCGGCATGCATTTCTACTAGACCGAGGTCGTGAGTATTAATGCTGTAGAGAAGGAAAATGAGACCGAAATAAATAATGACGGTGGGATGCCTGGATGTTTCGGATGTATCTGATCAATTGACTTGGGGCTGAAGCATTATAATCTTATCGATAGAGATTGACGCTAACTTGAGAAGTGTGGACACTGCAGGTACATGCCAAATTGGGGTTACTGCCAAGAAAATTTATTAGCTTTGGAGCTCTCTGGTGGTTGCCTCCCCAACGGCTGCTAGCGTTTACTTGTAAATGAATGGACCACTTTTCAGCGTGCACGTTGCTTCGTACAACACCGACCACTAACGGGTTAGAAACTAAAATACATACTCTCTTTTCATTTTCCTCACAATATCGTTGCTACGCGTAGCTGGACCGAACGAGCTGCATTTTGCATTACGAGTGCTTATCTATCTTACTGGCTTGATACCCGATTCCGATGCTATTTACAACTTGTAAGTATTTTGATTAATTCATTTATGTGTTACCGACAACCCTACACATGCTGTCAAGTAGAACTTAGCTCACCGCCAACGTGGAAAGTGCTCTAAACTTGAGTTTGAGCTTGTCATTATTTAAGCTTCACATACCGAAAGCTTATAAGTTCCTATTCGCTTTAAGTTGTCTAGTCGGGAGCTTATTCTTCTCCTTTTCTTCTCTCGCGACCTCTAACGGTTAGAAACGAAGGCTTCGTGTCTCTAGCGTAACGACCCAACTAATCATTATGTTTAGGAATCCAAGCGCCACCATTATAGAAATTCGCCCATTGAGCTCCCACTTTGCTACATTTAACTTTCCCTAGTGCTTCGCCAACTCGGTATCCCCATGGCGGATCGAGTTTTGGCGGCGAGGCACGCAGCCAATGCGGACGCTTTGTCTCCGAGGGATACCAATGCTCAGCTGCCATATCGGACGGCTGATGCCGCTAAAGCTAAGGCCGCACCAGCTCCGAAGGCCGTCCAGAAAGAAAAAGAAACTCCTCCACAGCCGCCTCCCATCGTTTACGAACCACCGAGCTTCGACCGAAAAGATGGGGCTGGTTATCAAGTTGGAAAAATGCTTGGAAAGGGTGGTTTCGCTGTGTGCTATGAAGGTTACCTCCCGACGAGCAAGGGTAAGAGGAAGTATGCGTTGAAAATTGTTAGGAGCAAGATGCCGTCGAAGATGGAACAAAAGGTCAGTTTTACGACAAGGTTATTGAAGTCGTGCTTGATGCTAACAACCGAGGTAGTTTCAAACGGAGCTGCAAATCCACTCCAAGATGAAGCATCAAAACATCGTACAATTCCTCAGAGCCTTTTCTTTTGAAAGCTGTACCTATCTTGTCCTCGAATTATGCCCAAATGGATCATTAATGGACATGGTCAAGCGAAGAAAGGGTTTAACGGAGCCGGAAGTTCGATTTTACTCGGTGCAGATTGCAGGTGCTATCAAATATATGCACGCCAAGGGTATCATCCACCGAGATTTGAAGATGGGTAACATCTTCCTCGACAAGGATATGAACGCGAAGATTGGCGACTTTGGTTTGGCTGCATTACTGGTGACGGGCAAGGACATGCAAACAATTCGTCGAACTACGCTGTGCGGGACGCCGAATTATATTGCCCCGGAAATTCTAGAGAAGGGGAAGAAGGGCCATGACCATATGGTTGATATATGGAGTTTGGGTATCATTATGTGAGGCTAACCTGGCGGGCTGTGAGCGAATTGTTACTAACATATGGTATTAGGTTTGCGATGCTCACTTCTAAGCCGCCCTTTCAATCTTCAACCACCGATGAAATCTATCGCCGAGCGAGAAATCGCGATTACGAATGGCCTAAACCCGAGAGTTCTAACAAATACATCTCACAAGAGGCGAAAGATGTTGTTGCTACCATGCTGGAAGAAGCAGATAGACGACCAGACCCCGACACAATTGTCCAACATGACTTCTTCCTTTCAGGGTATGTCCCGTCCTCGGCGGAGATGACAACAAAGTTGCGGGATTATCCGCCCGATGGCGATCAATTTTATACTATAGACCTTACACCAAAGATGGCCTCCCAGAACCTGCGCAATTTGAAAGAAATGTGCAAGAACTGTGAGGTTGGCCCCTGGAACACTATGCCATTGACATATAAGAGTACGTGGAGAGAGGTTGCTCTCGAAGAAAAGGCTGGATTAACTCCAATCATCCCACTGGCCGAAGGTATTGTTTACAGACCTTATGAAGAGGTTAGCAAAGAACAAAATCTCGTCCAGGTGCCGTCTCGGCCAGCTCAGTCGGTTACGAATGAGGAGGAGGAAACTGGAACACAATCCGGAGCCAACGGCTTAATGCGAGCCCCACCTCAGAGTTTTGCGGCGCAACAGCGAGCACAGAGTAGGCCAACTAAGCCTGCTGGTGTGCCTCGATCTCGTGCATTGGGCGAAATGCCCGCGCCTAGTGCTAGCAGTAGCGTACGATCACGTACCAGGCGTGAGCTTCCCAAGGCCGCCACAGAGAGCCGACTCGCATCGAGAACAACCATATTGCCTTCGACGCTTAGCTCCCACCGTATTGCATCAGCGGAAGTATCAGCACCTACTTCTACACCAAGGGACGAAGCCCCAATCCAGAGAAAACAAAGCGAGCGTGCGGCGGCGCCCAGTGCAACAGCAGCGTTTACTGGAACACTCTTCGGATCAACAGAACGCAAGATGGCAGTACCAGAGACGCAGCCTGACTATGTGTTGGATAGGCTTCATTCTTTGCAAAGTGAGCTTGAACGAGCTCTAAACTCAAGATCAATGGCGATTGTGGGTAAGGCACCGACACCTTCTCCGCCCCATATCGTTGTGAAGTGGGTAGACTATTCCAACAAGTTTGGCTTAGGTTATATCCTGAATGATGGAAGCGTGGGTTGCGTACTGAAGAGCATACCTGGCAGCGCTAAGGGAGGCAAGACTGTTACATTGCCGCCTAGTTGCATCTTGGTTCGAGAGGCAGAACAACACTGCGCGCGACGGCACGATCCTGGATACCCCGATAGAAACCAGATTGTACCCATGACTCAGGCAGTACAATTTTACGAGAACAGTGGAGAGGCCGGCTTATCTACTGTCTTTGTTCATCCTTCACAGTTTAAGATTAGCATCGCTGAAGATGGTACGCCGGGGAAGATACCGGTCGGTCGCGACATTTACGATTATCGAAAGCGGGAACACTTAATCCTATGGAAAAAGTTTGCCAACTATATGATGGCATATGGCCGAGACCAAGATAATACGACTGACGACACTGGTCTAATACAAATTCCCACTTCGACCAAACAGACGATGCCTCCGTGCGATGTAGTCACTTTCTACCAAAGAATTGGAGACGTTGGTTGCTGGGTCTTCGCGGACGGGCACCTCCAGTTCAATTTCCCTGATCATACCAAGATTGTCCTTGATGCAACCGGGACTTGGTGCCATTTCTGGCATCTTCCTCAGGAAGCAGCTGAGAAATTGGCAACTACGGGCGAATTGGATGAGACCGCACTCGACGAACGAGCTGTTTTGTCCTATCCCTTGCAGACACTTCTCAATTTTGCTACCAAGCCGGCTATCCGACCAACGCGTAATGCTACGCGCAAGCGACCGGATATTAACCCCATGCTACAAGGCATCCCCGCCGCTAATGACTTCCGTCGAAAGATTGAATTCATTAAGAATATTGTTAAAGAGTGGGTTACGAACGGTGGTTTAGGGAATAGTAATATGGATCGCGAACACCGCCAACAGTGGACCGGTTCCCGCGAGACGGTTCATAGTGGACCCAGCAAGCACGTATGGGTCACAATTGGAGCTCGTTGGGGTGACGAGAGATACTCGGCTCTTGTCGATCCTAAGAAACCCGGAGAATTGGGCAGCGAAGTTGAGTCTAAATCGAGCTCTTGAAGTTGTACATTCATACAACTTAGATATCCGGTGACGAGCTGTAAGAGGTGAGAGAGAGTTTAGCGGCTACTGCTTTTTTAGGTGCCATGAATGATGACTAGGCGTTCGCGTTCATCATTACTTCGATTAAGAGTCTAGGGTTCATTGCATGGCGTATAGGACACGGGATAATATAATAGTAGTTCGCATTTATCTAATTTTTGCATGATGCTTGTATTATGAATTGAGTGATTCTTTCTGCCCCAGACAAATATCGCCTTGCGTTATGTGTAGTAGTAAACTATTGATATGTGATCTGTACTTGGTATACTGCTATTGGTTTAGCCGAATACTTTTGATTGAGACATTTTATTTCGTAGTACAAACCAACTCGGTGATATTCTAGCGTGGGGAGCAGTAGTCATGGTCTAGTTGTGTTAGAATCAACGACAGCACACGCTTACAATAGGCTATACCGCCGAGTCCGTTGTTGATCCTTTTGTCGTATAGTAAGTATCGTATGAGGCCTTCCTCGAATTGAAGTCGATCCCATTCAGGACCCAATACCGCCTTAACCCCAGAGCCCCATCATCATACATATTCCATACCTACTTATACTTATTCTCGTCGCCGACCTCAGAACCCATTATTTCTACATGGGCATCGGGTATTACAAAGCCTTAGCAATTGGGTACCACTTATATAAAAAAACGAAAAGTGTGGATATGAATACGAATCAGTCTACTATTCCCCACCGTCAAGCGAAGTCACAAAAACTCCGAGATACTAGGTAGGTCGATCAGTTAAGAAGTCACAATAGTCGATCATAGGCTTTTCATCTTGTCCCAGCAATCCACACGCACGCGCACAGACCGCCAGCACGGCGGCGGGCGTGGGCTTCAAAATATTATTAATCGGCTCCTTTTCTGATATATACAACAAGAGCGCACCCAAAGGCATCACATCATCATCGAGGGAGAGGGAAAAAACAATGAAAGGAGGGTATTGTGTGCGTGAGTGAGCGCGGAAGAGACCGCTATGCTAATTGAATACGGCGATGCCATGTTGTGAATTGCGTCCGATGTGTGTATAAAACCCCTTCCCGGCTTTTCCAACCATCACCACCATCTTAGGCAACAAAAAATAGTAGTGTCCGAAGCCCGCTTGTCCACACCCAATGTCAAAAAAGGAGCCTATTCTCGTCTCATCTTATTAACAACCCATAGATAGTAGGAGGAAAAGTAAAGGATGGAGATGGAAGGTGAAAAAATGGAGAGAACAAACGCCTCGTGATACGAGCAAGATGGAAGACAATGTCGAGCTCTTCGTGTATAAACCTATACACGGTAGCCTGGGATCGTTCATCCATCACTCTCCTGGCTTCGTATCACGTATGCAAATGCAATTATTCGGAAATGTGCCAGAAATGCGCGAGTCCAACCGCCCGTGTCCCTTTTAATGAGACGGGGAATCCTTTGATCTAGGGCAAAAAATAGAAATTTCCTCTTTTTTCTTCTTCTCTCCTTCTCTTAGCATTGTGATACTTGTCACATGAATTTCCCCTGTCTGTTGCTCCAACCTAGACCTCCCCTCGATTCAAAGTCCCTAGATAGCGACTGGCAGCGACTGGGACTTTGAATATTCTAAATAGCACAGCCCTGGATAGCTACTCTGAACAGTTTCCAAGATATGTACTTAGTCGCCGAAAGCAAGACGTACGTAGTCCTCGAAAGCCTTTCAACCTTCTGCCTGCGAATTCCGTTACGCAGGATATATTACATTACAACGCACTCCTTATCGTCTTTAGATTGATTTTTCTTCATCTTTCCGTTGCGTGGCGGGGCAACGTCCATTGGAGTTCCACCGCTCACGGCTGCTCGGATGGCGGCAAGTCGTTGCTTCGCGCGTTCGTCGCCAGCATCGGCTGCTTTAACGTACCAAACATTGGCTTCTAGGATATCGCGGCGGCAACCTATGCCCATTTCGGTGAAATAACCGACGGCATATTGGGCTTTGACAAAACCTGTTTTGTGAGCCTTATTAGCGAAATGGAGAACAGTGTTGAGGGGAATCTTAAGACCTACCAAGTTCTGCCGACCGACGAGCCCATTCGTACGCTTCCTCTTCATCTTTTTCTAAAATAGGTTCAGCTCCGACCATATACCACGCACACAATCCCATCATAGCCGCAGCGTGACCGCGTTCTGCTGCGCCGGTATAGAAATGGACGCTTAAGGCTGGGTCTCGAGGGCAATTTAATTTTCCGTGCTCATAAGCATCTCCCATACGAAAGCTCGCTTCAGCATGGCCAAGTTCGGCTGCCTGAGTAAATAATTCGGCGGCATAACTCTCGTCTTTGAAAATATCATCGCCATAACCGGTTTCGTATAATGTACCAAGGTGGTAAGGGGCTGCGTTATACATAGCATCTGCTGACTCGGTCGCGCGCTTCAGCCATTTCACACCTTCCCTGTATCGATTCTCGCCTAGGTCTCCCGAAAGGCAAGCCTTTCCAAGCCTCGTCATGGCGCCTGGATGATTTTTCGATGCTGCCGTCCGCAAAAACTGAACTGCTTTGGCCGGATCTTTCCTACATCCCCATCCGAACTCGTAGCATAAACCAGCACGATAACCAGACTCAGCATGACCGTGCTTCGCAGCCAGAACGAAGAGGGGGAAAGCTGCGTTGTAATCTTCCTTGCCCTTGTTAAACAAGCCCGAGGCAAAACCATCGGCAAGGTAATACTGGGCAAAGGGATAACCGCCATTGGCCAACCTTGTTAATATACTTTTTGCTTCTCGAACCAACTCGTTTGGCGAGGATTCCTGGTTTTCTTTAAGTGGACTCCCCTTCGGACTGCTTTTCCTCCGCGAAGGTTCATCAAAATTTAAACCCTGCTCCTGCGCGGTGGAGATTAAGAAGACGGCGAAAGAATATTGTATCGAAAAGTCATTCGTCTTCTTCACGTTTTGTCTATACATCTCGAGGGTCTTTTGCGCGCTGAGTAAGGAAGCATTACTTCCGACGTTGTTGCGAAGGTAAGAGTTGTCAAAGGTGATGGGAGCAGGAGCTTGTTGAGGATAGGGAACATTGAGCAATTCTGCGTAGGAAGTCGGTCTTGTTTCGGGTGATCTGCGAGAATGAACGGAGGGGGTTCGTGGGTGAGCACCTCCGTAGGCTGGAGATCGCCCGCGTGGCCCGAATTCGGAATATAGCGAATATGATGATTGCGGTCGAGGCATTGAACTCCTTCTCATGAAAGAATTCGGAGTTAAATGACGGTTTATGGCCATACCCGGGTTAACAAGATCGGAATTAGAAGAATTCCTCGAATTCGACTCGATAGGCACACTCGAGACTCGCGGAAGAAAAGGCTGATGGTGGTATTGTAATTGAGGCACGGATTGGCCATCTTGTATGGAGCCTTCCGTGAAGGATTCTTCTTGGGACGCGTCCTCCGGTGTAGTACGACTCTCGCATGCTTCATTAAGACCTCCAGAAATTGAGCTTGCACTTGTCTCAACGGATGAGTCAGTTGATGTTGGCTGTTGCGTACTCGCCGTCGTGTCCGATTCGCGACTATGTCGGTTCGGGTCATCGCTACGAGAACTATCGCTAAAGCTTTGGCGCTCTTGTTCCGGGGCAGCCGCACCTTCCAGGTAGCCTGTTTCTGCCTGGGCTAGAGTAGGACTAAGTAGCTTCTCATGACCCGACCCAGCATAAGTTTGTTTAGGTGTTAAATTTCTCGGCTGATCGTATGTATAACTAGGAGGGGGTGGTGGCGCATTCGAAGGTCCCATGGCGCCTCGCTCGCCGCCAGCCATAGGCACCAAAGGATATTGTTGTACGTAGTGATAGCTTCCCTCTATACTCCCATTTGACGGCTGCGCCCAGTTGTCAGGTTGAAAATTCACTCTAACCGGAGAGACGGGCGACGCTCTGATTGTCGGCGACTCGAGTGCAGCGGCCGACAAGGAATTCTCGGCGAAGCTGTCTTGAGATTCACCACGCTCATGTTGGCCGAGGGGTAGTTTTGGGATAGGCAAAGGTTTCCTCTGAAGAGATCTGGGAGGAGAGGTAGCGGCGGGAGGCGGCGGCGTTGGAGAATTCGTCACTGTAGCCATTGCTCGGAGGGATTGCTTGCGCAATGGGCCAATGGCACGGAGTCGGCCCCTAGAAGAGAGAAACGAGCACGGGTAGTCGTTAGAATGGTAGGCCAAACCCGAGCATTGATTCGTAGTAACGTCGTTTCTATCGTGATTCTACCACCATTACAACCATGAACCCTTGTGTACCCTTGAATTTACTGCTTTGACCGTTGTTCCTTGGGTATAACTCTAATAGTAACTCAATCGAAGGCAGTGGACGGACACCGGGGGGATGCTGGCTATTGGGACGGGGAACAGGGCTCGGTGGGAAATTCAGTTCAACAAGGTCGGGCGAGTTGAAAAATTGCAATGCAATAATAGTATTGTATTTTTTGTTGATTTTATGGGAGGGGTATCTCGGACTGTAAGTCTAATTGTTGATGCAAATTCTAGACAAGAAAAAACAATAAGGACAAGAAAAAGGCGTGAGGCATAACCGCCGTTGCCAATAGGTATTGTATTGTATGGTATTGTGTTGTAGTTGTTGGAAGAATAATAATGGCATGGGCCAGGAAACGAGAGACTGGACGTTGCAGGTCTGCAGGTCGACGAAACAGAGCGAGCAACCTAAATTTGATGGTCGGTCGGAGGTAGTAGGCAATAGGTAATAGGTAAAAAAGAGTTTAAGGGGGGGCTAGGCGGGTTTACTGGATCTGCTAGGCTGGTTAGTTAGGTACATATGTAGGGTCGACTTCGTGTGTTAGGGTAGGTACTTGGTGTACATGATGTACCTCCAGGGCTCCTCCTTCTTTGCATTCGTGAGTTTGGCCGGGTACCTTGCCCAGATTTGACTGACGTAGATCCACCTAAATTATACGGGGCTTCATTTATAGTGGATTAGATGTATTTATTATTTTGTAGTAGGTATAGAAGAAATCATACTATAATCATCGCCTATACAAATAAATAAAATAGAGTCGCAAGTGTAATTACTTAACCTTTCTTAATAAAGCTTCTTACGTCGTTGCAACTTTCGAGAAAAAGGAATCATTGTTCTCTTACTCAAAGTATCATTCTTGTCTATTTATGGACATATATTTACGAAGTTCCTGTAAGTACAACCAGAGACGATGTAACCAGGATAATTGCGCCAATGATGTCGCTACCGCTGACCCATTGTAGTTGGCGCAATGGCTGTCTTGTCAACCTCAGCTGTATTTTCTAAAGACCGCCAAAACTTAAAATCGTACTCGCATTCCCCATGGATCTCCTACATACTATGTCGCTTGGCTTGACTAGAGAACCGCAAGCCCCTCTCCGCTTCTTCAGCTTCTTCGATAGTTTGACGTTTGATTATACGACTAAGCTACCATGAGGCAGATCGGTGTTTGTTGGCGTGGACCCTTTTTTGAATTACTTGTGGTGAAAGATGACGAATCCCAAAAAGGATCTTCAATCTCGAAGAAGTCGGGAAAAAAAGCAATAGGAAAAATCCCTCTCGTAATGCTGAGGCTGACAACACCACACATGACAATAATACGAAGTTGGGAGCACAAAGACGCCCGTATACATAGGCTGCACTATACTGAATGTAGGTCTGGTAGTATTGATTGATTGATGTGGATTGTTAAAGTAAAGTAAAGAAGGGTATTTTTATAGTGTATGTCTGTATTAAATGGATGTAACTTTTTAATTGCATCCTACTATATTACTTGTACCTATCTCATGTACCTAAACGTTGATCTATTGAGTTGATCCAGTTGATCCATCTTATGGAAGTAGGTAACTTTGCCCTTTCCTGCATGCAGGGCTGCCTGCCTGCCTATTACCCACATAACCTACATAACCTACATATTCAATCTCCACCTCATACGTACATGTGGACAAGCGTTACCTGTCCCCTACCTTCCTAACGTAGTACGATCGGTTAAGAAGCTTAAAAAGCTCCTTCGTGTTCCCATTCTCGGCAGCACGGCTAAGGCTACGTACGACAACGGCCATCACGGCTGTCACCAAAGCACCACGCACCGCCCAGACTATCTAACCGCTAGGCTTTATTATCACCTCCTGTGTCATTTGTCTCTAGTGCAATTTTGGGGATCCATATAGGTACGTAAAAATGTTAAAAAATGCAATCAGATTCTTCAGCGTTGCACTTTGGGCTTCACAATTGCGCGCGAACTTTGCTAGCCGCAGTCAATAGTGCTCCAAGACGGCACCACAAGAACAACCGGGCCTCTTTCGCCAACCTCAAATCGTATGGTGTCATTATGTTATGGGGCTTGGCACCGAGACCAGACCCTTCTCCAGCCCTCTTGTTTCAATCCCCTTATTTCAGCTGTAGGAAATATTGCCCGAGAACAAATGCTAACCTACCTGTCATCGGCCCCTTCGGAAACCAACATGGCCGCTCGTCCTCTCGTTCCTCGTTTCGCGAAACGACCATCTCTTTTACTAGGGGGGACCACGTGTGGTAATCCGCATAAGCCCACTCGGGTCACAGTATGGGCGCCAGAATCCATCACGTGTTCTCCTTCATTCGCCTTTTTTTTCTGTTCTTAACTCGGGCTTTACCATAAACCCCGGCAGGTATCGTTATTTGCGGCTCCAGTTAACCCAACTTGCTCGGTGCGCCTTGAGGAGGTTAATAGTCAGTTTGATCTAGATGAGCCTCACCGCATGGATCTTAGATCGGTTTGTTTCACTTCCATCAATTCCTCAAAAAAAAAAAAAAAAAACTTATTTTTATTTAGGGCGGGGTGTCTTAGAACCTGCCACGACTCGGCTTGATGCTCTTCACGCGGCAGTATTATGTATGTACGGAAGAGTACATTTGTGCGTGCTAGGAACTTCCCTTTAGAAGATTTGGCGGACCCATAGCCTTGGAAGCCGCTGTATAATTGTGCTAAGCCCGACGCTTAACACACCATTCATTGTCTTTATTAGTCTGAAACTTCCCGCGAAATCCCCTTCATAAGTCGGATAATCTTCATCTATATCAAGGCATAATGCAAAATTTTCTGCATACTTGTTTTTGAAGAAGTAGAACTATTATGGCATAATATTTTCGACTAAGCGCGGTAGTATTCCTGATGCAGTTACAATTGCCTGCTTCGGGATTCATCAATCTTCGTATTCAATTCTCTGATTCCCTTTCGGGGCTAGCCAGGGTCATCCTCGAGTTTTCTGCAGGCATAGGTTGGCTGGGGATCTGTGACACGAGACAACCATCCACTGCGAGTACTTTGTATACGAGTATAGATCCATATTAAATTTGATATTCAGGTACATAGCGCGGAAGTATATTCTTATGATGACGTAAGGTTAAACACAGTAATTCTTGGGGTAGACTGTGAAGAAGCCACTGTACTTGGCAACCCCCTTTCCAGATTCCTCGCCGTGGCTCTATCTGGTTTTTGTTCTCTCCATCACCACCAACCTTCGCACCTACCGCTGCTCCGCCTTTGATCGACCGACTTAATTGTCTCTTCGATCTCCGAGTTGCCTTGGTGGTGCTTGCCTTCGCTATTATCCTTCTTAGGAGATTACTCTCTTTTATTATTCCACTCGCTTCAACAAGTTTGCTGCACTTTCGCTGACCATCTCGGATAACGATACCAATAATTTTTCTTTCTCCTTTCCTTCCGATTGATGCGATCGGCCGTCGCAAGTGGCTGCAGGGGAAAGCGAATCGATTAGCTAAGCGCCCTTTATTTGTGGCGCTCTCAATTCTCGTTACCCATTGAGACCCGCTAGTCCGTAATCCTCCAGATGCTTACTGGCACCTCCAACAACATCCGCATGGTGATGTTTATTGTCTTGTCGATGCGCTGCTAAATCGGACAAATATTTTGTCTTTTTAGACTGCGCCGCAGCCTCATGTTGGAAATTTAGAGAGAAGTCGCATCACGGGTGTTCATTATACTTCTCTCCCCATTTTTTTGCTTTAATTTAGCCCGTGGGCTTTTAAGCTTTTAGACCATTGCTATTGTGGCAGGGATCTTTCTCCTTTCCCTGCTGCCGCCGCCAAAACTTGGTCAACTTGGAACATTTCGTCCCAGTTGCCCATCACAACAAAATCTGGTGAGTAAAAAGGAAGAAAAATAACAAAAAAAAAAACCACTTCCGATCTCATCAATCTCAACTGCCCCCCTTCACTCACTCCATACATACATGATTCCTGCAGATCTTTTCTTCTTACCATGTTCTGTTTTTGGTAATCCCAGCCTCTACTTACCCCCTGGGCCAATCCGCGTCTTGTCAGGGTGAGGCGCCGACCTGCAACACGTCCACCGATCCGTGCTTTTGCAGTGACGGTGTATAATCGGACACTGTCTAGACCCGCGCGACTCGTTATATATAGTCCCTTCATATCTACGCGTCAACTTCATCTAATTCAACTGTTCAGTTAGAACCATGTCGCTCCCAGAGCGACCGGGGGCGGCGAGTCCGTCTTATGATCATCGAACATCCTATCGACAGTCGCTATCGAGACGTAACCGCCCTACCGATATCGAGACTGGCGCCGGTGGATATCACTCCGTTCCTGGAAGAAGGCAGTCTGCTCACCAGCGTGCGCCGTCGGGCAATTCATTCGCTGAAACCATTCGCAATCATCATGGAACTACAGATAAATCGCCTCTTTCCCCGACTGTGCCGGAGGACTCCCCTGCTGGTATACCCACACGGAAAAGAAGTTTAATAAGACCTGAAAGGAACAGGATCGATAAAGATCACCCGAATTATTATTATAGGCAACATGCCGCTAATATGGAGACGCTCCCTTCTTCCACGGGCAACGATCCAGTCTTTGAAGATATAGAAGGAAGGACTGATCTTTCTGCGGATCGGACTATCGACGCTACTTCAGATAGTTCACCACCTCGACGACAACATAGTGGGGACAGCGAAAAGCACAAACCTCGAGTGTCAACAAGGAAACATTCGGGAGGCCCGAAAATCTCCAAAGCCTCTAGGAATTCTAAGCACCGAAAACCACAAGAAACAATCAGCCCCCCTAGTGTGTGGAACGTGTACTGCGCTATTATCACGTTCTGGTCTCCTGACTTCATTTTGGACTGCTGTGGTTTTCGATCCAAGGCGCAGAGGAGAGCTTGGAGGGAAAAGATGGGGCTTATCAGCATCATTCTGTATATTATGGCTTTTGTTGGTTTCTTGACGTTCGGTTTCCAACAGACTGTCTGCGCTTCACCTGGTGTTCGTCTCCATGTCAACGATGTCTCCAACGGTTACATGATATTCCACGGTGTGGCCTACGATCTAACGAAATCCGGTCACCCTCCAGCTTTGGGTATCCCGCGTCGCCAGGACGGATCCCTTCCCAATGTTCTTTACGATCTGCCCACTAAATATGGTGGTATGGATGGCAGCTTTCTTTTCCAGAATGTCAACGGAAAATGCAAGGGCCTTATCACATTAGCCGATGGTTCGGACGTTCCTCACGATGCCGGCGATTCGGAACAGCTCGCCTGGTATTTCCCGTGCACAGCATTTAACCAGGACGGCTCATCGAAACCGAATTTCACATGGCCGTATCACCAACTTGGTTACGCCTGTCACACCACCCAGAAAGCCAGAGACATCTTCTACCTTGATCTTGCTGGTACTGGCGACGTTTTCTACACTTGGGATGACATCAAGAACAGTTCACGCAATTTGGTCGTATACTCTGGAAATGTCCTCGATCTTGATCTTCTCAATTGGTTCAATGAAACCGAAGTAAAAATCCCAGACCGCTTCAAGGAGCTTAGAGACAAGAACTCTGTCTCTAACCAGGCAATCCGTGGCCGCGATATAACACGCGCGTTCCAGAGACCTGCGGATAAACAGATCGCCCAGTGTTTGGAGGAGACCATTAAAGTCGGCAGTGTGGATACAGATACAGTTGGATGCATTGCATCCCAAGTTGTTCTTTACGTATCTCTTATTCTAATTCTTTCCGTTGTCGTAGCAAGATTTGGGTTGGCGTTGGTATTCCAGTGGTTCATTAGCCGCAAATATGCAGCCATCAAGACTTCACAGACGGCAGACAAGAAGAAGCGAAACCGACAAATCGAAGACTGGACCGAAGATATTTACCGAGCTCCCCCACGAATGCCCGGAGATGTTGGCAGCAGCTATATGGGATCCGATAGGACTAGCAAACGTGCTAGCACCTTCTTGCCGACGACATCTCGATTTTCTGCGGTTTATGGTACTGATAGGAGTTCTAGACGACCGCACCCGACGACTATGGCGAGTCAGGCTACGACTGGACCTCTACTTCATCCCAACTCGATGTACAAGCAAGGCAATGATAGCAGGTCGAGCATGCTCCGCTCCGACCCGTACGGAAGCACAGCTAGCCCACTTGACGGTTATGGACCTGCTGGATTTATCCATGAGGCTGTGGTACCCCAACCACCTTCTGATTATCAACCTTTCGGGTTTCCTTTGATTCACTCTATCTGCCTTGTCACGGCGTATTCCGAAGGAGAGATGGGTATCCGGACTACACTGGATTCCATTGCGATGACAGACTACCCCAACAGCCACAAAGTCATCCTCGTTATTTGCGATGGTATGATCAAGGGTAAGGGCGAGTCTCACGCGACACCTGATATTGTGCTCGGTATGATGAAGGATCACACTGTACCCCCCGAGGAAGTCCAAGGATTTTCATACGTGGCTGTAGCCAGCGGTTCGAAACGACACAACATGGCCAAGATTTACGCTGGATTCTACGACTATGGCGCTAAATCCGCTATCCCGGTCGAGAAGCAGCAAAGAGTTCCAATGATGCTAGTGGTAAAGTGCGGTACGCCTGACGAAGCTACCAAGGCCAAGCCAGGCAACCGAGGCAAACGTGACAGTCAAATCATTTTAATGTCGTTCTTGCAGAAGGTTATGTTTGACGAGCGCATGACAGAATTGGAATTCGAAATGTTCAATGGTCTCTGGAAGGTTACGGGTATATCTCCCGATTATTACGAGGCAGTACTCATGGTCGACGCCGATACCAAGGTCTTCCCCGACAGTTTAACTCACATGCTCTGCGCCATGGTTCGCGACCCCGACATTATGGGACTTTGTGGTGAAACAAAGATCGCCAACAAGAGGCAGAGTTGGGTATCGGCTATTCAGGTATTCGAGTACTTCATCTCTCACCATCTGTCCAAGTCGTTCGAGTCTGTTTTCGGAGGTGTTACTTGTCTTCCAGGTTGTTTCTGCATGTACCGCATCAAAGCCCCGAAGGGTGCGCAAAATTACTGGGTTCCCATTTTGGCCAATCCTGATGTTGTTGAGCATTATTCCGAGAATGTTGTCGACACTCTGCACAAGAAGAATCTTTTGCTCCTTGGTGAGGATCGATACTTGACTACTCTCATGTTACGAACTTTCCCCAAGCGCAAACAAGTCTTTGTACCCCAAGCAGTATGCAAAACCACTGTTCCCGATGAATTCAGCGTTCTACTATCTCAGCGACGAAGATGGATCAACTCCACGATCCACAATTTGATGGAACTGGTTCTTGTCAAAGATCTCTGTGGTACTTTCTGTTTCAGTATGCAATTTGTCGTTTTCATCGAGTTGGTCGGTACTTTAGTGCTACCCGCGGCTATTGCTTTCACATTTTATGTTGGTAAGTTCATGATACACTACCGAGGCTTCATTAACGTTCCTCTAACGTCATTATAGTCATTTCTTCTATCATAGGACCTGTACAAACCATACCGCTTGTACTTCTTGCATTGATTCTCGGTTTACCAGCGGTTCTTATCGTTGTCACGGCCCATTCATGGTCATACGTCGTATGGATGTTAATCTACCTTATCTCGCTCCCAGTTTGGAACTTTGTCCTCCCAAGTTACGCGTTCTGGAAGTTTGACGACTTCTCGTGGGGTGACACTCGAAAGACGGCAGGAGAGAAGACGAAGAAGGCTGGTATTGAATATGAGGGAGAGTTTGATAGTAGCAAGATTACTATGAAACGATGGGCTGAGTTCGAACGAGAGCGACGACTTAGAGATAACTACTGGGGATCGAGGGAGAACGTTGTGGGTGGTAATTATCCTGGCAATACTGCGTCGTACCATCACCCTTATGATGATCAGTACTATTCGGATGCATGAGTCAAACGCGGAACTGAAGATTAACGAAACGTATTGATATATAGTATATAGGCGGCAGTTGCTACAAGGAGAAGGGGTAAGGAGAACGGGCGGTCTTTTCGTTATTCCAGCAAAGTTTCGAAAATCCTTCAGTCCGATATTTTTTAATAGCATGGGGTTGAAGCAAATGAATGTATAGAGAACCAAAGGGCATTCGGCGTCATTCAAGCGTTATCACGAACCACATTGTACATAGCTAGCTCAATAGGTTTCATCGTGCCTAGAATTAATTGGACGGAGTATACATGTTCCTTACGGTACTATCTAATTCAAATTTTTACCAATGCCTTTCGTGCGTTCTCCAGCTATTTGCTCGTGGAATTTTGCTTTTTCAAGATACGTGGTCCAGGTCACAGCGTCGACGCCCCGTGTGGAAAAACTAAGACCTAGCGCTGCAACCTGTTCGCGTGTGGGATTAGACGGGCAAGACATTCGTGGGGATTAGGCAGTTAGTCTCGTGCTACAGGCCAGCCATGGAATCTTCATTGCCAATTAGTTCAAAGTCATGTGTGACGAGATCTCGCACGGGCTGTATTACTTTTGAAGCGGGAGAGTTTGGTCCAAAGCAAGGCGTACTCGTAGCACAGAGGATGGCCCGAGCGAAGATGGCCGACCCAATGTTTATTTTGAGTGAGTTTGATCGATTTTTCGCCTGTCTTAGTAAGACGATTATTCGGTTTCCTAGTGTTCAACTTTATTCCAATGGAGTATATACCGAGGCTATCTCCAATAAATGTTAGTTAGTCGCGAAGTGCAATTTATTGTGGTCGAAATCGGAGTTTTTATACGCCACGAAGTCATCATGAAGATAGTTTTCGGTGAGAGATCTGCTGGCGGAGATATTGGTCCGCATTCCACGGTTCATACTCCGTGTATAAACGGCCTGAATCATCAGGCAATATTGTATAGGTTGGGTAGTTGGGTGGCGATACACTTTTCATCACTCAACACGGTTCCTCCGGGTCGCAAATTGACTACAATCCGGTCAGTAGAATAAGAACTAAGACAACTAGCCAGCTTCCGAGACTTATCAGGACCTGGTAAAGCGAGGCGAGGGGGAATCGTCAGCTTATTATGAATTATTGCTTCCAACTGGCGATGCAGGATAATCCAAAGAACGCCTAACAATGCGAGCAGCCGGATCGGGAAACCATCTCAAGTTTGACTGTAAGATGAGCAGCCAATACTACAATGCACCTGCAACTAGCCGTGGCCTGCGTCGGAGTATGACAAGAACGACTCAAAGGATGGAAGCATTTTCGAAAAGAAAAGAATAAGGGAACAAGAGGAACAGGAGCCAGCTCCGGTACTCGACGGGCCAACCAGCTATAATATAAAACAAGGAGTGGATTACCTAGGTATTGCGTGTACTAGTGCTAGGTAATTTAAGGTGACGATGATGGGACATGCCGGCGTCGTGTGTTTTCTGGGCACGAAATTGATCATGTTGTGCCACCATCCATCTTGATGGTGGAGGCTCGGAAGATGCTGTAGGCACGTTGCCTCGCGATTGTTTTTATTTTTATTGCGATTTTTGTTTCCTTGTCGTTGGGGTTGGCTGATCTTCAAGAGATCAGCGGTTTTTTTTGCCTACAAGCAAAACGCACGCTTCTTTGGGAACGTACGGGTCCCGCTCTCGAAACCCACCCAGTGAATGTCAATGTATGTATTCAAACCCGCGGGTGCGGGGTCTGCATGACCCGTTGCTTCAAGGCTTGCTTCTCCTTTTCCCCAGTGTCCGCTTCCTTGGTACCGACATCTGTTTGTTGGAGTTGTTTCCTCTCGCTGTCTGTTTTCGGCCCTGCTTGTCTGGGGGGCTCCAGAGTTCGGTTGATAACTTTCTAAGTATGCCCGGCGGTGAGTCCTGAAGCAGTTAGGGATGGCTGCGGGACCATCTATAATATACATGTACCGGTATGTATGTCTTGTGCATACATATCCCACGCAGCCCCCATGCGCAAAGACATGAGGATAAAACCGTGCGAGGGCGAGCGAAGGGTCATTTCCAACTGGTCAAAATGAAATCTCGCCTTAGATGTCTCAGTTGGTGATACATTTAGTCTTTGCAAAATTAAATGCTGACTCGTCACCAAAAAGCCACAGCTTCACCGGTTTTGACAAGTGAAGAGTTCGGAAGAGAATGGTATTTTGTTGTTACGTACTTGGCGGGCGGTTCCATAGAATGGTGCTGCTAGGATTAAAGTGATATATCATACTTGAAATTTGAGGGAGAGGGAAGGGAGAGACAAAGAAAAAAAGAAGAAGGGGGTCATGGCTTGCTTACTTACCCATTTGCCTACGTAGATGATCGTTGTCAGCATTGACGCTCCGACTTCCTAGGAAGTCAACCATGTAGGTAGTATATATCTAGGTAACCATATACGTGTATAGGTATATGGGAAGGGGATGGAATGACGTCGCATCCTCATATGAGACCATCGTCGATTTGGACGGTAGGTCTTTTCTTGCGTCCGTCGGTCGTATTATCCTCTGAGCTCTGAGCAATTGGAGTTCATTACTTGTAACATCGGCTTGTTACCATGTTTGGGCGCATGCAGGGAGCTGGACCCGGACATGTGATGTATGGGGTGCCGTGCACCACGTACATGTAACTCAGGCCAGAAAATGGCTCTCTTATTTTTTTTCAGACATTGAAGAGAGAAAAAAAGGAACCCCCACTGTCAATTTATATATGTACGTACATTATATGTCTCTAGGCATGTCCGCATGGGAATCGGTGGGTAAGGTAGATAGAGATGTTGAATCTGTTAGGAGGAAAGTTAAGAAAAGCACTGTATAATACTCAAGTTATAACCTATATACCCATGTATAGGCCTATGCATGTAGGTGACATAAATAAATTATGGCGTGTCCCCGTCATACTCGTTGCGCTATTCGCAACTTTATTCCCCACCTGCCGCGCGCAAATAGGCATCTACCTATCTCTTCTTTATCGGTTACCCCTTCCCCCGTCAATCATCATCAATCATCACTAACCTTGGAAAGCAAAGCCTGACCCGTTTCTTATCTCACCTCACCTGTGCAGTACATTATATCCTGTAATCGATCGATAGGGATACCAGTGCGCAACTTCCACTGCTTCCGCAAACATCAAACTTAACTTAAGGTTCCCTCAGTATTAAATATTTTGGATTTGGCCCTACCTTAGTTCTTATCCTGTAATCTCCCCAAGGTTTTTTTTATCTCTTTGCTTTGCTGAACGTCATTCTTTTATAAATCTAGCCGTACGTATTTATATGACTACCTACAAGGTATCATCTTCATTACTTCAATTATTTTATATGACCTATTCTGTACTACATACGCATGTACTTAGGTAGTATCCACTATATACTAAATGTAGGTAGTACTACATTACATCCACCAGCATACCCATCGTACCCAAGCATACACCCAGCATTTACCTAGCATACCTGGCATACCTAGCATAATACCTCCCTCGATAGCCGCAGACTAAGAGATCGTTCCCCTTTGAACCATCTTGGCGCCCTGCTGCTGAAGATCCGCCCATCCCATCCGAGTTCCCATCTTACCTACCAGCCCTTAGTCCTTAGTCTACTCTACTACTACTGAGCAAGCTTACTTAGTTGCCTGTACATATAACCTATATATATCTACATATATATATGGGTGTATGTACGTGTGAGTCTATTTCTCACTACCTCCCTATTCCGCGAACCAATAAGAATAGGCGGCAAGTTCGAAATAGCAAAAGCAACACGGCAACACGGGGTTCATTCTAGTGAACCCCCCCAGACTAAGGCGGTTAGGCTCGAATTTATTAGCAAATGACTTGAACTACCTCCAACAACGATGCGCCCTCCAAATTCCCCACCCGCCTCTCCATTACTCTCTCCAGAACGTCCCCAGATCGACCAAGATGCCTCACTCCTGTCCTCTCCTCAGCCTCAAATCCCCGACCCAACCGACCTATCTGATCTCGACAGTCCTATGACCGATCTTCAGTGGTCACCCTACGCCCCGACACCTACTGCGCATGCCGGCCCAGGCCACGCTTACGGTACTCAAGACGGGGATGACGAAACTAGTAGCGCCGATAGCAACCACGATATGTTGGACGTTGATGTAGAAGAGGGCGGCGTGCCTCTGAATGATTTCCTCATGGAGGAAAATTCTAGCGATCCGACCAACGATCCGAATTACGACCCGCCACCTTTTGACAATGGGTTCTTCCATCAAGATACTCTGCCTTTGGTGGCACCACCTTCGCCACCTGTCGTCGTTGAATCACCACTCCAACCCTTAGATCCGATCCCACCGCTACCCGATATTCAAGATGAAGAGGAAATCGATCCTGCGATTACTGGACTACATCCCATGGCTTTGAGCAATGCCAATCCTATGTCTCTTGGCCCTGAGAATCCGCATGTGATGCAGTTCCTCGACCTTTGGCAATGGCAGAGTCAAACCGATATACAGCCTCGCGCGTCCGCGCCCGTTCCATCTAGTCAACAGATCCGTCGCTTAGCAGTGGAATGCCCTCGGCGAGTCGAATACAAACAGTTAGGAGGCGACTCTTACGATTTCCAGGGCATTAGTTGGGAGGACCTAGGAGTGCCGAGGCATTTGGCGCGGCGTCGCCGTATGACGAGCTTCCATAACTATGTCAATAGACCGAACTCCGACTCATGGCACAATAGTTCGTCCGATAAACGCCTGCGCCCCCTTGAGAATTATTATCGGTTCAAAAGTATGGATATTAGGCGGGATGTGCGCCTTTTGCACTTTCAGCTACGCAATATCTTGGGTGTCGCATCACGTACGAGGGTTTTCTATCCAAGTTTCACATCAATCAGGGAACATGACCCTACTACGGGACGAGATCAGACGGCGATACGCTTTGATAATCACACGGGTGGTAACATATCCACTTTGACTGCCAATGAAGATATCTTGATTGCAGGTGGTTTCTATGGCTCATACCATTACCGTCATTTAAATTCAGCTAGCGAAGAAATTGAGACCCATGAGGGACAGTTAACAAACCACAACAGTGGTATCACCAATCACGTACAAATCCACACTTCACGACACTCAAATACGCCAGTGGCCGCTTTTGCCTCCAATGATTTTGGGTTTCGAACGGTTGACTTAGCTACGAATAAGATCACCTCGGAGATCATGTACGATTTTGCCATGAATTGTTCCGCTCTAAGTCCGGACAAGAGGCTTCGTGCCATAGTCGGAGACCATCAGAATTTGATCATTACTGATGCAGAGAATGGTGAGATTCTTCAAAGTCTTGAGGGACACAGGGACTTTGGCTTTGCTTGTGATTGGGCACCAGATGGTTGGACAGTCGCTACAGGGAACCAAGATAGGAGCATAAGAATATGGGATGCTCGCAGATGGAAGAACAGCAAGGGTGAAAGTGAGTCAATTGCTGTGGTCCGAACCCAGATGGCGGGTGCCCGCAGTTTACGCTTCTCCCCTCTCGGGTCCGGGAAAAGAATTCTAGTCGCCGCCGAAGAGGCCGACTTCGTTAATTTGATTGATGCGCAAACATTTAACACCCGACAGACGATTGACATATTTGGTGAGCTTAGCGGTGTCGGGTTTGCTAATGGAGGTCATGACCTCATCGCACTGTCAAGTGACCTATCCCGAGGGGGCGTCATGCGTTTAGAACGGTGCGATACTGGGGCAGAAGATACCTTTGACTACGCCCATAAGGCAGCATGGGAACAAACTGGTGGTTGGTGGAGAACGCCTGGGTATGACTGGAAGCAGAGTCCAGAACAAATTGTGGGAGCTGAAGGGTCACAAAAAACTCTTACCCAGAAACGACGACAGGCCGCCATGTTAGAAAACTGGACCTTCTAACGCGGGCGTATATAATGTCGAGAATGAGAGAAAGGCTTGGCGGGTAGGCGTTATTTTGGGATATCTGAGCATTTTAACGGGCAGCAAGCGACGGCATTTGGTTGATTGCTTCCTCTTCCTCATTCACTTTATGTTTATCATTATTCCCCTCACGATGAATTTTGCTTTCTAATTAGGGTGCGCCGAGGAGCTCGGCGTGCAGTATTATATCATGAGGAAAGGAACCCCTGCTGAATAGCCTTTGCCTCCGGGAGACAGAACAAATGTTTGATGGAATCGGCGGAACACAGTGGACATAGCCGGGTCATAGTATATATATTTTTTGGAACTAGCTGGTCTTCCGGCTCACGGACGAATTTCTCCTGCCTCTGGTATTCTGCACTGTCCGTCACATCATGGCAGTCAGGTTGGCTCATTCGTGGCGGTTAGGCAGACGAGCAGACTCGTCATACCAACCGAGCAAGGGCGGTACATTGTGTATTGATACATCTTTTTATGGCATTGCCTTGAGACCAAAACTCGAAGGAACGATTAATATGTCGATGATGAACCTAGATACAGCTTTTCGAAAGGCAGATCGAAGACGGATATCATATTATACATACACATGCTCTCATACTCGGATTTGCCTTAATACAATGATCCCATATACTCGTGCTTGTCCCCTTACCCGGTTACATATTACCTTGAAACACAGATTAAGTAAAACCATGGGTTTATGCTCTTTATAGCTGGAATACATAATAAACATTGTAGTACTCGAGTGATTTTATAGTGCCGAATCCCTTTTATTACTACTTCATCCTTCGATGCTCCCCAGCTATCTATTGCCTTCTACTTATATAGGAACTATGTCTTGTTATCATTAGGCTATCCTATAGGAGAACAGAAATCCTCGAGCTCTATACATCGATATCTAGCATATGCTTTCATTAACCTACCAAAACAAGCGTTTGTTTCTCTCACGTGGGATCATGTTGGCTCCCCCAAAGCAGACATCTAGCAAAGCAGATATCTAGCAAGTTTGCACTACTGTAACTCCGCAAGTCTAAGTAACTCCTGCAGAATAGAAAGATAAAATTAGAAGAGCCTATGTGTACACTCCTGGTCCTTTAGAGTAGTAGGAATATCTTCCTTGCTTGTTAGCTGCCCAACGAAGCAGCTGAATACTTCGAGGTAGACTTGGTTCTTGGTTAGATATTACAGATTACCTTGTATTGCACTCGAAAGAGCCTAATTTGCAACGTACGTCTAATCATCGTATAATCAGGAGCCGTATACCATATACCGTACGGTATTTTTTAAACCTAACCAATAGAAAAAACCGACTTATTAACCCCCAATCGGAACAGTCCCAATCACAAGCCATGAAATCATATCATTTATAAATTGTAGATCTTCGTTGAAGTCATGTATCTACCTATTTGGGTATCCCCTTGACGCCCTAGAATGCTGCTGTTGAAGTTCTCAGATGCCTAATGCCTACCCGCCTGGTGCCCAAACTCATACGTACATACTCATATATACATCCCATACCCACCCTTTTTCTATGTCTCCAAGTCACCGCAATGACAACAGCGAGTACCCATGTTAAACAAGCACGAATATGGGAAAAGGATGAGATATTAAAAATCTCACACCCCCCTTAGGCCTTCGTTGAAGGACCCTTCCAGTACTTGGTCGGTACAAACGGCATCTTGGTAACAACCGCTTTACGCGTCTTGCCACGGACCACGACACTAACCTCGGTACCAGCTTTATGTAGTCCGTCCTTGATGTACCCCATGGCAATATTCTTCTCTAGCGTCGGGCTCGGACATCCACTTGTGATGGAACCAACCTTCTGACCTTCAGCGTCCACAATGTCAGCACCCTCTCGCGCGGGAGCACCTTCGACTACGAGACCGATACGGCGTCTCTCAACACCTGCTCCACCCTTGCTCTTAGGCGTCAGTTGTTTGAGAATTATATCCGCGCCGTAGAATGCGCCTTTCTCGATATCCGTCTCGATACGCCTCTCCTTGCCGATGATCCAGCTCAGCGCACCTTCAACAGGCGTCGTGCTATCATCTAAGTCATGCCCGTAAAGACACAGACCCGCTTCCAAGCGTAGACTATCCCGGGCACCTAGACCCGCTAGCTTTAACTTCTCGGATCCAGAAGTATTAAGGAGTGTCTCCGTCACAGCCACAGTATCCTCCGGCCGTATCGAGATTTCAAACCCATCCTCACCCGTGTACCCTCCGCGACTAACAAGCACATCCGGCACGATCCGACCTCCATCAACTTTAACGTTAACGAAGCAACACTGTCCAAAGAACAAGTTCCGAATATCAGCCTCTGTCGGTTCCTCTAGTATCAACCCAAGTACCTCCTCAGCAAGCGGGCCCTGCACCGCAACCAGTCCCCAGCCATCAAGTACTTTATGCCTAACCTCGCCCCTCCCCTCCTTCTCCCACTGCGCCAACTGCTGTTCCAAATACGCCAGATCCTTATCCCTACACGCGGCATTCGTAACCACGTAAAACTCGTCCTCCCCAAGTTTCGTGATAATCGTATCATCCACGATCCCCCCAGTCCCAGGCCAAAGCAATGCGCTTAATGTACTTCCGTTAATTGGTAGTGCGTCGATACCGGCGGGTGTTATACGTTGAAGGAAAGACCCGGCGCCGGGTCCTTCGAAACGGTGTTGTACCATATGTCCGACGTCGAAGAGCGAGGCGTGGCTCCGCGTGAAGTGGTGCGAGGCGCTGACGCTTTGGTCTGCGTATTGAACCGGCATGTGGAAACCGCCGAAGGGCACCATTTTCGCGCCACGCGCGACGTGGAGGTCGAACAGCGGCGTCTTGTTCAGAGCTTCGGGAGTTTTCGTCGAGGCATAGCTTCGGACAGGCATTGTTGTGCGTGATGAGGGTAGGACATGGTGTCGAAGACTCGCTCGTGAGGAAAGTGTTGTTGCTGAAGGGCTGCTTCGTGTAGAGGAGGATGTGGTGGTTTGAGTGAATAGACAAGCTTGTTGCCGAGGGGTACCGAACGCGGGGACGCCCTTTCGGGCTCGGATTAGGACTCGTGAGGACTTCATTTTGGGTCAATTGAAAGTCAATTGAAGTGCGATTGAGACAAATTGACGAATACAATGGGGTTCGTATGGTTTTGACAGTCCCAAATCCGGAAATCTGCTATCGGTGAGGGGAGCTCGGTGATGGAACGATACTTAATGGAAGAAGCCGGAGAGATAAGTCGCCGATCACGGCCTAAGGTGGGGATTACCTAGGTCAAGCGCTATATTCTAGGCGCCTATGTCCCTAAAGTCCCCTATAATAAAATTGGTAGATTAGGTAGTAATATCGACACTGCCGACTCAATAAGGTATAGCGTGCCCGCTGCTTTAAACATACTATCTCGAATACTTCATTACCTAGGTAAAGACTCGGAGTTTATACTTATTTATACCTATTTATGCATAGGTAATGTTATACGATTATCATTGTCGTTGTTGTATAAAAGCCAGCCTCGCTGCCTCGTTGGTTACCTCAAGCTTTCTTGTACATACTACATGAGGATTCCAAGTATGGGCTTGCTATGTACTAGTAACCAAGTTTCCGAGGTTAGGTAAACGAAACCTCGACCGGTATAGTCTAAGTTATAAGTCGCCTCGTTCCTTGATTCTAATTGTCATTCTAGCTTGATAAAACGGTTTCCTAGCCATAATGTACGAAAACTCAATTGAATTATAACGCTAACATACGTTTATTAATGAACAACTATGTACCGTTAAATAGACGTTTTACTATTTTTATCAATGTCGCAATTCCGACATTTTGTGATTGTCCGCTCCGAGGCAAAACTCAAATTTTAGTCAGCTACGATACAACGGTATCTTTATTATGGGACTCGTACCTTAACACCAAGTAGGTACATGTATTGGACAAATCATATCATGGACAATTGAGTAAAAGATCATCATCAGGTACATACAGTACTATCCGTCAATACCTTAGCTCTAAAAAAACAAATCTCTCATTGCCACACAACTACTGCTGCAAAACTACGAAGCCTTCCAATCTCGTTCTATCTCGTAATGCCAGCATGAAAGGGAAAAAAAAGGACCATATATTGAGAACATACTCCACCCCGGGCTTTCTTCCCAATACGTTAGTTAGGTAAGAGAACCGTCATGTTCTTGGGCGCAGTGATGATCGTCATTCTTTAAGTAATTAAAGGGGAACCAGTAGACGGAAAATGCCTCGGGAACGAAAAATAAAAAACAACACAAACTAAGAAGGGGGTCGCACGCGCGAGGCTCCGCTGTTAAAACCCCCTTTGGTAGTAGGTAGCGTGACCAAACGCATCAAGTTCTCTTTTACGTTCCGTAATATCAATTCGTACAGATTCCATCCCAGTACGCCACTCCCCTCCTATGCTTCCAAAATCAAACTTGCGCGCGCGTTCTTCACTTTGCAGGACCAACCGCAACCGAAGAGAGAGCGAGAGAGGGTACCGAGATATGAGCGTCATTTTTTATGGACTATATCGATTGCTCCGGGAATATGACTTTGCGAGTTACAACCGACCCATAAGATTTTGAGGGAGAGGAAACATGGTGTGAGTCGGAAAGGGGGGAATGCCACTGCGCCTCCTCCATTTACTGGTGTCCCGCCTTTCGGAGAGTGGTAGCAAGCCACTCGAGACCCTCATACAGACCATCTCCAGAAGTAGCGCAAGTCGATTGGATGTACTATTTAGCTTCACGTTAGCATAGAACAGATCTAATAGAAATAAAGGAAGCACATACCCAGGCGCGCTGTCTCAAGCTGTGGAGACCAAGCTTGTCGGTGATCTCGGCAGCGTTCATGGCGTTCTACACCGATTGTTAGCAATTTGGACGCAATATATCGGAAGGAAGATAAGGGTAAACGTACAGGAAGATCCTGCTTGTTGGCGAAGACTAGTAGGATAGCATCCCGGAGTTCGTCCTCGTTCAACATTCGCTGCAATTCTTCTCGAGCCTCTACAATACGGTCTCGGTCATTGCTGTCGACAACGAAGATGATACCTTGGGTGTTCTGGAAGTAATGTCGCCACAAGGGACGAATCTTGTCTTGCCCACCAACATCCCACACGGTGAATTGGATGTTCTTGTATTCGACCGTCTCGACGTTAAAGCCTATAGAGCGCGACGCGTGTTAATAAATAAAATTGGAAATAGGCGGTGTCGGCGTTTAGTTGGGGGAAAACGTACCGATAGTGGGAATAGTTGTGACAATTTCACCAAGCTTGAGCTTGTAAAGAATGGTCGTTTTACCAGCGGCGTCCAGACCGACCATTAGAATTCTCATCTCCTTCTTCCCCCATAGCTTGTCGAACAACTTAGAGAACGTAAGACCCATGATTGCGACCTCGGCGAATGACGCGGGAAATATGTATTAAGGTAGTTATGGATGTCGCGATATCTGAACCGAGAAGAGGGAAATGTCAGTTAAGATTACAAGAGAAGAGGATGATGTGATTATCTGGCGGTAATTGGCAAGCCAGTCGGGATTTATGGGGCGTAAAAGTAGCCGTAAGGACAGATCGATTGGTTTTCAAAACAGCGCAATGACTTGGAATGAATCGATATCGTTGGCTACCTGATGATGGCTGATGCAATTTCTAGGCTGCCGCAATAGGAGACTAGAAAGGAACAGGTGGGCCGCCAAAATATTATCACGAGGTAGGTAAAGTGAATTATGTATGGTAGGTGTATGTAAGATAGGTTAAAGGCAGAGAGAGAGGCGTAGCGGATGAAGGAGGGCAAACTAAAGAATTCATTCTTCTTTGTCGGGGAGAGGAAGTGAATATGTGTAGATAAGGAGCTGGAGTGCAAGTTAAAGTAATCGACTTACTATTTTTCTTCTGCAACAATGAGACCTGCTCGGCGAAGGAGAGATCTCGTGGTGATGGGATTATCAAAAGGGGTTGATGCGGTGGGTTGTGGTTGGAGATCGGTGAAGGAGGGAAAGTAAGTAAAAGTAGTAAAGTAGTAGGTAGCAATAGGTAAGGTCCGTCGTAAATCTGTTTTTCAGAAACTTAGGTAAAAATGCAATGTGGCTGGAGACAGAGGCGGAGTCCCATGGAACATTATGTGGATGTGGAAAAGAACGTAATTACTTACCTGCAGGGCCTGCAGCAGGTGCCAGTCCCCTAGCCTTGGCTTGTGGCCCCGTATCTTTTTTTTATTTTATTTTTTTCTCCTTCTTTCCCCCCTAGTGTAGGCGACTAGATAAGGTAAAGTGCTTGATGGTGACTTCGGTTTTTGGGTGAATGTACAGAGGTACATGCACGATACATAGAATAATCCCTTGTCACAAGTTGAAGTCTAGAGTAGGTTTCGTTTAAAATGTCGGCGAATCCCGAGGGAAAGGTGACTGTCACAAGTTTCGTAGCGTATCCAGCATATCGTGACACAGATAAGTACCTCATAAGTACATAATACCATGATTATACAAGTTTTGGGTTGCTCGTGGGAAACGCGCTAAGCCGTCCCGAGCCTCCACTCCTCCACTTAGATCAAACCCCCTGGCAATCGCCAAAGTGTCCATCTCAAATTCAAGCCTCAAGCCTCAATCTCAAGGAAGCTTGTCGAATGCCTCTTATTCGAATATTCCACTCACAAACCAATATTCGGTAACACCTATCTCAACCCGAATACATCCGAATACCTTGGGTTCGTTGTCGCCGAGAAAACCATGTTTTTCTCGGCCACGTCCCTGTTGTTTGCGGCCAGCTTCCTGCAAGCTGCGCTAGGTCACAATATCCAGCTTCCCGCCCATGGCCGTGAATGCTTCCACGAGCAGCTCCACAAGGACGATGTCATGACCGTAACCTTCCAGACTGGTGACAGGGAGTTTGGAGGTGCTGGAAATCTCGATATTGACTTCTGGGTATGATAACTTGTTCAAAATAAGATGCGAATATAGTAACTTATAGGTGATTGTGGGACTGCAGATCACGAATCCGATGGGCCAATACGAGACCTTCCAGAAGGACGTTTCAAACGGCGATTTCTCTTTCACGGCTAAGCACGACGGCAAATTCCTCTACTGCTTCGGTAACGAGCACTGGGGTTCCAACAGCAAGGAGGTCTCCTTCAACGTTCACGGTATCGTCTACGTGTCAGAATCCGATTCTCCTCAAGACCCGTTAGAAAAAGAGAGTATGTGGCCATATCCTATTATTTTTATAAAAATGGCTTGAGCAAGCTGCTAACAAGCTTATAGTTAAGCAACTTTCCGAACTAGTCGACCAAGCCCGTGACGAACAATCTTACATCGTTGTCCGAGAACGTACCCACCGCAACACTGCTGAAAGCACAAATAGTCGAGTTAAGTGGTGGAACTTGTTTGTAATTGGTGTCGTAGTAGGCGAGTCTCTATTCCAAGTTTGGTGGTTACGAAGGTTCTTCGAGGTCAAGCGGGTGGTATAAGGCCACAACATTAAGGGGCAGTACGATTCGACGGCCATCTCATTTCTGGGTAGTCTGGCGTATTGTGAGGCTGGCATTGAAACGGGAATTATAAAAAAGATGGGCAACGTTCATGAAGTAGGGAATTATGCACAAATTGTACAATAATGAAGAGAAGACCTTTGATACCTTATTCCCTGTGGTCTACATTTTGATACGTTACAGGTTCCGAAGAACATTGTTCTTGTTATATTGACAACGGCAAATCTAACGAACAGCGGTCATATCTGGCCTTGACATGTCCCTCCAGACTCAGGCGGAGCTACTAATCTACACGTTACGAGGGAATCCATTGAGGCCAATGAGTAGCTCAGGCGACTGAGCAATCTCATCCTTCCGAGCCTTCAGCTCTTCAACATCCCACGCGGCAAAGACCAACTTATTCTTCAAAAACTCAGCTTCCTTGCTCGCGGCCCAGACCAAGAAATGGGCTCCCAGGTTAACTAAATCATATATATTAGCAAGACAAACCACAAGTAGAGAAAAAATAACAACAGAAAAGGGGAACTTACTATCATCACCCTGCCACTCCACATCCGACTGCGCAACCATCTTCTGCCCACCCTCCGACTCCGTCACCACACCGGGGTGCACACTCACCACTCTCAACCCGGGATTCTCCGCACCGAAATACTCCATAACTTTCACACCCGCGAGTTTACTCGTTGCGTACCCACTCATCGGCAATCCCCCATTCGCCGGAAACATCACGCCCGCAGTTGCCAGATGCAAAACCACAGCATCGGAAGCAGCGTACTTAGCTACGCCGCGCGCGAAGATAGCAGCGCCCTTGACGTTGGTTTCGTAGCCTAGCCACCAATCGTTGAGATCGGAGGTAGCGAGGGGTTTGAGGGAGGGGAGGTAACCGGCGCCGTTGATCGCGATGTCAATCGGAGCTCCAAAGGCTTCTTTAGCACCGGAGAATGCTTTATTCATAGCGACTTCATCCGCGATATCGGCTACGAAAGTGAGGACCTGGGCGTCGGGGTACGTAGTCTTTATCTCGGTAGCTGCGGCGGAGAGAACGGCTTCCCGACGTCCGGTGATAGCGAGATGGCAAGAACCAGCTTCGAGGAAGGCGAGGGCGACAGCTTTTCCGATACCTGCGGAGCCCCCGGTAATGAATACAGATTTAGATTTCGTAGAAAGATGGGGCAAAGAAGGGGAGATCGCCGCGTAGGGCTTGGTGTGTTGGGTCTTGGTGTAGTTCATGATGACTAGGTAATCAAGGAGTGTTCGTTTAACTAAAGTCAAGGCTGTAAGGTATACAAAAGACACGGGATGCTTTATGTCTAAGATCAGATTGTAACGAGTGAGTATTCCATCTTGTATAGACTAATGGAAGAGTTATATATCTATCTCTACGTGCCCTAGACAGGTGAATATCTTGTTAACCTGTTATTCAAGCCACCTACCCATTTGTCATAAGGACGTCGACTGCGGAATTTAGTCCTATAGGAGTAACAGCATCGCGATTATAGATCATGCCGAGTTATTCAGCGATACTGATGAGATAAAGTAGAGATATGATGTACTTCCCCATACTATGGTTAATGGTTGATGTTGTAGGAAGCCCAAACTGATGCTTTGTAATTCGTGATGATGGAACGCGGAATAGTTCCGTGGTCTATTTCATAAGCAACGAGTAGTCAACCCCTGATTACCTACTAACACAACAACAGATTTAACAACAGTAATTACAAAATAAACCATAAGAACACATATTTATCATCATTGGTAAGTTTTGCATAATAAAAAGTTATTAATTGTATGCCGAGAGAATAGCGAAAGGCGAGTAGGATTGATGAGTTTCTTCCAGTAACTTGTTACCTACCTCTAACCCTAAGTTACCTAAGTGGCTGGGTACCTACAATAGATTGAATGCGTACATCATCTTCCCACTGGAGGCGTGCGAGTAATATCTGTATCGATCTAAGGCGTCAAAATCGATTCGGACAGTCTGAGACATACATATGCAGTCGAAAGCCACACGGGCAAGGGTTCATCACAGTATCACAGGCGAGTAAACTCCAAAAAGCCAACGAAATCCGACAGCAATTTTAGTATGAATTCCTTTTTTCTATTCCATAATATTTCAGACTAATTCCCAACCGCCGATATATACTTGGTCATAGCATCCATACGTTCGCTCGTGAGCTTAAGTGAGACTCTAAGCAATTCCTGCGCAACTTCATTCTCTTCATTTTGCAACCTCTCCCAATTGTCCGTGTCCATAACCCAAACAACACAGTCTTTAACCGCTACCACTGTAGCAGTCCGATTCGTCTCCGAGAAGAACGGAAGCTCGCCACATGTTGTGCCCTGCACGATAGGCTCGGATAACCGACCTTGTGGCGTTTCATAGTCACCACGGAGTTCCCCTCTTTCTAGGAGGTAGAAGCCATTGGCTGATTCGCCACGTTCATACAGCACTGTGCCTGCTGTGAAATCCTTGCGAATGAAATATGGCTTTGCTCGGAACCAAAAGTCCTCGTTTTTGTCGCTCACATCATAAAAGACCTGAAGCATAAGCCGTAATGGCTCACTGATATTTTGCCACCTCGTCGACCGCCTCATCTCTTGTTGATTTAGCACATTCCTCGCTGCTTGGTCGAGATGATTCTTCCTCGGAGATTGTGACAGCATGTCCAATGATTGGCTAAATTGGCCCTTATTAGGTACGTCCAAATTACTCGACGGAGCCGGTCGAGATATTCTTAAAGCTTCTTGGCGAGCATAAAATGTTTTCAACTGTTCATTCTCGCAGCTTTCGAGTGCCGAATTCAAGTCAGGCATAAACATGACCTCGGGCCCATCGGTTCCCAGCCCAACGGCTCTTAGATCCCGACCAATCCTGCTCTCCGCGTCTTTACCGCTTATAAGGAGATGTACACTCTTCCCACACAAGAGCCGGTTGATGGTTTTGAACCCCTCGGCCGCAGAATAATCGATACCCGTAACGTGCCATAGATCGAGGATCAGATATTTAATCGGATGTTCGTTGAATACATCATCGGATATCAAGCTACGGATTTTCTCCTCGACGCCGACAATAGTGCCGAAAAACAAAAATCCGGACAACTTGATCACATATGTTTGGCTTCCAACTTCTTGTAAGTAATGGTGTTGAGATGGGTTCCGTCTGACCATAGAGCCGACTTGGTCTCCGGTATAAGTCGCTCGAATAGCTGAAACCTGCGATGCATGGAAAATCGCAGAGACAAATGCGAGAATTATGCCAACAAAAATACCAACGACAAAATCATAAATCCCCATGGTAAGAACTATTACCACAATCTATAATAACCAAATTAGTTCTAGCCGCATTATTAACCCAAGAGAAATGAGAATAACTTACTGTCAAATATTCTAATAGCTTAAGCTTTCGCCTTGGAGACACAAGTGCATCTAAAAGCAATTCAAACCCAAGGACAAAGATCAAAGTACCAACGACCATTACTGGGATATAGCCAATGATCACCGGTCCAATTGTCATGACGCCGAATGTCAACGCTGCCAACATTATACCCGCTAAACGGCTGTCACCGCCTGATCTCATGAAAAATAAAGTATTTGCGAAAACGAGGTAATTCTGTATGCTTCCTGCGAGCCCGGAAAGGAAATTCGAATAGCCATGTAACTTCAATTCATGGTCTAAATCGAGATGATCTTCTCCAGAAATCTGTGCCAGGGCAGGGACGTTGATAGGAACATGAAGTACGCTGAAGAATGTCAGTGCAAACATGGCTCCGACAGTTTCTAGAATTGCTCCCCAGTGAACTAAATTGAATTCTACAATAATTGTTAGTAACACACATATCGACCGAAGGCGTGGAATCTTACTGTAAAGTGTCCAGAAATACCACCACGGCTGTCCGGCTTCGGGCGCCTCAAAAATCCATCCAGCTTTTCTAAGATTCTCCGGCTCCAAGCTGTCTATAGTAAATACGAAAAAGTAAAAGAATATTGGCACGCATAGAATATAAATAGGCAAGAAATATTTTGATGTGATCTTTCGCTGGAGGCCGAAGAGGATGACGGCCAGAGCGAGAGGTATTAGCCAAAGGGGTAGAGTATCCGATTGCACCAGCCTCCGGCCAGTGTCAAGGTCGTAGTGGAATTCCTCTAGTCGTGCGGAAACCTCGAAGCCCGTTGCGATAAGGAACCAACCAACGCCGCCTATACAACCAATTAAGATGTGGCGGGGGATGAAGCCAACGATGTAGCCTAGCTTGAATTTTCCCATGAGGTAAAAGACAAGACCGGTCAACATGGAACTGATGGCGAATGATGTTATAGTCGTAGCAATAACGGCATCGGGTTGATCTTCTCCTACTATCGTTGTAATAGTAGACGCCATATTATGAAAGAAGGGAACAACTTCAATCTATATTACATATGTAAGTGGATAATTTCGAAGCTCTTAAACAGGCGACTTACCAATTCCGATCCAACACCACCTCGGAATAGACTTCCACAAGAGAAAGTCAATTGCGAGATAATAGTGCTAACATAAAATATAGATATTCCAGCCGGTCCTAGATTCGAGAAGATTGGGTTGCCCAATGGAAATAAGATCATTCCTAAAAGAATGGTTAGGTTTATAAACCTCCGAAGCAATTCCTAGTAGAGACATACCATAGGATAGAGCATCTAGAATGTTAAGCAAAAGCCCGACAATTACAGCTGGTAAGCAATGTACTGGATCCAGTACAGTCCTCTGCCAAACGACCTTCTTATCCCAAGTTTTAGGGTTGGCTATACTCTTAATGCCGCGGATCTTGCTTCGAATGCTCCCTCTAAGCACATCTGACGACGGCCTCCAGGGTCCTCCCTTCGGTTTCTGACTTTCGATGTCATCAATCTCCGTAACGCTACCTGGAGAATCGGGTCGACGCGACAATGCCCTGAGTAAGGGGGTGGTTTCCGATACATCATTGTCGGGTTGCGATTGTGATATTCCCGTCGACGGTCGCCGTTGTCCGCTACTCAAAGTTCCATTATTCCCAATATCCTGCTCGACTAAAGATTGAGGCGGAGAACGTCTGAGCATGCTTGTGAGCGCCGAAGGTCCTGAGTCGTGTATGTCCTCTGTCCTAGATCCTGACGAAGAGGGCTCGGAAACCTCATCTATAGTGTCCGTGCTTGACGCCTGCAAGTCTTCGATGTATGGAGACTCATGCTGGGAGACTGACTGGTCGCGACTAGGGTGGGACGATGTAGACGATATTCGATTGAGGAATGACGTGCTGCGCTTATCCTTCTTGTCTGATAAAACATATGAAGCGAGTTCGGCCGTGTCTTCGCGGACACTTCGAGCAAAACTGGCACTGTCCACAGGAGCTTAAAGGCGCATTAGTTGGAAATACAATATCGATGCAGACATGCAAACACTTACATAGATGATCCCTCACAGAACCAGGCACGAATGACCTAGTGGGCTCCCTATAGCTAGTGGAATTTAGCGACGACGAGAGCGGTCGTGATTCTCCTGGAGTTAATCGTTGAGAATGATTTGGGTTGGTTATTGGCTCAGGAATATCTACTAGATCTGGTTCAGAAGTAACAGAAGAGGACCTCCTCCTCCAAGAGGTAAACCCGAACGACGAAGCCGCCATATTCTTATGGGTGAGCGTTTGTTAGCTCGCTAAGAATGTTAGATATATACATTGAGGACTGATCACAGTGCGGGAAATAGCCAGCAAGGTGTATGTTAGTATCTTAGTCGATGAACTGCGCGAGTTGGAGCGCGATTGTCATATACAGCAAGGAATATGAACTATATGGTAATGAGGTATTGCATATGTAAACAGCCATAGATAATATATATAAATATTAACTGGAATTGAAATAGCGTAAATCGAATAGATAGTGGAAGAAAAAAAAAAAAGTTGGTATCTCTGAAGCAGCAAAGATAGTTGGATGATAACGAGAGAATCTAAATTCTAGACCTCATAAGATACTAGGTAGCTACAGATTTTAAAGAACTTAATTAGCAGCGCTAACTATATACGGCAATTAGCAAGGGATAGTTACGTAGTACGCATGGATCTCGCGTTAAATTCAAGCATGTGGTTCGCACCTAATTGACAGGGATATGGAGGGGCATCTCCGGTTGTAGAAAGGCGTTGAAAGATAATTGGTGGCAAACCTAACTTTTTTATGTACTTGTTAAATAATGCCATTGGATAATTCCGAATTTCTGTATAATACCATGGTGTCACAAATCGCAAATCCTTTTATACACGACATCTGCCGTGCGGCTTACACGAGAAAGCCCCAGCTCTGAGGTGGTATTCGGCTCCTTGCCTATACATACGTTCCATGCGTTACAGGAGGGCGAGGTTTCGTTTCGTTGGATGCTGAAATATTGAGGCTGCATGATGCAACCGCTATGTCCTAGCCCATGAACACCGACTGCCGACATGGCCGATTCGCACCAAGTAAGGGCTGAGCTGCTGCTTGTCTGCTCTACTACCTTGATGGTAGTGAGTTTTGGATCGTGATGTTGACTTATAGAAATCAATTCGTTTTCCTTTAACTTAGCTCAAGTTCTAATATCCCATCTCTGAATGAAATAACATTGTAGACCCTGAAAATCTATCATTAACATCGGTTGCTAAGAACATAGGGCAGAATAGCGTAATCGAGGCAAATCCTGGGGAAGCTTGATATGCAAGGACTCATCTCGATCATTATTTCGATACGGCACTCCGCAATGAATATGCATCTGCAGTTCATCTTGCACTCGATGCTTCCGGTCCTTCTTAGAACACAGAAGGAATGGTTGATGATCCTCTTCTCACCGCGTTCGATTACGTACTGAAATGCTCTAGTATTCGTCGGCCATCACTGTGGTACCTTTTCGACGGGACGGGCCTCATCCCATGCAATACGGTTAATACACAGCCTACCCATGGGACGCACGTTCGGAAAACTTTTGTCGTCAGGCGCGAAGTTGAATATTTCTAGGAGCCTCCAACTCATCCCCACATCTAAGATTCCTATTCGCTCCCCGCAAATCTCAGACCTGTCCAATACAATGACCAGCCCGCCCAGCGTCGTATTCCGTTTGGTTCAATCGCCCTTGCGCCCTGCGTCCTGAGCTGGGGATGCGCCAATTGGGATAGGCGCCTGCATATGTAATCCATCACTTTTATGCTCATCGTTGTGCAACTGTGAGCAATTGTCTCCATCGGATTGTTCGTTTCTCGCTTTCGGAGAGAACATCAATCATACCACTTCGGTACGTAGGAACCCCTCTGTGGACGTGCATTAAGTTCCCCCGGGCATATCATTGGCATTTTGAGGCAAATGCATGCCGCGGAAAGTTGAGTTCGATGCTGTCTTCTTCGTGATTGGGTCAACTTTGTGCCGCCCGCATTAGATCGTCATCTGCGCTTTTTCTTGCGACTAATTTCGTCAGAATTTGCAAATTGTGTTTGTCAAAACGCAAATTCATAAAAACCACGTCGGTGAATACATGTATGTCGCTAGTCGCCCAACATGCAAACATGCTTCCGGGGAACAACCTTGTGCCGCCGAGAAGCCCTGTGCTGTGGCCTAACCACATATGTATAAGGAACCGCCCAGACCAAATTCCTGCAATTGTACGGAATCGTCTGTTTAGATTCATCGGATGGTCTGGTGAAGCGGGACACCTCTGTGATAAATCATAAATAGATGGGGATGGTTCCTGTTATTCCTTCAGCTGAGCTTTTGGAGATATCCTTGAGCAATCAATCGCTCAACATCGCCCTGCCTAACATAGAATTGACTGTTTTTGGTGAGTGTAATCGCACTGCGACGATGGTAAGCGGACTTTTCTGAATACTGTCATGATAATATTATGAAGGGCAATCTTACCCATATTCAGTCTGAATTTCTCCAGCATCCTTTAACACCCGCACATCGATGAACAAATCACGAGGAGGTTCAAGACTGCCGGTAAGGTCAATATCTGTCCATTGACCCTTGTAAGCTGCTAAAAGATCGCTGTATTGTCGCACATAGTCTTCCTCTTGCGGACTTAGACTGCTTGTACCACCATCGCCGGCTCCCGGACCCGGGGCATTGGCCGAGCCATCCCTGACCTGTTGACCAGCAAGATCGACTACGTCGTAGCCTTTCCAAACAAGTTCTTCCAGCCTATCGGTCCGGGTACGATGATAGCCTAGAAGGCAACGTTTATTCCATCTCATTGATATATGGTTCGTAAGTAGGGTACATGCTGTCGCCGGATCATCATTTGGATTGAAAGACCCTTGGAATGGCTCTAAGAGGTCTGTGACGTCTTTATCTAGATCACGAACTTCCCGGGTTGCTGCACGAACTAGTTCGGTTTGATATGGCGGTAGATGCGCTAAGTTCTGGGTTCTTTTCGCGTGTTGAACCTGATACCACTTAGCTCTGGCTCATCGATCATATACGAATGTTTAGTTGAGTCCTTACCAGCTTAATTCCTAAGTCGCCATACATTTTGTGTTGGATTACAAGTCAGTTGGGAGTATTGATTGTATTTCTCGTATATATAACGACGGTTAGGATCGAATCAAGAAAGGAATAAAGATAGTAATGCTCGAAAGACGCGTACAGGAAGCATCGAACGCGTTTCTATATCGTCGGGGCAATTGCTTTAGTCAAGGTGGGGTTAAGCTAAGAAAAAAAGAACCTGGAAGGTTTATCTTAGTGGTGGGGCTCCCTATACTTATAGGTACATGTGTACCCAAGTATTAGGCGTGTGTAATGAGAAAGAACGAGGGGTTAGTGGGGTTGGAAAATGACCCCGCTATGTAATGAGCTGTGGAAATTTTATTTTTCTCAAGCTCTCCCACCAAGCATCACGGACTGACGGCCGTAACTGGCGCAATCTTTTTTTTTTTCCGTTACTTGTGACAAATAATAAACCAAATTTGACATTGGCTATTTGACATTGGCTACCTCTAATGATCTTCGATGAGTTATTAGTGTAATCATCCTAGTAACCTAACGAAATCGTATCGTCAACCTGCCGTGTGCCCCCTCTTCGCTGATTTGTGATTTGATCCCTCATTTTCTGTCATAACTTTTTTTATCTTGACACCAAAATTGTCGCATTAAAAGTTAGTCCAATTCTTCGCCATGTCGGCACCACAGAGAATCGCAATCCTCTCCGTCTTCGACAAGACTGGTTTGTTGGACCTAGCTAAGGGCCTTGTACAACAAAACGTGCGAATTTTGGCGTCTGGGGGTACAGCTAAGTTGATTCGCGAGTCTGGATTTCCAGTCGAGTAAGGACGCACTGCGACCAATAAAATTTATATACTTCGAAGCTGACAGTAAGAAGGGACATCTCAGCTATCACGAAAGCCCCTGAGATGCTTTCCGGCCGAGTCAAGACCCTACACCCCGCTGTCCACGCTGGTATACTTGCCCGTAACCTAGCCGCCGACGAGAAGGACCTTGCCGAGCAGAGCATTGACAAGGTTGACTATGTCATTTGCAACCTGTACCCATTCAAAGACACCATCTCTAAACCCAACGTCACCGTCCCCGAAGCCGTAGAAGAGATCGATATCGGAGGTGTTACACTTATTCGTGCCGCTGCCAAGAACCACGCTCGTGTGACGATCCTCAGCGACCCGAACGACTACGCCGAGTTCCTAAAGGAGCTCCAAACTGGTGAAATAAAGGAGGCGAGCCGTAACCGATACGCACTCAAAGCTTTTGAGCACACAGCTGATTACGACGCTCACATCTCCGGTTTCTTCCGCGCACGATACGCCGGCGAGGGTCAGCAGTACCTGCCCCTCCGATACGGTGCCAACCCCCACCAGAAGCCAGCTGCCGCATACACAAAATCTAGCAACCTACCATTTAAGGTTCTTGGGGGAGCCCCTGGCTACATCAACTTGCTTGATGCTTTAAACAGTTGGCCGCTAGTGAAGGAACTAAAGGCAGCTCTAGGAATGCCTGCTGCCGCGAGTTTCAAGCATGTTTCCCCCGCAGGCGCTGCCATTGGCGTTCCCCTAAGCGCCGAAGAGCGCAAGGTCTACTTTGTTGATGATATCCAAGGCATTGAGACCTCGGGATTGGCGCAAGCTTACGCACGAGCTCGAGGAGCCGACCGAATGAGCAGTTTCGGAGATATCATTGCTCTAAGTGATGTAGTAGACGTCCCTACTGCTAGCATTATCTCGAAGGAGGTCTCCGACGGAGTCATTGCTCCTGGATATGAGGCTGCCGCTTTGGAGATTCTCAAGAAAAAGAAGGGAGGTAAATACCTCGTACTGCAGATTGACCCCGAATACCAGCCCGACCCTACTGAGGTTAGGACTGTGTATGGTGTAACTCTCACCCAGCACCGAAATGACATCGATATCTCACCGTCTTCCTTCAACCGTACTATCACGCCGAAGGACTTTGCTCTGCCAGAATCTGCTGCTAGGGATTTGACTGTCGCCACAATTGCCGTTAAGTACACACAGAGCAACTCAGTCTGCTATGCTAAAAATGGACAAGTTGTTGGTCTCGGAGCAGGCCAACAATCACGTATTCACTGCACCCGACTTGCGGGTGACAAGGCCGACAACTGGTGGTTGCGCTTCCACCCTCGTGTTTTATGCATCAAGTGGAAGAAGGGTACCAAGCGACCCGACAAGAGCAATGCCATCGACCTGTTGGTGAGCGGCGAGTTGCCAAAGGGTGGTCCTGAGCGCGAGGCTTTCGAGGCTGTTTTCGACGAGGTACCTGCTTCATTCACCGAAGAGGAGCGCAATGGTTGGCTCAGCAAGCTAGATGATGTTGCTGTTTCTAGTGACGCTTTCGTAAGTAACCACCGATAACTCCGGCGGAGTTTCTTTCCGCCTTCGTTTTTATTAATAACGTGCTAATCCCGTTCAAATAGTTCCCTTTCGTCGACAACATCTACCGTGCGCACCGATCTGGCGCCAAGTTTATTGCGGCTCCCGGTGGCAGTCAGAATGACTCCGCCGTTTATGAGACGGCTGAGAAGCTTGGTATTGTTTTCGTGGAGCAAAACATCCGGCTCTTCCACCACTAAAAAAAGGGCGAGGTTGGGACGTGAAATGGTTGGTGGGATAGGATAGATAAAAAGCAAAAAAAAAAAAAAATGAAAGCCAAAATATGGACAAGAAGATACCCGGTGTAACAAGGCAGGGTCAAGGAGGCGGGGGCCGGTATTAACTACTAGGTGGGGGAAATGGACTATCAATCTGGGAATACTGAATGTTCTTTTGCAGAGATCTCGAGTTTACCAGTTTCAACCTATTAATGAAGAGTTCGACGATAAGTAAAACATATTGCACGTATGAGACAATGATTGTGGCCAACCTTCGCGTCAATAAATGGGGTTCCTTTGAAAGAGACAAGAAAAACTAGTCTAACTACGTCGCGAAACATAATCATCACAAGGGGAGGAATCAAGAAAATCGGGAGTAATTTGGGACAAATTTTGTATTAGCGTTTTATGCATCTACCATAGGTAACCTTAAGGTCTCTATATTTGACCTGTAAGAGCAACTATCCCTGTCATATCACCCAACCAACCTCATCAGAGTCATCAACCATGCTTTGTGGTTTTTCTAGTAGTCGTGTATCATGCATTGAGTGTTGGTATAGTGACCTTGTCTTCCAGCAGAGCCTTGGTGGATGCCGTTTACAACTTCATCATGGCAACCTATTCGTCGGATTAGTATGTTTGACAGTGGCTTTGTTAGCGGATTGAAAACTTACAACATCCGAAGACTGGACGTAGTCCTCGAAACCTTCGATCTCTTCCTGTAGGTCGGCGAGGGAAACCTTCTCATCCTCAACGACCAAGTTGATCTGTAGCTTCTTGATACCGAAACCGACGGGGACTAACTTGGAGGCACCCCAGACTAGACCATCCTTCTCGATTCCTCGGACAGCGGCCTCAAGAGCGACCAGATCGGTCTCGTCATCTAAAATAGGAATTATTAGTTCTACATATTAGAACCTAAGTAGTATTATGCAATCTTACCCCAGGGCTTGACATCTAAGGTGATCATAGACTTGGCAATGGTCTTGGGCTTGGCCTCCTTCTTTGCCTTGTAAGCGGCTAGTCTCTCCTCGCGGACACGGACAGCCTCAGCATCTTCCTCCTCATCATCACTACCGAATAGGTCGACATCATCGTCCTCCGCAGCATCGGGAGCCTTGGCGGGGTTTAGGGTGACGGCAGCCTCATCGGGTCCGTAGACGGTGTAGGGCTTGGAGGCATCACCGGGGAGGGTAGGGAACTCGTCCTCGAAAGAAGCGATGTGCTTGTACCATCTCGCGGCGTGGGGGTACTTCGCGGATTCGGGGGCGGACTTGAGGGCCTTGAAGACGGCAACATCGGCCTGGGAAGGAGAGTAACTTGGATGAGTCAGTGGTGAGTTCTATGCGAATGAGGGGCAAATCAAGCGCAAGGGACAATGTTGAAAGTATAATTGCTGAAATCAGAGATGCACAGAGTGCTATTGTATTTGTCCTCCTTTACAGGGTCTTAAGCTGTTCAGAAACACGGACCAATGTTCCTCATCATGAAAGGGGTATTTGGGCTCGCAAGGCAAATTTGGTGTAGGAGGGGCACGGTAGATGACTGATACATCAAGGTGTCGCACTCGATATTGGCGCTCGCATTCAAAGAAAGGTTGTGTAGACGACTTACCCAGTAACGTATGATCGGGTGGTCAACCAGCTGTTAAGCACTGCGTCGCCATAGTCAGCCTCAGCCAAAATCCATCACGATGCCCAGTCAACGGATCGTAGTACGCCGAGAGACACAGCGGGGTCACAATGATTCGGGAGTAGAAAAAAACATACCGGCCGAACCAGCATCAGTGAGCAGATCAGTGAAACCCATTTTTCCCGGTTTGAATGAATGAGAGAAGAGAATGGATAGAAGGAATCTGAATTCTGGGGGTATCTTTGAAAATGGGAATGAGGAGGGAAAAGGAAAGCTTGTGCTTGTGAAGAAATAATAAGAAGTTCCAAGGTGGGGTTGAATTAATGGCGGGCTTCTCTATTTTGAAATTTTTACGAACAGGGTTGCCAAATCACCCGGGTGCGGGTGGCCAGCCACAAGTTGAAACCCCCCACCATAAAATGCGCCCAATTGCCTAACAAGGTACTTGAGTACATCACCAATTGTAGAAGAAAGATCGTGCCCGGATCTTTTACGCCACACCACAGATCTCATCAATGCTCTTTCCCATCGCCACTCTAGACACATCTTAATTTTCCTTATCGATAATAAACAATAAATGGAGCTTCAATTCGGTGCAGGTGGTTCGACACTTCGAGAAAGCTCCAGCGGCAACGACCGCCTCATTTTTGAAGCTCTCGTGATATTCTAGAACCACTTTAGGTTTGATAATTCCTCTATTACATATGAAATGATTTCCTAGTTAAGAGAAGTCTCTTGACTTTTAATTTTTCCTCACGTTGAATATTACCTCCAATTCTTCACGCCTTCACGATGTTAGCGAGAAGCCAGTTACTTAGATCTTCACGACGAGTCGCCGACGCCTCTTCAAGAGGGCTCGCGCGACTCAACACAACACCTTCACTAATATCCAGAGCTGCGCTTGTGAACACAGCGAAGCATTTATCAAATGTCACCTTACCGACTCCCACACATCGAACCTACGCAAATGGCCGACCTCATCCGCCGGGTGGTACCCATCGAATGAATATGGGTGGTGAGCCCGAAAAACCGGCATTGGAACAATTTGGTATCGATCTCACAGCGCGAGCAAGAGATGGAAAATTGGACCCTGTAATTGGCAGGGACGCCGAAATCCAGCGAACAATCCAAGTTTTGTCGAGACGAACGAAGAACAACCCAGTCCTAATCGGAAGTGCGGGGACGGGAAAGACTGCAATTTTGGAGGGTTTGGCGTTGCGAATAGTACGGGGTGATGTCCCAGAGAGTATAAAGAACAAAAGAGTCATATCCTTGGATCTGGGGTCTCTCATTGCTGGTGCTAAATTTCGAGGTGATTTCGAAGAAAGGTTGAAAAAGGTCTTAACCGAGGTTCAAGAGGCGCATGGAGAAGTCATACTATTCATTGACGAATTACATACACTCCTTGGTCTTGGGAAGGCCGAGGGTTCTATCGATGCCTCCAATCTGCTCAAACCGGCTCTATCAAGGGGAGAATTGCAATGCTGTGGTGCTACCACATTGGCAGAATACCGAATAATCGAAAAGGATGTGGCACTAGCAAGACGATTCCAGCCAATTTTGGTAAATGAGCCTACAGTTGAAGATACCATTAGTATATTGCGAGGTATCAAGGATAAGTACGAGGTGCACCATGGTGTCAGAATTACGGATGGAGCCCTCGTGGCAGCTGCAACGTATTCAAATCGGTATATCACCGACCGGTTCCTCCCCGATAAAGCCATCGATCTGATGGATGAAGCGGCAAGCTCGTTGCGCTTACAGCAAGAAAGCAAGCCTGAGGACATCATGCGCCTCGATCAAAAGATCATGACAATTCAAATAGAGTTGGAAAGTCTTAGGAAAGAAAAGGACGTGGCGAGTCGTGAACGACGCGAAAAGCTTGAAGCAGACCTCAAGAGATTACAGGAAGAAGAAAAGTCTCTAAGCGAGAGATGGGAGAAGGAACGAGGAGAAATCGATGCTCTGAAAAAGGTCCAGGAAGATTTAGACAAGGCTCGTATCGAACTTGACCAAGCGCAAAGAACAGGAAATTTCGCCCGAGCCTCTGAACTGCGCTTTGGTATCATCCCGAATTTGGAACAAAAGCTTCCTAAGGATGGTGAGCAAGGACCCGAAGCTCAAGGTCCTGACACTCTGATCCACGATTCGGTAACAGCTGATGACATTGCAAATGTCGTTTCGAGAATCACGGGAATTCCAGTATCCAAATTAACATCTGGGCATGTTGAGAAGCTGATTCACATGGAGGAGACCCTCCGAGAATCAGTCCGTGGACAGGATGAAGCTCTCAAAGCTGTCGCAGATGCCGTGCGCATGCAACGGGCCGGTCTAAGCGGTGATAACCGACCACTCGCGTCATTCTTCTTCCTCGGCCCTACAGGTGTCGGTAAAACTGAGCTATGCAAGAAACTGGCCGGTTTCCTATTCTCAACCGAATCTGCCGTGGTTCGATTCGACATGAGCGAATTTCAAGAGAAGCACACCATATCTCGACTCATCGGTGCACCATCCGGATACGTCGGATACGAGGATGCGGGGCAGTTAACCGAAGCGGTACGACGGAAGCCATACGCTGTGCTACTATTCGACGAGTTCGAAAAAGCGCACCGCGATATCTCGGCCCTGTTACTACAAGTCTTGGACGAAGGCTACCTAACTGACGCCCAGGGGCACAAAGTCGACTTCCGCAACACCATCATCGTGTTAACCTCCAACCTCGGCGCCAACATCCTTGTAGGTGCTGACGCGCACCACCCATACTCAGAAACACCAGATGGCCAGATCAGCCCGGACGTGCGCCGCGCAGTCCTTGACGTCGTCGCCTCGAGCTACCCTCCGGAATTCCTAAACCGTATCGATTCGTTCATCGTCTTCAAGCGACTGACACTTGATGCGCTGCGCGATATTGTAGATATCCGACTCAAGGAGTTGCAGACGCGGCTTGATGACCGTCGTATCACGCTGCAGGTCGACGATGAAGTTAAGAACTGGCTGGCGGAACGCGGATATGATCCGAAGTTCGGCGCGAGACCGTTGAACAGGTTGATCACCACGGAGATCGCGAATGGCCTTGCGGATCGCATTATTCGCGGCGAATTGAAGCGTGGCGACAAGGCATCTGTCAAGGTTAAAGAAGGTGGCGAGGGGTTGGAAGTCACCCGTATTGTACAGGCGGAAATCGTAGAAGAGGAGGGGACGGGTTCGAGTGAATCCTCGTAAAAAAGCTTGAGGTGAAGGGAAATGTCTGTTTACCTACGGCGTTCATTGGGTGGTAACACAGGGGGGAAAATATCCTAAATGGAATTGGTCCTGAAAAGGTGCATTCACGGCGGATGAGGTAATGAAGTCATGCTTGTATAAACGTGTATAAATGATTGGGATTTATATATATCACGAGAATCTCGTCTCAGACTGTATATATTGTACATACTATCTACCTAACTCCAATAAGCATATTTAATGAGTCTATTCGATCTGGATGCTTTGATTGTGAAGAAGTGTGACCATTAACACATATCGCAGCAGTCTTGCAGTGACACCGCAGTCTCCCTTAATATTTTTGTATATTGTTTCTTTGTTGTTATATATACAATGCTACTCGGTATATACCAAGGGGCCTATGCAACCTAATGATATCCTTCCCCTTTCCAAAACATATTCATATTTTATATATACCAGCGAGCTATCATCCAGTTCATTCAATCATGCAATGCCAATCCCATCCATATCCAAATAACCCTTAACTCCAAAATAGCTCGCGCGTATATTTAAAAATGTAAATAACCCATAGACTCCTAAATAAATCACATGGCGGTACCTGGCCTCTTTATCTCGGGCCGCGCGAGGTCTCCAAAGTCAGAATTCGGTCGTGGACTTAACGCAGTCCGTAGACTAAGCGAGCCGAAAATCTGCTCATGGAAGCCCAGTACACCAGCACTGCCGAAAGACCTGCGCTGTGGCTGTAATGGCCGTCGCGGGACTTTGGAAGGCGATATGTCCATGTCTTCGGATGGATCAGGGCTCACGGCTCCTTGTCTTGTTCTTGGCCTTATCGGACTGCCGTCACCTTCGTACTCTGATCCTGCGTATTCGGGAGTCGCCGCTGGTGGAGACGAGAAGATAAAGTCCGGTTTCGATTGCGCGAAGTCGTCTGTGTCCGATTCGGTATCTGGATCTAAATACGCGCCCCCGTCTTCGCTCACGATAGTTTGTCTGGATTGACTAGGGAGTACAGCTGCAGTAATAGAGGGAAGTTCCATCTCTTCCTCTTCCTCTTCTTCTTTGTCCTCGTCCTCGTCCTCCTGAGACTCTTGATCTTCCACCTCAGTCTTATTCGCGTCTAGATTTCCGTTCGGAAGTGGCGTTGATGTGAAAACATCCAAATGATCGACTCCGTTCGAGAGGGGTTGGACCACCACAGGGGCAGGTAAATCTTTCTGGCTGGTATCCATATTTGCAAAGTCGATATTCTTCGTTGGGGCATCGCCATTCGCCAGGATACCAAGACTGTTTTGTTCCTGGGTGGATTGACTCAAACGAAGTGGAGACGAGGCAATCGACCTTGTAGCATGTCGTAGCGTAGGCGAGGGGCTGAGCCGGCTTTTTGCAAAGTCTCGTCGTGTTTCAATGCGAGAGGGTTTCGGAAATTTAATATTTTCATCATCGTCGCTTTCGCTGTCGCTATCAACGATGTTATTTTTCGTATGGTCCACCTCACCGCTAAGGCGGTTGTTCTTTGGAGTGATAACTACGGGATTCAATTAGTAATTGTTACTACGTAGAAGATTTCCGGTCACTGGTGATGTGGCCTATCCCATGGTAAATCCCTCTCGAACGGCCATGGTGATGTAGTCCGTCCTAGAGGGAGCTCCAGAGGATAATGATTAATCCGGGGATTAACTTACGGAGGCTGCTGCTAGGAGAAGAGCCGTCACCAAACATGAGGCTGGGAGTTGATGAAGCAACCGAAGGTTCGTAATTTGGCAGCGGTTCCGGCTCATCCTCCTGGCTACTCGTTATGACAAGCTCCCGGTCTTCGGACTCCCTAGGAGTTTCGCTGACGGTACTCGGTCGAGAACCCGATGATTGGCGCGGTTGATGATCCCCAACTGGTTCATTGGATACATTCCGTGATAGATCCCCTCCACCAGACTCATTGTCTACAGCGGAGTCGTCAGGCCCTACGTAATGATCCAGTCCTGGTACCAACGGGAAGGCCCGCGCGCCCGTGTTTGAGCAAGTTATGGCCATTGATGATCTCCGAGCGGGAATGGGTGGGCGGCCTGAGATGGGCGAGTGTGCGGATTCCTCAGTTTGTGTAGCCTCGGACTTTTCGTTCGTGGACGTTGAAATTTCGTTTGAAGACTCATTTGATGTCTCATTCGATACTTCATTCGACGTTTTGTTTGACGTTTCGTTGGATGTTTCGTTCGAGGTTTCGTTTTCTGTCGTGCTCCTGGAAACCGACGTGTCGGCGCTATTCGCTGGATCCGGGGTCGGATAAGTGGTGTCTTCGCGCTGCTCCGTGCTATTGTTAGGAAGTGATTCGTCCGGTTCGTATCCGCCTGAAGCAACCGAGGAGGTGGAAGTCGTGGAGATTGCAATGTCTGTGGCCCGTGGAGTAGGAACGTTCTCATCTAAAATGCCAACTTCATTCACGAGACTCCTAGCCTCTTCTTCATCGTCAAGCGTCAAAGTGTCTTTACAAGCAGTCGCAATATCACGGTCAATCCGTTGCCGCAACCGGTCCAGAACATAAGCCTTGGACTTCTGAGGTTGTCTTTTTCTCTTCTTTTCTGTGGATTCAAAGGGCTCTCGTGCCACAAAAGTCTTATCCAAAATGAAGTGGCCACGCTTATGAGCCGTCATTCTGACAGAAATAGCGTTACCTCGGAGTATGTCTGCGACGCCAGCTTGAATACGATCAAGTATGGCTTCAACTTTCCTCTGGGAATAGGAGTAGGAGGAATCCAGGACAAAAATGAGTGGTTCGTCCAGAGACCAACCATGGCCGCGGAGCTCTGTTATTCTAAACTCCAGATCGTTCATTCGGCCGATGGTATCATCGGCGTCGTCTCGAATTGGGGCAAGGGCAGCTTCAACTTTGTTTACAAAGTTGAGACATTTCTCAGCGTCAGAGGAAAAGGAAAGATTGCTACTGCAATGGATAATTCGCTCCAGATTGGGGAATTGGGGGCCAAGGTTGTTCGCGATTGAAAACTTCAATTCCAACCCATCGTTGTCATGGTGTCGACATTCTTTACATCCGTCCAGGCTAATACATTCGCCGTGGACCTTCTCAAACGCTTGTCTTTCGGATCTCAAAACGCCTTCTACAGCGTAAGACGCTTCAAAAAACAAACCCTCTGCACCAATCGAGTTTAAGGGCGCTGGCTGGCCACTATTGACTTCAACAGTTGTTTGCCATTCGGATGGCTTCCGACGTTGACATCGGCTTGTGAAGGAGAAGCTAATAGTGTAGCCAGGTATAGACTCGAATGTTTGAGACTTTTCAAGAAAGTAAGAGCGTGGGACACATGACATGGGCTGAACGCGGCCAGCACGATGGGGGAATTTTCCGGGCTCCTCTAACGGGTCGTCACGGACCGGGCCGTCCTTCCAGACGAAAGCTTGGTCGTGGCGTCTAAGAAATAGCCCTATTATGTGATGGGTGGAGATAATGATTTCCCTTGCAGCTTCAACAGATAGTAGTTGTTTTTGGTACGATTTAAAGGTCCTAGAAGCCCAAATCTCGGACCATCCCCGGATGATGTTGACTTGAATTTCGAATTTTAAGGGTTTATCTGAACCGCTCGCAGCAGCATACCCCATTGCTGTTGAGTCTTTACGGGTGATTAACTCATGGCAACAATGGTCAACACGGCGTAGTAAACCCTGGCATAAGGCCTCGGTGGCCTGGAGTGACGGCGAGGCTTCATAATTGCGGCTGTATGAGTAATTCAAGGGTTCACCAAAAGTGATAGTGACATGGACAGCAAGATTTGCCACAGGTAGAGGACTCCGCGATAAGGAGGCTGGTTTCGTTTCACGGGCCGGTTGAGGGGCTTGAGGGGGGATCTCGAGGAGGGAAGTGGATTCTGCCATGGCTTCTTCGCTCTTTTTCTTTTCATGGCGGTGGATCCTGAACCGCTTCATGTCGTTAACGAAGGTTCTAAACTTTCCGGGGAAGGCCCCCGACTTGGGCCTCCGTTTTGGTGCATCCGATGCCATTCTTCAGATCCTCGTTGAAAGGGGGGAACTAACGAATGAACAATAGAACACGTCGGCCAGAGTGGGTTTTAAGAAAAGGAAAAAAAGAGGACGAAACGCATGGTGTATAGGCAAGAAATACACCTCAGCAGCGACCCAAAAGTAAATCGGTATTGGCGGCTGTCAGGCCTAGCGTAGGGCACGTAACAGGGCAAATAACACGCCACATATTACATGCGAGGTCCACCCGTTTGGCCTCGTTATGCGTACCAGATAGGTACCTTGGTAGGCATGTAGGCATGCGGTACCCTTAGTAGAGGCATGCAGATGGTCTGATATGGAGGGGGCTGGGCTGGCTTCCTTCACATGTGGACCTCTTTTCCGGTTGTTTTCAGCATTTCGCATTTTTTGCTTGGTTATTAGACAGAAACTAGTCCGTCATGCTGCATTATACCAACGCGTCCTAAACACTAGCCGGACAGAGTCGGGAAATCGGGAATGGTTGACTGCGGTAATTTGTTAGGTGGTTGGCAGAGAAGAAGGTCGAATCAATTCACGCGGCAAATCGACCGGAGACAACAGCACAATACAACACAACGTTAATAAGAAGCCGGCAGCTACCGGTTGGGTAGCCATACCACAGTGGGCTGAAACGGCGCGTGGAGTAGAACAACTCAGTGGTGTGATTGAATCCCATTCGTCCGATGCTGACAGGTATTTTGCTGTTCTCTTGTTATTTGTAGACCATGTAAGCAAGCTTAGGAATGTCCTGTAATACCCGTTGTTATCCATCATCATTTTTTGCGAGATTTGGTAATGATTGATGTGCTGTGTAAGAGGTATGTACGTGCTAAGACATGGATGCTCGAATTTGAATGGTACATCGACAATTTTAGCTACCAAGGCCTATAAATGTTAAAAATTTAAGCATATGTTACCGAAGGCAAGTCCTACACAGATAGAATTTGTAGGTACATATATGTAGATTACATATGTAGGTAGCTTCATAGGTACATTCCGGCTCCAGTTATAGGGTTAAGTTAAGCAGGTAATACTTGCTTTTCGGCAGGGTCCGGGGACCCAGTTACCGAACTCGCGGGATCGGATCCTCCATTGAAATATCCACCTAAGCTACTAAGTAGGTAACTTCCAAAGTTTGGAGAAGTTTGGTTACATCGATTTAGTACATTACGAGCTTATTCCAGAAAAGTATAGGCGATCCATTTTTGGGGGGACTCTTCTAGGCTTTCTTTGTTCTGAGTTTAAGATTGACTATAGTCTATCCGCCTTCTACCTAAAACCATGACAGGTTACCAACGTCAAAGATAATTCTTGGTTATACATACTTAAGTTATATGAAATTTCTTATTCCACGATGCCCCTTGCAGACAGATTTTACATTCAAGGGGGAAAATTATTAAAGTCTTTGAATGTGTAGTGCTTATGAAATAGGTAACAATGATGTGACGCGTGTAACCACCACTTTTACCCCCAATCCCCCTGAATTGTATCTTCGATTTAGTCACATATCAACTCTTCATATAGTGCCTTGCTATGGTACCTTGCTTCCATATTCCCTATCCTTTGTTTATATAGTTAAATCATTACTTTTCATCTTACATTACAACCCTTACGGTTGCATAGAGTAGAACGCCCCCTTTAAGGGTCCCTACAGGTAAATTCTGCTTGTATCTAAATCCAACGAGAAGCATGTAGACAAGCAGAATGAAAGGACATCATGAAACAGATAGCAGAATGTCCTTCTTTTTTACAGTCAATATGCATACTTTAAATATGACGGTCATGGTCAATAGTAATAGTAGAAGGGATACAACAACATCCCCTTACGAATGATAAATCAGGATAAATCAATTCACCAGATACTCAATCTCGCCGAATATGTCAACCGCACAAGAAAACTACCAAATAATCGGGTTCGTCCCCTTCGCAAGACTCGAAATAGATCGGAGCACGTACCTTGGGCTCGGAGATCTCGCCAACTGGCAATGCATGATGAAAGATTTGGGCTTCGATCGCGAATTCAAGAGCAAAACTCAATGCCGAAAGGTACCTTACATAAATATTCTTAATCCATGGTTTTTTTTCGTGCCTATTACTTGCTAACTAACTACTTCACTAGGTCCTTAAGCACGTTTGGGTGAACGTAGTAGATTTCCTTGCAGATGTTCAGGGAGACCGTGTACCCTACTTTTTTAGGAATTCGCATCAACTCCGCAGATACACAAGGCAGACTAGAAAATTCTACCCCCGGAGCTTGCTACCGAAGGGTAGCCCACTTCGATGTCTACTCTCCGGTATGCGTTAGTGTCAAGGCGTAGGGTGTCCAAATCGCTGCAAGATTAAAGCAGTAGATCAATGACGCCCTAGGGAAAAAGACCGGAAGCATACATTGGATAAGTAGTCGCGAATAGTGCGGTATTTATTTGCGAGGATTGACATCCCTTGATCTGCCTAATTTCGAATTTCCCACAATCTAATCTTCCCTGCATCATTACCAACAGCCAGCAAATCACTCTTCCTCCCAAACGCCACATCGGAGATTCGTCCAAGTGGCGTCTGCTCCGTCGGCCAATTCCTGTACACGGTGCAACTTGGGAGGTGTGCTAGTCTCAGAGAGTCTTTCTTATGTTTGCTACCAAACGCTAGCAATTGGCCGTCGGGGCTGAATGTGAGGACTGTGACTGGTGTGGTAAGCTGCATGAATCTCCGGGTCGGCTCTGGTCGTTCCTTAATTTCCACCTCCTCGTCTGAGGAAGGCAACATCAACGCCTGTCGATCGTAAATGTTCGTTACCCCACTGTTCGAACCAATAGCTATCCATCGATCCTCACCGAGAATATCGGGACCATTGCTGCCTCCTAGCGCCATCACTGTTCCGCCATTGGAGCCTTCGTCATTCCATACCGCCAAGAAACGCCTCGAAGCCATACTCCACTCACCAACCTGACCACCCCTGCCTAGGATTGTGAGACCATTGCCATTCTTCCACCAAGAGAAGTCTGCTATGCCGCCTCTACTGTCCAGTCTAGCCGCCGCAATCCATTGCATGGTATTAGCATTCAGGATATTGATGACACCACCACCTTTTCTTGTCGATGCAATCAATCCCAGGTATTGTCCACAGGGGCTTAACTTGAAGCGCTCAAAAGTTTTCTGTTCTGATCGATGACCCTGTATTTTGTTCGTTTTTTGTATTGTTCCTGTCGCCAAGTCCCATGAGTGGATATATCGTCGCCGCCCAGCAAAGAAGATTTTGTCGCCGGTGGGATATAAGAATTCAGCCCTGCGGATGGGTACTTGTTTGACTTGGACCGACGTCAACATTGGGTTTGGCGTCGGGTGAGCGGTTGGTGCGATATGATGTAGGTGCAATATTGAGGATGTGCTAGAAGATAGTAGAACAGGATACTCTGGATGGAATGCGATAGATGTAACTTCGTCTTTGTGTGTGTCAGGTATGTCTCGTGATCTTTGGATGTCAATGACCTCTGGACGAAGCGTTTTCGCCCTCGAAGATTTAGATTCTCTCAAAGTACTAGCGTCACGGAGGAACTTATCCAACGGAAGCGCAGATGCTTGAGTACCTTCATCTTCTGAAATATCCGAATCGTTTTCTGCTGCAGACGATCGTCGTCGACGCTTCGCCGGCGGTTCATCAGTATTTTGCGCCCACTCGGGGAGAGGGTTGAGTCGCAAGTATTGTTGCCGCAGCCTCCTTGTATATTCGGTACCACTTATTATGTCCTCTCCTTCGCTAATTCTGAGCTTTCGTAGCTGAGTCGCATCCGCCAATGATATAGTCAATCGTTCGTCGTCGCTATCTTCCCAAGCTGGCAGATCTTTGGGGGCTATTTCCTTGCTCTTTGCGACCGGTGCCACTACGAGCTCTTTGCCTCCAGCTGTTGCAGGACCTCCTACGTCAAAGGTGAAGAGATCCGCATCATCCACTTCCTCTAAACCAGTCCCAGGCTCATTTTCTTCTTCGCTGAATGCACCAAAACGATCATCTTCTTCATCGGCCCTGGACTCGTCCAAGAACAAATTTTCTCGGAAATTAGCCGTGTCTCCCAACACGAATCGTTCGAGTTCCTCTTCGTCGGAATCCTTGTCAATGGGTTGCGCTCTTCGCGTTCGTACCGTAGTTTCCTCATCGCTCGTAAGGTCGGATTCCTCTTGGTCAGAGGATGACGTATGGTCGTCGCCGTCGTCCATTGTATCTATTGGGCGTCTTGGAGGCATGATGCTTCAGTAATTAATTTTATTCGGCAGAATTTCCATCGCGGAAAAGAAATCAACTTTTTTTTTTCTTGTCCCACAGTAGCTTTGCAGATAGCCCCACTATTTAGTGTCACCGCCCTGCATTTTGGGGGTGGGTACCTGGAAGGTACTTAGGTACGTACTAGCCCCCTTTCCGAGTGCTGACATCTATGGATAGTATTCATTCGCTAATGGGGGAGGTTTTAATTTATTTCTAACGTTTATTTATTTACTTCGTTTCTATAGAAGGCCACGGTGCTATGATAGTTCTGAATTTAAAGTTGTCGTGATTATGAAGCAGCAGCTATCAATCCATCCCTTAACGTACCCAAATCCTCACTTACAGACTGAGGACTGCGAAGCGTCAATACAGCACCTTTTTGAGCGACATTAATGAGATTCTCAACTTTGCCCCCTTGTGATAAGCCAGCAATCAATACACCGAGGAATGTGTCACCAACCCCATTCACCGAGATGACATCTTCCACCCGTTCCACTGGTGGGAACAATCTCATATAGACACCTCCTACTTCAGGATGTTTATTGAGACTTCTCGAGAGGATAAACTTCTCATAAGCTGGGTCCATCAGCCGAGGGTCATCATTCTTCAGTATCATAGTCAACAAGGCACCGTGGCTCCCCATCTTAGTGACGATAGTTGGGATAAATGGCAGAAGCTGAATGGCTTGCTGTGGAATACCGGCGTCGGTCATACTAACGGATGTAAGTTTGACGAAGCGATCTCTAGCTCCTCTCATGCCAAAGGCATCAATGACCTCCCACCAGTTTTGGTTGTCAAAATATTCATATCGTTGCGCAGCTGCGTGCATGGCCGCTAACTCATACTGATTGGGCGTCGCGAGGTCGACGCTAGCGTTGGGGAAAACACCCAAGCTTTCAATATCTTTTTCATTGCAGAATAAGCGAGTAGATTTCCCCTTCGAAACTGGTTCAAAAGCAACATGGGCATCACTTTGTTTCGCAGCCTGTACCCAGGCTCGAATGTTGTTATGTGCCCAATTCCCATCAACCACAAGCCAGCTGGGCTTTGACTCTTTCACTATGGAGTTCCAGTGATTTGGGAATGAGTGAGTGCTAATTATACCCATGTCCGCCATGCCAAGGACTAAATTCTTATTGGCATCGTTGACGGCCACGTACTGAGCAGTCCGGCTTTCCGGATATTGCTTGCGACTTAGCTGCCTAATGCATGATGTATCCATGCCACTTGCTTGCATGGACGAAAGTATAGTCGAACCAGCCCTATATTTATCAGTATTTATAGTATTAGAGACTAGCCTCGGTAACTTACAGGTCATCACCAATCATACTACATAGTCGCACTCCTGAGCTTTGCATAACCCTTTGGGCCGCAAGTGCCACGTTGCGGCCGACACCTCCAATAGACTGGCCGATATGGGCTGGATTTGATGTGTGTAAATGAGGAGCGGGATGTTCTATCCAATCTTCACCGACATAATCACAGCTAAGATCTATGGCCACAGAGCCAGCGACGAGGATATCAGCCTTAGAAGTGACCTACCGTTGTTAGTTCAGTTCAAGCTTCTATCGCAGCTCTACCAAGCGGGAATGACTAGACCTTATGATTGGTCCATGATATTATTACTGTGTATAGCTGAAGTACAGTATAGGTGATCTTACCTTGGTTTCTTGCGCTGCTTCAATTATTGATGGAGGTTTCTTCTCGTAAAATTGAAATCCACTCTGTTGCTTCACCCTATTCCAGATATGTCAGGCTCTATAATGACTATCAGAAGGAGCGTAAAGCTCACGGTTTATGAGGCGTTACAGATTCGCCAGCAACAAGCTGCGAAAGCGCAACAGCTATCTTGGTGGCTCGTTCTACATTTGCTTGTACTAGGATTTTGTTTGCCAGTACACTCCTATCATTAGTGAGTTGCCTAATCCTTTTTAGGATAAATGGTGTGTTTTCGCTTCCAAGAGCACCTTGCTGTGTCGACTCTTGGATTGCTTGTTCAATGACAGCATCCATCTCGCTCCGAGGGATAGAAAATTGTTCGGGTATTGGGTTCGCAAACAAGATCCCCGATTCAATCCCTAGCTTTTCCTGTGCCAGGGTAATTGCCGCGGCTTGTTCTTCATCGTGCACAATAGAAGGGCTTTTCACGCCACTATCTCGTGCCCAGAACGCTGGGAAGTCAACGGCACCCGGTCGACCATCCGCGAAGGTCGACACGAGCACACCTTGAGTTTCCAAGTATTCTAAAGTCCTAGGAATATCGAGGAAGCCTTTGCAACCACTGCTGATTACTGCCATCCTTGTTCTTCCGAGCTCGGTAAGATCAGCAGAGATATCGAACGACTCATGCCCACCTCGGTGCACGCCACCAAGGCCGCCAGTTCCGAAAACTCGAATTCCAGCAAGCCTTGCTAGAATCATAGTACCAGCTATAGTAGTTCCTCCGTTGATCTTATTCCCTAACATACCCTATACAAGAGTAAATTTTCAGAGTTTAGCACGAGATATATAGATGCATAATGTCAAGGATATTAGATCTGCGGGGTTCAAGACGTACCATGCCGACGAGGTAAGCAATATCTCGTCGTGATACTTTCTTTGGCAATCCCTCTACCATACGGGCCACTTCTTCGGGTAGCAGGCCAACCGTAGGTACACCTTCCAGGATGCCAACCACGGCGGGGACGCCACCGTTACGCCGAACAACCCCCTCCAAATCCAAGTCGTTACCTAGAGCTCCATGGGTATAGATAGTCGATTCAAGTGCTACCACAGGCTTATTCGTAGCCAATGCATCGGTCACTTCTTCCGATACCTTAAGGATATCCCTTAGAGCCGCCAGGTTACTCGAATTTGATATTTGACTTAGTTTCCTCGACGTGGAGAACAGCCTTTGGTGGGCATATGTAACATTAAGATGGCAGCTTCGAGCTAAGCGCCCCGAGTAACGCGGTAACAACATTATATACCTAGATTAATACAAGCAGAGACCTAGGATATAGAATAGAAACTAAACCTGAGTAGGTGTGAAAATAAGCCGGGTCGTTTGCATTGATTCTAATTTAATCAGGTACTCCGAGGTAGTCAAAGGACTCGGAAAATCTTAATAACACCCTATAATTCCTTCGAATTATATATCCAAAGGTATCTTCACCTTTATTGTTGGATCGGACGTCTTGCGGAAGTAATGCGCCCTTCGGCGACAAGATGTAAAAGAGAAGTTGAGAGATAGTAGACCCCACCATCAGTTACAACGATACTTACAAGTCACTGTTTGGCTTACCTAATATGATTAAGTAATGTAATATGGGTCCGTGCATCGTATTTAATTCCGAAACGACCAGGGCCCCCCCCATCCTCCATACTAAGCTTCATCTTCGTCCCATCTCGTCGATCCTAGAAAGCGGCATCACGGCCAGGATTCCCGATTGATGCGATGACATTACCATTCCCTGAATACTTCCTAATAAGGCGATTTTTGAACGATTAAACAAGACTATTTGTAAAAACAATAGGTCCACGATTAGCGAACAACATTCTGATTTTAAATTATCACACTGTTCATGCGAAGAAATCGGATGGATGCCCTAGGCTCTACGTCGGGAAGGGAAACTCCCCAGTGTCCCCCGGCCGCCGGGCCAGGGGTGATGGTCAAATAGATCTTGATGCAAGTCATCCGGATGCCGATTTTCCCTTCCTTCTTCACTATGCATCTACCCAATAGTGATTGTCCTATAACTTGTCAGCTAAATAGTCTTCTACCCCCACCTAATGATGTGACATTGATATACATTTTTTAACCCATTTCTCTCTTTCTCAATATGATAACTATAGCGAAAAGCAACTAGCCTAGATGAAGAATTTATTGAATTTCGTATCTTTTCTTTTTATACTCACCAGCAATGTCGCCGCGCTAAACTTTACAATTGCGGGCGGTCAGATATTTACTCCAGGTTTCGCTGTTCTCGATGCGCCTCAACCAGGCACTCCTTTAGGAGGAGGTGAGTCTCTCCAGTCATTCTTAAAACTCAGCCTAACATACTACACACAGACACTATCGAGGTAGCTCTTGATGTAACTGCTAATGGCAAGTTGCGTCTTCCTCCGTACAGCGACGACAGTCCTAGTCGGATCAACAATATCACCATATTCCTCTACAGTTATGCCACAGGAAGGAATTTCACGATAACAAATGGGACGGCCTCGACGAATGATGTCAGTCTTGGCGATATCATGCAGTCCGAGCCGGGCAGTACTGTAAAGCATGTCAAGTGGAATTGGCCGGACTGTCTCATCGGCGATGGAAAGCCAGACAGTGCGGATAGCGATCGCGGAGACTATAATGTTAGTAGAACAATACGGTGGTGGCGTTGTGCTCACTCAAGTCTGCATTGCTGATGCCTTAGCAGATATCCATTCGACAAAACTTCCGACTCAACGGCGAAGACCACTACACTATCTTTGACGTTCCAATCTCAGTCACAAACAAGATAGACTTTACCGGCGATAATCCGCCTTGCGACTCAGTCAATAATCCTCTTCTCACACCAGGAGAAATCGATGCCGATGCCGCGAACACCGTTGGCGTTCTCTTCGCGCCGGGAGATGCGACCGTTGTTCAACAACCTGACTCCGGCGGCGATAAAGACGGGATAGGACCAAGTAAGCCCGAGGGCAACCCAGCAGATGGTCTTGGGAGTGATGCTAACGTAGTTGGGCCGACATTAGTATTTCATTTGGTTATGTTGTTATCTGTCGTATATTCATTTATTCTATAGTTATATTGTTCCAACCAAATTGCAGCTTTTCGTTCCCATAGCCAGTTTAAGTAATAAGATGTATTCGATATATCATTACCATTCCTATCGTCGTCAAGCGCGCTCAGTGAGATCAATAACGCAATACCAAATTTTTAATATTTCCATAATTGAGTATTAGCTATCTTGGCCATCCAATACCACCAACATTCTTAGTTGCTTTTGCAATGTATTTCAAGTGTAAATGCTATGCGCTAGCATATATTGTAATTATGTCGAGGGTTCAATGTATGTAGCCAACGTTGGGATCAATTAGCTATGGAAACATACGTTGAATCTCATGTCTCGTAATTGACACTTCGATCGTTTCCATACAGTCTTACAATGAAAGTATGTTAATTGATTGCATACAATAAACAGCCGTAACTGTCGCCGAACAACATGGTTGTGACAATGGAAACCCATCGATCAACGACTGACTAATTCCTATAAATTAATTGCCAATTCAAGTCACCCATTTCTAAATTGGTTTTATTATTCATATCGACTACCTTAAAAGTCTATCTTAAATCAAATCAACCGAAACTACCAAATAAAAAAAGTACGAATTGGAACGACTTAGAGATCAACTCAAACATACAACCTACTTCATTTCTTAGTAAAATAATTACCACTATGCCAACCAAAAGCATTCTCAAGGACATCGTCAAAATGGAAGGCAATACTAATGGCGAAGGACACAGCCCCAAGTTGCACTCCCAAGCTAAAATTCCCGAATCGTCAGGAATGGCCTCAAAAAAGAGATCTCGTCAAGCACGTCGCGAACACAATGGTAGGCAACTCCCCGATAATCAATTTGACAAAATTGAAGAGAGGAAAGATGCTAAGTCTCTCGCTCAGCTTTCCAAGGCTCATAAAGAAGCTTTCGCTCGGAAGCAAGACAATTTTGATGGTTCGGATAGTCGTCATGGTGAGGGAGATCTAATTGATAATGAGGGATCTGACTCTAGCGAAGATGAATCTCGAATTGAGGACGAAGCAAGTTTGAGTGAATTGGAAGAAGCCGATCACTGGAGCTTTTACCAAAAGCTAGAGCCCAAGTCTCATCAAGGATCAGACTCAAACTCTTATGGAGATGTTGACAAAAATGAAGATGAATGCAACGACGACGACGGCGACGATGACAACACGAGTGCTTTTGGTGAAAAGTAGTACGGCTGGAATATTCATTTGTGATGTTAACTTGCCGCAAGAACTTCTGATGTTTAACATAGAATGATCTCGTGAATCTTTGGGAGTTCACCGAAATTCTCCTAGAGTGAAGCCAAACTTCTATCGGCATGCGCCATTTACATTATTTACCTGATTTTAGTAGATAGCCATTTTAATAGATCGTATTTTCCTTGTAGGTACATTCAATCAAATTGCAAATGTGATTTATGCTTGACGATTGTGTCTGAGTTCACGATATAGAGTTGTTTATTGACTCATGTGAATTTGAAATGTTGCCAGGTTGATCATTGAGAGGCCTGGATAGGTAGCGAATATATTGCTGTGTGAGGAAGGAGTAAGCCAACTGCGACAATTCAAACAGAAGCGAATAGCTCTTTGTTCTTATGTCTCTAGGTAACCGTGTCCTTCCTTCCCTTCTCACCTGGCCCTTGCACAGTACAAACAACCCACCAACCACCCAGCAACAGGTTTAAATAGCACCTTAATCCTATGGTTTCTAACCCCCCCCCCGGATACCCACGACCGCGAGCCACCTGGTGGCTCAGCGGTTAGTGCCTCCGGGGGTGGGAGTTCCCAGTAAAAACCCCGACCCGCCCGGGTTTTTCGTAGGCCGATCAGGACGCTGATCGATAGCCCCAGGGTTCGAGCCGACGGGCTCGCACCTGGGGTACCGAGCTTTTTTGCCATTTTTCAAACTTTTCTTTTTCAAAATTATTTATTTTTTATTTTATTGTTCCCCTTAAGAGATAATTTTATTACTACCTAGGTATATCCACCACCACCATTTCGCCGTAGAAATTATTCGCATGCACCTCTTTAGATCTTGCAGCATCGTCGGTCCATCTTGTAGTCCGACAATCCGAATGGATGTCAGATTTAGATATTGAATAGGGATAGATTTGGAGGTGTTGTTTTGAGACTAACAACCTCAGAGGATACTTGACACGGGGTTTTAAGATGCTAGGAATACCTCCGTGGGCAGAGATATACGGCCGCAGCCATCTCGACGATATAAAAATACATTCAGATAATATATATATATATATATTGCGGATTGTCAATATGCCCGCTTCCCCTTAAGATCTCGATAATTATACAACGAATTCGCTGGCCGGTCCCTGATATGTCAATGATAATTTGCAATAAGCTACCTCCTTTAATCCCGGTTTCCAAAGGTTGTTCCCGACTTCAGCTGATGACGTATGTGCCCATACCGCCGGGATAATATTTTAGAATACCAGGTCTTGCCCGAGCTATTTCCGCTTATAGCTTCGACTTCTCCTTTTTACCGCCTCTAACGTTCTTAGAAAATTCGCCCTTTAATAGGTAGTCCGGGTACTTCATGCCAGCATCGAGGCCAACCCCCATACCCTTGTTCCTCCAGTCAGAACCATCCACAACAAGAACCTCTCCGGACACGTAGTTACCAGCGTCGCTGAAGAGGTAGACAGTAGCGTCTGCGATATCTCGAACCGTACCGAATCGTCCCAACGGGATATGATTTGCAAGTATGTTTGGATCAACCTTGCTGCTCGATAATCTCGCCAGACCTTCTGTCCCTTCGATACCACCAGGTGCGATAACATTGGAAGTTATTCCATACGGACCATACTCAATAGCCACGGAGGCCATTATAGAGTCTACCGAAGCTTTCGCAGCCATAACGTGAGCTTGCATGGGCATGCCGGTGTAGTGGAAAGTCGCTGATACGTAAATGATTCTCCCCCCTGTCAGGCCATCGCTGTTCGTCTTATTCCGACTAGCTGACTCGATAAGGTATGGAATGGTGGCCTTAACGGTGTTATACGTCCCCAATACGTCAATTTCCATAACACTCTTAAAGCCATTAGTAGTAAGGCCCGAAATAGGGGCCACAAAGTTGCCTGCAGCACCGGCTCTGCGGAGTTAAAAAGTCATGTTAGATAAGATGTCCTGCTTCTAACTTGGTCGGAGGATCTCACATAACGAAATCAATAGCGCCGAGTTCCTTCACACATCTTTCGGCAGCCTTTACCAGATCCTCGGGCTGTCACATAGTCAGTCAATAGGCTATTTCGGATAGCGGAGTTACTCGGAGTCATGGCCACACACACACCTTTCTTACGTCACATCCCCCAATCCCGATAACCTTTGCGCCCTTCCGCGCGGTCGCAATGTCAATAGCGGCTTTCTCGGTCTTTTCTTGGTTACGCCCGATGATGCAGGCATTCGCACCGAGATGTACCAAAGCTCTTGTCTGCGCGCTACATATTGTACCAGCGCCACCGGTTACAAATACGACACGGCCATCTACATTATTACGCGTCAGTTGTGAAACGAGATTCTTAACAGCGCTAGAGAACCAACCGAATATGCCCTGCTTCCATACGTTGCTCACGTACTCGGATGGTGGAACTGGCATGGCGATAACAGGTAGCGCAATGCCGGGGAGCTCAATGTCGTGAAGACTATTACGGTATATTAACGTGTAACCTAAGATCGGAAAGGGGGCATATATATCAGGTGGAGTCTGAGAGAGGGTATATGGTAGAAATCGTGATTCTTTGAATATGAAAATGAAATGGATCTTTGATTTCGTTAATAAGTTTATCTTACGGTTAGGTTGCCTAACTTTTGATATACCTTGGTAGGTAGGGAGACTCGAAGGATGATGGAAGCTAAACGAGTGCGAAGAAGCCTCGGCTTGAAATCCACCTTGAAGCTAGGGACCAATCAGATCCACTTATTCGCTATGTGTAACAATGGATGCTCCAGCACTATTGTCCCTTTTCGGCGTAGAGCCCGCCCACGCCGCTGTCCCCGCAAAATAGGACATTTAGCTTCGGCGTTAACCAAATTAGGAGGTACCTAGGTATCTAGTCCGCTACTAGAAAGCTTGGACCAATTACGTATTTCGGATATGTGATTTGCACAACTCAGATAGAGAGTCAAAGTTTCGCCCCCTCCAATCAGCTAGAACTGTACCAATGGCAACCAGCTTGAATCGGAATCGTTCGTTGTCATTTGCCCGCATATTTACTTTTTTTCAAGGTCCAAACCAAACCCAATCATTCGTCGCATTAGTTTTTAATATTAGTGACGATACTTCAGCATAGGTACCTAACGTACCTAGGTACCCAAACTAAACCGTAACCAGCACTTTTCGGCATCCCGCACACCCACCTTGGCCTCGCACCCCTTCAACCTTTAAACCACCTCATGCGACTTTCCACCACCGTACATCAAGACTGAATCTTGACATCACTACATCCGCATCTTTTCATCGACCTTTTTGGTCATCTCATCTCCTATAATCTAGAGGCCATGGCATCAAGAAAGGTGTCTGTCCTTAAGTTCGTAGGGACCGTTTCGTTGGGTCTCCTAACGGTAAGTGGCTGGCTGGCTGCTGATAAGTCCCTTTCCGGATTTGCCCCTCCAGTTTCCCCCGCGTTCAACCCTCACGATGAGCGGCAAACCTCAACAACATCTTCTGCAACATCTATCCATTGATCTAGCCATCCTTCATATAACAACAAATTCTAACTAACAAAAAATAGGGCACATCCTACACCCTCTCCGCCCTAACAATCCCCTCCCTCCTCGAACTCCCCTCCGCCTCCTCCGCCGCCAAGGCCTTCCACTCGCTATCCAGCGTAGCATCAACGCACATCAACGCCCTAACCACAATTTCCGGAACCGCATTCTTCCTCGCCTTCACCCTCTCCCCGCGCCCCTTCCGACATCCCTACCTCCTCTACACCTCGCTCTTCTGCTTCGGCACACGGCTAGTCGATAAGGTGGCACCCACGCTCTTCGGCGCAGCCCCACAATCCAGCACGACGGCCGCGCAGCAGCGACGCGCGGCTCTAGCTCAGGCCCGTCGTGAGAAGCAGGCTTCGCGTGGTATGGAAGCTAGCTACGAGGTTCTCGGAGATGCGCACAGTGAAGAAGGTAGCGGTGGCGAGGAGCTCGATGAAGACTACAACGGCGAGGAAGTCCGCGCTGAAGTCGAGTTCTTCGTCCGGAATCAACTTCTCCAGACAGCCGTCTCAGGCCTCGGGTTCTTGATGGCTGTTGTCGGTATCTGGGGCGATGGTGTAGCCGGTGTTTCGGAGACATGGGTCGTTGACTTATAAATATGGGTGGGAAAGGATTCCGAATGAGAGAAGTAGAAGTTGAGCTGGTGATCTGATTCGTATCATTCATTCAGTTAGGTTTTGGGAGGGGAAATCATGATGGAGCTATGGAATGATTTATGGATCGTCGTTTTTTAAGTTGCAAATATCCCAGAGCTTTTCAGGAGGGTTGTGTGAATTAGTTGTTGTATATCTTACGCTCTCATCTCCCTCCTGACCACATCTACATTCGCATGTAGTAAAAAATGAAAGATCAAAAAAGATGGCACGGTAGACACACTCATCTCGACACGCATCACGTGTTGTTCTCATTATAACTTTTTAAAATCGTGGAAATGAGTCTACTAATACTCCTTGAGGACTGAAGGTGGTACCCTTACTATTAACTATCCGACCAGGGGCTATATTACGTACATATGATATCTCTTTGGCGAAAGTGATGAAATATCTAGAGGGTGCATATCCAATACCAACATAGAAAATCGAATTCAACTCGGGTCGATATTGCATTTATAGAACCAGAAGTATTCTTTGGCTGATATAAAACACCTTCGATTTGGATGGGTAAACTACCAAATCCCGGGTCAGTGGTTAAATAGAGGTTTGGGTTCAACTCCTATTAGGTCTCTCAGTGGCCTCTATTTCCCATCTTTCCTGCGCTTTCCCTCAACAAGCTGTTCCGGGACGTAGTGAAGGTTGCTGGGGTTGGGGTTCCTTTTGTATGCGCGTCGGTACGGTTCGCTGCGACTTTTATGTACCTCTTGCTTCCTTAAATTCGACATTAGCCTCGAATATAGCGTGCATGACCCAATTCTCTCCCATCCGAGGGAGTTCAATCCCCCCAAGCTCATGAATATAAAGCATCGTGATTCCTAGTGCCCATATATCGACCATGATGAGTGGGCATAGCTGAATAGTTCGCTGCGCTCGCCGAACCGAAACGAACCGAACCGACCCTGGAAATTGCGGGTTATCGGTCCCGGTGCGCGACGGGCAGTCTCTAAGCCTGGTCTCTCGCCAACCCCTGGATTTAATGTGTGACGACCTTTTGTTGCGTTACATCCTGTACCATGAAATTCTCTGGGCTGCATGAGGAAATCCATAGATGGGCAGGACTATGAAATAGCGCCATAGCTAATTATCGACTAAAAGCAACCCCTATTTCAGGACAGAGTCCTAGACAGCTTCTGTTTTTCAATATAAACCTCCATCAACATACATAGCTCAGTCTATGATGTTGCTTTATAATGTTCGTCTGGTGCGAAGCTTTTTCGAGAGGATAGCAACTTTTAAGCCCTGTAAATTTCTTGCGTTAGTGTGTGTCTTGACTGGTTGGCTTTGATGAGGATTATGTCTAACCAGGCGACTCACTGCCTCCAGCGGGCTGGTTCCTGTAACTGAGGACCGAGTGGCATTCATCTCATATTGAAGTATCGGAATGCATGATTCCTATTTGGTATCGTCTTGCAAGGAGTGGAAATAGTACCTCATTGCCGATTTAATCGCAAGAATGTACCTCTCAGTCTGGCCGTCCGTCTGATTGTGGTATGCTGTGGCATAGAGTAGCAGTCACGCATCCGACTCTTATGAGGGTTGTAGATATCGTATGAGGCATACCCTATTTAGCCAAGGGGATATATGGTAAGGTTGTCTCATTGATAGGCAATACGATAGAAAATGTTATAGAAGTTATGAAGGCGGTAGGAAAGGTATAGGTGGTGTTGGTTTACAAAGTCGAAATGCCTGGGTGGGTTGAGAGGTCTGTATTTATAAGTGTTGTTATACAACCTGCTTCGGACATGGTTATGCCACACATTATATGATACCATGTACATATATATATGTACTGCCTGCCATAAGGCGCATCCCCCTTCTCAACCAAGTAGTGTCATAATAACTCTAAACGTATGACTTAAAGTCTATTCGAAGTCTGCTCGAAACCTTAAGCCCATTAACCCTCTTTCGAGATTGAGATATAGTTATATTAGGTGTTTCGTCACCGATAGCTCTTGCTATTCTCTATATCTAATCGTGTAAGTTGAGCCTTACACATCTTCTTGGCTGGTGTAGATGTGAACCTTAGGGGATCCTGGCATTCTACTTAGAACCAACATTCGGCTCGTACATATACATGGCTTCACCTTAGCTCCTATTGGTTCAAGTTGTGAATAGTCTCCCCTATACTCCGAGGTATTACTGGATAATCGAGTGTTATGATATATCATAATACTAAATAGTGTATTGTAGCGTGTCTAGTGCTCTGGGATCGTACTTTATCCGTTGGCGTATAATTTCGTTGTATTTATACTACCTATGTATGTACCTAACTTGACTCATGTCTTCAGTACTGTGCTGCTTCCTATAAACAAGTATGTTTGAGTAGCCCAAAGGTACGTGTGAGACGTAAATCGAAAATCATGTCGTGGTACAATATGAGCAAATGAGTCATAGGGGAAAATTTGGTGATGATACTTCGCGGTAGTGAAGCGGAAGATCCTATGTCCTATGCCTCTGCTCATCGAATGTGTTTACCGAAGCCGCGTAAAACGTTATACGTAATACGTCAATCAATGCTTGCTAACCTGTGATGATACTGCCTCCTCATGAAATGCAACGCGATAGGGTATCAAGCAGCCTTTGCAGAACGCCTAACTGTGTCCATCCTGACCAAAAATCAAATATGCTTGCAAACCAGACCAGGGCCCTGCCTTCCGATGCTTTGTTTTGTGTCGTAATGTAGCGGTCCCTTCAATTAAAATTCTTAATCCTCCCAAATGGTTTCCAAATCGAGATCACCACGTCGCTCAGCTCCACAAACACTCCAGCGCTTGCGCTTATCTCTTGATCCGATGCCTAGGGTTCTACCACGGGTAGGTACGTCTAGACTGCCCCGACCCTTTGCATCTCCGGAATCTCCATCCTCGGCAGCATCTGCTGCAGCCTTCAACTGGGCAATTCTCTCGGCCTCTAAGGCGGCTTCCTCAGCATCGGGAGAGTCGGGAATAGTCTCTAGACTTGAGATGCTAGGGCTACGGGACCTCATGGAGCTTGGAGTAGATGGGATGGATGATGATGGATAATATGAGGGGAAGCTGTAGCTATTGGATAGACCCTCAGGCTTGAACGAAGGAGAGCTAGCCGTGGCCGATGGTGTCCCGGGCAAGGAGGAAGTGCTGCTTGATGTTGAGAAAGCCGCAAATCGTAGAGGGGACGATGTTCGTCGATGAGTCGGGTTACTGAAAGTTGTGATGCCGGGGTTAGAGGAGCTGCTTAACTCGGTGTGACGTTTCTCACTTTCGAGGACAGTAGATCGGATAGGCGAGGTTGGAGGGTATGCTTCATCAACCGCCTTTCGTGGCGCTCGGTTTCTGCTAGGAGAGCCCGAAGGACTATCCGGGCGGAGCGTCGGCGGATAGATAATACGACCTGAACCATCAACGCCGGGCATAGATCGTGTTCGGCCTATAGTCGGTGGTGCGAGACTTGCAACTGACTTGGATCGAGTATGAACACCCGAAAGAGGTGATGTGGTTCGGGGTCGGTACGGGAGAGAGGCAGTAGCCCATGACGGCGAACTTGGAGAGGGGGGTTCGGTAGAACGACGAGTATTGACAGGTTTCCGGTTGAGATCCAAGTCACTGGTGTTAATCGCAGTAGGCTGGTGTAGACGTAGCGTAGGTAGAGGAGAGGAGCGGAATTCCTCCATCCTCTCAGTTTCGGGAACAGGCTCCATTTCCAACGAGGTCGATAACCTAGGCGGTCTACCTTAACTCTGCTTTCATAGAGGTCGGTGTGTGACTTTGACGGTATGTAAGAATAGTCGGTGGAGGAAGATGACGAATGAAAGTCGAGGGGAGAATAGACGGACGACCTGGCTATCTGGTGTGCAACTTTGGAATGTGAGACCCGGACGCAACGCAAATAAGGACAAACAATCAAGAATTCCCTGTGTCCCTATAAAGGGAGAGGGCAAAGCCGAGGTGATGTGACCGCAAGTTGGAACTCGTGTGGAACGATGACAGGGTAGAGAATATGAGTGAAATTGAATCTTATGCGGGTCATATGTCGTACCGAGTCGGTTTCGAAGCGTCCGAGCTCTTGTCGTGACTTGATCTGACCTGTTGGGGGATTGGTTGTACTTAGGCAGTGCACAAGCGAGGGCGAGGGAATGGGTGTGAGAAGTCGGGAAACAAGAGTGAATTGGACTGGGCTGGATTGGCGTTTGTGTTTTGTTTTGTGGTCGTTAATTGACCGGAATGCTACTGGCGGTGGGCGAGTCCATTAGTATTGATATGAGCTACACACCTGGCATTTGGGTCGAGCCGTGGCGGGCAAATCCGATGCCAGGGGAGGTAACGGGACAGCCGAGGGAAACGCAGAAACGCAGTCGAATCAAGAGAGGCGACAACTCCACGATTCCAAGATTCCGGGGGGAAAAAACAAGGTGTACTAAAAAAGAAAGAAGGGATCCTCCGCAACCTTAGGAACTCCCTTCTGGCTGGTGACCTCGAATCTTGCCTATCTCGGCGTCGAAGAGGGGACGAAGAACGGGAGACGGGGTGTGGGATTTGAAGGTGTTCTAGGTACGGTTAAGGTAATGTAGAATGTAGGTAGGTACATATGGAGAAGATCACCTGCATTGGGCCAGGCGGGCTTTTTGGGTCCAACGGCACCCCATCCTAGGCTAGAAGGGTAGGCAGGTAGGGTACGATAGGTTGGTCTAGCCTGCCTGAGTCACTAAAGCGTCTCGCCATAGTGGCCCCTGATTGGTTATTAATTCAGCCCCACAGGGGTATTAACCCCATTGATTGCAATTGACGCTGTGCGGTACAGTATGGAGTACGTACATACAGTAGCTCCTGCTAAGGTACTCAAGGTACTTACATATATGTACCCTAAGGGACTTTTGGGGGTTCAGGGAAAGAACATTGAACTCCTTGGCATATGTAAGATTGATATTCTTAAATGTGCATTTCCAATGGTTACCTACTAAATACATCTAGCACGTGTAATTGATCGATTTCTACTTGGCAGAGCTATAACCAATTCTGGTATTCCGGCAAATGTTTGTATGAACAAAGAAACTACAATCATTTTTCAACATCCACAAGTAGAATAGGCAATTGAAGAAGTGGGTTATCGAATGGCTACAAACTTGCATATCTAATCCCAGTTCAGGTATGGATTTATATAGACGATGGATGAATTATTGGTGAGTATCTAACTCAGGCCATAAAAGCGACCCCTTGTGCTTCAAATTTTAGTCAATCCTGTTCGAAGAAGGGTAGAGGTATTGCATGAAGATGATCGACAATTTGCATTTTAGTATCCTATGCCATAAATAAGTTTGATAGATAACATATAGTACAGTTAATATAGATAATACGAGATGGTGGTAAGAGTTATCTATCTATATAGGTAGTCAGAAGTTGAGTACTCTTGCTCTTTCATCAAGGGTTCCGGTAGAATTGGAGTGTTACATAATACTCCCTAATATGTACTTCTATTGGCATCTGAGTAGGGGTATTACCCACATCGCGGGATGTACTAATCCTAGTTTTCTGAGTGACACGATACATAAATGAGCCGAGTGGGGACACTAAAACTTGATGTACCCGCCCTCTAGTCTATTACGAACATTAAAGGAGGCCCCTGGGGGAGTCCTCCAGTGTAAGTTTTCAATTTTCAGGTAGGTACTACTGTACCTAAAAGGACTTGGACTCAATTTCAGCTTAGGCTTAGGCTTAGTGTTATCTGGCAAAGTCGACATGGGAAATTTAACCACAATTTTCTAAACTACGACAGCCTCATCATCATCACTATCAACCATCAAAACTCCTCGACCAACTTCAACCTTAACCCGCCCCTCCCATCGCCGCCCCATGTTGGCGTGTTAGATCCCCGTACGATTGACTTCCCTCTTAATCTCAGCAATTGCGAATCTTTACTCCGATAGCAATTCGATCTATACGCCCTCGATGGCCCGTGCCAATTGCTGATTTCATTTCGTCCATCACTCCTTTTTTTTTTTTCTTCTACGCCGCCTTCAACATTTTTACACCGTCTTGGTTTGGGAGATAACATTAGTTCACCATGGCGCGCCCTATGGGGCCAGTCCGCCTAAGGAGGACAAATTACGTTACTCTCTTCATCGGCGCGATATTATGTATCTTTATAATCTACTTTCTCTCCCATACCGGTTCGAGTTCGCAAACCGCTCACGTGAATCGAGCCCCAACTCGCAAACCCGTCGCGAAGTCGAGTCTCATCGGCGAGAGGCCACCTGTCCGACGTTTCAACCTTAACAATGTTACGATTACGACGGACCCGATTGGCAACCGAGAGGCTGTCTTAATTCTAACACCGATGGCGCGCTTCTACCAAGAGTACTGGGACAATTTATTAAAATTACAATATCCCCATGACCTTATCACACTAGGCTTTATTTTACCTAAAAATAAGGAGGGCAACGCTGCGACAACCGCATTGCAGGCTCAAATCACCAAGACGCAAACAGGATCCGTGAAGGATCGGTTTAGGAGCGTAATTATCGAGCGACAGGATTTTGATCCTCCACTAACGTCCCAAGATGAGAGCGAAAGACATAAGATGGAGAATCAAAAGACAAGACGCGCTTCTATGTCTAGGGCACGAAATTCACTACTCTTTACCACGCTGGGAGCCGATACCTCGTGGGTATTATGGTTAGATTCCGATATCATTGAGACACCGCCGACTTTGATACAAGACCTTGCTTCTCACGACAAACCTATCATCGTACCGAACTGCTACCAAAGATATATCGATACCGAAACGGGAAAGCTCGCAGAAAGGCCGTACGATTTCAACAGTTGGCAAGATAGTCCGACCGCACAGGAAATTGCTGCTAAAATGGGTGCGGATGATATTATTCTTGAAGGATACTCTGAAATGGCGACATACCGAGCGTTAATGGCGTATATGGCAGAAAATGAGAGCGAGCTTAAGATGGAGGTACCTTTAGATGGTGTAGGTGGTACGGCGTTACTTGTCAAAGCGGACGTCCATCGTGATGGTGCTATGTTCCCGCCATTCCCGTTCTATCACTTGATCGAGACGGAAGGATTCGCAAAAATGGCGAGAAGGTTAGGCTGGCAAGCTACAGGATTGCCCAATTATAAAGTACGAACTCCACACAAGTACCCCCTTGAAGATATCCATCAACTAACCAGAGTATAGGTTTATCATTACAACGAATAAAAGACGGGGACTTATCTAAATACGGATCGGAACGTTTTTTTGCCATAACGAACCTTGTAATCTGTCATGAGTCTCGGAACATTGCATTTTGGAGATGAGGAGTTTTGAACGCACCGTATTGTTTGCGACGACGGAAGCATTGCGATATTGAGACACCTATAGCCGTGCCGTTACGGTTTGTGGTAATGGGAGTGGTGGTCTTTCCTGTAGATATTTATTACAGCATCACAGGACGGGGATCATTTGTTTGTAAAAGTTACACAAGGCAAAGGGCCCTCCTAAATGGGGTATTGCAGCAATACAAAGGAGTCCGGGCAGAGTTGCTTTAGGCGCTTTGGAATGTTAATCACAGTAGAAAAAATGGGTTGTCCCCTTCTCATGCTTGCTGTCTTAAATATGAATTGATTAACAACGTATCATCATAATAAAGTAGCAAATTTGACGTTGGAATCATACATTAGACCAAGATCTTGTATTCCAACATAACGCCCGCTCCGTGTTTCGTTCCCTTCCGCTATGCTGTAACGAGATTCTTCCAAGTGCCTAGTCAACTTTTCCTAGCAATGCCTTTGCCTTTCTCGTCTCGATATATATCGACGTTGGTAGTTTGTCTTGTTTTCCCATTTTGTCATCATTATTATTACCCAGTTGTTGCCTCAGCATATGCTTGCCTAGCTGTAATCATCACCCGCACCATCGTCATCCGTTTCTGACCTTCCTCATTTGACTCTATGCTACCTCCCTTCATACCTTCCACCCTCATCGCGGCAGAAGAACTCCACCAATCTTCGGGCACCGAGGTTATCGCCGCCACGCAGTAGGGCAGCTACGTCGACGTTGAGAGGGCTATCGGTTTCGGGGTAGCTGAGTAGCGTACGAACAGCGCGCACGCACTCCAGTACGCTATACGCCGGTGTCCATGCTTCCTTCAGTAGGTCGAGGCAAATCTCGCCGCCGCTTAATGCGATGTTGGCGTGGATGATGGGGGTTCGGAATGAGATCTTGGGTGGTTGGAGAGGATATGACGGAGGGATCTTTATGTCGAGGAGCCAGCGACCTTCTATTCCATCAAGCGGTTAGTATTGGTAAGACTTTTAGGTTATGTATGCTGTGGTGGTAGTTATGGCTCGTGGGAAATCGAATACTTGGAGCTGTGAAGGGAGAAGGAAAGGGAGAAGCCAAGATACTAGAAGGGACATTGACTTGGGACGTACCATCATAACCACTTCCTACACCCCGTCCATTTATCACAGCCTCCCAGTGTAGCATCTCATCTTCGTTAACAGGTCCTAGACGTTCGATTCCCTTCTCATTCGGCGACTCCTTCTCCCAGACAGCGATCTCCTTAAGTAATCGTTTTATCGCGTTGCGCGCAGCAGACGCTGACGAGGACGCTGGGACGGCTGAAGCCGACGACATCTGAGTTTGCGCGTTGACCTGTATAATTCGCCTCTTTGCATAAAAAGCTTACAGATATGGTAACTGACGTTGTAACTATGCTTAATGATTGAATTCTCAAATATTAAGGTTGGCAATGGAGAAACGAAACAAGATGATGGGCAAGCACAGCTCACTCTTGATCATACTAAAGCTCCGGGTGCCGATATCTCGGTACCTAAGATGAGTTACCCAAGGCACTTGCATAATGCCTGACAGGGGGTTTGTCAATATGATTGGATCGTCTTCACGCGGAAGTACCCAACCTAGAAGCCTGTACTAGGCTAATCTATATGCGATAGGCCGGGGCGTTATTATCCGGTATTGCACTTATCAAGCATTATTGGACATCAAGGAACTACTTAGGTACCTTGCCTCTATACCTCGAGTATTATAGCAGTTATAGGAGTAAGGGATTATAATAATGAACAAGATTAAATGTTATCTTCATGCATTTGATATTAATGAAAAAACTGATTTCTCGACTCTATGCACATGTACTCTATTATAGGTAACATAAGTATATCTGATTTCACGAGTCCTATACATGACTTTGGCTTCGTATAACGAGAAACATAGCTCCCCCCAAGAACTACTTAAGTAGGTATGTTTGTATATTCATCTAAGTTAGGTGGCTATTACCAGTACTTTACAGGAATTCAGTTTCGCCATCACTGAAAACATAGGATTTTTGACCAATGCCAATTGAAACAGCAAGAGACCAAAGGATCCGAAAAAAAGCCATTCATAGAGTAAAGCGGCATAAATGATAAGCTATGTTCACTATTACTTTGTGTGTACAAACCCGCATATGCCCTAGGTGTCCATGATGAGCAACTGCTTAATAGGTCATGTAATAACTGGCTCGAAGTCCCATCGAACATGTTCCTCAAATGCCCTCTCCATCCATATCGATCCCCGCGCATGCTATGTCCAGAGAAATCAGTCCCATCAATCCTCCACCCATGATGGTAATTTTCTTCTTTTCTTTTCTTTTTTTTCTAGCCAGATGGCCTATCACTTTCTTCACCTTTTAAAACAACGAGAGTAGACTAGGTAGAGGTCTGAAAAAAATAAAATAAAACGGAGCCGTGGTCATGAAAAATGGCTCGAGGTGCCGTCATGCGTTCGTGAAAATAACAATCAATGATTGCAAGTGAACCCTAATAAACATTCGGGTTCTCATATCCGCACAGGAGTCGTGAGCGAGATGGCCCTTAAAATGCCGTCAAGGAGCCGCCCCGTTTGGGAGAGATTCGGCTTCGTGCAGTTAACGGGAAATGCGTGATATTACATAAACTTCATCGGAGTTGTCAATGATAGACTAGAGTGGGAGTCCAGCTGATAGCTGCTTCTTGTCTACCTTGCCTGTGTCTGGTTTGCGTGTGGATGTATGGATAGAAATGTCTAGCTAGAAAGGAATGTCGAGATGCTTTCTAAGATTGACTCGCCGATCTCGGCTTGAAAAACTGCATCATCCTGCTAAGGCGCTTGGATTTGCTGACCTTGGGCTTCTTCTCTGGCTCAGACTCGCAAGAGACCTCCATGCTTAGTTTACTTCGCTCTCCGTGAGCACTGCTGATTAGCCGGCTAAGACTAACCAGGCTCGACCTTCGGCGGCCGAAGGCCGCAGATGTCAAAGAAGCAGGCCTTTGATCGTGGAAAGGCATGTTCCTAGGTCGAACGCCGGGAATTGACGAACTCTCTCGCGTCATAGTTGAATTGCTACTCGTCAGGGACGGAACGTCAACCGAGATTCGTACCAATTCAGGACCAGGTTCGCCCATTAGCAGTGCATGGTAATTGTTCTCATCTGTGAACGAAGATGGCGCAGTTGAGATTCTGTTAGCGTCGCATGACATAGCCGAACGAGGTGACGGGAAGGAAGAAGAGTAACCCGGCGAAAATGGGGTGTTAGGTGTGGTCGAGGAGCTAGGAACTGCGACTGGATGCAACTCAAGTTGATCCAACTCGTTGCTAGGAATCATACGAGGAGATGGTGCTTCAGAATTGGAGGCATCTGAGGCAGCGGCCTGAATGTTGAAGTCACGCCTGAAAGTAACATAGCTGGGCTCCTCCGCAATGATTTCCTCGCGAAGGCCGCTGAGATTCTCAGTTCTCATTCGAGATCCCGGCCGCTGCATATCCAGGCTCGATCCACTACCCTTGCGCTTGATCGAGGCAAGATTTTGCAGAACGTCCTTTGGGCCAACTTTACTAGGTTCACGTTCCTGCGTAGGAGTCGAAGCCGCACCATCCTCGCTACTGGACGTGGACTCGAATTCATCAGCAGAACCATCTCGGGCGTCGTTGCCCGAATCTTCGGACGGAGTCTGGGCATTTGGGTCTTCTTCCTCGTCTTCTTCATCTTCCTCAAATACATCGGCCATGGTCGAGGAGCTGCCGAATCGATGTATACCAAAACGCGCCGCTTCGAAAGGAGGCATTTCGGGGGCACTTTCAGCGCGGCGGTGATAATGCATTCCTGGACCACTGAAGCCTCTCATGCCGGCGGCACTGTGGAGCTGGCGCTTTGGTGGGGCACCGGCCTTCTGAGCCTCTTCCCACTGAGGATCACGGGTGGAGGGAGTGTTGAAAGGACCTAGAGCGGCGTCTAGATCAATCATGGGGTAAGGTGTGTCATCGTCATACGATCGAACAGGCTTTGTAGTGCCTGGATCGGTTTCCGATTGAGCGGGCTCAGTGATTGTAACCAAAGGAGCTACAGGAGCGTCAGGCGCTGCATGATCATCGTCTCGATCTCTAATCTCGGGAGTTGAAGTTTGAGAACGACGGCGGATTGGTTTTGATTTTTGAGGTCGCAATTTGGACTTTCGTGTAAGAATAGAACCAGCCCACGACTTGACCTTCTTCTGCCTCTTTTTCCTCCCCGAAACCTTCTTGCCATCTGAACGAAATTTTCCATCGTCCAGCTTTACCTCGTGTTTGGAGTCTGCTGATAGATCTGCTGGTTTTGCGTTCTTATCCGCAGTATTGAACGAACTAGAACTGAGTGGCCTAATCTTCGTCGGCGAGCTAGCAGCTGAGAAAGGCTCCAAGCCGAAGAACGACCATCTCCTAGGGGTCTTCGAGGGACTAGGACTTGCGGGCGACTCGGTGTCACTCTTAGGAAGTGCTTCTAATAATGGGATCGAATTTCGTCTTCGAGGTGATGTGGAGTCTTCATTGAGCACACGAAGGCTTGGGGTACGTTCCAGTACAGCACCTGCAGTGCTGGGGCGCGAATCATTCTTTGCACGAGAAGCAGGAGACCCAACCAGGCTCTGCGGGTCACGATCCGTGACTGCTGTGTTCGCTGAAATAATAGACGAGATACTTCCCGAGACTTTGTGGCCAGGTCGAACTGTCATGGTGCTTGACGTATCAGTCGAAACCAAGGAGAGCGGACGCGGAATGAACTCAAGTGTGTCGGAAAACCCAACACGGGAACGAGGGGCGTACGTCGGTGACGGATTCGACTGCGATGTATGTTGTGCACCCGTCTCCTGAACGGCCTTCTCGTTTGCCTGCTGTGGAACTGGCTCGGACTTCGTAGGCTCAGCTTTAGAATCGGGGAAATTTCGAAATCTGTCATCAACATCGGCTGGACTAGTAGGCGCACTACTGCCCCTCAGCGAAGTTGGATTTGGCTTGAGTATCATGGTTAGATCATGGCTAGAGATCGCGCCGGATCGACGATGAGCGTGTCCCCTTCTCGGAGGTGGATCTGCTGGGGACAACTTAGGTGACGCAAAACCGCTTTCAGACCTTGTTGGGCTCGTATTCATAACGGTAATTGAGCCCCCTGACCTAAGTTTGCCACCTACAAACTCACTTCCACCTCGTCGATGTCCATTGCGATTTGGTATCATTGGCGACTGTGGCGAGAGTGGAGGGCTAAGCAACGACTCATCAGGGCCAAGAGCCGCGCCCGGGTTGAACGAGAAATCCGGTAGTGCTGGAGATCTAGAGGGTTGGTCCGCAACATTCGGGCTGAGACTAGCGGCTGGGTTGAAACTAAAATCCGGTAATCCAGGCGATCGAGACGGGGAATTGCTCGCTCTAGAAAAATCTGAAGCTCGCCCTGGAATCTCTATGGCTGATTGAGGTCGTCGGCCGGTGGCTCTAGAGAAAGACGAAGGCGCGGAAGACGGTTGAGCCGGGAAAACGAAAGGTGGGTTCGGCGGGGGCAAAGGTAGATTGATGCGCGGAGAAGGCTGCGGACTAGGAACATCCGGATCGATTCTGTCGCCATCTTGAGGCGCTGTGATACGGAGCTGGCGTGGTGAGGCGACGTCGTTCATATCGCTCATCATAACGGTTTCGGACGGACGATTGGCGGCAATTGCGGTGGCCATCTTCCATCAAGCCGCTCCGCGGCAACAAACGGAGAAATTAAATATGAAGGAATACCATAGAGTATCTTCCGAGTATTATACCGGCCGGAAGACGTCGGGATCTGACAGACTATTTGGACATGACAATTTGGCGATGCGCGAGATCGGAATCCGGGGAAACGCCTAGGAAGCAGGTTCAAGGTCAGTTTTCTTACCAACAACAACGGTAAAGACGGCTAGGCTATCGAGCAAATTGGCTCTCAATAACAAAGTCGTACCTCGTTATTGGCGCGAGGCGGAATTGATTGTCTCGCTGATGGTTGAAATCAGGCAACGGTGAATGGTACTGTTGCTCTAGTTTCCCTCTTGACAGATTAACCTGCAAAAACAACCCAGATAATGATAGAGAGGAGGTTGAATAATGGAATTGAAAGAATTATCAAAGGAGCGGACGGCCAAGACCAGAGCAAATCGTAAAGACGAGATTTGCTTCTGGAATTGAGCCAGTAGTTGGTGGTGGTGGTTGAGGGTTGAGGTGGAGGGAACGAAAAGAAGGATTGAGGAGATAGTAGACGATGCCAGGAAGGATGGAAGGTGTGAAATTCGAAAAAGCGCCACTGTTAGGCTATTAGGTACTTAGGTATGGTTTGTGGCAGGCCTGGACCGTGCGTGCAATGTCATGAACTTGTACTGTACGTAATAAGTAATAAGGATCTTGGGCTTGCAGGGACAAGGATGTGAAAAAGTATACCTGAGGCAAGGTATTGAGGTACCTCCGCTATAATAGGTAGATACGTACCTTGGAAAAGTTGTTCACACCTGCTGCGGCCGCTAGCGAGATACCATGCGACACCCAATAACATTTGATCAACAATTAAAATCTGGAAATGACTTTAATCGATGGATATGATGACCTTTTCATGCTTCATATTGCTGCTGCTGCTGTTATTGATTATCTTACGAAAAGCCGAGAGCTGAGAGCTGAGAGCTGGATGCCATCTGGACAATGACTGATTTAATCTCAGCAGCAAAAAGACCCTGCATTAAGTATGATGACAACATTCTGTTCTGACTGAATAAAGAGAATTCCCGATCTATTCTACCCTACTGAAGACAGCTGAATCGAGGACTACCACCTACGCTACCTACACTAATAGGTACTATTTTCAGGGAGTACACACCTAATATTAAATGTACGAAGTGTACGCGATCTGCAGTCACACCGAGGGAAGTCTGTTCCGTGAGGGACCCTGCAGAAGATTACGCCTACGTGGACTAGGTACGTTTAGGTACGTTTTCTCTTCCACCATTGTTTCCCAGACAGCCAGACAGACGATCTCGTTAGGTTATGGATAGATGGTCCGTATATACGAACAATTCGTACGATACATAAGATGCGGATCTTGGAATACCATCCCCGAGTGGTTCCATGACCTCATACATGCGCACACATCAAGTTGGCCTATCTTCCTTCGCCGTTTGCGAGTTGATTGAGGCTCGTGCAAGGGTATGACGAGGAAATCAAACCGTGGAGAATGAGAAAATGGTATTCGGCCTTTTTCAATGTTAGAATTAGGGCACATGAATACTGTACAGCATCATAGGTTTGGTTATTATGATTATTGTTATTATTGTTATTATTTTCGTTGCTGCCTGCCTATCCAATGTTCCATCATTATGAACGACATAAGTGCATACTAAATTATTACGATGCGCAATTCGCAGTTCGTAGAATGGGGTACTAGCGTACTGTAACCTCCCTGCTGGGTGCCTAGGTACAGTAGCGAACGGCGAAATAGCAAAGTGGCCCTCGGTGGCTTCGTTATTCTCCGTGGCCCTTCGCTCAATCAAGCAAGCGAGAAAGGAAAAAGAAGCAAAATACTATCCAATCCCTGGAAATGGGTTCACATTGGAAAAACCAGGTAGTTCCTTGAGGGTTCCTGAAAAGACTACCTTACCCCTGAGCAACGTATCTTCAGCAGGTAGAGAACACAGGTACAGCCTACAGGCAAAACGGCATCTTTTTTATTTCGTTGGAACCCCCCTGGCAATTTTAACATGTACATATGCATCTACGTGTACATCCTACCCAGATGTACGCAGGAGCAGCCAGGCAGCCCGCACCAAAGAAAACCGCTTTCCTTTTCGAGATATAGGCTCTGGGTCCTCGGGGTTCCCCTGCAGCGCCCTATTCCTTTTTGGGGCTATCATCCACCCACGCTTCCTGCATTTTGGGTTGTTTTTTGTTGCAATTGCGGCTGGAGGAGGGTCAAAATGAAGTTAATCAATCCTACACGTACGGACTACGAGGTTGTACATAAACATCTGTCCTACGTGTTGTATGTGCTAAATGGATTACATAGTAGGTTTATTCTATTATTGTTGCACTCGTATTTTAAAAGATTAGAGGTTAGAGTGCTATGCAATTTATAGCATTGCTAAGAGGTAGCCAAAGGAATTGCATACGAAGGAATATGAATTGGATTCTTGTCTCAAATATTATAAACTCCCTGTTATTCACAAATGATTAAAAGTCAACAACACTGAACGAAGAGCAAGAGTATATAATATAAATAAAGCCAAGATAAGTAAGAGTCTCATTCATCCCACGCAATCTGTCCCATCGTTTAGCGCAGATATGGATGGGTATGTACATGTATATGTAAAAATGGTAAAAAAGCAGGTAAGCGGTCTGGCCGTAGAAGCCACGACTTATATGCCTTACCAGCTTTGCATACTGCTGCACGCCCGTAAGCAGCCGTCGCATTAGCTTCCATGGTTTACAGCCAACCAAGGCCACTAACTTCGAGGCGCTCAGATAACTCTGCATGAGTCTGTGGGTATTTCGCCGGATAAACAGTACATACATGGTCGATCTCATAGTCAAAGTCTCATTTGCTGTCGGTATTTCTTCTCCATTGAGATGTTTAAGAGGCTTGCAACGTTTTCCACACTAAAAGCAAAGAAACAAGATACTTAAGTAGGTAACAATAAAAGCAATTTTTCTCTATGCTAAGTTATACTAGGGCGCAGGAAACAAGCTGAAATCAATGATCGACCACCATTGAACAACTCATCATCTCCGATTCATATCTCCCACGTATCTAGGTATCTGGGTATCTAAGAATAACTTAGCAAACGAATAAGCAATCTCGCCTAGAATCTTGCTAGCGGTAAACGCAAGGCCCAAATAATAAAATATAGTTCGGACGCGTATTTCTGGCGGCTATGTCCAAGCCTCACTCTCCACGTTACAATTCTGGATACGGACACGGAGTGCTTATACATTTCTAGTGATGGATAACCGGGAATGGGGGGAACGGTTCAGTTCTTGAACTTTTGGGGGTCAAGTGATGATAGATGGCCAGGGCTTGACAGGCATTCCATTCTCCGGCTGGTTAGTTAATTGATTTTTCTGCGGAGAGATCCTTGCTTCGTGATATCGACCAGCCGAGGGTCAGCGGGGGGTGAACTGTGCCGCATTTGTCTTGCACGCCCGCCGCAAACTAAATACACTATGTCATGGGGGATACATGACGATAATCCTGCATCCACACCTAAGTATCGTCATTATCCTAGACCCTGAGTACACATAGATTATTGTGGATGGCCTTTAAATACCTGTGTCAAATGTAGTATATATCTACTACACAATGGCTTCCTTTTGTGATATTTGAGAATTCACGAAATTCTTCATAACCACATCTCCTTTAGCAAGGATTGCTCGGCATGGGGAATAAGCAGGTCCACTGCGTCTCGCTTACACAAACTGGCTAAGTAGAAAAGGATGAAGACTAGGAAAAAAATATCCGACTCGAGCAGCCAAAAAAAAAAGGCCTTGTTCAATAAAAGGAATATGTAATTGTAAGCCAATTAAACTTCGGAATGGCCACTGTTCATTAAAGGGGCATAAATGCATAGGTGGGTCATGAATAAAATCCAAGCTTAGGATCTGGAAGAAGTTTAATCCATAATGTATCCACTTTTATGGCCTACCCCCAGTCCGGTGGGACTGTCTAGCTTCTCTATCTCGATTTTTGTTCGCTAAAACTTATTTGATGCGCCTCACAGAGGTAAAGTGAATAACTTTGCGCGCGACTCAAAAGTACACCATCAACCAACATACAAAGGCTTGCGCTTGGGATTGAACGGATACAGTCGTGTTGCGGCGAGTCCTACCATCATGTCGACCAGCGCCGTCACCGTCGAAAAGAAACAAGAACCCCAAGGCTTGCGCAAAAATGGTGAGGATAGCCACACCTTCTTGTCCAATAATCAACCCATACTGATAAAGTATAGGCAAGCAATGGCATGTCCCAAAGAAGGCATTCCGGCCAGGTTCTGGTTTGACTTCATACGAGAAGCGAACAAAAATGCGCACGGCGACGGCCGCGACTAAAGCGAGGGAGAAGGAGATGAAGGATGAGAAAGAAGCGGAGAGACAGGTACTTCGACCAACATGTTCCAGATAAAAAATCGATAAAGTGAGCACAACTAATGTTGGGATCTAGCAACGAGTACAAGCCATTAAGGAGAAACGGGCAGCTAAGGAAGAAAAGGAGAGATATGAGAAAATGGCCGAAAAAATGCATAAGAAACGAGTCGAGCGTCTAAAGAGAAAGGAAAAGCGCAACAAGCTCCTCAATTCATGAGCCATGCCACCTGGGATATCTTACGAAATAATCGCTTAGATCAATAAGCATCCACTCGAGTACGAAAGCCTTACGTGCGGGAAGAGGACAGCCCACGCCAATATATCCTACCAGCACAGCGATTAGGCGGAGAATTGGGGGCTTACTTCCGTTGACTGATCTGAGGGGTTCGTGGCCACAAAGCTGATTGAGAATTAGGTTTCAATCAGCCGTTATTGATTGAAAGGGAGAAATGGTAGCTACCCGATAAACTGTTCGGCTCTATTTTTTTTTCTGGGCCGGAAACAGTGAAGTAACTTTGCTGTGAAAAACATGCAGCCAAGAAATCTCCAGCTTGGAAGCGAGGAAAGACACGAACTGTATGCGGCAGTGATTAATCAAAACGCCGAGTTCGAGTTGCACTAAAATTTGGGCAACCACATACATATTTATACAATCAAATAACATCTAAAAAAATGATGTGTCATTAATTCGCATCTTGAGCCACGTTAATTGGTACAACCTCTTTACAGTATAAAACGTATCTACAAATACCTACATATAGGTATCAACCCATAAATTAGTGACATGTGAAAATGCAAAAGTTAGCGTAGGTGGGGTGCGCTCAATGGCGGGTCTCCGTTTCAACTAAAACCGCCTAGGGGACTACCGACCCAATGGAAGCCTGCTTTTATTCCTATTGTTCCAAGTTGACCTACCAGCTTCTTACTTTACAGTACATGTAGCTATGTAAGGTATCTACATTTTCAATGCATAGTGCCTACAGTATTACTTGTTTTCAATCCAAGACGCCCTGTGATCTAAATAACGCTACCCTCCCTTAAGTCGCTTACATACATCCTACCCTATGTAGGTACCTGGTTGCAGCAGGAATGATGTCCAGGAATCAAGATTTCGACCTCCTGAAGCCTGTGCAATCCTCGCCACCGCGGCCTCGTCACCAAATTAGACGATCGATAACCGAATTATCGTCGCCAATCAAGCTTCCCCGATATCACCACTTACATCACCTTCGAAAGGACCGCGATAACGATGACCATACTCCCATGTCAGCAGGCCCCATGCTTCACCTCACACGAGGCTCTTTTGAGCTACCACGATCCGAAGGCACAACTCCATATGCGAACTCCGAATCGGGTCTTCGAATAAGCATGCTAAGTTCGGCGTTCGACGATGCCACACGTAATGCTGGACCTACTACCTCACAGCCGCCTTCGATGAATCAAGAAGAGTTGATACGGGAAGAAAAGGAGAAAGTAGCTTCAAAATTAGTGTCCGTCACACCACCCGCTCCGAACCGGATCGACACCAAATCACCTACCACGCGAAATAGCTGACATTATAATAGGGGGCTAAGGAAATCACTTGTAGAATTGAATACATTTTCGAACGCGACGACCAGACGTTTGGACGACACGTACTATGCCGTTCTCGAAAAGCTCAGCGTGCTCCAAAGCACAATAGTAGCTCTTAAGGAGCTCGCGGCGATGTCGCAAGAGTTAAACGAGAGTTTTGAGGTCGAGTCTCAGGAACTAGTGAACGAATTAGAGCAACAGGCCGACTCGTTCGGTCAATTTGACGACCAGCAGGAACGCATCGAAGAATTACAAGGGCGCGTGCGGGCAGGCCGTGGTAAGGTCGAGGCACTCAGTAAACGAGTCGATGTCGTACGAGACAGAATCGAGAGCTGGGAAAGAGCAGATAATGAATGGCAAGAAAGAACGAGAAAACGTTTAAAGATCATATGGATCATCACATCCGTAGTGATTTTTTCATTGATATTCTTACTCGTCGGAGCTCAATACGCTCCCTCGTCAGAAGATGTATCGACCCTCACAATATCAACACCAGTAAGTGGCCAAGAACACGGAGAGCCAGTTATAGGTGAAGCGGTTAGCAATCAAAGCGAAAGTGTTGCGGCTATGGTGGATGGGGTAAAACAAGCCCTCAACGCTAGGAGAGGTGAACCCGCCGAGGACGATGTATTCCGAGCTTTTGACGAACTATAACTTCAGTGGACGGGAAGATATTTTGCTTTTCGTTTGGGTAGACCCCGAAGAACCGACTTATACCAGAAGAAATGATACTCTTTAGTAATCCTATTAATAAAGCTGATTTAGACACATCCCGAAGCTCGCCGATATGCCATTACTGAACAAACAGCAACCCCTCTTTCCTTCTATAATAATTAACGAGATGCGTCCCAGCAGTACCCTGTTACGACACATCAAAACTCAAAACAGCAATCATGTTACAAATGGCGAGACAAGACACATCAAACATATTTAGTATTACGCCGATAGATGCGATAGATGCGCATCCAGATCCGCTTAACCTAATAATAAAGCCGAGATTGAAATCCGACTAAACTCGGAAAAGGCGGGTAGGAGAGACCCAACTATCCGATATATGTGCCGTCTTAACCGCCTGCCGCCCTCCGCGTATGAAATGCTTGGCATTCAGCCCTGCGCATCCCCAAAGCTGTGGGGTCTTTGCGCCGCAACATACGCCGTAATCTGGTCAATTGATGTTTGCTGCTGCAATTCTTACATGTTACCCAATATTTCTTCGCAAACCCCTGAACATATCACATTTGACAACTTTGATTTTCCGAAATGAACGATCGAACTTTTAGACCATGTCTAACATATCACAAAGACTTTCAATAAGAATTAACATGTACGGATACATGTCCTTACCCAGATAGGTACTTGTAAATAATCTTGAAATTGAATACAGTTTTACGTAGCTGCCTACGTACCTGGGTACTAGTGTTAGTGTGGATCGTGGGACGCATGACTGGTTTCTGGCTTACCGACGTCATCCCTACCTAAGCCACTTCAATTCGATTGGAATACCTGCACAGCTGAGTGTAATTACCGCCAATTGGATCATACCAAAGGCGCTACTGTCCAACGGTGCGTTTAAACTCGGAGCTTTTAATTGAGATAAACTCAAGGACTTTGAACCCAATTTGCTCAGGAAGTGACAAAGAACATCGAAGGACAGTAATTTTCAAGAAAGCACGGTGTACCACCACGTTGTACACACCTACATCTTCTTTTGCGACCCCAATAACATCTATTCCTACCTCACCATTCAAGGGCCTTCCTATCCCTTGTTTTTTATTTATGTTTTTTTCTTTTCGTTATTACTTTTAGATCTTCGCTCTCTACATAACCTCTAGTGTACCCCAAAGACGCGACACCGGATCTAGCACATTTAATTAAAAAAAAATTATTAGGTGTTTCTTAAAGCGGTATACGACTGTGGCTGACGACATTCTTCCCCATTGATCTAAAGAAATTCCCCGCCATAAATCCAACCGTCGGGACACGGCACGCGCCTAATATAACCACTAATCTCGAGCTGAAGCTCTTTGCGAACGAGGGCGAGGGAGAGAATAAGTACGAAGGCGAAAGAGGTGGTTTACATCCGCTCATTTTCTCGGGCTGGGGAGTTGAATAACTCTATCGAATCTAGTTTTAGACATGTCTACTACAGATGCTGCCCAAGATGACGCACCCCGCGATCTTACTACCAATCCCGCGGCCCCTCCAGGCCAGTCTCTAACTGGAAAACAAGAGCACTGTTCGTCTTAGCCCCCCAACCAATGTTTAAATCGTATTTTGACTAACCACTATGTTTCACAGATCTCAAACGAGAGCTCATATCCGAACAAGTCAACTGGGAAATATCCGAACTAAATTCCCCCACAGCACTTCGCAGATTTGGTGCGCCCTTCAAGTCAGAATTCGGAGAGGTGTCACCCTATGATTCTGAGCTCCCCATTCTACGTTACATTTTCGTACACCATGTGCGAGAGTTCCCATTCCTGGATAAGGCGAAGGAGAAGGAGTTCTGGCAGGATAAACTACAGGTGGTGCGTAAATTCTTTAAATTATTGCGTATTATATTCTAACACAATTGCTCTGTATTTAGTTTCTCGAGTCGTTCGCTAGCAAAAACATTTCGTCCTCCGAAGACCGATTAGAAGAGACCAAACGCCGCAAGTTAGCTTTAAAATGTCGAAAGTTAGTCGAATTGATGATGGTGTCGGGAGTCCGCACAGCTTCCGGGTTCGAAGAGCGGATAAGGTTCGCAGAGATGGAAATCATAGACCGCGATGCCATCGATACAGGGATGTTGAATACCATGCCAGAGGGTAACTACGCCAATGGATGGGATGTCAACGTTGCCGGAGTTCGTATCACGCTGATCAAGAGAAATATCAGACGCCACAAACATGCAGTGCGTAGCTTTCTAAAGGCATTTTAACATAGTTCTCGGGCTAACTCATTTCAGGAATTTTTACTGCGCGTAAAGCGGAGAGGCGAGCTTGAATATTTCATAGGCAGACGATACGGTGATTTCGCCCGATTGCATAGGCAGCTACGGACGGAACTCCCAGGGAAAGTTCTCCCACCTTTACCAAAGAAGAATAAGTCAGACACGCCCGCGTCAAACTTGTTATCGCGTATGACCGACGGGGGCGATGATTCCGATGATTCATCAATCTCATCTGTTTCTACAGCGGCGCCAGGTAATGGTTTCACGGATTCAATGAAGAACTTAACGGTTCGGGATCACCGTAGAAATAAATCAACAGCTTCTAGCCGTGCGTCACCGCGTCCATCCATGGAAAGTCGTATGAGTCTGGCTCTAAGCCCTAAAGTCGAGGTAAGCCCACTTACGATTCGCCCCGAGACTGATTAAAATTAACAATATGTTTAGAATGCTATGCTTTGGCGTGAGAACCAACGTATATCACTTAGAGCATACTTGCGGTATCTACTGCATAATCCCCAAATAGCACAGACTAAAGCCCTACGGCAATTCTTAACGCATGATCCACTCACACCAACGGACGAAGACGTCGATGATATCCTCCGGCGCAAAGCTGTTGACGAGAAACGTATGGAGGAACAGAAGCAGTTCTACGAAATAGCGAGGAAAAGAGCTGCTGAACTGGACGTATATATGGAACAGTTCCGCCAAGACATTGTCGAGCGTAATGGGTTGACAAAGCTTCTTCAAGAAATCAAAGAAAAGGATACTATTCAAGATTTAGATCTTCAATACCAGAAGTTCGCCGAATGGCTCCGTATCGAAATTGCCGCAACCGTTTACCATCTTTTCCTCGCCGAAGACAATTCGCCAGAGTTGTTTGCTCAACTTAAGCGAATCCATTCTCTGATACCTTACACGATCATGAAGAATGTTATCCGAATTGCAAATCCTGCTGCTGTCATGTCGGCGGCACTCGACATATTCTTGGCACAGCCTTTCGGCTCTCGTTCTCTTATGCAACGCATTTTCTCATTGACTTTGAACGATGGAATTCGAACCCAGCAAAGGGCGATCGACGCTGTAGCCGCCAAAATAGGAGACGACGCCTTCGTGCAAAAACTGAAGCAATTTACAGACGCTGAAGAACAAATCAAAGTTGCTATTAGAGAAGAAGCCGAGTCGGAGAGCGTGGATATTATTGTAGTTATACTACGCTCTGATCTATTTGAACCTTCACTCAATTCTGACCAGATTGGGAGATTGTACAATGCTTATATCGCTTTTATTAACGCGGTAGAGAATACTGACGAGGAATTTAAGCAAGGCGCTCAACTATTCTCATACTTAAAGCAATTGTTGAAACTACAGACTAGACAGCGCGACAAGGCAATGATGCTCAGTCTAATTGAGGAACCCACAACTTTACAATTGCTCCGAGACCTTTTCACCATCTTTTACGAACCCCTCGTGCGAGTGTACAAGTCAGCCAATGTATACAACAGCATCACGGACTTTGCCGTTTTCATTGATGACATGATTCAGGTATGTAACTAAACAAATAAGACTTTAAGCCAGCTACTAACATCATCAAAGGTTGTTGAGAAATGCAGAGAACAGGATGCTTCGGCTGATCCTAATCAAACTGTGCAGGCTTTCATTGATCTCTGCCAACGCCACGAGCATAACTTTTACAAGTTTATTCACGAGGTTCATTCGCACGACAACGGCCTCTTTACCCAACTGATGGGTTGGATTGAGGGGATTCTGGAATTTCTGAGAAAGGGACCAGCTGGTGGGGCATTAGACATGAATGCCCTATTTGAAGGAGGCGTCGCGAGTGGCAACTTGGACAGGGAGAAGGCAATCGAGGAGATAAATCAACTCATTTCTTGGCAAGAAGCCCGCAAGAAATGGCACCACGATAAAACTCGACAGAAGATGGCCGCCGAGGGATCGGTTAATATCGACAGTGGCTTGCCAGGTATGACCAATTTCCACGCCAGTGACTTTGGTCTTAACGAGATGGATTTAGAAGACATGAGTTATGATGATGGATCCAATGACGAGGCGGAGGCAGAGGAAGAGGATGAACTCGACCCTATAGAAGCTGAAAGGCGTAGAAGAGCCAAGAGACAGGACCGTCTCAAGGCTCGTGCTGGCGAGCCGCAGAAGCCGCCCGTCAGTGAGGTTCATAATTTACGAGAAAACTTTATCGAGATGCTCCGGCAGGTCTTGGCACCCTGAAAGGAGCATCCTCTAGAGGATCGATCATGAATTGAGGAGCTTGGAGTTTTAGGGATTAGGATAAAGCGCATTATCGACTCCGGTTGGTTGCATTCACGAAAAGGGGGAGAGGGGGTAATCATAAAACGTACGTATAATCGCACGTACGCATGCATTTAGTTGCATTGTTCTTGTGGTAGGACATGCATCGACGTTATAGATAGGCGACTAGGCTATTCCAGTGGCCTTTTGCAATATAGACCTACCTTTCGAGAGGTTGGGTATGATTTTTATGTCTTATCCTTTATGTAGATGGTTTCTTGTGATATCAACCAGTAGTATGGACTTACCTGAGTTACTGCTTCAGCTGTATCGTATGTAAATTTCAACTTCAATGTCTATGACGTCTAGAATCTATTTGTAGTCTTTTTTGTTCTTCAATTCTATTGTGTATGTTTTATTTATCTTTTTGTAAGCTATACCTAAGTGCCTAGGCAATTTATTTAACTGTATCGCTTAGGTAGAAGAACAAAGTATTCGAATGACACGTGATGATTACATATGATGCTGGTGGCTAAAGTAAAGGTAGGTACCTACAGGTAGGTACTTACTATTAGCATGGTGTTAGTACTTTGGGGGGCAGGTGTGGGATGGTGGGTAGGTACAAAGTACATACATATGTAACTAAGTCAGTTCATAGTGGAAACGGCCGGCTTTATTATCCCTCGGTAATCAGAATGGACGCTATTGGACCATAATCCGTTCAATTGTCTGGAAGCTGCGGTTGAACTTCGCCGGCATCATCACTTTTTTTTTTCTACTTTTGCCCATTCCCCGACACTTGCAGGACAAGAGAAGAGAAACCTCCTCCGTTGTTGGTGCAACCTATTTCTCTCCCCTCCTTCCATTCCATCCTATACATAATGGCATCTTCAATGGCAATGAGGAGGTTAGGCCTTGGCTCTACCGTGAGTCTCCATTTCTCCCTTGCTTACAAAAAGTTCGAGCCGCACACGGCCGCTGAATTGGATTGGGCTTGGAGACAATTGTTAACTTACGACTCGACTGACTTTTGTGCCTTTTTCGCTTTGAATAGTTCTCGAGAGTAGCCAAGTGCCAGGCTAGAACCTTCTCTTCTACGCGACCTGTCTGTACGTGCGCTCTATTAGTTTTCATAATCGAATTCGCATCTAATTGCATCTTTTTCGCACAATAGCTCGGATCATCGCGAATAACCCATTGCGGGCCAAGGAAGCGCCCGTGCATGTGAGCAGTAAATACCCGGTTATCGTACGTCGCACCATCCTACTCCTCTTTACTTTAGAGGTAGACGACCTTCCAATACCCGACAATAATTAACTCGACCTTAGGACCACGAATACGATGCTATCGTCGTCGGTGCGGGCGGTTCCGGATTGCGAGCAGCGTTCGGTCTTGCGGAGGCGGGTTTCAACACAGCTTGTATATCCAAACTCTTCCCCACGCGAAGTCATACCGTCGCCGCGCAAGGTGGTATCAATGCCGCCCTAGGAAACATGCACGAGGACGACTGGAGGTGGCACATGTACGATACTGTGAAGGGTTCAGATTGGCTCGGTGACCAAGATGCTATTCATTACATGACAAGAGAGGCCCCCGCGTCGATTATTGAGCTAGAGAACTACGGATGCCCATTCTCGAGAACGGAAGATGGCAGGATGCAAGTCCCCTTCGGTTTACATGACACATAATGGCTACTAACCAGGACTTTCTAGATACCAACGTGCTTTCGGTGGACAGTCGCAGAAGTTCGGAAAAGGTGGCCAGGCATACCGCTGCTGTGCTGCTGCTGACCGAACAGGTCACGCTCTTCTACACACTCTATATGGTCAATCTCTGCGACACAGCACTAACTACTTCATCGAGTTCTTCGCCATCGATTTAATTATGGAAGATGGAGAATGCCGAGGTGTCCTAGCTTACAACCAGGAAGATGGTACACTTCACAGGTTCCTTGCGCAAAATACCGTTTTAGCCACCGGTGGTTACGGTCGAGCATACTTCAGCTGCACGTCGGCGCATACTTGCACTGGTGACGGTATGGCCATGGTTGCTCGTGCTGGTCTCCCCAACCAAGATCTCGAATTCGTCCAATTCCACCCCACAGGTATCTACGGAGCTGGTTGTCTGATCACGGAAGGTTCCCGAGGTGAGGGTGGATACCTACTCAACTCCGAAGGTGAACGATTTATGGAGCGATATGCACCCACAGCAAAGGATTTGGCTAGTCGTGATGTTGTCTCGCGATCCATGACACTGGAAATCCGTGAAGGACGAGGTGTTGGACCCGAAAAGGACCACATCTACCTCCAATTGAGCCACTTACCCGCCGAAATTCTCGCTGAGCGTCTACCTGGTATCTCCGAGACTGCCGCTATCTTCTCCGGTGTCGACGTTCGCAAACAGCCTATCCCCGTCCTACCGACTGTCCATTACAACATGGGTGGTATCCCCACGAGATATACTGGTGAGGTTCTTACTGTCGATGAGAGCGGCAATGATAAGGTTGTCCCTGGTCTATTTGCCTGCGGTGAGGCTGCTTGTGTCTCTGTCCACGGCGCCAACCGACTTGGTGCCAACTCCCTGTTGGATCTTGTCGTATTCGGACGAGCTGTTTCCCACACTATTCGTGACAAGTTTACTCCCGGAGCTAAGCCCAAGCCCATAAGCGCCGATGCTGGTGCGGACTCGATTGAGGTTCTTGACCAGATCCGCAACTCCGATGGACCCAAGAGCACAGCTGAAATCCGACTTGCTATGCAAAAGGCTATGCAAACGGATGTGAGCGTGTTCCGTACACAAGAGAGTTTGGACGAGGGTGTAAAGAAGGTCAATGAGATCGATGGTACATACTCTCAGGTTGGAATCAAGGACCGAAGCATGATCTGGAACTCAGACCTTGTTGAGACCCTTGAGTTAAGGAATCTGCTCACTTGCGCGTAAGTTTCATTTGATCCTCCCTCCTTCAATGAGAACAAAAAGAAGCTAATAGACCTACCAGCACTCAAACCGCTACTGCTGCTGCTAACCGAAAGGAATCCCGTGGTGCTCATGCCCGAGAAGACTACCCGGACCGAGATGATGAGAACTGGATGAAGCACACTCTTACTTTCCAAAGGAAGCCCCATGGCCCGGTTGATATTGCATACAGGAGAGTCATCGGCACAACACTGGACGAAAATGAATGCAAGGCCGTCCCACCATTTAAGCGAACATACTAGACGGATCAATTGGGAAGCTGAGATATCAATAGGTTCACTCCCACGGATACTGCAATGCCGGCAATATGGGATGAATGAGAGACATGCTCCGATCCCGGCGGATAGGGAGATTGAGAAGGCATGTGAGATGAGATGATTAGTGGCGACCCAGCTGTCCAGAGACGTGGATATGTATCTTATGCATCGGGTTGCGAACAATGTGTATACAGATAGAATACCTTTTTTAATCGTTCAAGTTAAGATGTGCTGTAGCTGATGGTGATTTATCTGATCGTAGAGGGGTTGGCTTCTACGTTAAATAGTCGATAACGCCACAGTCAACCCCAACCATTCTCATTGGTGTAGACATATCAGCGTTGTCACTAAGCTTCGATCATAGGGCGCCTCAAATAGACGATAACCATGATGGTTACAGTCCAAATGGGGCAGTCTTGCTGACCTAAGACCATATTGGTTGCTTACTTTGTTCTACGGCACAGCTACCCAAAGAAGAAGATCAGCTTCGGAATGACTTCCGTCCCTCATTGGCTAGTTTTTGATCTTCTCACAGTTTTTAGGAGTTCGGCGTTGTTCTCGAGTGGGAACTTGTTAAATAACAAAGGAAAATCGATCGAATATCGCGTTGACCGCAAGACTAGGATGCCAGGATCCCGGATTACCGGGTGCGATTCTCGCTCATCGCTTTCTATATATGTCTAGGTGTTTAATTTTGATTACCTATGCCCTTGCTACTTGCTGCACAAGGATGTTGGTTTTGTTTAAGCAAGGGCTTGTTCAAGGACTGGGGGATGTTTGATGGAGTCATCATCGTCGGGCCCGGGGTTATAAAATCTCCTCATGCCACTTCTTTGTGTTTGTGTTCCCTTTACTTTTCTGTTCTGCTGTTGGAAGGCCAATGATTGGTGTTGCTTTCTCTTAGGGGTATACAACACTCGTAAGGAATAAGGAAATAAAAGCAAGAGTATGGCACGCTTATCAGCCCTCTTCAGCGCTTTCTTACTCGGTGTCGCACACGCGGATCAGTACATGAACTTGACGACTCTTACGGGGAGGGATAATGTCTCGGTTCTCGAGTGCTGGCAGCTGAGCACACCGTTCGCTACTTCGGATGTGCCTGGTGTTGCTGGCACGCAGACGCTGGAGTTGGGTGGTTTGGCTAATGCGACGTATACGGTTATACCGCCACGGTTCGATAGCGGGTTGCACAACGCGCCGGTGAAGCAGTGAGTTAATTAATTATTTGCACGTCTCATGTATGTTGAGGTATATACTAAATGGTTGGTATAGATACGTCTGGTTCGTCAGCGGGGTTGCACATCGTAAGTTTTACTTTTTTATTCTGCAAGCCATATTTGCTTGGTCACGATCGGATATTGCTTAACATGATCCACTTAGTGAGTTTGCCGAACGCCACGGGCGAAGCCATTGTGAATGGCGGTAGATACGGACTTATATATGCCGACGATACGAAGGATATCTCCGGCTGGGGACACCTCTCGAGATACCCCGGTGGTGACCAGACTATCACGGTGACGTTCCCTGTGCAGGATGGCGTTAATCCTAATCACACGGTGCTACATGACGGCCCTTGCACCTTGAGCGAGTCGATGGGTGTGTAGGATATGTTGTACGTGGAAAGGAGATGGGTTAAAATCTGATAGGCGTATGAGTTATGATGTCAAGTTTAAGACTTATATGGAAGACAGTTGAGATGTGTGGTGTTCGGAATGGTCGACCTTCGAGATGCATTATTCCTGTCTTGGTCGCGATCTCTGTCCCGAAACCCTTGTCATAACGATCGGATGTATATGATACCTTCAAGAATGTGAATATAATTTAAGATACCTCTCTAAGCTGTATAATAAAATTTAAGTATGGCTATTTGGTGTTGTCGTATATGGCTAGAGTGAATTGAAAGGTAGAAGTTTTAATAAATTGAGTGTACTGAATGCCATCTTCTATCTTTAAGAGTACCTAGGTAGGGGTCGGGTAGCGTACCTACTGCGCCAAGCCTCGGTAAGAGTAGGCCGAGTAACATACCTAGGCGTATGGCATCTCCCGAAAGGAACCCCTCATCGCAGCGGTAATTACCAGGTACCTACTTAAGGTACTTAAGGTATATAATCCAAAATGTAGATACCTACATATGGTAGTTTCCACAACTAGATATAATTTCTAACGAGGAACTAGCTAGAAATGAAAACTAATCAATAAGAAGAAAGGAATAATATAGCCTCAACTAATATTTCAAAGTTACAAGCCTCTATAATCTACAATGTCAGTTGCGTTGATCACAGCGGGAAGCGCCGGACTTGGTGCGGCAACGGTTCGGCTTTTCGCTAAGAACGGCTTCCGGATTATCGTGAACTACGCGAATAACGACCAGAGAGCGAATAAACTCATAGAAGAATTGCCAGCAATTTCTACTCTACCCCAAGATGGCGGACGTAGTAATTTCATCGCTATCAAAGCTGATCTGGGTAATCGAGATGATGTGAACCGCCTCGTCAGAGAGAGCATTGATAAATTCGGTCGATTAGATGTTGTCTTCTCCAATGGTGGTTGGACTCGATAGTGAGTATATCTGCTTGTTTGTTTAATGTTTTTTTATTTCGATACTGTGCCCGCGGTAATGTCTCTTTACTGATAAACTGGTTCGTAGCCGTGGTATGGATAGCATCGATGATAATGCATACGAAGAGGAATGGGATCGCTCCTTTAACATGAATGTGAAATCCCATCTATGGCTGATGCAAGCTGCAAAGAAGCATCTTGACGAAACCGAGGGCGCCTTTATTACTACAGCTTCCACCGCTGGTATATCCATTAGCGCTAGCTCTCTGGTAAGTGCGATTGATCCGTGGAGTTAGGTTGATGGTCGTAGTAACGTCAAATAGGCCTATGCTGTCACTAAAGCCGCACAAATACATCTAGCGAAGGCATTGGCATCTATGGCAGCCCCCAAAATCAGAGTGAACAGCGTTTCGCCAGGATTATTAATGACGGTGAATAACCATCCGATTAGAGACGATTCAAGGATCTAATGGTCAGTAACAGGAATGGATAGACGACTTCCCCAAAGAAAGCAAAGAAACCCATCTACAGAAAACCAAGCTAAAGCGTTTCGTCGCCGTCGAGGACGTGGCCGAGCAGGTTCTTACCTTCGCGAGGAATAAGAGTATGACGGGGCTGAACGTTGTAGTGGACGCTGGGTTTACCTTATGATCTCGTCACGGGATGATGTAGACTAGATATACAGACAATAGTTGTATGTGTTAGTCATAGTAGAGATGGCTGGAAAGTGCTTGTAGGTTTGTGGTTCTTATTCTAGGCGGCTCAACTTAGGCTCCCATCAAAGTCGAGGAATGGCGCACGCCTCTTTTGTATATACGAGTAGTAGTACAGAGGCAGAATTGAGACGGTATTAAGATCGCGTGTCTTATTAAAAAGGTCATGTGGTTGCTGTTGCCTTGTTGTGGTAGGTTCGCATGACTCATCAAAATGAAAGTTATAAAATGAAATGAAACTATTGAAGTTGGCAAGTTTAGGTTTAAATGTATAAGTTAAGACGCCCCTAAAGTTTGCCGTTACACATGCATTTTCCTAGAAATGCCACGTGGGCTGCGTCGGAAACTCGGGTGGCTGTGGGGAGAGTTTGCACTAAATTTATTCAGTTAGGCAAAACTAGGCTGGCGGTATCAGCTGAGTTCGCTGAGTCGGTCACTCGCCTCATTCTTAACCATCATTAACATTTCTAGCATCACACCGACAACACACCAAATCATTCTTGTCACACATTCCCTAGAGGCTGTGGCTTTCGTGACTCGATATTCTTAGGATTTTCCCCTCTTAATTCCTTTTCGGTAAGCCGCTTCACTTTTCTTTTAGGTCACTTATCAGTCACCGAAACGTGGGCTTATCAGCCACATCAGTTCTACCACGGCGCAAGCACAATAAATTCATCCAATCGCCCCCCTGGACCGGGCTAAGAGTTGTGATGGAGACTCTCTCCAAATGCCTCGAGGTCCCAACCGAGCCAAGGTCCACTGCGGTTATTGCGACGACTATTGCGACCACCGTTGCACTCATGTCGCTTGCTCGATTCACACTATGGCCTAGGAAACGCACCATCATTCCTAGTCCTCTAAAGACGAGTCTGCCTAAGTTATCCAAGGATGAAGTTACGGCTCTTTCCTACGGTACAGATACATTCCCAGGTGCTAGGGATGTCGACACTCCAGTAAGTGCTTAGTGAATCTGTCGATCTACACGTTTGTGGTCTAATAAGAAGCTTCTAGTATGGCAGTATCCGGGTATATGAGTTCGGTCCCGAAGACGGCCGCAAGGTCCTATTCATCCACGGAATCAGTACCTCATGCATGACTCTGAAAGATATTGCGATACCACTTTCGAAGAATGGCTGCCGAGTTATGCTTTTCGTAAGTTGCTTTACTAGCATACTCGATATGAAATGTATTTCGTGGGACCTCACTAACCGCCCACTAGGACCTGTTTGGCCGAGGCTTTAGCGATGCGCCTGACGATATACCTTACGACACAAGGCTGTTCGTCACACAGATATTACTTGTGCTAGCATCTTCACAGCTACCGTGGACTGGTGAAAATGGCTTGAGTGTTATCGGGTACTCCCTTGGTGGTGGTATTGCTGCGAATTTTGCGGCCACTTTCCCTAACATGGTTGGATCTCTGATATTACTCGCTCCCGCTGGACTCATTCGCCCGGAGAACTTCGGACGTATGACCCGTCTTGTATTCACATCAGGCGTGATACCTGAGCGCATTCTTCATGCTCTCACTAAACGACGCTTAAGACAGCCTATCGCATCATCCGTATCTAAGAAGGTTAAAAAGGCCGTCGCTGATGCGTCTTCCAATACTCCCCTTAAGATTGGACAGAAGGGGGATTATGTCGATGTCGCCTTGCAAGAAGCCAAAGATCCCATAGATGAGCCGGCCCAAACGCCCTTTGAGTTGCAAGTTATCAAGTCTGTACAATGGATGGTCGACTGCCACGAGGGATTCGTAACGGCTTTCATGTCGACGATACAATACGCACCATTAATGGACCAGCACGAATATTGGCGACAGTTAGCCAAGCGGAAATCGGGAACAACGGCTGTACTTATCGGGAAGAATGATAGCTTAGTCCAGCCGGATGACTACACTGAAGATGCGCTTCCGCTTCTTGGCGGCAAGGACAACGTATTCTGGCGCGTGGTGTCCGGCTCTCACAACTTTCCTTTCACACACGGACCGGAGGCGTTAGAGCATATCTATGAATTTTGGGACATGAAACGAAACGAATAGACGATAGGAGATACCATTGCATGTACAACTAATATAGATTGTTAGAATTATCTTAATTGCGAAGACGATAATTACAAGCAGAGCGCCATGTGAAAAAAATGATATCATTACAAATTCGATTACAGAGTCATTATCTGAGTACATCTCCCACCATACCCCTTTTCGTCCCTAGAAAAGCATAACGCCTCATTACCCTTCATTATAGGCGTCTTATCGGACTTCATAACGTTTATCGTCTTATTCAGGCATCCATCGCATCTCGTCCGTTCAACAAGATGATACAAGTCGATATAGCGACAGCATCATCTAACTCCTCGCCATTAAGCACCAGAACTGCATCCCTATCGAACCCGAAACCAGCTACTCTTCCAACCTCAACGCGCTTCTGGTTGAGACACTTGTACAGGATACCCACGCGGCCGTGCGTCATATCCCAAAAATACGGAATACTGTTCTTAACGAAAGCCTCGTGCTTCTTATCATCGCTACCGCTACCACCGACAGGGCATATCTCGATAGGGTGGCGGGAATGGTCGCTATTCTTGGGGAAGCGCACGAAAGACGAGTCGAAAGATACGAATGTCATATTCAGATCGCAGACCTTTTCACCCGAGGGTTTCGTCATTGTCTTTAGTGTGCGCATCATGTTCCCTGATGACTTGATCTCGTATAGTGGTTTCCCTTTCCCGTCTACTTGCTTGCGCACCGCTTGCTCGACGCCGTCGAGGAAGGCGTGGTTGAAATCCCCGGAGAAGGGCTGTTGTACTTGGCCTGATATGTCGTAGATTTGTGCGGTGGTTTTGAAGTGCACGCACCCCTTTAGGAAGAATGTACGGGTTGGTTGGAGGACCACGGATTCGTTGATGGGGAAGTCGTCGGGGTGGAAGGGGTGGCCCATGTTCGCGGTTGTTTCGTTTCTTAATTTAAAGGTTTGTTGAATTGGTAATAGAGGGTATCGATGCGATATAATGGTAGAATATAATTCCTACGCTCCTATTGTGTTGTCTCCTTTTCTTGATGTATCACTTCTTAGATGGTTTGAGATAACTTCCCTAATTTGTATTCGTTTTCGAAAAATTAAAAAGTAAACACCAACATTAAATCACCTGAATTCTGTATATACTACAATTTACAATAGATAACTTGAAAAAACCGGCGTCGCCGTGCTTATAAACGGGCTTCCGTGACACCGGGGAATTTTGGGTGGGCTTGCTGCGGACGCGGAATGTGACGTCACGGCCGGCCCCCATTGCCCTGATTTCGCGTTGATGGCTTTGCATGTCCAAGTTTCAAGGCTGGAAATTGTGGCGGCCACTGGCGTCACTTATACTAATACGAACCGTATTGCGCTCGTATAATAGGTCAAAAGATCGAGATCGACCCATCTAGGTGTGTGTTGCTTCTCCCTGGCTTCGTCAAAGTGTGGCAACACATAGGCGTAGTAGGTGTGTAATGTACTACGCGGTCTTGTCATCTGCGCCGGGTAGACCGGGAATCGCGTGAAAGGATTAGACGAATGGAATGAAAGAACTTGGATTTAAACTCAATTGATTCCATCCCTGGATTTTGACGTAAAATCGGAATTTAAAGATTCCCGGGGGTATGGTGTTTGGTAGATGGTCGAATGTTATTTAAAACCATGATCCCCGCCATCTTACGCGCTCATACGTAATGGGCGACTTGACGGGCTTATGAGTGTGTAACTGAACAGAGCTCCCTTAGATATTTAAGAATATTAAATCCACCGAGACGAAACCCATGGGCTTTTTACTTCTCGGTCGTATGCAAATATATAATGAATTATGCTTGAAAGATGTAGGTTAACTTGACTAATGTATTGTTAGATCGTTTAGCACTTATCATGTATCTCCAACCGCTTATCAACGCTATTAAGAGAGTTAAGCGGACGTCCCCGTGGAGCGCCTCGGAGAAGCACCACTTCGATCATGGCCAAGGAAAAATCACGCCAACGAAGCGTCCTCATAATTAAGGAACAATAGAATCCTAGTTTTTGTGAAGTAGAGAAACGTGTATTCTGGAAACTTTTATCCAGCAGATTGATGAGTGGCGCTTCTTTTCTGAGACCGGAGTTTGTCGATGAGTTCTTAAAAAGGCCCCTCAGTTCGTATTCAGAAGATACCGTGCGATTAAAGGGTTTATTAGCTACCTAGGTACCTAATGGACATCACTGAAGATTTCAATCCCTATAAGGCGGATGGCAAGCTGGTTTGTTCTGTTCTCCTATTATAATTTCACCAAGGAGCGCCTATTAATTGACTATACTCTCAGTATGGCTTTGTCTGTGTGGTAACTGGCGCTTCCCAACCTGTTGGCCAAGCTATCATTCAAGAACTGGCAGGTTTGTAAAATTCCGCTTAAGTTCCCAGCACTCTGAAAAGGTGATCTGACAACCACATAGCTCACGGAGCGGCGTGTATATATGGTACATTCACTTTGGACTACAACCCATAGAAGCTGGCTCATGAATAATTAGCGTGCGATAGGACCGCCAGTTCAGGCCTATATCGAGAACTCGTTGACGGAGTTAGCAAAGAGTGTCCAAACTGCAAGGTCATTCCGTATCCTTTTCACGTTGCGAAGGAGGAAGAGACGCTCGTTCTTATAGATGAGGTTCTTAACGCTTTCGGCCGGCTGGATGTCTGGGTCTGCTCCTCTGGTCTTTTAGGTCCGCCCTCGATCGAAGCCACCACCCCTGACGATTTGCAGAAGTGCTTTGAGGTGCATTCATTGGCACCGTTCTTCGCACTGAAATATGCTCCTGCTGCGATGGCCAAACTAACTGAGAAAAAGACCTACCCAAATGCAGCTCTTAAGAGCCAAAAGTACGGCAGTATTATCGTAATTAGTAGTGTCGCATCTGTTCATGGTGGATGCTGGGGGCCGTGCTATACCATGACATCTCACGCCGCTCTTGGGGTAGTGAAAGCAGGCGTGGCAACCCTGAAGGGAACTGGAGTGCGAATTAATTGCGTATGTATCCCCAGAGCCAATTCCTAGAGGTGGCCGATTGGCCTTGCACAGTATTTACAGTGAACTCCAGATATCTCCAGGACAAATCGATATCGGCGTGGACCTTCAAGGCGTAAGTGGCCCGACATTAGACCTGATTACAGAGTGGTGACCTCGAATAGTTTGACATGCGAGGGATGACCTCCCAATTTCCGCCTTCGACCCTTCAGAAGCCAGAGGTAAGTACCCGGTTCAATCATTGGGGGCTTTCGCGTGTTAATAGATGGAATAGACCCAACGAATGACGATCGGACTGGAGAGAGCCGGCAAGCCACAAGAGGTCGCACGAGTGGCGGGCTTCTTAGCGAGCAGTTTTTCGTCCTACATAACGGGTGCAAATCTCATTGTAGATGGAGGCGCATCGTAAGGCAGTTTCAATTCACTCCCCATTATGTATACTGGCTGACTCCGGGCTTATAGTGTAATGAATCCACTGACGATTCCTATTTGAAGGGCGCAGCAGAAGCAAGGAGTGGGTATCATCGGTACCTAGGTATATATAGGTTACAGGTACTTAATACACTCAAATACATACAATCCCCTATTGCTCAGTGACACAGTAAAAGTAAGACATGAACGGCGCCAAAAGCAATAAATGATGTAAGAGGGAGAAATTGGCGTTTCGTCGGTAAGAACGAAACTCCGTTCTTATCGTGAGATGCGAAATCCACTAGGCGTTGATAGTCAGGTACTTATTCTAGATAAGATAATAGCACAACCGAGGCCTATTCCGGCATTGTATAAAAGTATTTATGTAACATTCTTACTAATGGAATGTACATAACTCTAATCTGTACCCAATGATATATTCAATTAGTTGGAGAAAGTAGAAACTCCATCTGGCTTCAACTTTGCTTTTTTTTCTATAGAAGAGAATAAATGCATTATGCCTCCTCAAGTCGAAAGCCTTTCTAGCGCAGATGCAGCTGCGGTTGAATCAACCTGCCGAGAGCATAAGCTAACCAAACAAGAATTCACCGAACTGCATACCCGAGCCGTCGCCGCTAAGTCAGCCGCTTATTGCCCATACAGCCAATTCCGGGTTGGATCGTCTGTCATTTCTGTCGACGGTGTCTATTTCAACGGGGCCAACGTCGAGAATGCTTCGTATCCGGTCGGTACCTGCGCCGAACGTGTGGCTTTAGGTAAAGCTGTGACGGAGGGGCACCGGAAGATCAAGGCTATAGCCGTAGCTACTGATATCACTCCCCCAGCTAGTCCTTGCGGCATGTGTCGTCAATTGTGAGTTTCCACCATCAATCTTTTATTGAGACTTGGTCAACTCATTCAATATTAAATTACCAAAGTATTCGTGAATTCTGCGACCTTAAGGCGCCGATTATCATGTTCGACAAACACGACAACTATATCGCATTACCTATCGGAGAGGTAAGATGGCCAAGCTTATATGATTGGACAGAAACATGAGCTAAATCTCGTAACCAGCTGTTACCTTTGTCCTTTGGACCTGAAGCATTACCTCCGCCTGGTCTTCGCCCTGTTTGAGAGGATGCATCACGGAAACTTTAGTCGATAGGTATGCATGTTTATGCTGGGGTCTGGTGTTTAGTGTGAGTGTTTAGTTGCAGTCTCGATAGATATGTTTCAATAGAGTTTAGCTCGTTGGGACTCGCGTCTCTAAGGATCCTTTCCAATGTTCGAATCAGTTAGTTAGTAAAATACAGGGGATGAGGTAGAGAATTATAAGAGATCCAATAGACAACGTCCTTAGGGTAATTTGTTTATACGTGCGGCTATAGCCAAGTCTTTCTCCGGTCTCCTTAGTGAATTACATCAACTAGAAGGGATCCGCATGCCCCATGTACCTGGATAATTCGTTCTATAATTTTGCATATTGAAGCTTGATATATGAGGAGTCATGTGTGGGTGAATTTGAACATAGTAATCCAGCTAGCGCACATACTGGGTATAGCGCATGTGCTCCTTATTGTAGAATTGAAATGTGAATTCTAATTTTTTTTTTATATAACCTAATACTTTCCACAAGAGCAAAGTCATATAAGGCCACACTGCATGGGTGCCTAAGCAAGTAATTTTCGTATACAAATAAACGCACCTAATGTTGGTTGATGCTATTTCAAATGTTCGCTGGAATGAAATCCGTTCCCCACAAGCTACAATCCCCAGAATCTGGCGCAAAGCTACTTGGGAAATTCTCCACACTAATAAGTTTAGTTAGTCCTAATACGATCTTGCACATCTAAGCGCACCAATCATAAAGCTAGAAAATCGGACCGAGAAAGTGTTAGCTTGCGAATTCTCATTTTCTCCCGCCTCCGCATTTCTTCCTAACTGGCAACATACCCCGTACCTCATAGGACTGTTGTGGAGGCCCGCATCGTCGCATCACCCTCGTGATTGGTAGCTTGGCAGCTACCGTAACATTAGAAGACATGATGTGGAGATCTTCGTGGCCTGGCTGTCTGATGAGACCACGATAGGCTAGGCTTCGTGGTCAAACGTCGAAGGATCTGGGAAAAACTGATGAGGATGTGACGTCGACCCCAACTATCGACCTCACCGTGGGTGAGTTAATGCACCTATAGCAGCCCGTTCTGCCTCCGCTCCCCCATATCGTAAGTCTGGGCCGGTGCCTTCGAGAAGCGACTCATACGGGGTCATGGTCCGACACTTCCTCCCCCTGTATGGCGGGAAATCGCCCGAATGGGTCTAAGATTGTCCATGCTACGCAGTAAGCACGAGATATCTATGATCGCGACCGCTTGGGTGCCATCCGATGCATGCAAGTGAGCTTTATTATATGAAGGGTTCACTCCACCGCAATGGAACCTGTTCTCCGAGCTACTCTGCTAACCTGACTCTGCTTTCCCTTCACGCGTCAATTGGTTTTCCTCATCTGACAACCCTACGAGGAAAGCGATCAAGATGTCGCGGTTTCCAAAGATCAGTATGTTAGTGTTAATCCTCTTCAATACGCGTAATGCTAATCCAAATCACCAGCCAATACCTACTTCATGGCCATTGTGGCCACGGTGGGAGGTATGCTCTTCGGTTTCGATATCTCCTCCATGTCGGCCATCGTCATTACCGATCAGTATATCAACTACTTCAATAACCCATCTGGTCTTACTCAAGGCGCCATTGGTTCTGCTCTTGCTGCTGGTTCTGTTGTTGGTAGTTTGATGGCTGGTCCTATATCCGATAAATGGGGTCGGCGCGACAGGTACTTTTAACAACCCTCGCTTGACTATTGAAGAGCTGATTCTTACGCGTGTGGTCTTTAGTATTATGTTTGCTTGTTTCTGGTGGCTCATCGGTACTGCGGTTCAGGTTTCGACCAACGGTGTTGGTTCCCTAATCGCTGGTCGTGTCTTGAACGGTGTCTGCGTTGGTATCACTTCTTCTCAAGTGCCTGTTTATCTAGCCGAAATTGCCAAACGAGTGAGTGACACTTCTTATGGGGGCTATGGTAATTACTAATAATTTGTAGGAATCTCGCGGTCGCATTATCATCATTCAGCAGCTTGCTATTGAGTGGGGTATCCTGATCATGTACTTCATCGGTTACGGAGTAAGTAACAACCCGATTACGACGAAGAGGCGATTTCTAATACTGTGCTTAAGTGCTCTAAAATCGAGGGTACAGCTTCTTTCCGAACTGCTTGGGGAACACAATTCATCCCCTGTGTTCTGCTCATGATTGGTCTTCCCTTTCTCCCCAGGTCTCCTAGATGGCTTGCCAAGGTCGGTCGCGAGGAAGAAGCAATCCAGACCCTAGCAAATATTCAGGCTGGCGGTAACAAGGATGATCCCCTCGTTATCGCCGAGTGGGAAGAAATATACACAGTCCTAGTCGCAGAACGTGAATCTATTAGGGGCTGGAAGAAGTTCTTCGTCAATGGCATGTGGAAACGAACTTTAGCTGGAATGAGTGTACAGGCTTGGCAAGTGAGTAGCTTCCTATGTACTACGTTTATAAGTTCCGTGGATGCTGACAATCTATAGCAATTGAGCGGTGCCAACGTCATCGTATACTACATCGGATATGTCTTCCTAATGGCCGACCTTCAAGGCGATGTTAATTTGGTTTCTTCTGGTATTCAATACGCACTCTTCATCATGTAGGTTCATTTCTGCTCTCCGAGATACTACAGTGTATACTTACCAATATTAGCTTCACTACCGTTATGTTCTTCTTTATCGATCACACCGGCCGTCGAACGTTACTCGTATTTGGCGCCATCGGAATGGCTGTATGCCATTTTGTCGTCGGTGGTCTCCTGGGAACCTATAGCGTCGATGTTCCGGAAGGCGTCGGCGGAAACCATAATGTTGTCATTAAAGTTACAGGCTCACCTGCTCACGGTGTCATCGCATTCAGCTACCTACTCATCATCGTCTATGCGTTGACTCTTGCCCCAGTAGCTTGGATCTACGCGGCAGAAGTTTGGTCACTTGGAACACGTGCGACGGGAATGTCGCTAGCTGCGGTAGCCAACTGGCTCTTTAACTTCGCCCTGGGGCTTTTCACACCACCCGCCTTCCTTAACATCAAATACAAGGTATTCATTATCTTCGGAGTGCTTTGTGTGGGTGCTGCTATCCAGGCCTGGTTTACTTACCCTGAGACTTGCGGCAAGACCATTGAGGAAATCGAACTTCTGTTCGCCAAGGGTGCGCCAGCTGCATGGAAGACTAAGAAGGGTGGTTCCCGCCTTGAAGCCGAAATCCAGGCCGTACTGAACCGTAAGGAGCGAGGCGAAGATGTTCACGCGGAAGTCCACCCGGAACTCGAGAAGCCAGAAGTCAGCGAAGTAGCGAAGGAGACGGCGTAGGGTATTGTTTAGCGGTTGCGGAAATCTTTTTATAGTCTTCGACAAATACTAATTGGCTAGGAATAGTTCTAAGATATTCCCTCATTTCGCAGTCAAGATTGCAGGAAATGGACAAAATTCTAGCTTTAATATACCACACAAGACAGACACATATGAGCTGCAATATTGACCTTGCTACGTTCCCGGATTTGTTGAAGAATGTTTGCATAGGAGTAACACAAGATCATCATTTACTGGTATACTGGTATTCTTACAATGTCTTACGTCAAATGCACTCACATGGATCTAGACTGGACTACATTAGGCTCAGGTACCAGTTTCATACAGATAGAGTTTATCAATCGTTGAAGTTTATCATTCCTAGAGCTATCTAGGTTCTACGCTACCCTGAACTTTCCTTCCCCTAGGAAACCTATACCCATATTCCTTGCGTGTATTTACCGAATAGGAACTGCCCTGCCCCACACCTTGCATCGGTTCCCCTTGCCTAATTCCAACACTGCAGATGCACTAATGCGATTCGAGACTTATGCGCCGCGCACGGTCAGGTACACCCTTAGCACGCTTCTCTCCCTATCTTCACTTTTTTTTTTTCCAACTCAATCGTCGAACCACATTGTCAATTGCACTACGCCGATCACCTTCTCGTAGCATAATTTGTAACTATTGTGTATGCCATCGCATGCTATACTTTCAGTTATGCATTTATAGTGTTTTGGAGGTTGTTTACCCCTTCAGCAGCCACGTCGCGCCGGTTCACGTCAATTCTGCCTCGGCGATTGACCGTCCCCCGCCATCTGAGTCGCAAACCCTTACGATTGCCATCCACCTACCGCGACCATGGACCAAGCAGACATACCGGCGTTGCTGTCGCGGCTCGCGAGCGACGAGGATGCCGCCCGAAAAATGGCAGTTTTCAAGCTACAATCCTCCATAAACGACCCTTCTTTTGCCGACGTTTTTATTTCTTCAGGCGGTCTAATCGTTTTACGACGCCTAATAATGAGCACTGGCGGTAATACGCTAGCTTACTCGTTGCAAAGTTTAAGTCGACTTCTTGAAGTGGATATGGGATGGGATATTTTCGAGGGTCCAACGGCGGGAGATTTAGTCGAGCGCGTCGTCGAACTTATTGTCACAAATCCTCTCGTCAACATTCTTCGTGGTGCTATGTCTATCCTCGTTGCACTAGTCAGCCACTCGCAGTCCACAACAACCGGGGGTCATATACCCATAACGTTCGGGTTTCGCGCGTTAAAGCCAGCTGTGGCCGTTTATCCGCAATTCTTTGATCTCGTCATTCAACAGCTACAATCAGCAGATCATGCCCTATGCGCTAACGCTTTGATGCTCATCAATGCTTTGATAAGGGATGCTGTCTCAGGCGATCCTAGCGAAACTGGCAAGATAGCCGGTACCGGAGAGGAATGGCCTAAATTCATAAGGAGGTTGCAAGATCTAGGCCTAATCAAGGCGGTATACAATTTAATGCAGAGCTCGGCATTGCAAGATCTTGCACATCCACTTTTGGAGTTCCAGTCCCTTACTAAGGTGCTGCTCCAAAAATGGCGGCAAGTTCAAGTTGATGTTGAACGACCGGAACACCGTAGAGCACTCAAAGGACTCCATCTCGCGAGCGCACCGAATAGGGATCATGTCAACGGAGTAGGGAAGGTCGAAGAACTCCAAGAATCCGGGAAGAAGGGTAGTAGACGACACAACCCCGAGAAATGGAGGAGGCTGGGCTTTGAGACTGAGAGTCCGGCATCAGAATTCGAGAACACGGGTTTCCTAGGCTTGATGGATCTTGCGGATTACGTACGAAAGAACGAGGATGGATTCCAGAAGTTGCTCCTAGAACAATCTACCAAGCCACTCCACGAACGCTGTCCTATTGCTAGATCTAGTTTGGCTGTAACACTAATCCTTTACGAACACTTCGATTGCGACAAGTCCGAAATGGAAGATCTTAGGGGGTACCAGTTATCGGATGGAAAGCAGCAAGACAAATTGTTCAGACCATTACTTCTTCAATGGTCCAGAGTGCATACAGCCGGTCTCAACGCATTTTTCAAGTTGTGGAAGAGTACAGGCGCAGATCAGGATGACTTCGAGAAGGTAGTGGTGTTGGTCCGAATACTTGTCGATCAGGTTATAGGTCAAGCAAGCCGAACGAAAGACGTCCTAGAGGTTGAGGAAGATCTAGTCGAATACGATTTTGGACGGTTGCGCGCGTTGCAAATGGAACTCCTAGAGCTCTCATTTGATGACCAATGGGGTCAGCATCTATACAAGGTGCGAGAGAGTCTGAACCAGGAAGCTCTCACATTCATCAAGGAACAACGAGTCAGGTGTTTGCTACAAGGCTCTTGGTTTGGTAAGCCGGCTGCGCGAAAGGACAGCGTGGGAAACAGCTTTCAAAATCGCCGCGCAGCGAATGGCACACTTTGGAGATATGCCAAACTATCACATAATCGTCGATATTTACATTACGCTGACTTCGCATTACGAACTGGGTCGGAACCGAGCTTAGATTCGCTTAGTGAGAAGGTGGACTTACGACAAGTTAGCTCCGTTGCTTCTAATGTGTCGGCTTCATCTAATGAGGGTGGAGGCGAGACAAGCAACAGCACGAAAATTACGATTTTCGGCTACGTTAATCCTGATGAAGTTCATCAAGTAAAGGACATAAGCCAGCTTAAGGAAGAGCCCTTGCTCACTTTACACCCCTTAAATCATAGCCTGGCTTCGGAATGGCTCGACGGATTGTTGATGTTGCTTGGCCAAGCCCCGATAACAGCGGAGACTAATAAGCTCATCAAGCTGGTTCAAGACTACGGCATAAAGATCAGGTTACTCAACGTCCGGATGGAGGCTACTTATGCGGGGCCTCCAGAAGGTGCTGGTGTAGTACCCAGTAGAGAAGGGCTTAATGATGATTACTGGTACGAGATCTGATATGGCTCCTTCGCGAACGAGCATAAACATACTGGCTACGATTTTTGGCGCCACCCTTGCTACGGCATGTACGAATACCATGCCATCCATACGAATCTACGATTTAGAACAGAAAGGTGGCGTTATCGCATCAATTTCCTAGTTGATCGGCATTCAGAGACGCGTCCGCAAGGAAAAGCGATAGTAATTCGTTTTTATCTGCGAATACCACATTTTATTTTTTGACGCATAGAGGATATACCCCCAACTGAATTGAGACTTGATGTTGTAAAGAGTTGATTTCCGAGTTGCTATACCGATTTGTGACTGATTGAACGTCCTGCCACGCTGAAGTACCTATGTATATTTTGCTTTTTGAGTGAAAATTTTTCATCTGAGTCAGCGTTGAAGAATTAATATCGTGTCACCTACTTCATTGGATAGTATGCTTTTATCATCGACCCTGCGAGGTGATGCATATAGTCTTGCCAGGATTGGTATGTTATAGCTTTGGTACGGGTATTCCCGTGTCCCCACGTGTCCTAAGCTAAAAGATAGGAGGCAGGTACCTAGACATGTACCACTACAAACGGTTGCTACGACATCAATGAACCTTTTCTGTACTTTCTAGATCCAACTAAGAGTGTGATTGCCATTGCTCTAAAGCCAATTGATTATTTTATTAAGCCCAGTGCCTAACAACACGTTGGTGGAATAGCTAGGTACCTAGGTACTTAAATTAAACCCAACCTCTTATTTTAAGCAAGATCCAGGCTAGCCCCCGCGGTGGCGTCACTTATTACCCTCAAATCCGACACGACCTCGGGGTTAGTTACCTACCGTTACAACAAACATTACAACAACTTTAAGTTCCTAAGTAGTAGATCCCTAGTCCTTGAGTCATATGGGCTATGGGTATAACTACTTAGGTATTTCTCAAGAAAAGATCATACTACAAACAATCTCATTCAAGTATCAACATGCGGCCTTACGGCGTTCCCAATACGCCATCATCAAGCAAGGTTCCACTCAACGGCGTCTTTAGAAACGGTGTTTGGCAATGTAAGTGATGACCTAAAGCTATAGATCATTTGGATCTATAATTAACATTTATTTCTGCTTAGGCAATTGCATTCCTCGCCTCCCCGCGGTTCAATTTACAGTTAGGAAAAATACACCTAACAAGGGTCGAGTTTTCTACATCTGCCAGAAGGATCGCGACAAGAAAAATAAATGCGATTTCTTTCTATGGTCCGAAGACGCTCATGAGCGCGAGATGGGCGCCGTTTTATCTAATATGCGCAGCGAGGCAGAGGAATCCCCGAGTCACAGAGCCAAGAGGCAGAGAACCCTTCATGAGAGTATAACCCCGGCCACTGAGAAGAGAACCGAGAAGACGCCTGTTACTAGCCTGGCTCAATTGGATCGCATGCTTAACCCCGAGACACCCTCTACTTCCACCCGGAGCTCGACCATGAAGGCTAACACCAGTTCCGTTAAGGAACCTATCACCGACCCCTTCAAGGATGATGAAGATGAACTGATCAGCGTGCTGGATGCTGCGTCGCAACAGAATACGCCATCGGCGTCAGCGGGATCGAAGAGGAAGCGATCGGATGTCGAGGAATTCAGCGACTTCTCATCCGGCGAAGAGGAAGAACTTATCACCATCGCCAACAAATCCGCCGCGAAGAGCGAACCTCAGAACAAGCGTCGCAACGCATTCGAGACCCCCGCAATGGGAATGGGTCGTACCTACGCAGTCGACGATGGCATGGCGACGCCCCTTACCGAGAAACCCGTTCGCCGTGTACTTTTCGCAGATCCTGAGAACAATGCCAACGTCAAGCGAGAGCCTCGCACTGGTGATAGTTTCACATCGATTCCCGCGTCGTCTCTTGCTGCGCAATCTACACCTACTTCCTCCTCGCAGATCTCGACACCGTCGTCTTCGCAGCAGTCTTCCGGTGTAACTATTACCCAGGAAGTGATGTCCCTTCTTGAGGGGCAGATACTTGATGCGCAGGTCTTGCGTACTGTTCGTGGTGTGCTGGATAAGCACGCTGCGCGCGCTCGAGATTTGGAGAGGGGACGCGATGCCTCGCGTGAGGCGGTCAAGAAGGCTGAGGCTCATGTTGCGACGCTACAGGAGCGTGTTGCGGGTTTGGAGAATAGTCGGAGGTTGGATGCTGAGGCTCGGCAGAAGACCAGGAGTGAGATTATGAAGTTGTATCGTGAGAGTTAGGGGTGTTGAGGAAGGGGTTAGTTGTGTTGTCGGTGGCGTATACACATAGAGAAAAGGAGAGTGGCAGAGAAATGTCTTGGTCGCTGGCCATAATACGATACGCGCCTAGGACCTTGTTTTTTGCGGAGTTTGATGAACCTTCATGAAAGACTGGCTCGACTGGTCATGAGATTACGAGGATACCCTTTCGGTTTTGATTTTAGGCAGAGCTCGGGAAATAGGTCGGCGGCATAGTCTGAATTAGGTTACGAGGCGTTGGCAATACATAGGTTATGCACTCTGTTTGGAGTTGTCACAATGTAATAAGGGACTTCATGTAACTATGTCTATTTGGACGTTCGTGTCTTAGTGCCTTCAACAGGGTGACTAGTTCTATAATAAACCCTCGTATCGTATATCCAAGACATGGAGAACCATCGTGTCATTGTTCTATATTGCGATTCTATCTGACTGATTAAATTGCGGGGACTATTGATACCTCAATGAATGAATATAGGGATCTAGTCAAACGGTATGCGGCGTAGTGACTCGCCAGCTCCATTCTTCCTTGCTGCCTGTGCGGCTGCGATCGCGCTAGGCACCTTAATACCACAGCAATCGCCCCAGCTGTTGAGATTATGTACGTGCTTTACACCGTCGTGCTCAACAACCACAGCTCCCCCTTCAGCCTCATTCTCTTCATTTATCACACCTGCTTCGGACTCGGTGCTCATACCTTCTACAGCGGGTACTAATGAGCCGAAGAGAAAATGTTGCATTACCGGCAATTTCCGTAGTACCTCCGCCACGAACATCCTTCGCATACCACCTTCGATTTTGCCCCAGCTTTTCGCCGAGGAAATATCATCCAGCATGGGACTATGCCAGCGCAAACCCTTAACCGTCTTCGTACTATTGACGAAACTCACCTGGCCAAGGTACATGAAATCGTGGCCAAATTCCTCGAGCGTCAACTCCTGGTGTATTGCTAATGGTGTGATAAAGGGGTGGTGAAGAAGTTGGCTAGCACCGAAGAGGAAGGGGAGGAATTGGTAATCATCCAAACCCCAGACACCATGTGACCCAGCAGGTTCTAGATAATACGTCGATTGGATCGTTCGCATGAGTTCTAGATATCGAATAAAAACCTTCAGAACCAAGGCCTTGAAATCGGCTCTCTTCACAATTTGGAGTTGGTACAAGCAGAGTAGCCATATTATGAAGTTCAGCTCATGGCCCGAACCGTAGTCTATGCGGGTCCGGTTGCCGAAGGAATGGTTAAGGTAGGTTTCTACCTCTGAGATGGCTTCTGGTGAAGTGAGACCGAGCTTTTGGTGCCATGAGGGACTGGCGGCTTTGGCTTTGTCGAGGAAGGTGCGGAAGACCTTGTTTCCAAACCGAGATCCTTCTGCATCGTCTGGGGGAGTAGCTAAGACCAAAGCTTCCGCCTCATCGAGAATACTGATTATGGATTTGACGATAGGACTGCAGTCATCGTCTTTGACTGCTAAGATTGGGGTGTCTATGATGGCATCTGAGAGGCCGAAGACAAAGGCGACGATGAGGTTGTAGGTAGGTGATGAGAGAAATAGTTCATGGTCGTGAGTAGACAAGATCCGTCGTGTGGGGTCCTGGAATGAGTGTGATGAGGTGTCTGGTGGTGGTGGTAGGCTGGGTGTTTCTGGTAATGGAAGGGGATTTGAGGGCGGAGGCCGCCGACGGCGCGGCTCCAATTTAGGTAGCTTGTCCTTTAAATTCGGAATCGTCGTAGGTGGTGGAGAATGTTGTGTAGCCATTTCGTCTGTTTCAGAATGCAGAATGATGGTTTAATAATGGTTTCGTATAATTAGAAAAGTTATCATGAGATGTAGGTGGTCAGAATGGTTTGATTATGAAGTAGATGTAAAGTATATGATGAGTAAGTGCCCCTCGCGAGATAGTATTCTAATGAATTATTCATTTAATGAATCGATGCATTAATCATGGGTTATGGCGGGGTTACACTTGTACTACCTACAAGTACCCTGTAAGCCTTGAAAGTTTTGTACTACATTTATCTAAAGTTGCTGCTAAGGCCGCGCTACTGGATTGAGAAAAGTTCGTCATCTCACCTTTCTGATTTCCACAACATATCTACGTGCAATCACTTCTAGAACAAACCACCACAATCTTGGCATGAAGATGACGATCAATACTGGGCCAGAAGCTTTGTTGTCTCATTTGCAGAATGCTGACGGCTCTGCGACATTCTCTTACGCAGGCTATACCGTGGTCGGAGCTGTAAATGGGCCCATCGAGGTGCAGAGACGAGACGAGCTCCCCGAAGAGGCGGTTGTCGATGTGATCGTACGACCAGCTGCAGGGGTTGGAGGTTGGACTCCCTTCAAAACCAGTTGCACCTCATATAAACATTGCTAAACGCTGTTATTTTTGTAGGCACCCGAGAGAGGCACTTGGAATCATTGATTCAATCGACTTTACGCCAAATTATTCTCATCAATAACTTCCCGAGGACCCTCATCCAGGTCATCCTACAAGTGACCACCGCTCCGGAGAACGAATATGTAAATGCCAAAACTGTCCAAGCCAGCTCGGTAAGTCGCACATCTATATGATTTCGACCACAAGATACGTAGTTTGCTAATTAAATATATAATACTCTAGAATTTGCCTCTTCTACCCGCTCTGCTTCAGACAGCAGTACTGTCCCTCCTTTCCGCTGCCCTTCCTCTAACGACGACGTTGACTTCGACTTCCTTGGCTATTATCGCGGATGGTCAATCGAATAAGATCGTCCTAAATCCTTCGCCGCGAGAAGTCGAAACCTCACAATCCTTCCACGTCTTCTCGTTTACCTCACACGATGAACCCATCCTCGTGGAGAGTGAAGGAAGCTTCACAATGAAAGAGTGGGACGATGCATTTGCTGCTGCCCAACGTCAATGTTGCCAATCGACCATCATTAATGATGGTGACACTCGCATGGACGACAGTAACTCTGCGGATGCAAATCTGAAGCAGTTCACACGATCTACGCTGGAAGGAAAAATTGCTTCGGACTTGCACTGGAAGTGAAAAAAAACGTTGCTGTCAGCCTCAGACCCTTATACGACGATCAACACGTGCCACGGGGAGTGTTCTAGAAGAATGACTGGCTAGAACCTTCAACTGTGGAAGCGCCAGACCGCTGGTCTGGAATATGGCATAATCACAGGGAATATGCTAGGCTGACTCTCCCCAGACGTGTTTGATACTCCCGAACGGATGTATTGCCTCTAAGAAGATATTCGAGATCTTCTACCAGGTATGGTGGATCAACTGGTTAAGGCAATATGGTCTGTTGTTTACGAACGTAGTTGACGGACGGAAAAGCGGCATCATTCCTAGCAAGCCAATGATCAGGTACGCTTTTTCAACACATCGCTAACACTTGCCAAGAGTTTGATGATGATGGATAAGCGGGGATTATTGACATGATTATCGCAGTGCTATGTTCGAGAGCCTCACTGAAAAGATCGAAGATTGCGTTTCATCTCAAATGCTCAGCTTATCAAGTATTGAGATGGAAGTAGGTGGTGCCTACCGATAATCATCACGCATATAATTAGTCCATAGCCAAATCCTGTCAGATAGGACTGCCACGATGCACCAAAAAGGACCGGTTGACAACCTTCCCTTTCGAAATACGAAATATTTCTATTCGATAAGGGCTACATTTGGTAGACCGGCGGCTAGTCGTCGTTTCTGGATGTGTGATCTCCGCAGGGTAGAACGTTTTGCTCAACAGTGTTCCAGACGCAGGATTCGTCCTTAAGTGAGGGTCTAAAACATTTCGGCATTATGCAAATATGCTCGCAGGACAACAAGGAGGCTCAATAGCTCCAATTGATTTCCCACCGATTGATGGTAGCCCGTAGCTATCTAGCAACGAGCATTATCTACAAGGCCTGCGTTAAGAGCTAGGAATATGAGACAAGTCTAGGCCCCTTACGCAGCGCTCGCTTACCACATACCCTTGTTTGAGGGTTACAACGTGAGACCTGGCGCGAAAACGCTTTACAGCATTTGTTAAGGAAAAACAGGAGAAGTGTTAGTGGCAGTGGGTCAAACGCCCGCCACGTACAATCCTTCGCTATCGATTTCGAGATCTTATTTTCGAGATGCAAGAAAAAAAAAATAAGAGGAAAAATAAAGTGGTGTGCGGAGTTGGCGATGGCAACCCTCGCCCTCGGAGTTTACTGCCCGACATGGCATACGAAGGCACATTGGCACATTCCCTCCGCAAGCCTCTTACACGTATTACCTCCTATTCTTCAGGCCAGGAAGTACTTACGTACTTAGAAACCCCACATCCTTTCAAGGACCCCTTACCCCGTCCCACTCGGCTGCGACTCCACTGTCCATGCACAAGAGGTACCTACCGAGCTCGTTAGAGCACCCGCTGAAGCATTCCCCACAGGTGGTCCTCCATCTCTTATCGCCAACTGAACGGTTCAACTTAATAAAGTGAGCTGGGAACGAAGAAATCTCGAGCTTCTCGTCTAGCTGGTTCTTCAGTCACCTAGACCCAAGCCTTTCTCTTCTCCAAGCTGTTTGTGCCAACAGTTAGCAGAGCTCTGGAAGTTCTTGCAGCTAACCCTCTGTCTCTGCATTTTGTAAATACCTGTTGGCCTGGCTGCTTTCTTTATCTACTCATCACTTTCGTTTCTTATTCATATGCTCTCTTATATTCCACCGTATATACTTTCTTGAAGAGTTGATCTCGAAGCTTCCTTTACTTTTATTTTTTAATAGGCTTGTCCACATAAAAAACATCGAAATTTCATTCTCATCTGTCTCGACTTTTACGCCCTTAATACACCGGTTCAGGCCCACATCCGACAGGTTCCTCCAATTCGACGCCCGATTTCAGATTCGGTGTACTAGTTTATTAATAAAAAGCCACGCGGTCACTCAGAAGCGTGTCTGGATCTGCAAATCGAGCGGGATCTCGCATCGTTCGGGTTTTACGTCGGACACAACACAAGACATTTGCATCACAATTGGCCCGAAAACGAAGCCAAATTCGATCTAGTTGGAGCCTGCCGCCATTGTGACAGGATTGTTAATCACGTTCCGTGGGTCGATAGCACGGAATTAGTGTTGCGCTTGGAGAAGTATTGTGTAAGTTTCCATGTTCATGATTTGCCGAAGAAAGATTGTGCTTGTGATATCACGGCATGGGGTGTCTGCCAAGTGTGACCGATATTCCGTGCTAGGAGGGACTAGAAGCTGGCAGTTGCTTTTGCTCACCTATGCTTCTTCTCCCTCGACGAAGATGTGCTTCGGCTGGCTTACATAAAAGATGCAATGCAAGAAGTTTGGCTAACGCAAGGGTCGTTCTAGGACTCGGATCGACTCGTCATACAATACAAAGTCGAAACAAATCGAAGACGGGCGTAAGAAATCCTGAAGCCACCGGTGTTGTTTGTCCTGCAGGAATCGGAAATAGGAACACCTACGGCCTTTGTTTCTATCTTCGGCATCGGTCCCATCGATTAACCCGTTTCGACAGTGCCTACCACGGTTACATACAGTCACCAACGTTAACCGGATTCAGCGGGCTATTAGTGGAGAAATGTCTAATTTAGGGTTAATCAGCTCTCCCATTAGCCCTGGCATGGGGGTACACCCTGCACTCAGTGCTCACAGTGCCCAAGAGGATACTAGCGGTACTAGCGGAGCTGTCGGAGTCGCTCTTAGTCCCGACACTACTAATCATTCCTCCTCTATCACTGTTGATAAACCCTTGCCGTCCAACTCTCCCACAAACTCTACCACGCCGCACAACTCACAAGAGTCTTCATGCAATGCTGACAACGACGATACACAATCAGAGCTTTCTGCTCTACCCTTAAAAACTACCGACGCCATCTCCAAGGCTCAATCGCGTTCCCATCGCAAAAACGCACCCTCTGTCGAGGCCGTCCCGCGCCAGACTATTATGAAAGCATTGGCCTCCGTCGCACGAAACAATAAGCCCGAAGCATTGTCCTTGAACGGAATGTTGTCCGCACATTCAACGGCCGATAAGCGGCTAGCCAATTCCTCTTCATCTCAACAACTTTCCGATGCCTTTACCGATGCCCTTTCCGGACTTACCGCCAAGAATATGACACCGACTACCGCATTTCCTTCCCTCCAGTCGCCGTGCTTTTGGCACAACCGATTCGATGACGCAGTCGATATAGATAAGGTCCTTGAAGAGATAAAGAACGATGAGTATATGTCGCACTCGAGACTCGTACAGACAGCTACTGGCGTCCGTGAAGTCTCGAAACAGCTGCAACGGAGACCCATCCGTCGCGCCGTGCGCAACGTTATGATCGTTACCAAGGCTCGCGACAATGAATTAGTCTACCTCACTCGGGAATTGACTATGTGGCTGCTCAGAACTCCGCGCTACGGATCGGATATAGGCGTTAACGTTTACGTCGATGCCAAGCTGCGCAATTCGAAGCGCTTCGGTGCTTCTAGCATTATTGACGAGGACACTCGATACGAGGGTATGCTCAAATATTGGTCTCCAGATCTCTGCTGGAGCCAACCTGAAAAATTCGATCTTGTCCTGACTCTTGGTGGCGATGGTACCGTATTGTTTACTTCCTGGCTCTTCCAAAGGGTTGTTCCCCCGGTTCTATCTTTCAGTTTAGGAAGCCTTGGTTTCTTAACAAGTTTCGAGTTTGAGAAGTATAAACAACATCTTAATAAGATAATGGGCGATGAGGGTATGCGTGTCAATCTTCGCATGCGCTTCACTTGTACTGTTTTCCGTAATGGCGCATCCGGCCAAGAGATGGAGGAAGGAGAGCAATTTGAAGTTCTCAACGAATTGGTTATTGACCGAGGCCCGTCGCCTTATGTTTCTAACCTCGAACTGTACGGTGACAACGAGCTTCTGACAGTCGTTCAAGCAGACGGTTGCATCTTTTCTACACCAACTGGATCGACGGCGTACTCTCTGTCTGCCGGCGGTTCTTTGGTTAGTCCTGATCTTCCCGCCATCCTCCTTACTCCGATTTGCCCGCACACTTTGTCATTCCGACCGATGGTTCTTAGCGACACGATGCTTCTTCGTGTTTCTATTCCCCGCAATTCGCGTGCCACGGCTTACTGCGCCTTCGACGGAAAAGGCCGATTAGAGTTGAAGCAAGGCGACTGTGTGACAATCACGGCCTCTCAATACCCACTTCCTACCGTGATGCGCACGGGTACCGAATGGTTCGACAGTGTTTCGCGCACACTTCAGTGGAACACACGGGCCGCGACTCAGAAGGGCTTCGAGAGCAAGATAACGGGCAACTCGGGCTCTGTTAACGGAGATGATGAACCGGAATGGGATATAGATACCGACTCAGCGTGCTATGCGAGCGAAGACGGTAGCATTAGCGCGAGTCCTTTACGAAGACAAATGAGCCTCTTAGGCATGTAGAGCATAGAGCTAGACTACATATTAGAGGTAGATGGCGTATTGTCTTTTTACGCTTATGTTTTTCCCGCTATGCATATAGGACAATAGGGCGATGTCGACGACACACCCGCAGGAGTTTACTGGCGCTCAATTTTATGGGGTTTTACGGATACGACAATGACCAGGGCTTTTCACTACGTGATTAGCATATCGGATTTGATTTGGGTACTCAACGACAAGTCTTTAGATCATGAACCCCGTCTTAACATCGCCAGTCACAATGATGGCGTTTAGATAGATAGACCCCTATGAATGAAATTCATCTGAGGCCTACATTTGGATTATTGTTCATGTGATGTTGGTTGGTGAATGACTACGATTTGGCCAAGTGGATATTAGAAATGACGATCCGACAAGGCCGCATTTAATGGAGCGGTGTGAATATTTACGATTAAATTGTTGCTGTCGCTAATGACCATGTTCATAAGGCGGATGAGTATCCTCGACTCGATTACTTCTACCATGACACCCGATGATTTCGTAGAAAGGACGTGTCTTGGGTGGGTGTTGCACGACTATCACGATCACTAGCTCTGGATGCTACTGGATGACATCGTGCTGGTTGGAACGGAACCTGCGCCCGGAAAATGGAAACGGGTAAGGTTGTTCAAGACAGCAGAATGTGCGTCGTCTGGTCCGGGATGCCGAAGCACGGATGCTATTAGGAAGTATGTGCGTTGGAGAAATCGGGGATGAAGGCGATGACGACGAGGGGAGAACAGCTACCGGGCCTTTTACTGGTCTGAGGGTATCGAATGGATAAGGTTAATTTTTGAAGGGTCTATAAATAAACTTATCATTTATCATACGGCGTGGAATTGAAAATATCAATTAGGTTTGTAGATTAGCTTCTGACATGGAATCTCTCTATGATCTATACAGCTACCTGTTTTGTTACTTCCCTTTCCGAATCATTGTTTACATACCTAGTTAGCTAAGTACACATGGAAATCTCCTGAGAATATCTCGAAGTAATTGCTCATTTAAGCTACAATGTTATTAAATTGTTTAGCTTGTCTTACCAGCTATGTTCTAAATTTGTATTTTGAAAAGATATTAATGGATTCCTCCTTCCATGTGGTTGATTAGAATTCTTGGTTTGCTTCGAATTTAGTCCTCTCTTGTAGGTACTTAACATGCGTGTGCGAGTCGGTAAAGTTTTCAATGGTGACCCGCCTACATGTACATATGTAGGTAATCTAAATAAAAAATTAAACTTCCCCTTATGTACTCTACGCCGTAGACGCAGATACATAATAATTTATTACATGTACAACGTCGACTTATTACTTTTGAAATAAATATACCTAGGTAATGATATTATCGGTGTCAATAATTCACCTTTGCAGGAGGCTGGGTATTAGTGCTTGGCGTGTTCTCTAATTTATCTATTTTTACTAGCGCATTCCATTTAAACTCGTAGTGTTTTGGTGACAATCAAAAGAATTTCGAGTGGTCTACCTGGAGATGTACACGCCTCAAGTAAATAAGTTACCCTTTTTGGCAGACCTCTGACGCGACCGAAGAGGTGATTGGTCAATCGTTAGATGGCCCGAGCTTCTGCATTGGATTTCAAGACGCGGTCCTGATTACACGCCAAAGGACCCACTATGATCTATTACTCCAACACCAGCCCAGCTCTTTCTCTTTTCTCTCTACTTCTGCCCAGTTAAGTACTTGAATTTCCAATTCTCTCTCAATAATTCTATTCTCGACGTCACAACGAGAATTTCAATTACTATCGTACATTAGAAAGGGACTTGTCTTTCGTTTTTTCTAACCTCCTGTCCCAAGCTAACTGCGTACGTCGGTATATAATGCATTGTTAGAATACCCGCTACTTTATCATATACACCCCAGCGCGTCTTCACCTCCCACCATGGCGTCCACCCACGAAATCAACGAAAATCGAAGATCGATCAGCTCTCAATGTAGCAACCCAGACTCTTCTACTATGTCCTTCGAGTCTTCCTTCCGACTAGAATCCGGTTATCCTGGTCATGACTCCAATTCAGAGAAACACCCTAAGGGCAAGCGGAAGAGAACCACGTGTGTACCTTTAAGCCAATTACCTTGCTATATTCTACCATTGCCATTCTAAACTGACTGGGATATCCGTTATGAATAGTACACAAGATAAAGCCATCCTAGAAGCTGCGTACAACTCGAACCCGAAACCCGACAAAGCAGCGCGTCTCGATATTGTGAGTCGCGTCTCGCTTAATGAAAAGGAAGTTCAGGTAAGTCCGGCTTGTGTAACACGAGAAACGCGAGAGAGACCCCATTGGAGGTCGCGTCTTGGATAATATGGTCTAACTCTACCCGTAGATATGGTTCCAAAACCGTCGCCAGAATGACCGCCGAAAATCGCGACCACTTTCGCCCCAAGAGATCGCTGCTCTTAGATATGGTGGCGGGGTGCAGATCCTCTCTTCCGACTCTATCCCCGCGCCTATTGCTGCGTCAAGCATGGTTGGGCAACCGGAAGATGTTCGTATAGAGGCCGAGAGAGTTTTTGACATGGAAATCCCTCCCAACTCCCAGGATGTCGTATCTCAGCACTCCGTGCAATCTTCTCCGAAACTATGCGGCGTAGACCTTCCCCCGGCAGGCATGTTATCGAGACGAGAGTCTGGGGACTTCGAGAGGGGCACACCATCGCCGTCGAGAAATCCCGAGCCCGAGGGCCACTCGATTCTCCAGAATTCGTCGGCTTCAGCCACCCATTTGTCAAACCGACGGAGTTTTGATAACTCCTTCTCCACCCCCTCCTCTCTCGGACGAGCAGGGGATGATTCGTTTAAGTGCGTCTCTTCTTCTTACCCCCCACCTCAACTTGCATGCTAATATACATCTTAGATTCGAATCATTTTCGTCCTCGTTTAACTCCGCTGCCAGCAGTTCGCCGGCTTCGGTACTCCCACCGCCCTCGTCCTCGTCTTCTCAGGTTCGCCTGTCCTTATCCTTAGACGGAAAGGCTGAACTAGTTTCCGCCCAGCCATCACCACCGCGTCCCGCTCAGCTTCCTCTACCGACCGAGGCTGATACATTACCTCCAGTTCGCACCAATCGGACTCTTCACCGGAGTCGAAGTGCTCTTCCTGGTATCACACTACCGCCCATCTCGACCCTCACTGCCCACCTTCCGCCGCAACTCACTCGAGGTCGATCACGGGATGTTCAGGCTTGGGAAGCTTGCTGTGAGGCTGGTGGGCGAGATGAGCTAACAAAGCAGGCCGAGAATGAATCCTCCGGGTCTGCAGTTGCGGCCATTAGCCTTCTCCGATCTAGCAGCAGCTCCGCTAGTCTTAGTAACCTGATCCACAGCCACAGCACAAACGTTCTGCAATCCAACCCGAACAAGCGTAACGCACCGCAGAACAAGCCCTCTCACCGAGAAGGGGCCACTAAGAAGGCCAAGCTTAGTCGGGCGACTAGCAGTGTGGCGCGTATGCAGACCTTGCCTCCCTCATCGTTAGACACCCGGCCGGAAGTTCTCGATCCGGAGAAGAAGCCGGGAAAGGGAAGTCTTTCTGTTATCCTAAGCCCATCCGGTGATTCGGATAAGGAGAACTGGAGCCCCGATGAAGACGGCAACCCCCATAATCACCCTCGACGACCGCCGCCCCCTCAAAAGTCTCAAGCACCGGCTCCCGCAGGTGAAAACCCGCGTCGAGTTGGACGTGTTCTTGGTGAGCGAGATGTCGCGGCGAAGCGTTCGTTGCTTTTCGGAAGCAGAGCGAATACTGCGCTATCATCGAAAGCTCGAGAGGCACCTATGATGATATTCGAGGATAAGGAAGGTGGTAAAGGCCAAGAAGGCTCGAAGAAGGATGGGGAGGTTGATACCTTCATGCGAGGCGAGGTCAGTCCTAGCAAACGCGGCGATATGGATTGTGTTGCTGGATTACTTTCGTTGAGCCAGGGAAACTGGCGTTGAATAAGTAGCTATACGCTATTAGAATCTTCGTGTTCGGAGAGATTTGAACTCTAGCACTAAGGCTGGATTATATGGTATGGAATGTCACTATCCAAGTGATGCTTCAGCCTATGGGATTTTAAGTTGGCGTTCTGGGTGACGGGAAAAAATCGGATCGGTTGGAGATGGAGGCTGGAAAAGTGGTGTGTTGTTGATGCTATATACCTGGTCTCGCGAGTTGGCAAATGATGTGATGTGTTCATACTTTTTACCCTTCTTCCCTTTGCGGTGTAACTCGGGTTTCCCCGCGTATAGGACATCGGAGGCTTGGTGGACTTGTCGATGACTAGGGCGGAGTTGTTGGCTATGTGTGTGTATTGTGTGTTATATCAGGGACTACGCGATGAGGTCAAATCCCTTAAGATAAATTCATGGGCTATTTGGGTGAACGTGGTCGTTAAGAGGCCGCGAGGAGCTAATAGTAAATCAACCCATCTGTGCCCAAATCTGTGTCGGTTTGTGATTATCCAAGTACAAAATCATACACGGTACCGAAATGCTTTAATAACGAGTAGAACGCTGAGTAAAAAGGTATTCGTTCTCACATTGGTATCATCTATTTCATATCGTACAAGAACATGCGTGCGCAATCCAAATCGGCTATATATACGACGTTTCTTGTTTTACCCCATCGTCACTTTTGTTGGGAGGAAGCAAAATCAAATCCTCGTTGTTATTTCCGCTACCACGCGCCGTTTTCCCACTCCAGATATCTACAGGCTCGAAAGCACACCTTGTACGCCGATACTGCGCGCGTCGTCTCTGCTCTGTACAAAGGCCTTGAAATCTGCCTTGGCAAGCTTCTTAACGGCTCCTCCCCTATCAGACCCAGAAGCTCCAGCGCCAGTAGCCAGGTTCCTGGAGCGCTCGCGTAGGGCTTCGGGGCCGATGATGAAGAGGTATGCGATCTCGGAGAGCAGCTCAACGGCGGCCTCGACGTCTTTCGAAAGGGGCCACTCCTTGAGGGTGGCGACGTATTTAGCAACGTCCTTAGTAACCATAAGACCACCCGTGGCGTTAACCTTGAATTTCTTGAAGTGGTCAAAGAGTAACCGCTGTATTTCGGCTGCGAGTTCTGAGCTAAATACCTCGAGGTTAGTTCCGTCGACAGCCTGGGCGATCAATCGTGTACATCGCGACAGGAATAAGCAAGTCGCTGTACATGTTGGCGTTTGCAGGGATTCTATAATGCTAAGCTCGTCTTTGGGTAGGAAGTCCAGCTTCTTCTGCTGGGCGAGAGACTTGGATACCCAGTTGACGATGACGTCTACGGTACTCCGCATGATACTGCCGGCTTTCTTCTCAATACCCTCAATGCCCATTTTAGCTTGAGCTTCCATGCTTCTCCGCACCGTAGTATTGGACTCAGCAAGGCGAATAAGCACGGTATTTATGAAGCGGTCCATCATGCTACTAATAGTTACAGCTGGTTTCACAGAAGGTAGGTAACCGAGATCCGGTTCCGTCTTTATGTTCTCCTGAGATGTGGATTTCTCAAGGGCCGCTTCTAGGGCCGTCTCCACGTAGACTTGGCCCATATTGGACAATAAAAGATTTAGGAGGATGGCGACATCTTTGGGGGTTTCACTCTGGCTTCCAAGCTCTAGGGTTCGCCGAACGCTTTCGGCGAGCCAAGTCAGCATTCGCTTAGCGGTGGCCGTGCTCAGAGCACCTTCGGATTCGGAGACCTCAATCTCATTCTTATTTTTGTCGGTTTCTTGGACACCAGCAACTCGCAACATCATAGCCTTTTGTGTCGGAGTAAGATCGGAAGACTCAAGTCGTTCTAGATAAGCATCTTTGGCAGATGCCATGAGCTGGTTGGTTTGCTGGGCCAATGAAGCCATAAATCCAGTTGGTGCCTTCTTCCGCCGAGAGTGGTAGATATTGTATTTGAAGAGTAATGAGTTAAATAGTTCTTCCAGACTCCTTTTCTCGCGTTCGATATACGAGTTTCCAACGATGTATGGGACAAAAAGCTCCTCCATCTGCTGATCGAGGGTCTGCGATATTTGAGGAGAGCATGGTTCTGGATGTTCTGTAAGGCCATGGGATTTCAAGTCCTCTACCAGAGCACCGATATAGCTTCTGGACGAATGCAGAGACCGTAGAAAGGCTAGCGATGATATAGTATCAGCCTTCTCCAGCACCAATTCTAGCCGTTGCTGTATAGACTGTTGGAATACGCGTTGTATGAACTTAATCAAGACAGTCTCGTAGTAAGGGAATGCTCGCTTGATAATGAAGGATTCTTCCTGCATTACGATTTTAACCTCATCAACGAGAGACTGAAGACTCGGTTCGACACCTGGTGGCTCGGAGTCGGGGTCTGCTAGCTGGTCCCAAGTATCTCCATCCATAGTCACCTCATCAGTAATCAGTTGGTCTCTGTCGATGAAGAACTGGTGTTGGTTCACAAAAACGGCAATCACACTGGCACCTCCATTGAAATCGTATAGTACTTTGGCGCACTCCTTCATATCGTCGAAATTCTGCTTACGGTAGCTGTTGTTGAATTGCTTCAGCAAATCTTGCTCCAGTGTCTCACAGAATTTCTCTAATATCTCTCGGGTATTATGCCTTCGCCCACCATCGCTGTCGCCGTTTGTAACGCCATTACGATAAAGTCCATTGGTATGACCCCAAGATGTAGGGTCCAATCGTTGGCTAATCCGCATTAGTTGATGCGCAATGACGGCACACCTTACTTTGTTCTCGGATCCTCCTTGTCGTTGAATATCATTTAATAATGTTAACTCGCCCGTCTCACTAACCTGAAGCCAACATTGTATTAGAAAGTTAGCGTCCAGCGCCCGCCTTCGTTTCCTATCCAACTCTTCTAGCTTCTCTCCTATTTGAACGGCAATATTCCCACCTGCTTCACCACGGCTGCCTCGATCATTCTCGTTGGGGTTATTGAGAGTGCCATCCAGAGCTTCGAATTGATCGATAGATATGGCTAGCTTGCTGCCTAGAGTTTCGACGGTTTGGTCATGTTGGGCCTCTGCGCGGCGGGCTTGGGAAGAAAGGTCGGATTCCTTTGCTTGCAGCTCCTCGGATAGGTTGCTAAGGCCTTGCAATGCGCCTGGGGGAACGAGCATTAACAAATAGGTTCTATAGACCTAGGGGAAGGGATAGGCCATACTTTCAAAAGTTCGAATCAGTGGTTTCGGATCAAAAGCTTGCTGAGCAGTGCCAGAGCGACGGTTGAACGATACGGCAGTCTCGGCAAGGTCATCTACGAAGTCGCGGACGATGAAGTCCTTATTCGAGAAATCGTCAATTGTAAAGCTAGGGCCCTTTGGAAACAGGGCTCGCGACCCGGAACCTGCCCGCTCCATTGCATTAAGCGCTATCGGGGTATTCGTCTTGCGGCATGGGGAAGCTTGGAGTGAGGAAGCGGTGGTTCAAGGTTGGTGATAGAATCGCGATATTTAGGTGGATGTTGAAGTTGAAAAGATGGTTGTTGCTTAAATGCGACAAGCCCGACAGATTGAAATCGAGAATTGGGGAAGCTACAGCGGAAGTTACAGCACATTACAGGGGTACGACAAGTGCTTGGAGTTGAGGAAACCCCCACTTTACTACGCTTGTAAGGTACGTACCGATGCAACACTCAATCTTTCAACGTTGCACCGCCACTTTTCTTGTGGCTAAGTCTGAAAATATAGAATTTGATTCGCCGCCCTAAGCCCGCGGGTACCCACCTTTGTAGCTTCCATGGGTCAGGTAGCTGAATATCGTGGTCCTGTCGCTCTTTTCGCCGGTTTAACATCTGATCTGTCCTGCCATCCGCCATCCGCCGTCCAAGGAAATCTTGGAATGTAAGGCTTGCTCCTCCAAGCCTACCCATTGCGCGTCACAACGCACATCCTCCTTAGACAGTTGAGGCTATGCGGGCAATCGTTTCTTAAAGACGCATTCTGATTCTTTTTTTTTTCATTGCATTTCTCTTCAAGACCGTTTACATCCGTTAACAACTGTCCTTGTCGCGTTCACTATGTCGTTTACTTCTAAGGACACCAAACTCTATCGGGAGGACGAGAAGGTCGGGCATAAGAAGCTCGACGTAAAAGAGCGAGAGAAACTTGTGAAAGTGCGTATTTAGATCAATTTACTTACAATCTGTCAACGATTAGACTTCAAAATCACATCGCCGGATTCCAACTAACACCCGGTTGTTTCCTATAGAACTACCTTCCCACCCCTCCCAATCGGTCGCGAAGTCATAGTCGGAAGAGAAAGCAAGAAACTTCCCACTTTGGTGTGAGGAAGTTTCTTAGGTCACAACTCTATCTGCTCCTATATATCTTCGTCCACGCAATCTTCTCCGTCTACATCCGAATCCGCATAGCCTACCACGCCGTAGTCCTCCGAGTCCTCTCCATACTTAAGTACCATCACAACACACCCGACTATGTCCGAAGAGACGTCAGCACTCTGAAGAGGATACCGAAACATGTCAGCGTCATATTAACCCTTGAAGATGGTGGGAGGGCAGGAGATGCGCTAGAGAAGCTTGTCAATGAAGTTGCCGAAGTAGCGGCGTGGTGCGCTTCTGCGGGAATTCCTCGATTATCCATATACGAGAGGACAGGTGAATTGGATACATGAACCCCCACACGAGGATCATCAAAACTAACAAACCTGTAGGAGTACTCAAACGATACATGCCCCAGACACATCGTGCTTTGGTGCAAAAGCTTAAGGGCTGGTTCGGGAAGCACCAAGCCCCGCCACTTTCTCTTTCCACCCGCGGAGCATCAACCATCCATACCGCAAACCGGGAGTATCTATCACATGACAATGTTCCGCTAGACGTTCTACTCATTTCTGAGGATGATGGCCGAGAAGCGATGGTAGATCTCACTAAAGTTCTAGTTCAGATGGTTCACAAGGAGAAAATTTCAGCCAAGGATATCACAATAGACGTTCTTGACAATGAACTATCCGAAGCCGTCATGCTAGAGCCAGATTTACTCATCTCATTTGAGCCTTACGTCGATCTTCAGGGATACCCACCTTGGCCGATACGATTAACTGAGATTTACTGTGCGCCCGACAACCAAGGGGTTGGATACCAGGTTTTCCTACGGGGTCTACGAAAATACACGGAGGCAACTTTCAAACTGGGGAAATAAGCAGGCTGGGCTGCAAAGTAGAGGGGGATGTAATCATGACTTTCATTGTCACCTCTCTTAATTGGTTGGGTTTTAGTTGATAGACATTACTGTAGAATGGCGATTTTCTGTTGCCCTTCTTTGGACCGGTCGGAATATGATACCACCATGTTGAAAAAGGATCATTCGGATAGGCGTACATAATAAAATTAAGTGGCTTGCCTCGTGCAAAAATCACTGGTTGTCATTTGGGGGATCGTTACATATCTTGACGCCTCTTAAAAAGCAATGATATTGTGTGACAATTTCATATCCTCCAAACAGTCGTGGTTCATGAGAACGGAACTGCTCGTGAACGGGCACTTCTGCATCTATTCATATTACTAAAATAACCACGCTAAGCCATAAAAACAATGACAGAATGAACATACGATCTCTAATCTTTACGCGATATAGGAGTTCCAAGCTTCTTCCTATAATATATCACTTTTCAGCATCCGACAGCCTTCCGCGTTCAGGCCAATATGTATGACGCACGAGGCCGCAGCCACAGCCATTTTAGCGCGGACCTAATCCCTGCCGGAGTTTTTCCCATCTCCGTGGGGTGGTTTTTTCCCTTATGTACGTACCTTTTTTTTTTTTATAACACAAACCATCAACTGGGGTACGGTGCCTGCGATATCGAAATCTCATCGCGCGTGTGCGCAATCTCATAGTAATCTCATAATCTATTATTATGGCGGTATGCATTACCCCTCCTGTTTATGCTTTTTTTAAGATAAGAAGCTTACGAGTTCGAAGGATGACCCTGCCACAGAGGAGGACAGCATGAGTAGTGTCTTCCGTCCGCCGATCATTCGCTCGGCCTTGGGCGTCTTGGACCGATCGCTCTTTTCCAAGACCGTCAACCTTGCTGCCGCTGCGGTCGCGGACAGGAAGAAAATCTCCGTATGGCGTCAAAAGCTGCTCGAGGACAAAACACTCATATCCCAAGAAAGGATAACCGGCGTGGTGCCTCACCCGGATCAGGCTCTGGCGTCTCTGGGCACGAAATGTCTACTCCTGGATCCCAAAATCAAGGCTGAAGGTAACACTAAGGCCAAAACGAACATCATTTTATTAGTCCTAGTATAATTAACGAATATGTTCACAGTGCCTGAAACATGGACACCCATTATCAAAGATGGCGTGGCTAGTAAGGAGTTAGGGGTAGTTTCATATGACTTATCCCTAGACTATGACTACTGGTCTTACGGTAATACCTACTGTTTAATCACAAAATCTATAGGAGATAGCTATTAACATAGTGTCCAGAGGACGTGATGAAATCTCTCCTTCCCTCTGATTTACGGGATGAGCATGACAGTATTCCCAGCGGTTTCAACCAGGCAGGACATGTTGCGCACATGAACCTGAAAGAAAAATACTTACCTTATAAGAACCTCATCGCACAAGTCATACTCGATAAAAATCCACCTATTAAGACTGTCATCAACAAAATCGCCCAAGTGGGTACTGAATCCGAGTTCCGAACGTTCGCTTACGAAGTTCTCGCGGGGCCAGACGACCTAAACGTCGAGGCGCGAGAGAACGATTGTGTTTTTCGGTTTGATTACTCTAAAGTATATTGGAATAGCAAGCTTGAGGGCGAACACAGACGGTTAATCAACATATTCAAACCGGGCGAGGTTGTATGCGATTTGATGGCCGGGATTGGTCCCTTCGTAGTGCCTGCTGGTAAGAAAGGCGTTTTCGTCTGGGCAAACGACTATAACCCCGAGAGCTACCGTTATCTCGATGAGAACGTCAAACGTAATAAGGTGAGCAGATGGTATACGAATGACACACTGTGGTTCGTGCCGAGCTAACACACCATTATTAGGTCGAACAATACGTGCGACCATTTAATCGAGACGGTCGCACGTTCACCACGGAAGCGGCCGACTTGGTTTATGCGGCATCGACAAACGGCGAGTACGCCACGACAAGACTTAGCGGCAGAGAGAAACGTAGCAAGCATCCAAATGCGAATACTGCCGAAAAGTCAAGACAGATTCAGGAACCTCAACGTATCCCCATTCCTCCAACAATTTCTCATTTCGTTATGAATCTTCCTGCATCCGCCATCACCTTCTTGCCATACTTCCGTGGTCTGTACGCCGGTCGGGAACAGCTCTTCTCTCCTCACACAAATACGAAGTTGCCCATAGTTCATGTCCATTGCTTCGCACCCAAGGCGGATGATGACACGGCTTTGATAGAAATTTGCGAACGCATCTCAACAGAGATCGGCGTAACTATGAAGCTAGGTGATATCGAAAACGCTCATGAAGTAACTGTTACGGAGGTGAGGAATGTGGCGCCCAACAAAGAAATGTTCTGCGCATCCTTTAGAGTGCCCCCTGAAGTGGCATTTGCCGCCCGAGCCTAATTGAGGTCGGATTGGATCTCAGCACAGTAAATAGACGACTCGTTTCGACGGATTACCACTTTGGGCAACAAGGGGCCGTTGAGAGGTATGCAAGTTTTGCGGGTCATGGCGCCAGAAGCATGTGAAGATGTCCATAATATGGAGCGTTACAGCCCAGAACGACCAGGTAGCCAGGCACCTTCTAGACCGATGTGATTCGCTTTACGGCGGGACTCTGGTCGCAGTAGGGTGGTCCGCCACAAATGGCACTGCATAGGGGCCGAGATATATGTATGTTGCTTGTTGGCACCAGGTAGGGACGATTACAGCGCCGTGGAACGTTTCTCATGCATTGCGGATCACCAGGCCCGCCCGTAGGATATTATTTCCCGCACCATCTGCGAAATATTCAATTGATGTGTTACGGGGCGCGCCGCCCTCGGGGAACCGCACCAATCACCCACAGATCTCGAAAATTAAAGGCTATCTGAATAGCGCCGGCCCATGTCGAAAATAGAGATGTACCCTCTTCTTCGTCTGAAGCTGTATAGATAAAGGGGGGGTCGGTGCGATAGCCGAAAAACGTTCATGCAGATAAGCCTGCATGGCTGTAACGCTGAGTATACCACTGTGGCTGAATTAACGAGGCCTATTGGATAATTGTCCAGAGTCTTCGTTAAAGCTGGTTGGGCTAGCTCACCTTTTCATGCTTAATATGTGCAGCTATACCGGCAAGGAAGTTGATGCAACTTGCAACACTGCAAATTGTTAGCTTCCTGCGGTCTTACGATAGTGTTTCGTGTTGCTGCGAATCCTGTAGCTGCTTTGATACATACCTCAATGATTTTACGTGATAAGTTTTGTTAAAATGAGACTAGGTCTACGGGGCTAATGATGCACAACTTGGAGACCCTGTTTATTTGATCGTATAAGCAATCTCTTATTCGAAGTTCGAGACTCGCGCTCGGATTTACGGTCAGGCCGGAGCTTTCCATATACGGATGAACCCGGACACAGTATTAGATACCCGGTAGGCCGCTCTTTATCCTCCGTTCTGCCGGCAAAAGCCCGTCTATCGGGAATTACGCCCACAAAGAACATCGCCTCTTTGAAGGAGAAATCACTCCTGGTGGAAGCGAAGTATGGTGAGCTACCGGTTCGAAATTGAACGTGGAGAAAACATGCAAGGTCGGGCTGTACCGCTGAGCCTAGTCATGTATGACATTCCATCCAACAGAGGGGAAGCCTGAGGAAAGATTGTTGCGCGGTTGCGTAGTTGCGATTTGTGACGAGCCCCGTTATTCCCTTCGTTTGTAGGAACAAAGATAAGGCACGGCAATAAGGATGCATAGACGGGCTGCCGAGTAACCCGCTAGACTTCGGGGGGGATACTCCTGTCCTTCCTAAATGCGAGACCGCAAATGCAAGTGATGATGCGATGACGATACCTCGACGTTGCGAGTAACCAGCAATTTGATCAAGTAGTTCAACATCGGACCTTTGTATACCTGGGCGAATTGGTATTTTTATCAAATCAACGTGAGATCCATTCCTGCCGAGAAAGCTCCTGTTGTCCATTAATAGACGAAGGAAAATATATTACAACACACCAAGTCGTTCACACCGGCACGTCCTAGCAAATAGTTGGGCTACGAACCGATGCTTCGGCAAATAGCAAGAGGTACGGGTTCCGTATATTTAACTTTGTGATTCTCTTCCGTCGGTTGCTTATCGGGTTCGAGACCATCGTTAACTCGGGACGACTCGAAATTGGGTGCCCACCTAGGACCCAGGAATATGTTTTGATGGAGATCTGAAGCTTTGGTGTTACCAACAGCTGCAACTGTTCAAGGATCATAGCTGTTGTCCACCGTGCGGATGCTTGGAGAGTTCCTAGCTACCCTACTAACGGAGGCGCTATAAAATAGCTACAGGACCTTGCATAGCAGCAAACTCAACCCCGCGGGTAACGGTAACGATTTGTATGCCGAGTGAGAATGTAGTTTTATCCATAAATTTTTTTTCTTTATGCTTGCGAGAAAATATCGTTAGGAGAGCTAAGGCTTAGCTCGGTGCCGTTTTAATTCCGAGAAGCCATGTGTAGTGGGATAGCCATTATAGCAAAAGAGCTAATACTAGTTCTTAGTTAGTATTTACCAAACTACTGGTGAGGTATCTCCCCCTAACGAGGTGATCGAGTGTAGAAGATAGCGATATATTCCAGCGACGTGCACTAGGTTAGAGATCTTGGGATCGTCAGCATGGCCACAGTTCTTAGATTTGCCGTTCTCGCATATCGAAAAGCTAGTCCAAATTGGAGGCATAAACGATTATAGATTGGAGTCGCCATCTTACTGTTTGTTGTGCATACGATCGCGAGATGAGGGCATTAAGCCGACGTCATCGTCGTCGGGTCGGTGTGCAAGGAATTAGAAATCGGTCACTCTTTGTTGTACCACGACTTGGCAAAAGCCCTTGCCGATTCCAGGGTTCTGTGTACCAAGTATGGCAGCAGCGCCAAGAGACCCGCGACGATGGATTTGGCTTGCCTCTAGCTTTCCAGTGAGGAGTTGCTACGTGAAATTTAGTCAATATTCAGCTTTTAAAATGAGATGTTGCCTGCAGGACAAGTTAGCAAACTATGGCGTGTCGACAGACCAACCCCGTCGCACGACTCGAGACTATGTGCAGTTGCAGATTTGTGATACTTGACATGTCTTGTACACAGCTGAAGAAATTATGGCGACCTAGTGGTTTAGTGGCCATTGCAGGAATTGGATATCAATGCCGTCTAGAGATCATCTATCTTTGACCCTAACCTGGCTGGATGCAGAATGCAGAGACTGTTCTAGTATGAGGGTAGACGAGGCGATTGCCATCCATTGGCGATGACATTCCAAACCAACTCATTACGTCTGCCAGGTGACCGAAGTGACGTAGGAGCCTGATTGTGTACGTAAAGGAGATTCACCAGAACCAGTTCGTCGATGGCATAGGTGAAGAAGATCCAAGGAGTTTGACAAATGAGAAAAGAGAAAGTTTGGAGATGGTCAATAGGCCACGGAGCTTACTCGATGCGGGCAAGTCACACGGGCTACTGCGGGGGTGGGGGGGAATTGGTGTTGGCGTCGTGGTACAAAGCATGGAGTAACCTTCTAAAGTTCCAAGTATAATAATACATGTACAGTATAAACTTTACGTAGTACCAAAACGGGTTATGTTGTGACGTTGTGCATTAGCATAACTATCAATATAAGACGGATTGTCACATTCTTTCCCCGGATTAGTTATTCCTATGATTGTCTGGGGATATTGTAAGGCAAGACAAGGCATGGAGTAGGAGATGGGGAAAAGGGGTTAAATGTGAACCAGATCTCAGTAGCTGAATAGGTGGATAGATAGCGTGACGGTCAATCGGGACTGGCTTATAAAACTAGTATAAGCGATGAAAAGCAAATAATGGGGATGATGGATCGTATAGGTAACTTTCGACTAGAAGACGTCGTTTGCGTGTCGGCCGAAGCTATACTCCACAAGTTCGTTAGAGGGATAAAAAAAAAAAAAAGTCTTCAATCCATTGACTTCTCTTATCCGTACTGTATCGACTTGACTCGGAATACCCAAGTGGGCTATGGCGATTTTAACCCATAAAGACAATGCTTATCAATTGATATATCGGTATTATTTAAATGAGGATCGAATACCGCCTTCCCTACCTACATAGGCTAGACCTACTTTAAAGTTGACGGAATATTACGCCATTTCATATTTCTCTTAAAGTACATTAGGTACTTAGATAGAAAATTAGAGAGTGACATGACCTAATAATCTATCAGAGTAAGATTCCTCTCACTCTTTTATTCTTATAATTACGCATCTGACAACCCGGAGTCCCGTTACAGCACCTAACTACCTAACCACATAAAACCGGCACTCATACTCGGCGTTTACCGCAAATACGCCCATCCTCTTTTGTCTGCGGCCGTCTTTCGCATCGGCCCCTTGCAACGTTGACGAAATAGGCTTTTCTAGCCCGTCCGGGGAAGATAACCTACACGCCCATCAAGGTACTGAAAACTGTTGATCTTCTGAAGAACCTTGTGCAACCTAGAATTCTAGCCCTTTATGGTAGTCTTTTTTACTACGTATGATAGTGGGCTTGGCGCAAGGCACTTAGGCACTTAAGAAAAAAAAAGCGTACTGTATTCCGCAAGGGGGGCTACTTATGTGATGAAATGATGCCCATTGGGATGCCCGATATGAGGTCTTAGCAGCGACAGAACTTACGTATGAGTCCGTTCGCACCCGAGTTATCTGGGTCGATTACCTCAATATCCACGTTTCCAAAAGAGAACCTTTTCATTAATGCACACTTCTCATAGTTCCTTGATTCATCGGGAAGGATGTAGAAGGGAAGGGGCTGAATAGAAAAGGGACAATGAAGGATCGAGAAAAAAATGACCCATTAATACGACTTATGGTCTAGCCTGCGTTCTACACAATTTTTTTTCTCCTAGCGAAGCGTAAACTGAGACACTCTAGATTCGGTCCATATATCTAAAAGCCCACACTTTTGTTGATTCTGATTTGATACTTATTTATCGAACCCGGCTATTTCGCGATTTTTTTTTCTCTTACTTAACAGCGGCGACCCTCGATGGCCGTGAACCATTAGCAAGGACAGGCGATCGAAACTGACCGCTCAGATATTATGTTAGAAACAGAAACAGAATAGAAAAAAAACAAACTCCACTTTAATACATGAATACCTGTCGCAAACTGCAACTCGAAGGAGGTATCAACTGCGGTGCACTTTCATACATACATTATGTATGCACTTGTAATAAGCCCGCATGTGTTGTACCGTACGCGTGCAGCTCAATATGCATGTATATACATGTACCTAATGTATGTATGTAGGTAAGTAAGTGCAGGTGTGGACGTGTACTGTATTGGCGATGCGAGGAACTGTCTTAACTAAAGTACTCAGTCTAGGAGAATTATGTGTATGCGGCCTCGCCTATCTCTGGGTACCCGCGTTAGTGAGGGTCTAGAAGTCTGAAAGTCTGGAAGTTGTCGACGCAAAAACTCTCCTTCCATGGAAGTTAGCGTATGGGCTGGAGTGTATCTTAATTCTCCTTCCCTGAATTTTCCCCACTTCTTCTATTCTAGTTCCGGCGCATAGGTACATAACTTAGTGGATCTAAACTCGATGTTATCAGCTCTCGTAGTTCATACGCAAGTCCTGCACCAAACTTCAGGGAAAACCCGGCTTTGTCCTGCACGTATTGTAAATCCATATGTCCTCTTATCTTGCCAATTTCGAGGGATGTTTATGTACGTCCCGGCAAAGCCCAAGCACACTTCATAGGAACATACGCAATGGAAAGTTCCAATTCTTTAAATGGTGACAAATTACCTGCTCATTATACCTAGGTTATGTACCTATATATGCAAGTAAGTAGGTACTTACATTATACCTAGGTAGATACCTACCAGCACATAATCTGAGGCTGCCTTTAAGGTTACTCAATACACCCATATATGTACATGTCTGTATGTACGTGCCTATAGATAAGGTGAATGGTATGTATATGCGAGTACATACATGTGTACGCCATGTATGGAATAATTCGTAGGTGGATGGCATATAACCAAATGCAGACAAGAGCAAGAGAGTTAGACTAAGTCTGGCATGACTAACCTAAACGCAATTGACTTCAATTCGTACCTACCTCATTCTATTTTAGAGCCCTCCATCTTCCCACTGTTCCCACCTTATATTTTTTATTATTCATGCGTAAAAAAAAAGAGCCACCCCTCCGTGGTACCTACCACCATCCCATATATACCTACTTAGGTACATTAGGTAGTTTCCAGTTTCCATCCAGGCCGAGTCATCCATGTCACCCTCGCTCCGTGAGTGGCTGGCCCTGTTAAACTGTTAACCCATCAACCCCTCAATCCTCCCTGTACATCCTTGCAACCTTCCGATCTCCCGGAATTCCACCTTCTGGTCTTCTTGTCTTGTCGTACCTAAGTACCTAGGTACCTTCGCACCCGGCTTAGGGCAACTTACTGTACTAACCTTTTTGCCGCGGATCGTTTTCGATTCAATCAATACTTCCAATACTTTCAATTTCAATACTGCAGAACCACAAAACCGAACCCAAGTTTCTTAAGCCTCTTATCTAGACCGGAATCCCTCCCACGCACATCACCCACACAACCTACATATTCCTTCGTTCCAATTTCACGATCCCGGATTTTTACCTAACCTGACAAAACCTTCCTCGCGTCGATTCGACATCCGCATTGTCCAAACTGAACAATTCCACCCCTTTGTACTGGAAAAGGTGAAGTGTTATATCGATATTTCAAAATTCGATTTCCTGGTTGCGTACTACCTACGGCCTGTCACGTCATTCGGAATTCCTTCTGGACGAACAGCAACAATTTGGACTAGTTTATGACCAATGGAGTCTTAAACGAATCCTACCGTGAATTTATTCGTTCCTCCAATTGTAGGCGGTAGTACCGTGCCCATGAAGGCCGGCACCTAACCTACTTTGGAGCTGCAATCGCTGGAGGACACCGAATACTTTTTGCCCCGGAGTTCAACTGCGATATTTCGAGATGGCCGTCGTACTCCCTTCGGAGGAGAACGACCTCTTCGCCCCGGCGGCTTTGAGGAGATCACATTCCCAATCGAAATTCATGTCAAAATCCGCGCAGGGTTTTCATGCATCGGTCCCAACGCCTAAGATGGACGAAACATTCCACGAGTCGTATCATGAAGCTTACAGCCATAGACCTACTCATATCGTACCCAACTCCAGCCCGTCTTCTGCTCCATCCTCTCCTCGCACACTCCAGCCCGAATCTACCGATCCATCATATTCTTCCACGCCGGCCACCAACTTATCCTTAGATGGGCAATGCGAAGACGACATCCGCATTCAGTCGGATGACCACATCTTTGTGCATGAGTTTGATCATAACCCATATTTCGACCCACTCGAGGATTTAGAACCACCCCCGAGCCCTCGAACGGGCGACTCATATACCGTTTCTCCTACAGATCCTAATACATCGGCGACTACCTCGCGTCCAGAGTCGCCAGATTCTTTAGAACGCGCTGATGATGACACGGCGGTTGAGCATCATCCCACTCAACATGTCGACTACCTATCACACGATTGGAGAGAAGAAGACATTTGGTCATCTTGGCGTTATATAGTCTCCAAAAAAAGCGAATATAGCAACGGACCGCGGCTGGAGAACGCATCTTGGAGGACATGGATGAAAGCCAAATATAAGTTAAAAACAGTGACTCCTGAGACGCTGAATTGGTATGTTTGCCCTTGATCTTCTGTTTCAAAATCCTTACCCATTCTATAGGCTCAAGGACTGCGACGTGACTTGGTTGTATGGTCCTCTACAAACTCGCCATGGGGAGCTATTCTCGAACGATGCGGAACAAGGAAGCTCGACGTTATCGAGGTGCGACTCGTTTGTCAGCAAGAAGCCCATCCTTAAGAAGAGAAGCATGTCGGAAATTATGCTTCAGCGATCTCTCTCTTCCTCCTCTCTTCTAAAGCAAGCTACGGCAGCCGTCCAGGCCCAACAAAAGGATGCTACCGTCCGTGTTGGGCGGCCAATATTACACCGGGCTACAACGGATTATGTTACATTTCCCTTCTCGTCTAGGAGAAGAAGCCACGAGAACACAAGCATTCTGGCCTCGACAGCCTCTTCTGGCATAACATCTCCCTCCTCAGAGCGAAAACACATCCATTTCGACGAGCAAGTCCAGCAATGTATTGCAGTTAATGTCAAGGGGGATGACGAAGATGAAGACGAGGTAGACCACTTCCGTTGGAGATATGGTGATGACAGCGATTCCGATGACGGTGCAATCATGATGAAGAAAACCAAGACATCAAAGAAGCCTGTCATTCCTCGAAGAAGATCTCCAGTGAACACGCCCAATGAGAGCAAGACCATCGCCATGTTACCTTCAACTACCTTGAAGTACCGAGAGGATACGCCGACGCCAGAGACAGCGATGAAACACAGTACCGGTAACTTGAGGAGTCCGATCTTGTCACCATCACCTTCTCAAGAGACACTCAGACCCTCTCGAGCTTCGAGCTCATTCTTTGCAGAGGACGATGAAGGAGGTGAGCTATATGAGGAGGGCGAATCAACTCCACTATCCAGTCCAATAAATGCAGCATCTCATTTTAAGCAGCCTATTCCGCAACATACAACGTCTACGAGTACTACCGCAGTTGAGCCGACTGGCATGCGTCGGACAGAGAGTGGAATGTTTATGCCATTTGAAGAGGGCGACGTTCAGCCCAATGATGGGATCATTGGTCGAGTAATAGACACAGTCAACACTGCCCGAGATATTGCTCATGTCATCTGGAACGTCGGTTGGAGAAAATAAGGGGTTTATGTGCATTTGGTATTATTTTGGTCAACTGGGCAAACAATTGTTCAATAATTAGGCCCTGGGTGCAGTTAATTTCACACAAATTCGACTCCCCGACACACCATAAGGGCCTCGTCACTCGCAAGCGCAGAGTCTATATTCTACGAGAAGTTGGCCATCGTGCCAATATTTTTTTCGAGTATATCATATTTCTGCCAAGGAGCATACGTATTTGGGACTGGAGTACGGAAGAGGAATAAATGGAGCGGAATCACGGCACAACCAAGGGTGATATCCTTCCAAACGGCGATTTTACGGGGCGTTACATGAATTGATTACCAAGGGAAATTATACCGTCGGCGGGCGGGTTAAGGTGTACCAGAGTCTATTTTACCTAGAGGGGAAAAGCAATCCATATTATCGAATTGCGTTATTGGAGCGTATCCGAAAAATATTTTATCAGTTACGAAGAACATCTACAGTGTTCGTATAAGCTGTGCTACTCGAGGGGCGGATTGCTCGGCCAAGCATAGTACTACTGGACGTCTGTGGGGGAATCGTGGGATCGTCGTTTGTGTTTGTGTTACAACTACATAGCGCGGCGCAGAACGCAATCGAAGCTCATCTACCTAGCTATCACACCGGTCTGCATGGATTTGGAGCCACGCCTCGATTGTTAGAGCCTCATTAGCCTCTAGGCGGTTTTACCGAAGCTTACATGTTCTCGATAAGGGGGCAAAACAAGTTGACACCAGTGCTTACAGCCGCGGTACATCACGATACATCAAAAATACATTATAATACAAAATAATATTCACGAGTCTTGCTTGCGGAATTAAGACACTTTGCTATGTGGTTCGCATGTGATGCTATCCAGCCAGTTAATTGCTATGTAACTGTTTTCGTAGTCAAGCAAAGAAAGGAATCCCCATCACGGGGATAAGGCTTTGAAACAAATGTTTTTCGATGACCTATTGGTCAATGTTGATTGAAAAACTATAAGTGAAACAAGAATCCAACTAGATCGCAAGATTTTGCCGTTATTTATGAGACCTGGAGCCAAGAGCCGCATTTGTATCCTCGTGGGCGAATCCATGTCGTAGATCCGGTTCTGTACGAGGCGTTCTCGAGAGAGCACATGTGATACAATGCGTCATAGTAGTAAAGAAAGCAGAGACAGACCGCTGTAGATGTCTCAGATACTAGATTTCTAGGTCTTAGATTCTGCACAAGTGGCAGAATTTCTTAGAGGGAGAAATTACGTACGTCGTATTCTACATTATCACACCGACCAACGCCACATCGATCTAGTTATCTATACAATCTTACATATCGCGTCGAGTCGAGTCAATACTTTCCATGTTTGCCTCATATACCGAAATGCAGTTTAGTCGATTGTCTCCGCTTAGACCTCCGCCTTCACCCCCTCTCCACCCCCAGCCAGTAATCCACTCTCCTCGTCGCCACTCTTCTTATCGTCGGTTTTCTCAATAACCCTGAGCACCTCGACAAGGATCTGATTGGCATGGACATTGACATCCTGCAGTTTGACCTCGTACACGTCGCCGACGCGAGCATCGGCCATTTTGAGCACGTCGTTGAGGGCGTCGGGGCGTAGCCTAGCAGAGCGCTCAAACCAATCTAGCCGTCCTTGGATAGACCGGCGCCCGTGGACGTGCACAACGCTGAAGCGAAACGTCTCGGGGAGCTGGGCCTCGCCAAATCGCCACGCTCGCACCAGCGCCTGCAGGATCCACTGGTCTCCACCGTCCCCGCTAGCCAACGCGCGAGCCTGCTTTTCGCGCACCCGGATCATCGGCAGCATACGGTCCAGCCGCTCGCGGCTGAAAGGGAGGAACGAAGCGTCATCATCTTTGTTCCCTATCAGGCTTGTCCCACGACGGCGCTCTTCGAGAAGGGCTGCCTCGATCTGCCAGTGGACGATCAAGTCTGAGAACCGACGCAATGGCGACGTCGCCTTAGTGTACATATCAACGCCGAGGGTGAAGTGTGGTCCAGCCGTCGTAGTAATCTCATCGCTTCCTATGAGAGCATGTAGTTGGCGCCACTGGTTATCGTCCGGCCGGATCCCTGCTTTGAGGAGTGGGTAAAAGACATCACGAGTGTACTGCTGGACCTGGGCGGCGTTCTGCACAGCATGGGGTTGCGAGCGGAATGGGATAGGAATCCCACGCTCATGACACCATCGGGCCGCGATCTCACCTGCCAAACGCATAGCGTGCTCGACTAGGTCAGTCGCAGTGCGCTGGGAGTATGCCACGCGAATCGCGGGATCCCCCAAAATGGACACTAAGTTATTTTTCTTATCCCACGGGATATGATCAAAATATGCCTGAGCCTCAGGTCGTGGTTGGAAGAAGGGCGTCGCACCTTTACTCAGCCGTATTGTTTGGATCGCCCTCCCTAGTTCAGAAAGCAATGTTAATTCCTCCTTCTGGTCATTGCTCAGATCCTTGGGCCTGGTCATCTTTCTTGGTGCCGGTTTGGCTTTCGGAATAGGGCCAAGGCTCATCTCTGCTTTTTCTTCTGTGGTAATAGGATCATTTCGTTTACCCTCTATCGCCGAGGAAACATCTTCGCCTGTCATGTAGACGACATCCTCCAGGATCCCCGGTGTGATATTGTGTTCTAGAATGACACCTTCTTTGTCCATTAATGCACTGAACGTCAAGCAAGGTCTACCTGGGGCCAGAGAAAATCTGCCTTGGCTAATAGAATCGGGTAGCATACGCTCAAAGTGGCCAGATAGGTATATCGTTTGTGGGATCAATTCGGCGTGCTTAGCAACCGGGGTCTCAGCATGGATTGAAGAAGCTGGGTCGGCTACATGAATATGGATCCAGTATTGGCTTGGATTGGGGGTCCGCTCGATCGAGACAGCATCATCAATATCCACGGTAGCCTCAGAGTCGATACAGTACGCAGTCACGTTTTCCCAGACCTTCCTCATAGGTGCCAGAGCATCATCCTTCAAGTGGCGATCGAGCATGCCGAAGTAAGGTCGGATATAACTCCCTCCCCGCTGAATATCGACGCCCGGGAAACGCAAACCATACCGAGCTGGAATTTCCCATGATGGGATCCAACCAATTTCTTGAAGAAAGGTCCAGCCCGTCGACACCGCGAGATGATTTGCATCGTGATATCTGTCAAGCGCTCGTAAAATACTAGACCCGAGACATTGAAGCCGTGAGTAGGCTGGAAATTTCTGGTAACTAGCCCACAGTTCCATAAATTGTAATATTTCTAGCTCCGTCTTGGACCATTGATTTGTGGCGAATTGCGAATTAAACAATGGTTTCGTCCATGGCCCAACCATACCGCTATTTGTAAATTGTCGATGTTTTCGACTATGATCAATTAAATCGCGTGCCTTTTCGATAAATCCATGGAGTGGGACCCAGCTACCTTGCTTGGTAGTAACCGGCCCGCCGTCCTTTTCTAGGTAACTTCGCACCATGATTTCGACCCACTGTATGACCCGTACCTCAGACAGCGGGCTCACTTCGAAGAGGTAGGATCTCTTGTGGCCAGTTCGTCTGAGTGGCCTAAAGAACACTTCGTCCTGGAATAGAGCCCTGTGCACAGCATACAAAGCTCTATGGTCGTATTTCCCATCTTTTAGATAGGACTCAGGAAGTAGTAATTCGGTAATCTCGTGGAGGGTTAGATATCGATGCTTTACCGGGTCACCAATGAAGGCGCTAGACGCATCTAGTGTGCCAGCGTTCTCCTGGTACACGGCTTCGGCTTCCTGAACAAAACCCAGCATTTTGCGTAGCAGTGAGGCTCCTGCTTTCCTTGAAGGACCATGGCCGAGATCTTGGAGGGCGTTAAGAGTTTCTACCGGCGTGTCGCCAGATGGCAGCTCCTTAATGACAGGCTCAAGTTCCTTTGGCTGAACAAAATTGTGAACGACGAAAAGTGTCTTGACGCCTAGGCCGGTGAACCACTTTCCACTGCTTGTGTAGTAGTGCTCATAGCCATTATACCGGCCCAGGCAAATTGCCAACATCGGTCTCCTCGAGCCGTCGGAGCTATTGGAGTTTAGCAAATGTTAGAGTTAAAATATAAAGGGCCTACATACCTCAACTCAACCATATCTCCAGGATTCAAAGTGGCATCCTCAGCGCGTAAGTCGCCCAATTCATCCCCATCAAAAAGTGGCTCGGAAATCTCGAAAGTACCCATGGAGACATTTTGCGGGCGAGTAAAGCTATTGGCTAGCTCGCCATATTCTGGATAGTCTTCTACCATGGGGTTCGCTTCATCTCGATTCTCCTCATCCCATATTGACAGACGTTCTCGGATAGGAAGCTTTACCTTCTCACCTTTCTCTCCTGTGTGTACTTGTGCATTTGAACTACCGCCATTCGATATGGGATGTTGCACAGTTGCCAGAGTCTGTATCGATATATTAGCACCCGCACTTTGATGATTCTCGTATGAGGCATAGAATTCCATACTCTTTTCCATGATGGGTAGCTAGTTCTTGGCAGAGACCTCACATCCGCCCGTGGAAACACGTTAGGTGAGAGCTTTCGTGAGGCACATCTCCAGCAGACATAAGGCGCATTCGAATTCCGTAACATCCTCTGGATGAAAGAAACGTGAAAGAGATATGTCTAGTCTGGTATAAAATTCTGTTGTCTTGGTTGTTCGTGGCAAAATTTATTGTTGAAGGTTGCAACTTTTGACAATGAATAAGTGGGTCCATCTAACTCTTTTGCCGGCTAGATCGCCTCCGTTTACAGCCGTTGTCGGTCCGCCACCATCCCCTTATTATATGTAGTGGGAGTATAATCTGAGAACGAATTAATTACGTAGGTGACTTCCTATATTCTATCTTGCATAGTTGGTGATGATTCTAGTCTTCCAGGGCAAACTATGAAAAAAAAAAGTATAGTCATCTCTTGCAAACGAACATATAACCCGCCACTAACCTATTCTATCTTCGAAACTCGCACAAAGACTCAATTGGCTTTTATATGTAACTCTTAGTTTTCAATTACATCAGGAATCGTAGTAACTAGTTATTCAGTGAAAGAAATATCATGAACTTGCCTTCGTGACCAGCTATACCATACCCTCAAAGGCGGATGAGTATCTTTGTCCAGCAATCGGGTTATTGTACGAACCATCGAGTCCTAGAAACCACCATCCTTTTTACAACTTCATTCCACTCCATCTGAAACTCTACCGCCGTAATTCTGAGCACCTACAGAACCTACCTGAAAACATGGGCATCAAAAAATTCGCAATTCTGATACTGGCTGGAAACGCTCTTGCGCAGATGTCCAGCATGGATATGGGAGGCGGCGCTTACTCCACAAGTGAGATGTCACCAGCTTCACAGCCAGCGGATTCCTCAGTGGACACCCCCAGCTCCTATATGGGAAGTAGTATGGTAACTTCGGCGTCAGCGGAAGCTACTACATCTGCATCGACATCGTCCAGTGGATATGCCAGCGAATCCGCCTCGATGTCAATGGCATCGTCCATCTCTAGCGTCTTCATGACTGACGCGTCTTCCATGGCTACCGGGACAGGAACTATGTCGGATATGCCAATGGGAACTGGCGGCATGATGCCGAACGCTACAAGCACCGGGCAAACTCCGCCTACTGGAGCTAGTGCTGTGAACTCGGTTTCGGTACGTGCTAAATATGCTTGAGGTCATACTGAGTATTGAAACTAACTCGGTGTAGATTGGGCTTTTCGTTGCATCAATGGCCTTCGCCGCCTTGGTGCAGATGTAAGGAAAACGGTTGGATACACTGGTCGCCGATTAGCAATGTAATTGCATGAAATCCGAATGAACTGGAGAAGCCAACTTAGAATCACGAACAACCTTCCTAATTCCTAGGTCTTGCGACTGTTTGACCGGTAAAGCCAAGTCGGATTTCGCCCATAGGTCGGCCCACTACCCACAGTATACGCCGCGTTACTATATCTTAGAATCATTACACTCTCCTTAGTCATTTCTATGAAATTGGAAGAAACCAATATAATATCCCCTTCAGATATGGGGTGGGTAATTATATCATTAGTAATACTTTAGGATACAATGGAAATAGAGAGGGATAAGTCGTGTATAAACAATTCCTGTCCGATTCTCCTAAGCCTGAATAAATTTATTTTGACGTTGATAATATCCCGATATCAATAGAAATTGTTAGTATACCTGTTAATAAGCATGAGTTCTTGAGGCTCTTGGAAGCCTTCTCTTCGCCGAACAACCTCGAATAAGCTGCAAGGGATGGTAGGATTGGCAGTCGACATGCCGGAAATAACGTGTTTATTGAAAGCTTGAATAATGGGGTCGTGGAGGATTTGCATGATCTCGACTTTTAGATGGATCCTGTTGATCAATGATCAGTCAAGAATATTGCCCAATTTATTTTTAATAGGCGATACCACCATGAATTGCCAGAACAAAAGAACAGGGCTATAACAACCAACAACTTTTCTCACCTACTATTCTCAGTTCGAAAGTACCATACACCACAGCCACGTGTACGTATACTATACTCTCTATGTAATGGCGGCGGTCAAACGTATAGCGTTCCCCAGAATCAAATCCCGTACTTAGTTAATTCATATACTCAAGGTATGGTACTACGTAGTATTTGCCCAGAGGTCCAGAGCTCAAATTTGATGTCTAACTTGACGGTAGGCTAGACTTCTGGGTCTCGAAACTGATGAAGACCTATCAATTCGGGATTAATTTTGTTCAGGTCCACAGTTCAGCTAGTGCTCTATTAAGGGGGGTATTCAAGGCTCAGAGCTTAAGCGCGGTCAAACGTTTTCGGTAGGGAAACTAACATTGCAGGTAGGATTAATTGCTGTGAGTAATTATAGGAGAAAGGAAGCTAGAATTCTTGTAGCTTACTTTCCCCAGCTCAATGTAACACCGATTGATAAGGGTTGAGATATTAACTTCGTATACCCGGCTGTCGGTCGGTCAAGATCCTGGGGATTGGAAGATTGGCAGATTGGTAGGTGGTTTAGCTTCTTTTTTTACATGGTGCCTAGAAGTCTGGCCCATGCGACCACGACAGCGGACACTGTACGACACAGCAAAGTGTATCGAACAAAGATGGACGATCTCTGATCACCGATCAACAAGTTTGCTATTGCTAGCATCTGAGATGATCCAGCTGCCGGATTTGCAGACAAGCCCATCAATCCCATCATCCTGCCATCCAACTTAGTAAACCTGGCAGCCAGCCTAGCTTCCCGCTATGTACGTAGTTGTGCGTAGCAGTACGTAGGTGGAAGTTTGGGGCTTGGCAACGATATTGTTCCTTCGGATCGTAATGACGTGGGTTATCGAAAGGGAACAAATGCAATTGAAATGATACAAACCAATCAGATGCAAGAGTACTCCCGAGCGAAAAAGGAGTTGTCCTGTCAATTTTGCCAATTTTTCCCATTTTCCCCATATCTTGCCCTGTTCTGCCTTGTTGGTAGTTGATGCGCTTGAAGTTTTAATAATCTAATAATATTCGAGTACGAGAGTACCATCGTATAAGCGGTTAGTTCCAGCATAGTCCGCTGCAGGTCTAAGACGAAATAGGTCTAGTCAGGGTCAAGAAGTAATTTCGCTTGTTGGTCGGGCAATTTCCCAGGGCGACAAAGGAAAGACCGCAAGTCCCCATAAGAAAAATGGAGTCGCCTTCCGAAAGGGGTCACCTTTACTCGGAGGCAGAATTTGATTGGCTAGGAAGACAAACAATTTATGAACACACTCTCAATCGGGATAAGCTTCCCTCCCCCTTATTCAGCTTTTTTCCTCAATTCAATTTTCTAATTCCCCGACGAAAGTGAACTACGCCGCTACGTTTAAAGTCAACCCAATATGAGATATTGCTTTTCTTGCATGTATTCCGGTCTTGGTCTACATGTTGTGTCCACAATTGTATACTAAGCAGCAAGACACACAGTGGCCGGTTATTCTTCCGTGGGAGGGATTCCGCGAGGATGTGTTGTTGGTCGGTCGTCTGTGCCAATTCAACCACACTGGAAGTAAAGAGACCTGGGCATGTCCGAACAGGCACCCCTGGCAAGGATCCATCCATCACAGGAACCATTTGCAGAATATACTAAGTACAGCATGGGGAACAAGGGAACAAGGGGATGGGGATCCAGGATCAGCGGAGACCGATACAGCCCAAGTGCAGCCACCCTATTTGCCCCATTGCCAAAAACAACCATCAGGTAAAATTGGCGCTGAGCCGGGTCCATGAAGCCTTGCAGGCCTAATGGCGCTCTAATAAAACTACCAGGTTCCGCCGTTCCCATGATACCCTCCCTTCCTTCTCTCTCTTTTCCTCCTCACGAAACGACACTCTCAGACGTCGATGCCGTGACGTGAAAGCATCTCCCAGCTTTCGTCCTCGTTTTCTGCGTATCCTACATACCGCTTCACTCATTCAGCGGGCACTCGTTTTCTACGATATCACGAAAATAAACAAATAGCACTCTACATTAAATTTCGCTGCCGACTACGGTTAATTGGTGTTTGGTTAATTAAGGAGTTTTCGACAAGACGGAAATCATGAAGGCGACTTTTGCTGTAGCCGCCGTTGCGGCCCTTGCTGGGGGTGTTTCTGCCGGTAGCATCCACCACCGACACGCTCACGATGCCCACCGTGCCCTCCAGAAGAAGAGCTACGAGAGCGCTAACGCCACCTGTGGATGCACCACCATCTACAGCACCTACTACGGTGAAGCCACTCGTATGTGATAAACTTTTACAATGCCAAGAACTGTATATCATTCCTAACCACAAGCGTAGTCTCCTTCCCTCCGGTCCCGACCTCCACGCCTGCTCCCCCGCCGGTCACCGAGTCGTCGACCGCTGTTGTCGTCCCGACGCCCGTCCCTCACTCCGTCACGTCGACTGGTGTTTACACCTTCCCTGCCACCACCATCACCCTGACCGAGTCAACCACCGTCTGCGGTGCTACCAGCACTGGCGTCCCCAGTGGTACTCACACTCTCGGTGGTGTTACAACCATCGTCAGCACTGCGACCACTGTCACTTGCCCGTACGCCACGGTCTCTACGAGCGGAAGTGTCACCACCAGCGTTATCGAGACTACCACTTACGTCTGCCCGTCCGCTGGTACCTACACCATCGCTCCCACCACCACGACAGTCAGCGAATCCACCACTGTCACGGTCCCCGTTGTCACCAGCTACCCCCCTGGAACGTACACCCAGCCTGAGGTTGTGACCACCATCACCGAGACCAGCACTGTTGTCTACTGCCCGTTCAACGTTCCCACCCCGTCTGCCTCGACCACCGAGATTCCGGCTGCTCCTACCTACCCCGCCGTCACCGTCTCCGCCCCGGTCATCCCTACACCGTCTACCTACCCTACTCCTTCCTCTTCTAAGCCCAAGCCTACCGGTGGCCTTGGTGGTGCCGCTGGCAAGCCATGGGGTATCTCTTACACCCCCTATGAGACCAGCGCCGAGGGTGGCTGCAAGAGCGCTTCCCAGGTTGAGCAGGACATTGCTGCTATCGCCGCTTCTGGCATCAAGACCGTCCGTGTTTACTCCACTGACTGCGATACTCTTCCCAACGTCGGTAGCGCTTGCGCCAAGCACGGTGTCAAGATGATCCTCGGTATCTTCATTGACTCTCCCGGTTGCTCCGCCAGCCACCCCAGTGTTGCTGAGCAGATCAGCGCCATCAAGAGCTGGGCCAAGTGGGAGCTTGTTGACCTCATCTCTGTCGGTAACGAGGCTATCTTCCACGGTTACTGCCAGCCTTCCGAGCTTGCCTCCCTCATCTCTGAGTGCAAGAGCCAGTTCGGTGGCTACAGCGGTCAGTACACCACTGCCGAGACTGTCAACATCTGGCAGCAGAGCGATGTCGCCGGTGCCCTTTGCGGTGCCGTTGATGTGACCGGTGCTAACGCTCACGCTTTCTTCAACACCGAGACCGATGCTTCCCAGGCTGGTCAATTCGTTAAGGGTCAGCTCAAGATCGTTAACGATATCTGCCCGGGTAAGGAGGGTATCATCCTTGAGACCGGTTGGCCTTCTAAGGGTAACCCCATGGGTCTTGCCATCCCGGGTGAGTCTGAGCAGCTTACTGCCATCAAGAGCATCGTCGAGGAATGCGGTGACAAGGCTGTCCTCTTCAGCTTGACCTCCGACCAATGGAAGAGCCCTGACTCTCCTTGCGCTTGCGAGCAGTTCTTCGGCTGTGCCAACGTTCTCGGCATCAGCATCTAAGATGGCAATTAAGTTGATGGGTGCTCACTGACTTATGAATACCCATTTTTGTACATTGTTACGTCTTTGTCCAAACGGTTGCAGCATATGCGTTCCGGCCGCGGAGGAGTTTACGGTTGGATTTAAAGTTGGGGATATATACCTGCCGATCTATATGTTCTATGTCAGTAGTTCCTTTTGTGATAAAGAGCGATGTATCAAGAAGCGGACTTGGGCGGCGCAAGCAAAGTCAAAGTCAAAGATATCTTCAAGTCGCACAAACCTAGGTGCCTCCATACTTCCTGGCCTGTCCGAATGTAGGGTCTGATTCATAATGTTGTAATCTACTAGTGTCTATTATTTGATGGGGATGCGTTGTCTATATCTGCTTGATTTACGAGTGATGTTCATTTTTCTGTTGCTCTAGATTCGTGGTATACTAATTGAGTTGAATTAATCATACTTAATGCTTAGAAATATCTAAATGTGATCTAAATGTGGAAGATGTTTCGAGATATTTCAATCCAGTAAGAGTGTCTTTGATTTCTGTTAATATGAAGTCTGATATGTAAGCCCCTATCTTCCTGTTTACTATTCTACCATGACTATTTACTGACATCTTTTGAAGCTTCAAGGTGCAGATTCCTTATAGCGCGGTATGATCCATTTCGATGGCTCAATGCCAGCTACGCATTTTTTAACTAACACCACATCCTCGCCATATTTCGCATTCCCCCTCCTTGCTGCATCTTTTGTGTTACCTTCTATATTTGCCGCAGTTTTCGCATTTTCTGTATCCTCTGTTTCTATCCCAACGTCTCGAGCTATCTGATACTCTCCATCTTGCCGAGCCATAGGGACGCCGTCACCCGCCATGGTCGCTCCAGCCAAATATGATCGTGATTTGGTCTCACTTTTATTATACCACTTATACCAGATCTTAGTCGCGCGGTAGGCCAGGACGAACGAGTCGGCTTCCTCCACCGAAGTGGTCTTTTTCGACGAAACAGTAGACGAGAGCTTAGGGCCAGCAGCGACGACCGTGGTAGGTTCTGGGACAGTGACCTCTAGGGTAGCCCCCACGCTGCTATCCCTTGATAGGGACCAAGAAGCGCCGTGTGCGATTTTCAGTCCTGTGATCATGTACACGGGGTATCTCTTCTTCGTCACTTCCATGTACGTTTTTACATCGCCTAGGGCAAGAGAAGCGCCGATATATTCCACAGACGGGTAAAAATGCGACGTCTCGAGCTCGCGGATATAAACAGCAGTTTCGGCGTTTCTTTGATATTTGGTACCGATTTCGCCCAGACTTTCCAGTCCGAAAATTCGCGCTACGGCTCCGAGCTCGTGCTCGCGTATCTTCTCGAATGTTATAGAAAAACCCTTGTCTTTCGTGTAGTAGGTGTTACCCGCCGGGATGTCTACCTGCTTGGATTGGTTGAGAGGTAGGAGTTCCTTGAGGTCTTCAACTATTGTGCCTAGTTTCAGCGGACCGTTTGGTGGAATTGAAAAATTAGGGGCTCGTCGGTACGTTGGGATCTCCATTTGCGAAGGCGTATTTGCGCATTTGACGCCTTAGGGCATTCAACTTACCACCTACCCTCTTATTATGGAGAAGGCAGTCGATGAAATGCGGCTAGGCCAGCAGATATCCAGCCAGATTCGAATCAAGATTAAAAACTCCCAAGCGCTGCAATTCGCTTATCAACCAAAAGCTAGGCTAAGGCTGGGACAGTTACACTGCCCCGCGCGAGGGACAGGTGTACCTACTAGGTACCAAGATAAGTAAACTTATAAGTCTCTACAGGGCAACTCCATAGTTACCTACTTGAAGCAAAATAATATATAGAAGCATATACAATACAATGATAACGCAGAGGATATAGAAGAAATAGAAGAAATAAAAGGAGAACTAAAAAAGACGTAGTGAACAAACAAAGGAAGAAGTATATATATAAAAAAAAAAAAAAGGTAAAATATATAGAAGATACAGGAGAAACGAAGTTTGAAGTCAGGGCCTGTAGGTAGGCACGTATGGGTACCTGGGTGAGCAGTTATAGTGGGGTATATTGGTTATGTAGCGCGTCCAAGATGCCTTCCTCTATAAACGTATCCGACTTTACACCCCACAGAAGCCATGGCGCGATGAAATTATAGCCATTGTCAGGTGCGGACATTAACTTAAATACACGCCGCATTCGATATTCACTTTCCCTCAGCTGGTTGAAATGCTCCTGGCCAAGCCTTGCCCTTACAATTTCCAGTATGTTTATTGCAAATCCAGCCGTAATAGGGGTCGCGAACGAGGTACCCGACTTACAGACATCTCCTTTCCAGAAGAAGGGAATATTGATCCCCAAAGTCATAAAATTGTCGGTTTCATCATCGGCGGTTGCAGCGGGATTAATCCCCCCATCTTTTCCCTTTCCGTTCGATGCGTTCACACATATAACGTTCCTATATTTCGCCGGATATGGCCTATCGCCGTGATTACCATGATTTGCTGCCGCGGCAAAGAGTAGCTTGTTACTAGCTTTGCTTATGGCCCTTTCGACGCTTGTATCCATTTCTGGGAACCCGAATGGCATTATGATTATATCGGCATCCCATTCGGTAGTTGCGTAATGGATTGCCTTCCTTTACTGTTAGCATTTCTTAATAGATGGATAAGAAATAAGTGACTCACATCTCCAATTTTGCAAAAATCCCGCTCCTCGATGTGTCCACTGTTGGCAACTTTAGCCACATAAATGTCAACGTTCTCCGAAGCATTGAGTACAAGCTGGGCGACATGGGTCCCGTGTCCATATTCGTCGTGAACATCATCTTCGTCACCTATCCAACTCCGTCGCCCTTTAATACAGTCACGCCTCATCCCCCCTCTTATAGCTGGGTGGTTCTCATCTATACCTGTATCAATAATACAAACCGAAATGTTAGTCTCACTACTACGCAAGAGAAAATCTCTTTTGAAAGTATCATATGAAGCAAAGAATTCTTCAACGCTTCCTCCCTGCCTATATCAACTAAGTTAGCAAATTCTTGTTTTATAATGATTAAGCACAAACATACGGTTCATCTAGGTTATTGGCCAGGCCATCGAATAAGCTTACTAGGTTAGAGGTTGCGGGTTTATGGGTCCTTCGGATCGTGTCATAGAAGGATTGTTTGAATTTCTCAGTCTTAGAGTCATCGTTGACTGCGAGTGGCGTGGACGATAAGGAAGATTCCGGGGTGCTCCGGCGGAGACGAGGCTGTGAATTTCTTTTGTGCTGGGGCCGGCCCATGAGGATGTTCCTTGGTTTCGAATTGAGTGAACTAGGATTTTTAGGTCCAGAAGAAGAAATCACCGTGTTAGCCGTGCGGAGCTCGTAGTTTCCAGTTCGGCAAGGTATCGTCTGGCCGGTCGAACTGGAATATTGGAGCCCAAATTCATGGGACTCGATGGATGTTAATGGCCTAGCCCCTTCGTTGGCCTGAATTATCAATGCTTGTGGGAGGGATGATTTCTCGAAACACGTCAATTCTTTCTCAAGATTGAGACAATTTTACTTTGTATTTGTTTCCTAAGAGAACTATCGTTGTCGGGGTTCCTATAAAGCTGTAAGAAACCGCGGACAGCTTCTATGTAGTATTTATTTACTGATACTTGCGCGCGGTCGAGAGCAACGAGTAGAGTGATATATAAACTTGGTGTGTCAAGTTTATCGCGTTGTGTTACGGTGATCCCCTCTCCGAATTTCAGTTCTAAGGGAAGTTTTTTAAATAATAGAAAGTCAGGAAATCCTTTGAATAACGGGTGTTGGGCTCCTTCGGTTGAGCTCACACGAGAACCGTAGGCCAGGTATGGGGGGATTTGGAGTAAATTGTCGTATTTGTGGTCCGCCAAAGAAGCGAGGAAATGCATATTGGCTGCTTCCTATCCGTTCTCGGTCCATTTACAGTCGTATAAATGCATGAATAAAATCCCAAGATTGAGTGCGAGTGCCCTCTTCTCCCATATTGAGAACCTGTCTTCTGAGCTCAATGTGATCCGTTGGAACCTATTTGCTTTGATCATTTCATGTAATGATAGCCCAAGTTTCCCGCTATCGCGCGTCGAACTCCTCTCGGCGTGCTCGGAAGGAAAAAGCTCTTCGCCTGCTAGGTGAAATCGAAGGTGTTCATCAAGACGCAAGGATTGTTCGATCGTACTACAGAGATCTCCTATAGCGCTGGATTGATCACTTAATTCCCAACTAATATTTGAGAATTATATATTAGTTCTCGATAGTGATAGGTTCGGATGTTGGTGGGGAGATGTACCTGCTTGAGGAGTATGGGCATGAAGCCCCCCTGCCAGATGATAGCATCATTCGCATAGCTCGCACAGGAACTGAGAAGCAAATTTAAATTTGCCGGGAGAGCATCCTTACCCAATTCCCGCAATCCAGAGAACCTAACCATCATCCCATGAGCGATATCGTATTTACATTTGGAAAAGAGCACGTTTAATCTGTCGAGGACATTCTCAGTAAATATGCGAATACTATCGTCAACCTTCGAATGCTCGCTGCTGGTTGGTGGCGCTGCGAAGGAACGTATCGGAGTAGGATAAATAGACAGGAGAGCTGTATTGACTTCTGTAATAGTTTCGATAGCGCATTGTATGTCGTCCACTGTCGATACATCAAAGCGGAACACCTGTTTCTCTATTATATCCCCTGACCGGTACGTCAGGACCCTATCAAGCTTCGGGAAGCGTCTAGAAAAGTCGTTTGGAGGGCGAGGGCGCATGGCCCAGTCCGATTCGTTACCTCTGATCGATTCGCCATCCACAAAGGACTCAAAGACGTCTAGAAGTTTTCTAAATTCATCCATGCATTCATATACAACACCGCGTGGAAGATGAGAGCTTCGTGGGCGTGATAGTTCAATCATTTGTAGCTCCTAGAATAGCTGATCTATCGTAGCGGCGTATAATTGATCTTCGCCGAGGCGCTTGCTTGACCTTTGTATACTGGAAAGTAAAAGGGGATAAATTTGTTGGAGGGCCTTCCATTCTTTGAGATCTTCGAGTTGCGTCATATGTTAACCATCTAATGGAACTATTTGGGAGTGAACAAACAATTGGTCTATCGGAAGGTTCATAACGAGAATGGGTGAGTCGGAGAGTCTCGAGATCACGACTGAGCGCCACATCTCCTAGAGGGGCGACTCGCTAAACCTACCTATCATAGCTGTAGGATCTATCGATCGATTATCAACCCAGTCTCTTGGAGGTACTTACTACCGTACCTAGGTACTTAAGTTGAACTTCTCCAACAGACTATCTACCTCTCGATTCATCAGCGGTTTATTCGATGCATCGGAGCCTTCGTTGCGGACTGCATATATCATGGACGTCTGAGTGATGGATAGCGACCGCTAGATATTCACGTTAGCTTTGCAATGCCATCAAGCGCTCATCAGGAATGTTACGAAAGATGACCATGACGTTAATCCGTTCGCTCGAGTGTTACAAGAGTGTCATTACCGTTTTACTGCTTGGGCTGCTTATCTAGGCGTATTCACAGCTAAACCCGCATCTCTTGATGATCGCTTAAAAGATGTGACTCATGTGAAAGACTTAGTGCTTCAGATATTAAATTCGATCCAGGATAATGCTAAACTATGTGAGTCCAAGTTGCTCGACATCCTAGTTTATTCAAATTGTCATAGTATAGCATCAGGTTTGCTCCGACATAGGGTTGGTTCGCCAATACCGGATAAAGAGGGTAGCATATTGACCACCCTAGAATCTCAAAGACATTCACAGATACAAAATGCCCTTCAACGTTCTATCGATAGGTTGGAACGCTTGGGCATTGCAATACGACGGCCATCTACAACTGGGCTTCAGCAAGGTGTATCGTTTGAGGAGCTATCATCACAGATGGTCAAGTCTATGTATCCTGATGCAGATGATGAGCTAGTATCTTATCTAGGGCGCTCAATGCTCCGACGCCATACGAAACTGAGGCACAAACGCGAACACCAGAACGAACCAGCACATCCCATGAGCAAAGGCGTTACAACCTACCCTAAGCCACCCGCAAAGGAAGCCGCTCCGGGGTTTAAAAGGTGCAATTGGTGTCTTGCAAATTATAGCACAGCCCAATTTGAAGATGGCAGGTGGTGGAGGTATGTCATATCTAATTTTTCTTCCTCTTTTTCTTTTTCTTATAGCATCATTATTCTAATAAGGTAATTTCCTAGGCGTCATGTAGATAACGACTTACTTCCTTATCTGTGCCTTTCCGAGGAATGTGCAGAGACGATGCGCCAATTTGGGGACTTCGAACAATGGAGAACGCATATGGAAGAAAGCCATACAGCACAGTGGGCCGAGAAAGTTTACGCCCGAGCATGGGTTTGCGATATCAACCATGGGACACCCCTTCATTTCAAGAGTCACAGGCTGATCAAGAGCCACATGCTTGAATCTCACCGAGACAAACTTAACGGCGTACAAATCAGAGTGCTTGCGGAGCAAAGTGCTAAGCAAAAACCGCGACAAGCAGGGATATGCCCCTTGTGTTGTTCCATGATCGTTAGTGATAGTCGGGATACCACTAAGACTCGGGGGAATAAACCTACGCTTTCAGATATGCAGGAGCAGGACGCTACATCACCACGGTCTGCGGGGGAGAAGAAGCTTGAGCCCAAGCATCCATCGCAAGAATCGCTACCTGCAGCCTCGTCACCCGTAGATGACGAGTCGGGGGAACTTACTGTGGCGTTATCCAAACGAACCCTAGATAGGGCAATGAGGGCTCGTTATATTGCAACGGTACACAAACACAGTATGCATGGGTTAAAGGATTTCACTGTAGCATCACCTGAACGAACCTCAAGCACGTTAAGAAGTTCTATTAAGAAATCACCCGAACGAAAACTAGACGAGCTAGAGAGATTTATTTTGGCAACGCCTGAACAAACCCCCGGCAAATTAGGGGATTCTACTACATCATCACCTGAACGAAACCAAGACAAGCTAAAGGAATCTACTATGGTATTACCCCAACAAGCCCCGAATAAATTAAAGGACTCTACTGCAGCGTCGCCTGAACGAACTCCATGCGGACTGAAAATCGCTCGCCATGTGGCCAAGCACCTCCTTGAACTTTCATTTCTTTCCCTAAGCCTGTACAAGCAGGAAAATACCCGTTTAAAGGAGGGCCATAATTTTAGGCAGCAGAGTGCTCCATCTGCGGAAATCAACTCAGAGAATGGCTCTGGAGTCAATGAAACCGGCTATAGCAAGGGACACTCACCGAGTATACTCGCTTATATTGATGGTGTAAACGCCGGACAAGCTCCTATAAGCACGCTTCGCCAGCAGTCCCAAAACATCGCGTCGAGCTTAGCTGCCCGAGGCGAAAAGGTACTTCGTGAGGTTCACGATGCATCGGTTAAGCTTAGTACGGTTAAGGAAATTGAGGAAGATCCAGTAATCGTCACACAAAGCAGAGGCGGCATAATACGGGAGCTCGGCCGGCATCAAGAAACATAAGCTCAACCTCATCATGTTGAAGTAAAATAGAAAATCTAATTTAAGGACAGGACACTAATCATGGGCGTTAACTACGAGCACGAAAGCTGGTATCTCTTGCTCTAATCAACTAAACTACCTAGGTAATATTCCAATTCATTCATGCCAGGATTCCCGTTCACTCATTTCATGAAATCCGCATGGTCATAATATGTGATACTGATATTTTTTCTGTTTAAGTACTATCCAACCTCTTGACTTTCACCATCATGTCGTCTACCGGCCTGGCCGTAATCTGTCGTATCTACGCAGATGTTGTTTAGCGTTCTTATGACATCAACAAACACAAACGTGATGGAATATGAATTGACTCACATCATAAACCTGTGACTTGACTCTATATCGTCCATCTTGATCGAGGATCGGCCGGCCATCCTCACTCAGGGCAAGCTCACCAAGACCCACCTTGGTGAACTCATAACGGCGAGCAATGACAGCGATAATCACGCGGATTTCAATGCTCGCAAATTCCTGCCCGATACAACTACGAGGCCCCCGTTCAAATGGCCTCCATGCGGCATAGGGAAATTCAGCTGTACCTGAATCCAGGCCCTTTTCTGATTGCTGATGTGACCCGCCTAACCACCGCTCGGGTTTGAAATGTTCGGCCGTGTCACCGTAGACCCTGGGGTCGCGGTGGATAATCGAATTACAATTGTATACTATTACATCGTCAAGGCCCAATTCTTCGCCTGTTGGGGTGCGTATTGTGTAAAAATTCCCCGTTGTCGAATACCTCGCAGTGGAAGCCGGCGTGTGGAGTCGCAAGGTCTCCTTGATTACGGCAATGATATATGTCATTTGGCCCACAAGCTCTGGGCCGAGCGGCGGAACGAGCTGGGCACGTATCGTCTCCGGATCTGTCTGGGGACCGAATATGTGGTCGAGTTCGGCACGTACCGCTGCCATGGCCCGCGGACAACGCGATAATTCATAGAAAACCCAGGCGAGCGTGGCGCTGGGACTATCATGGCCACCCAAGAGAAAAGTCTTGAGCTGGTCACAAGTTATATCAAGAAGATCTTGGGGGAGCGCTTTAGCGTTTTGCAGACTGAGAGAAAGTATACTCTCCGAGCGCTGGCTAGTCTTATCTTGACGTGTCTGTTGTTCTTCGTGTTTGCGTCGGATCATGGCCTTTAGGATTCTGTCGACCTGCTTGCCAGCCCTTCGACGCTTCAGCGTGGTTAGAGGTTTGAACCACCATGGTAAATGGATCTTGTCATCCCAGTATGCCCTTAAGAGCTCAGTAAATGAGCGGATGAGCTCGCCTCGTTGTGATGGATCCATATGCTGAGCATCCAGATCAACATCCATAATAACTGCGCCGATGATATCGAAAGTCAGGTTTGTAGTAAGAGACACAAGGGAGAACTTGTCCTGGGAGCTTGATAGCATATCGAGATGCTTGGTAAATATTATTGTTTTGTCCAACATGGTAGGTAAGAATGTCAAGAGGTGCTGTAGAGAGAAGCCGTGATTGTACGTTTTGCGTAATGACTTCCACATATCGCCCTGCGATGATAAGATAGAGGTCCTTCCTATGACGTGCTCGAGGTATCTGAGGTCGACTTTCGGAACGCTTGCTGGGAACTGTATAGTGGCCCTCGATATTTGTTCTGCGATTTCATAGCACGTAACAAAAACTACAGGGCGACAGATGGGTCGGTAATCCATCAGCACCAAGGGCGGCCGCCCAAGCATTTCATATATTTCGGAAAAAATGTAGTCTTAAAGTGAAATTGTTAGAGAAATTATATGTCATAGAATGTTTTAGGCATTACCATGGTCGCGGTCTAGTTTACCGCGTTTAGTAATCTCATTGTAGACTTTGAGGTGCCCCCAGAAGAGGGAAGTTGGCAACTGGGGGAACCTGTTGTATTGTACAAATCGCTTATAGCATAGCTTGCGGTAAAGGAGTACCGAGGCCAGCAGTACCGCAACCAACATAAGGGGCTTCAGCATGTTTTGATTACCAGTCGAATTTGGACTTGTATCAACTTACTGAGTCTAAGTATGGTCAACTGATGGCTTATATATATACCTAGATGTCTAGCATATGAAGGCATTGCTCACTTACCACGTAGGCAGGCAGTGATGTTATGGGACCACCATATCAAACACCGAGGCGTGTAACTTAGGGAGTAAGCAAGGGTGAACATATACCTCAGTGATCGACCAGCATGTTCATAAGATATATACTGCGCCTTGTCGTATTGCATAGGGATTCACGCAGACGCTCAATGTACCTAGGTGGATACTGATAATAATAGAGAAAACGTAAAATTCCAATGTACCGCATTGTACGTTTTAATACGTTAATACACAGTAGGTAATAAGCGACGAAGGCTGCTGCGCCGTGTCTCAGGTACGGGAACACCCACCAGATGACCAAATCGCGCGGTTGTACGAACTGCTGTGATTTCTTATTGGCTGAAAGCTCAATCGGAGTCGGGGTCTCTTGCAGTATGTTTTAACCGGGGTAACACAACCTAATGAATCCCAAAAGCCTCTTTACGTGAGTCTTGTATCTTCGAAGGAAGCTGAAATGCCTCTTAAATGCCTTACAACTTCACGCTGTTGTCCTACCGCACTATGTTAACGGACTAAATCCAGTTGGATCGTCGATGGCCCCGAATTACGTCCGCGAGAAGCAGGCTGCGTGGGGGCTATTGTCGTTCATGGGTTCACTCAAGTGTATACTTTGGTACTCTTTAGATAGGTAGGTGCCGATGCTAATCATAGAGATTATCAGCCTTCTAATGATTCTATCATCTAAAACAACTCGCCCGACTACTTTAGCTATTATCAAGAGTATTGAGGCCCACGTACATACCAGGCTGCCAGGATACCTACCTACCTACTTTGTGTACCCGCCGAGTGTATATTTATATAAATGTTAAAAATAGAATTAGAAGCCAAAAGCAGGTAGTTGTTACCATGACCTCTGCCTATCTGGTGTAGGTTGCTATGGCTTGTATTCAGGCCAGAGAAAGAGATCTCTCACGTACACCTAGATCTTTAGCCAGATAATCTGCGAATACATCGTATCCATCTACAGCCCCTCACAGGTCGACCATCGAAGCGGAAACCTCTAACTAGTGGTCTCTTTAATAGCTAGCTGTGGGTTCGAATGGCTTTCAAAGTCCTTGTAGCCCAAAATATACCAAAAGTTGCAAAGATGTTAAAAATTACATAGCATGCAAGGAGCCCGGCGTTACGCCAGGTGTGGCCTACATTCATCCCGAAACTTTCCAAGAGTGTGTTTGCACTTAGAAATGGGCAATATTGACATTCTGTGGTGTTGAGTGGGTTGGTTACGTACCCTCCGAATGTCTGGACATAAGGTTGTAAGTAATCGTCACACGTAGTTGCGTTACCACTTGATGATATAACGGATTGGGGGAAGGGTATGTGGAGAGTCTCGATATCCGAGCAGTGAATGTGCGTCTGGGCTAGACCAGCAACTGTGAGTCCTTCCATCAAATATGTGAGTGGCGAAATGCGATACATAAAAATCCAGAACCGTGGAAGTTGTGCAGGTGGCATCAGAACCCTTTGATATTGCTTAGCAAGCTATTACTTATGGTCGAAGGTGAGGAAGGATAAAAAGGAGATCGAGAACATACCCGCAAAACACTAAGGCTAGCCAGTATAGCAGAATACCAATTTGCATAGCTATCTCCGAGTCTTTTATTCCCGCGGCTAAGGCCTGGGACAGTGTACTGGCCCACAACATGAACAGCCAGAGCAAAATAAACGTGAGTGCACCGCGATCTGCAGTTCCATAGATAGGTTCTCCATTGCGGCTAAGGCCGGTCGGGTAGTACCATGACGCAAAAGTGAGGATGCTGATAAGGGTTTGCCAGAACACCTCGACGAGAATATTAGCGATGAGGAGAATAGACCAGGAGTATGTCCTTGAATGTCGCTCTCGCACTTCGAAAAGCTCTATACCTCGGTGAAAGTAAGGGATGACCATTTGGTCGATGTAACTAAACAGATAAGTTGCGAAGAAGATCGAGAAAAGAAGGCTTGTTATGCCTTGCACGTTTGGGAATGTGTTAAAAAATGAGAATCCGTTGAGCAAGGCCTGTGATATGTTAACTAGCGCACTCACGACATTCTGGTTTGCTGGAACAAAGACTTACGGTACCGACTGAAACCACAATTTTTGTGGAGAGGTAGACAGGATTGCGCCATTGGTCTATGAACGTACGTTTCGTGACAATAAACATCTGCCGAAGAAAAGGAGTAGCATATGCATTTTCAGGGGCTACGACGAGCTGCGGAGTTGTCGAATGGGCTCCCTTTAAAGTGTTTAGATGTTTCACCACATCTTGCCTTTGTTTGCTAGCATTCCATATTTGGGTCCAGTCTATATGAGAAGGGTTATGCTGAACTTCAGACTGAATATTTGTGCTCGTTATGTTCAACATCCACTCCGCGGGATTCTCGCCGGTCTGGCATCGTGGTGCGCCATTGCTTTCAAAATAATAGACCAGGGTAGATGCATCTTGACCGATGTCGCCGAAGTAAAGTGTTTTTCCGTTAGTTCCAAGGAGCAATAAACGGTCAAACATAGTGAATAGCTGGAATGATGGCTGGTGTATGGTGCAGAGAATTGTTTGTCCGTTATCAGAAAGCTTACGGAGGAGAGTACATATAGACCAGGCGGTTTGGCTATCAAGACCAGAAGTTGGCTCGTCTAGAGATGTCAGTACATGGGATACATCCTCTTTTAGATAAGGCAGTTTAAGTACTCACCGACGAACAACAAGAGCTCTGGCTGTGCCACCATCTCAACAGCAATTGTCAAACGTTTACGTTGTTCTAGATTGAGGCCCTCGCCTGGAATGCCGACAAGCGCGTCGGCATATGACTGCATATCCATTAGTTCCAGAACTTCATTAACGTATTGCAGCTTCTCCTCTTTGCTCTTGGATTCTGGTTGCCTGAGGAGGCAACTAAACTCCAAGGCTTCTCGCACTGTAGCGGTGGCCATATGAACGTCGTCTTGTTGGACGTAGCCTAACTTTCGTTGATATCCAGTGCTTCGAGAATATCCGCCTACGGAAATGCTTCCAGTCACTTTACCAGTTGTAACACGGTCAGCTAGGACATTGAGTAAGGACGTTTTCCCAGCGCCTGTGATACCCTATATGGTTTCAGTATTGGCTGATATTAAGTGTAACCACATGCCACTCACCATCAAAACTGTAAGCGTCCCGGCCTGAAGCCAACCGTCAACATTCTGTAGAATGGTGCGGCCTTTAATATCATATTTGAGATCGCTCCAATATAGGAGAGCAGATTGTTGGGAGGCAGGAGCCTTGGTGGTAGTAACGTGAGTACTTCTATGATCCGTATTGGTGGTAACGACGGCCTGGTCCTTCTGACGAAAGGAGTCATTACTGACAGCGCTTTCTTCGTCATCGGCCACCTCATTATTCGAAAATAAGGTGCGTTTGAATACTAACACTTCGCCTCGAGACCGCTGTGATGATATATACTGTGTAGCAAAAAGATGAATACCGCAAAATGCCACCATCATGCCCAGTAAGATTCCGAAGTTTCTGCCAAAGGAACAGTTTAGACTCAAGCGGCAGCGGTATAATAGCAATAATAACTTACCGCCAGATATGATTTGATACGTATCCATACTTTGAGGATAGGTAGGCTGTGCCCTGGACGAAAGATTGGCCTGCTTGGCTTCCTATTGTCGCGCAAATTCTCTGGCTAATATCAATGGCCTCATAACTTGGTCCAATTGGGATCATGTTTGAGCATAGAAAGAGTCGATTACCCATCTACTATCGTATTAGATTCTCTAATGTTTAGAATATGGTTGGATACTCGGGCTCGTACGTACCTCGTTTACCATCAGGTTTTCGTACGTATAAGCAAGTGGGTTGATGCGCCAAAACCACCCAAACCATGGTACCATATAATCCGGTGGCACAACGAAACCAGTGTAGATGATACAGAAAAGTATTGCAAAGGAGACTGGGATCTGCGTATTATCCCGCGATCTTGAGACAGAGCCAATTATGCGAAATAGCATGGACATGGCGAAAATATTCACTAACATAAAAAGCCAATATAAGAAAAAGGCAGACGCGCTTCGTCGGAGGTTGCCTAGGAAGTAAATAGGAATGTGTATTCCAAAGCAAGTAGTAGCTTTAATCGGGATATCACAGATGAAGGCCGCAGCTCTCTCAGTAAACGGTTGATAAAATGCGTAACGGCGGTGCTTTTCTACTATTGGACGTTGTGCCCAGACGACAACGACCTGTTTTTATCAGTATTTGTTCTTGCTTGGTAACTCGAAATCACTTACCTCAAATGCAGGAGAGAACGCATTCAGGATCAAGGCAAAAAATAATAGCAGAGACCTTGACTGGAGACTATCTGTTGTCTCATCCAAGCCATAATACACACTACCTATGATTAACCCGAGGATGGTATTGGCGATGACGGTAGTAAGGTCTGTAGAGAGATTTTGACGCATCCTCAAAATCGCTCTGTTAAGACAGACAAGTACCTGACGAGGGGCCGAGAGCGGATAAGTGGAAGCCCGGAGGCTAAAACATACGCGTTAGAGAAAGCAACTGAAATTCAGGGGGGAGGAAAGTCAACGAAGGACCCACCCTAGTTGTTCCGTTGTTGCGTTTCCATGGCCTGTCGTGGAAAATGCAGCGCCGAAACTAGCGATCTCATCGCGAACGCGCTGGGCCCGTTCACCGCGTCTCCAGATGTTGGCGAATTCATCAGGTAAGCGTGGGATAGTACGCTCGCTGCTACCATATATATCACGCTCGGCTGGATTGGTCAGAGAGGTCAAGAAGTCGGCAGTTGTGACTCGGTCGGGCTTCACGAACCCGATCTCTTTGAAGTAGTCAACAGCCTCTCCTGTGGGGCCGTAGTAGATTTGACGACCCTCGTATAGCACGGTGACCTTGTCAAATTCCTTCAAAGCATCATGTTAACAGGTCAACCAGATTTAAGCGAAATTGGTACTAACTTGGTAAATATCCTCGGATGGTTGGTAAAGACTCATCGCCGCCGTCGACTTCTCAGTATCTGTTAACTGCCTCAAGTACTTGATGAAGCGCCGTGCAGTAGAGCTGTCAAGCCCCCGAGTGCTATTATCCCAGCATTGGAGTCGCGCACCACCCAAACAGGCTTCGGCAATGCTTGCCCGCCGCTTTTCGCCACCACTAAGGCCACGGATGGCTGTGTTCCCGATAGGAGTATCAAAAGCTGCACCTAAACCGAACTTCAAGGCAATGTCTCGACCTGCTTCGACCTTAGGCTTCCTTGATCTGGTTGATGCAGCGAAATTGAGGGTTTGGCCAAGCGTCAGTTCAGGGAAATGAACGTCCAATTCGGCGATATAAGCTCGCTCGCCTTGAAACAACTTGTGGAATTTGGAATAGGAAATGCCTAAATCCATTGTTAGTACCACGGCAACTCCTTGCTACCTAGGTATTTATCAATATTTTCTCGAACCTTGGTAGTTAATATGAGACCTCTCGTTGACCTCGAGGCCGTCAATATTGCCGGCTAGGACTTTGAGGAAAGTAGTACAGCCACTGCCCGGTCGTCCCAGGACGAGTAGCATCTCGCCAGGTGGGATGATGCCCTCAAGGTCATGGAGTATCCGAGTCTTATGGGTAGCATAAGGTCTAAGCAAACTGATTAGAAATATAGGAATAGCGAGTATATAATCCAAGAAGTTATATGCATGTTGGTTAGCCGTGGCAAGGCCCTGGACACCAAGTCTGACAAATGTCACTCCGACTTGAAGCTTTTCAAGATTTTCGGGCTTCTCGACAATCTCGTTTGTAGGATATGGCGGTGATTGACCACTACAATCCTCAGCCGTGGCCATTGGCAAATATAATTGATCCATAACGACTCTGAAGAGATACAGATGATAACCCGTTCGAGGGCGAAGCCAAGGCTCGCTCGTACTAAAGAGAATAACGTATTAACTAGAAGAGACATACAATGTGGGAATAACAGCCGCAAGAGCAAAGGGATGGCTTTAGAACCCCGGATGTTAGCCTGCCCGAGAAGGTCGATAAGATCAATGAAGGTACCTAGATAGGTAGGTACTTTGATAGGACCTATGTAGGTACACACATACATAGGTACATACATATATACCTAGGTAGGTATAGGTAGGTATACGAATGTACTTTGGTATATTCGCAGAATTTCCCATGCAGGTATCCGACTACGTACATATGTACCTAGGTATGTATATTAAATATCATATTTCGATACATCTCGGTACGTAGATACCTTTCGACTTTTCTTGGTACATGGGTACTTACCAAAAAGGGGTTATCTTCTTGTGCGACGCTCAGTTGGTTCGATGTGGTATTTAATTTCGTTGCGATACACCTTTAATTTTCTTGTCTAATATATGCTTGAACTTTTGGCAATTCCTCCCCTAACGAGTTGGTTTCTGAGTCCTTGATTGGCTTAAGTGCTGGGCGTGTGCATTATCATCATGAGCTGAGCTGAGCTGCTACCTGCAAGCCTCGGAAAGCCAAGCCAAGCCCTTTTGCTACATCTGTATGCGGTTGGGCAGACGCACAGATTGAATTGGCTATACTATGATTCACTGTCGAATTAGGAGGGTAGAAATTATACCGTATCATTCATACATATTTGCACTGTCTACACTTTTGATGGCACTCCCCTTCTCTCTAGCTTATACATATATGTATGTCTTAAATATCAAAAAAGCCAAAAAAAAAGAAGGCATCAATTACCTAGGTACCTAAGTAGGTATGTACAGGCATCCCACCATCATCAATGTCCTCCGCCGAGACTTGCATTCGCCGTTCCGATGTAGAGAAAGTAGCCTTCCATTCCTGTTCTTCTCGGCAGTAGACCTTTACGTCCAGGTCTGTATCAGGTTGGTTGAGGGCGATGCTGAAGCTAGAATTCTTAATAGTTGGCCTCACCCATCGTCCGTTAGTTGGTTGCATATCAAAACTCAAGATGATACTTGCTGCAAACCCCAGGGCTGTCGAAGTGGCGAAATGGCGACCAGGGCATAAGTTCAACCCACCGCCAAACCCACGGAATGCTACGGGGTTCCATCCTTTTTTCTTCCCTTTTTCTCGATGGAACCGTAGATAATCAAAATCGTCCACGTTTTCACCCCAGATAGACTTATTTCCGTGCTGTACGCTCGAAGGGATCATAACCAAGGCACCCTTCCTAAGGAGGTACCGCTCAGCAATCAACTGGTCCTCGACGGCCTGGACGACAGACACACCCATAGAGTGAGTGCGAATAGTCTCCTGATACGTGGAGAATAAAATGGGACATGAGTGCTTCACTGATGTCAAGTCAAGATAGTGGCTGCCGTTTTCCCCTTTTTGCAGTACCGCCAACAGCTCTTTGCGGCAGTCTTGGAGGATGGCATCATTGGAAAAGATATGATATACGAGCCAGAAAGTAGCCTGAATTGTATTTGCCAGAAGCGCAATTGTGAATGCAGTTGCGGTTTTCGCAATGTCTGGGTCGGATAAGCCACTATGAGAAAGGACATCGTGTTGCTTTTTTATGTAAGTCGACGTTCCCACGTCCTCTAGACCAACCCCTTCGTAGTAGCGTTCGAAGGCTTGGAATAAAGCCTTACGGGCACGGGCGGATTTCTTTGCCGTTATTGACGACATGAATCCTGTCACCAGGTAGGTTAATCCAGATTTGTATTCACTAGACGTTGGTAAGTACGTATTCTTTGCACAGGATATAAGTGACACAAATAGACATACTGCCAGGCTTCCCTAATTTCAGGACTCCGGAATGGGTTTTGATGACCATAAAGCGCCTCGGTAGTTACCATCATGACCCCATGGGATATCCATTCGTACATGCGCAATTTTCTAGGCGAATCATAATATTCTTGGGAATGAAGAGACGCCGTGACTTCCCAAGCCTTCTTGTTGAGAGCATCCAGATTTGATCCAGATGCTAGGCTAACATGGTTAAAATTATGGAATCTAGCAATGAAACCATCCTCCTCATCTTCACTCAATATTTGAACACCGGGCTGACTGGCGGCAATCAAGTTCGAGGCGATACGTGATAATATAGGCGAGAAAGAGAGTGTTCGAACATGACGTTGTACTGCCGGAATGAGCGATGTGGAATTCACGACATAGAGACGAGTAGCCGGTAGCCGTATCGTATAGATTGGGAGATCACTAAGAGTAAGCTGTGTTAGCAAATCACGAGGATGATAAGCTCTAGTGGCGAGAGATCTAACCGCTGTGCAGTCCAGTACCTAGTGCCCATCCAGGCCATGCGAATAACTGGACTGATGAATGGTATGAATGTATCTAGGGGTGGTGGTTCATGGACATCCTGAGTGGAGTACAGTAATGCCCGAAGAAGAGAGTAGGTGAGTAGTACAACCGCAAAACCAGCGGTTAGTGTCCAGTACATAGTTGTGAAATTGGGAAATGTTTCAAGAGAGCAATATTGCTTCGCTTTGACGGATTTAACTAGAGCGAAGCGACGAAATCTGGCAACGAAGACTTTATACGCACAGGTGTAATCCCAAGAGCTTTTGCTGACAATAATTCATTTATTGAAGTTTCCAGCTCCTTGTACAGTACTTGCGCTTCTACCATACTGTAGCCCCCAACTCAGCCTGCATACCTAGGTACTTAGGCAACACAAGTAGGTGTTGGTGTGTATGTGCATGCGGTACAACCCACGTTCGAGCATGACTTATCGCTACTCTCGCAAGGCTCTAAAAAGATCAATGTCGCAGGTCATAGCAGTGTTAGCTCTCCATTCTTGAAAATATTACGGCGGTTTTGCACGATATCGTTACACACACGAATTCGACAGATATTTGACAAGGCGCATCAACCCTCGGGCTTTTGAAATCTCCAACATTTTCAGCCTTCAAATTTCGCAGCATCGAGCCTAGAGATTCTCCTGTAAATCTTAGCTGGGCCGGGTATCTATCAAATCCTCGCTACCGATTTATTTTCGATTTTTCTACGGCCACCATGACTTCTGTGCCTTCTAATATAGACCTGTCCCATATACCCCTGTTGCCCGCTCCCCCGGGAGAAGTGACGAACTTCGTGAACCCGCCATCCATTTCCTGGGCCGGGAGGTTGGCTATCTACCTAACTCTACCAATCATGGTTATCGCATTTATTCTGCGTTCGTTCGTACGTATTCGGAACCGGCAATTTGGCGCAGATGACTGTACGTGTCAGCGATCTCATAGAAACCTCTGTGTTTTGCCTCATTATTCATATATTCTAACCTTAGTGTATAATAGATCTTCTATCTCTTGGGGTTGTGAGTACCTAGACACAGACCTGCCTAGACCTATATTGAACTTCTTTGGCTGATACCAAACTCTATGGCAGGCCTCTGCTGTCTCTTTCTGTGCTGTTATCTTACCTATATGTAAGTAATCATAAGAAACCAGTCGTAACAGGCCTAGAGCGCTTACCATACAAGTCAACGATGACATTTTGGGACGACACGCATGGGACATTCCCGTTTCCGAGATCCAGCCGTGGTTTTTCCAGGTAAGTGTTCCAAACGAACGGCCGCATCAGAATAACATAGCAAGTACTAACGGATGATTTATCGATCAGTATTCCACAGTCGTAGCATGTCTCTACAATATGAGCGCCATGTTCACCAAAATATCGATACTAACGTTATACTTCCGTGTCTTCCACCCGTCAGACTGGGCGAGAAATTTCATCTGGCCCGGTATCGCCATGATTTCGATAGGTTATCTAGTCCTCACGTCGGCCATACTCTACTACTTGATACCGCATAAAGGAGATGGGGGTTGGGGCTCAGATGCGAATAGACAACGCGAAGGTGTTCCATCTCGAGTCATCGACTTTACGTCGGGTGTCTTTAGTGCCTTTTCCGACTTATACGTCCTTACGATACCTACTTTCGTTATTGCAGGGCTCAATTTACAGCCGAAAAAGAAGATTGGGATCGCGTGCATCTTTCTTACCGGTCTCTTGTAAGTTGTACACTTGGTGAAGCCGTGTTTGGTACTTGGCTAACCTACCTACGTATCGAGATCCTGCGGCTGTTCGATAACAGGCCTAGTATTCAGATACCGCGCCCTTGTGTATACGGTAGAAGACAACAGATGGCTTTCAGTTAAGTTTGAAGCCCTATGGTAAGGCAATTACCCCTTAAGTTCTTATCGAATCTCGCTGACATTCTTCAGCGTCGCCGAGCTCAACATCGGAATTTCATGTGCCTGCATCCCAGTTTTCTTCGTATTATTCAGGTCATTTATGCAGAGAACTGAATCTGGATTCGATTACATGAGAAGATTCCTAAGTCCTCGCCATAGTGTGACGGCCAATGCAAGTGGTGTGACGGTAGAGCACCGCCCAGAAATCTCGCTGCGGATCCCAAAGGGTACATTAACTGGACTTCAATCAATTTTCCGCAAAGCTGGCCGAACCCAGAGTAAAAACATGGACGGAGTGAATGATGTGTTGGCATCTCAATATTTGGAACTTCAGTCAATCGATTACGACTACCATGCGCGGGCAAGGCAGGATTCGCGTGTGGTAACAAGTCATTAATTGAAAATAAGAACCAGCTTTAAGGCGCCATCTAAGGCTTCTCTAGGTTAAGAAAAGCAAGATGAGTGGGAATAACATGCTCTTGTTTTATCTCGGTATCAAAGCAGGTGGTTTTATTTTTGGAAGTTGTTTGCTGAAATTTGCATTTCTTTGTTGCCTACTGTTAAGACACCTATAACATCCTGATAAGAAGCCATCATTAACACATATATAAATAAAAGTTAATAAAGCCATTAAAAACATTATAAATATTTTATTATATATAAAATATTAATATAACTTTTAATAATTTCATATTTAAAAAAAGAAATTATATTAAATAATTATTATAAATTATATTATAAATTAATAATAAAAAATTATAACATATATATGATTTATAAATTTAATAAATTTAATTATATAATTAAATTATAAAATATATATAATTTATAAGATTTAATAATTATTATAACTTAACATGAGGAAGGTTAAGGAATAAGGACCTGGTAGGGCTAGGTGTTACGTTCCAAGCTGCGGGGTAACACATATAGTATAGAATTGGGGAACAGTGATCAATTGGTCACTGGGAAGCTCTTGCTTTATGGCTCAACTGGTTGTCCCCAAACTAGTTTGTGACATTAGGGTGACCAATTAAAAGAGGTCTTTATGGAGGCAACAGAGACTGTGTGTTAAGGCTTATATAATGACCTTTAAAGGTCTTTAGGAACATCATAGAGACAAACAGAGAGGAGGTCTTTGGGAATATTATAGAGATAAACAGAGGGGAGGTCTCTGGGAATATCATAAAAATAAACAGAAAGGAGGTCTTTAAGAATATCATAAAGATTACTTAAATAAAGGATATATAAAAAAGAAATCTTTTATATATTTAATTATTTTTTTATAATTTTTTAATTATTAATTTAAGATTATTCTTTTAAATATAATAATAGAATTTTAAACCTTTTTAATAAATAAAATATACTTTAATTACTTAACTTATTATTAATATTATTATTTTTAAATTAAGATATTTTAAATTAATTAATTTAATAATGATTATACTTTTTAAGGCATAATATAATAAACTTATACCTTAAAAAGGTATAATTATTATTAAATTAATTAATCCGGGGTTTTTTAATTTAAAAGTAATAATATGTTATAACTTAACAGGAAAAAGGCCAGGGAATAAGGACCTGGTAGGGCTAAGGTAACCAATCAGAAGAAGTCTTTATGGAGGTAACAGAGACTGTATATCAAAGCTTATATAATGATTTCTGGAGGTCTCTGGGAGTGTCATAGAGACAAATAGAGAGGAGGTCTCTGGGGACATCACAGAGATAAATAAAGAGGAGGTTTTTAAAGGTCTCTGTTTAAGGAACAGAGACCACTTAAATGAAAGATATAAGAAGGAAATTGTAACGAACCTATGCCTCAGAGAGGTATAGTTGTTGCTGGATTAGCTAATCTGGGGTTTTTTAATTTAAAGGTAATAATATTAATAATAGGTTGTCACAAACCACACAGGCCTACAAGGATGTAAGACCCTAGAGGAAACCTTTTTCTTTGCCAAAATGGAATAATGATAATAAAAATATATAATATATAACATAAATGAATATAAATAAGGGTATCTAATTTTATTTAGTGAATATAACATGGATAAGTATAGATAAGTATATCTAATTTTATTTAATAAATATAATAGGGAATAAGTATAAATAAAGGGATCTAACCTTATCTATAAGAAAGATAATAATAGGGAATATTTATATAATTATCATGATTTTTTTATATATTTAATTATTTTTTTATGGTTTTTTAATTATTAATTTAAGATTATTCTTTTAAATATGATAAGAGGATTTTAAGCCTTTTTAATAAATAGAATTAACTTAATTATTTAATCTATTACTAATATTATTATTTTTAAATTAAGAAATCTTAGATTAATTAATCTAATAATAATTATATCTTTTTGAAAAATAGGTTCATTATATTTTGATAATTTTTTGATTAATATTAATATTAAGTTAAGAAATGGTATAAACCATTTACAAAACATCTCTTTACCATTATTAATTAAATTTTCTTTTATTTCATTAATTTTTAAAAATAAAATAGAAAATTTCTATACCTTCCAAAAATTATCTTTTAAAGGATATTATAATTAGATATAGAATGAACTAATAGATCCTAACCTAAAAAATAAAGAAAAATTAAGTAAAGAAGAATTTTAAAATAAAGATTTAAATGATTTATAATAACTTAATCTATTATTATTTAGAATATCTATATTTGTTCATATTATTTAAAACTTATTATTAATAAAAAAAATATTTTAATTTATTAATAAAATAATGCCTCCTAAGATATACTTATAAATCCCAGAATTAGAAATACAGGAAGAAATTAATATTAAAATAAAAAGGGATAACCAAAAAAAAGAAAAGACCTTTAACTAACAAATTAGAATAATAATTACCCTTAAAAAAATTAAAAGATTTAAAAAAGAATTAACCTTAAAGGAAACCAGATTAAAAAAAGTCCTTAAAAGATCCTTATTGGGAACCTCTTAATAATTAATATCCCTTAAATCTTTAAATAATAATAATAATAATAATAGAAAAGATAAGAAAAAAAAGAAAGATAAAGATCCCTAATCAAAAAGGAAAAGAATAATAACCCTTTTTCTATTCATTAAAAAATATAAATTAATAAACCCATTAACCTATAATAAAATTTTGGATATTAAAGATTAATTTATATATATAAAACTTTATTTATTTTTTTATAAAGAAAACCTATTATAAAAAAAATAATAAATATTTATTATTATTTAATTCTTAAATAAAATTACCTTTATATAATTTTAACTTATTTTAGAAAATTATTTTAATATTATTAAAAAAAAATTAAAGGAATTTTAATATATTTTTAAACTATATAAATATTTTGAAAATAAAATATAGATAATATTTAATAAATTATTTAAAAAGGAAGAAATATAGAAAACCATCTATTATCTCAGATAAAAAAAATAAATTATATTTTATATAATAAAATTTAAATAATTTATAATTATAAGGTAATTATCTAAAGATATATAATTTAATTATCTTTATAAAAGAATAATTATTTAGATAAAAGATGAATTCTTTAAGGAAAAATAACTTGTCATTATTAACAAATATATGACCAAAGTAATTCTTTATAATAATAAATTATATAAAAGATATAATAAGAAAAAAAAAGGCTCTAAAATAATAAAAAATTAAAGAAAAAAGGAATTAATTAAGATTTAGAACCTAAATATAATTAATAATAATAAAAAATCTAAAAAAGATTTAAACAAGATTAAATACTATAATTACCAAAAAATAGGATATTATAAGAATTAATATAAGAAACCAAAAAAATAACCATAAATCCCAGAAAGAAGATTAGCTAATATAATAATAATAACATTAGGATCCTTAATCTTAAAAATATTTAATATTATCAAAAAAAAAGAAGAAAAATAAGAAAATCCATTATCAAATTATAATAAAGCCATCTAATAAATAGAAATAAAAAGTTTTATAAATTAAATAAATTAATTATAAAATCTTAATATAATAGATATAAAAGATTCTAAAGAGGAAGAAATGAATATCTTTTTAGAAAAATCTAATTCTTTTTTATATAAATAAAGGCCATTATAGGATATAGATTGGAATATAGAAGGAGAAATAAAAGAAGAAGTGATATTTTTAATATAAGTTAATAATCAAAATATCTTTATTATATTATTATTAAATAAAAATATTATTCTGATATATTTTAATAAAATATAATTATATTAGTAAATAATATAAAACTAATAAGATTCTAATAATAAAAAAGGATAAAATTAAACCCCTAAATTGGAATTAATATATCATATATGGCTAATTAAATAAATAGATTATTATTATTATAATTTTAATAATTTAATAAATCTAAGATATATATTTAAAAATAATAAAATATAGATCTGAAAATATTGGAAATAGAATTATAAAAGAATCTATAAAATTATTATTAAAAGAATATTTAAAAAATAAAGAATATTAAAATTATTTATCCTAAATATATTTAAAAATCTGGATTATAAAGAGGTAATTAGAAATGGATGGGATTAGGAATTTATATAATGATATTATAAAAGTATATATAAGATTTCCTATATAATACTTTATAAAAAAAAATAAAATATAATTACCTTAATTAAGTTTATTTATAAATATTTAAATGTTATCTTAGGTAAATATTATAAATAAATATTATTATAATATAAAGAAATGATTAATTAATTTTAAAAGGAAATATAATATTTAGAAAATAAGATTGTAACTTTTTAAAAAAAAATTGAATAATTAATAAATCTATTATAAGAAATGATTAATATAATTAATAAATAATAAAATATAGTAGAAAAATTATTAAAAATCTTATAAATAATATTAAATAAAGTTAAGCTAACATATTTAATAAGAATAATTAAGGGATCCCATTTAATTATAAAAATAATATAAAAAAGATATAAATTTAATATCTTAATTAATTTAGGATATATAGTTAATTTAATCTATCTAAGATTGATTAATATATATAGAATATTATATTAAAAAAAGAAAATGTTTTATTAAATTAGTAATATTGATAAAAGTTTTATTACCTATAATAAAAGAAAAATTAAAAGAGAAATTATAGTTTTCTTTATTTTGATCTAAAGATATTAAGAATTAATATTTTTTAATTTTATTAATATAAATTATAAATTAATTTTAAAGAAAATATAGTTTAAAATTAATAATCCAAGAATTAATTAGGTATAAAATCAATTTTATTAGAATAAATTAGAAAAAGATTTAATCTTTAAATATTAGAAAAAGGTTAATTTAAATAAATTAAAATAATAATTATAATAAATATAAATAAATAACCTTATAAAAGAATATTTTATATCTTTATATTTTATGATATAATATATAGATATTAAAGAATTAAATAATTAAAAATAAATTAAAATTAAAAAAAAATATATAAAAATATTTCTTAAATTATTCCAGGATAATCTAAATATAGATATAAATATATTAAAATATAATTGATATAACTATAAAATAATATTAAAAAAAAACGAATATCCAAAATTATATTAAGTTTATAAATTAAGTCAAAATAAATCTAAAACTTTATATATTATATTCCAAAATAAAGAAATAAAAAGGTTTATATAAAA